ACTCATCCATAACTCTCCGGAAAAAATGGTGAACATAACTCCAATAACTACGGTTTATTATACTTATAAGTAGTATTCATGGGGTTTATAGCCAACTTATAACTGAAGGGCCCAAGATTGTATGATTGATGACAAGAACATATTCACGGTAGTCACATAGAAAAACACCTACGGACCGTAGCTACTGTGAGTTTGGTGATATCCTAAAGAATCCATCATTCAGCATCATCAAATCATGCTGTGATTTACGTCACCATCAACGTGGCATTACCGATCATAATTACCTACACCTACACTATTCGCCTTGCCCCTTAGCTCCTTTTTGTTCGCAATCAGTCCCCTGGGGTTCTGGTCCCCTTTCAAAAATCACATCCAAGGACATCCTTGAGCTCCCTTGCTGTCACTTTTCCGGTGCTTTTGGGTCGTCAATCGCTCGTTTGGGGTGTTTCCAGAGTGTGCTTGGGGTCGAAATTGCTGTACTGTTCAATGGCCATTTCAGGAACCTAAATTGGAGGTACCTACCATATATAAGGACTATATAAGGCCTATGTAAGGGAACACCCCCATAAAATATGGTCTTATATGGTACTAACGTACCTCCATTTTAGGATCCTGAAAGTCCCATTGTACTGCTGGTTGATCATTGCCCCGTTTTGTTGAACATCCCGCCCAACTCTTATGGTTGTCCACCATCAAGATCATTGAAAAATCAACATTCTTGCAGAAAACTTTGCACAATTACCTCCTGGTTATTTAACGTAGCTATGTATAGCTATGGTCCATGTTTGGATCATTTATGATGATTTACCTATCAAACATCATGTTTTGTTTCCATAGCTACGTTAAATAACCAAATGGTAAATCAACATAAATGTTGTTTATTATTCTATGAATCATCATTCAACTAACCACTATGAATTAGGAGGTGACACCCCGGAAAAAAAAGGGGAAATCATCTGGCAGAAACATAGTACAAGATGGTGCCCCATAGTTCCCCATAGTTAGCTAACTTGGCTTATAACTCCAATAGTTTGGGGTTATGGTAGATATATGTATATTTAATGCGGGTTTTATAACTTAAAAGTAAGGGAGCTCCACCTGTACCCTGTTGTTTTTTTGTCACATAGCTATGGTACAAATGGCCCATAGAAATAGATGACTATGATGATTTACCTATTAACAATTGTGATTTTCCATAGCTAAGTGAAAATAATACCAGAGCAAACCCCGTATTTTCCAGGGCTCGGGGGTTGACATTCTTCCAAGGTTGACATAATAGAGTATGACATATTCACATTCATCCTTCAGTATTTATATATTGCTATATATTGGTGGTTATATATATATAATATTTCCCCATACCCATATGCTCCATGTATGATATATTTACCTACATTTGGGTGATTTTGTTCGGGTAAATGTTTGTAAATGTTCCAGCACCATGGAGCATATGGGATATATTCCCACTAATTCAGTATTAATCCTTCAGTATTGCTGTGTATGACACATTCATCACCATTTCTGTGAAATCTCCGCACTGATGTCATGTTGGTCAACGTCAGTCATGAACCATCTGGTTTAGCAAATCATGCTTACTGTAAATCATTAAAATCAAGACATGACATGTTGGTCAATATAATTAGCATTGTAATGTTGCTTGTAATGGTTAGACATGTTGGTTGTATTGGTCAACATTATAATCATAAAGCAGACATGGTTAGCTCAATCAACCACGGTCAATATAATCTATCCAGAAGCATTGTTGGTCGTGTCCCGATCACAATCAACCAGGGACCTCCGCACATGGCTATATAATGCTATATATAGCAACCCAAAAAACCTAGAAAAATATATAGCAACCCAAAACAAAAACCATAGAAAATCATAGAAACATTGAACACCTGGGAAAGAAAAGGAGGTTTTCACACTGGTCGTCCATCATCATTTTCACAGACCTGGTCGAACTGGTCGTCCACGGCTGTCGCAAGCGCCCAAAGGAGTGGAACCCATGCCCAGTACATGGCAAAGGACCCACCTTGGCTGAAATTCCACATCTAATTCCTATAATCACATAAATAATATGAGATATTCCATTTATATTTTATGTAAAATATATAGTAGGTCATAATATATATATATAATTACAATACATACAATATATATATATATATACAATATATATCATATAATATAATACAATATAATATATATATATGCCATATTATATTATATATAGATATTAACGTGTATATATAAATATAACTGTATATAACTATATATATATCAAACTATGTGTATATATATATATATAACTATATAGCTGGTGGTAAAACCCATTTACTACATGGGATGAGCCACCAAGTAGAATGATTTAACAATCACACATGGGAATTTAGATTTGATTTATGATGTGCTTAATTAACTTTTATATAATATATATATATAGTCATTGGGGGAAAACGACAAAGGAAAGTTTCGGATCCAACGAACTTAATATGTCACGGGGCAGAATGTGAGACTCTCAATGATTGTGTCAAGGGCAAATCTGAACCGATTCAGATGTAGTTGACAACAACTATGCGACATATTTAACCGATTGGATCACGTGAGATGTATATGAAGGGTTATGTTTGCAAGGTTAGTTCTAACCCATGGTGAGTTTCACCTGTGGTAACTATGAGTTACTTAAATGGATAGACATAACGCACCAAAATCACATTGGAACACATGGTGGACTTCATGTGAAATAACTCCAAAATTCACAACCATCAAGTAAAGCGGGATTGGAACAATTGTTGAACAAAGGAACCATGGTGGTATGCTCGCAAACATCACGGGTTGGTGACTATGATTAAACAGCCAAAATCATGGGAGAACAGCCTAACCCCACTGATAGTAAAGATATGAATAAATCAAGTCATTCATTCACCTCCTGGTTGGTGGTATACCTACCCCTCTGAAAAATATGAAAGTCAGTTGGGATATGGAAAAATAAAAAAATGTTCCAAACCACCATTGCATACCATTTCGGGATAGTAACCCCAGTCAGTAGTCGTGGAAGACGCTTACTGGCCACTCAGTAGCAGGATTAGATCGTCCTCTCATAGACCATGAAATGCTGGAGGTCGCACGCAATGTCTGGGATAAACCATACAAACCATCATTCACGACAGAATGGTTACCCGTTGATCTACCACCTTTTTCAAGGCTGTGGCAAAAATGAATATCACTATAGATAGACTATAGCCTGTTTTCTTGTTTGAATTCTTAAATCCTCGGCTATGATGGTTAAGCCAATTAACTTACCCTCTGGTAAACTAACATACAGTAGACCCTGGCAAATAGGGGTTGGAAGTGTCCAATAAAAAATGGTGATTTTCAGGGTCTATGTTAGTTTACCAAGGAGTAATTATTGTTTTCATCCTAATCTTCGCTGCTTGAAATTGAAACCACCCCCATATGTGCCAGGATCTAAAGATGGACAAACAATGATAAACATTGGCATATGTTTATCCTATGAAAATGGATTGATGACCATCCCTCTATATCAGGAATCCACCCAAAGACCATGGCACTTATCTTGTCTCATCTAGATCGCCTGCCGTTTATTGCAGTTGAGTTACACGGGAGGTCACAGTGGCCCAAGTTTTTTTCACGTTGCGGTTTCTTCGTTCCACAAACGGCTCGTGAAAAACGGCGAAAGGCTGCTCGAGGATGTTTGCTCCCAAAAAACAGGGAAAAACATGGAAAGGCCAGTTGGATGGTGTGTATGGGGTTTCTGGATTTCGAAAAGGCTAAAGTCACTTTTAGTATTCAAATGTAATTATTTAAGATAATTGAAGCAATCGCTTCATCTACCAAGCGTTGCTTTAGAGGAAACCTTTATGAAGTCTGACTTGTTTTCTTTCATCGCTAGTTGTGTACCTGGCAGTTACCCTCTGGTAATGACTAACAGTTTGCGAACTGGAAGATTTACCCACTAAAAATGGTGATTTTCAACAGCTATGTTAGATTACCAGACGGTATGAGCATCAAAATGGGGCCGATGACCTTACATCAGGGAAAGTCACTCTGAATGGTCTGGTGTTGAATCTATCGTGCTCTCTTGAACATCTTCGTATCACTGTGTGACGGACTCGCCAAAGAATTCTAATGACCTGCAATTCCAGGGATCTGAGGAAATTGTCGGCTATTTAACTAACCTGGAAAGAGTGGCTATTTGGGGATGATTCCCTATACATTCACCATGATTTCAGGTTTCGGTCGTAGTGTCGTTATGATTTGTGAAGGATCTGTATCGAAGATCAATGGCACTACGGATGTATCACCCGAGGACCTTGGATGAACTGTCGCCATTTCATGCTCCAAGAGATTGGTGCAGGAACTAGCCGTAAGCCACACATCTCGAGAGGAGACAGGCTAGGGATATCACACTGAGGCATTTATGATTTGTTGGTGAAATCCCGAATCACCAACTGAGTTTTAAGTCACCATTATCATTATTATATTGTATTTATATATGTATATATCATCATCATTTGCCACCGCTTTTTCACCTAGCACGCAGTTTCGCATGTGTGGTCAATATTGGTCAGTATTGCCGGTGCACATTCTGCCATGTTTGGATGAAGCTCCACATACGATTTTGTGACACAATCCAAGAAAACTGCGAATTAACCTTGCATTTTGCGTCTCTTAATATGAACACACATATAATTATAATTATATATTTATATAAAAAGTATATACTCAAAAAAAAAAACATCATCTTTGCTCTGTTTTTTGGTAGTATCCAGCGATCATTTTTTGTACAAACACCCATCCATCCACCTTCCCCCACAGTTGAACTGACACTGCAGGATGGTGCCCCCCCAGCTATAAGTTGGTTTATAAACCCCATTAATTAACTATAGTTATATAAGTATCACAAACCACAGTTATTGGAGTTATGTTCACCAACTTAGCTATCGTTCGGGGGCACCACATTGTATCACATCCCGCCTTTAGAGTTCCTTCTCTGCTTTTGGTGCTGACTGGTCGTCCTCAAAGTTCGCCGAAGATCGGGTGGGGTTGTTTAGTTTCTTTCATGGGTATATCCTCTGGCACACTAACAGTTTGCTATGGAAGCCATGGCCCGTAGAAATATAGTTGATTTAGCCATCAAAAATGGTGATGTTCCTATCTTTAATGGCTAAATCCACTATAAATGGGCCATGGCTTGCATAGCTATTTGTAAACGTTTACCAGAGGGTATCCATGGTTTCTTTAAACTCCTAAAAGTTGGGACAATCCCTACTGGAACTGCACTTCCTTTTGTAGCCAAAAATTTGGCTTATCACCGTCCAAATCAAAGTTACATTTTTTTGGGATATATGAATATATATATATATAATTATATATACCCTTTGGTTATTTAACATAGCCATGGAAAATCACCATTCTTAATAGGTAAACCATGTAGAAATAGACCATTTTCCATGGCTATGTTAAATAACCAGAGGGTAATACCTATAGATTCCCAAGATGTTTTTTGACCGTCACATCACCTCAATGCGACCGAAAACTTTCTATGGCCATGTTGGGGAAAATGATGATACTTGGTGGCTGAATTCTATGGTTTCTAACTATAGTTCAACTATGGTTTATAACTCCAATATCTATGGTTTATTATACTTAAAACTATAGTTAATGGGGTTTATAAACCAACAAAAAACACTGGGGGTCACCACTTTTTAGATACGATGTGTTCCTGTTTTGATGGTAGACTATATATGACTATATAGTATGCATGGGGGGTACAGGTTATAACTACTTGGTGGCTCACTACCCACGAATCCTAAGTAGGTTAGTTCACCCTGGTTTTGTTAGTGGGATAAGTAGGCTTAATCCACTGAAATAACTAGGTTTATAGCCCACTTACTAAATGGGATGCACCACCAAGTAGACCATCTTATTTTTTTTCATTGGTGACAAGTTTTCCCCGAAATTGTGTGACAAAGCCAGCTTGGGAGGTTTCTTAAGTCATGAGCGGAGCCCCAAATTATACTTCTTACCCTCTGGTAAACTAACATAGCTATGGAAAATCACCATCTTTAATAGGTAAATTAACTATAAATGGGCCATGTTCCATAGCTATGTTAGTCATTACCAGAAGGTATTTTCCATGACATCAACCATCCAGAATCCAACAAGCTTGGGGTACCCAATGGAAAGCCCCATGACGTAATGGTACCATTCACATCGCCGTGTCCTGAAAAGGGGCTGACACGCAAAAATCTGATTCGCCAAGGTTGGGCGAACTGGAAAAGACCTCGGTTGTTTCTTGGGAGCTCACTTGAGCAAATGTTTCCCTCCATGAACCATGATTATATTAATATAGTTCAGTGCTGATTAATTAATCACCAGCAAATATTCCATGAAACCAGCATTGATTAATTATTCACCAGTATTAACCATCAATAACGCCCAGGTATAATATATATATATATAAATACTATACAATACTATGCATATATCTATTGTTGGTGACGTGGCGTACTACCACGCATCCCAAGTAGCTTAGTTCACACTAGTTATTTCAGTGAATTGAACATACTTATCATTGCTTGTCCTGCTAACAAAACCAGTTGTCATATGTGACATAATCATAATGTCAACAATAATCATTAATTATAACAAATTGTCAATAGTCATCATCAATAATGGTAATATATTAGTCAAACCAGTTGTCAATAATGATTATGTTACCATCCAGTAAATTAACATGACGACCTCCCATGAAGGGCCATGACCTGAGGTGGAAGAAATCTGTTTCCACAGTCTTCACTAGTCGAATGGGTGATTTAAAAAAGGTCAAACTGTTAATTTACCAGAGGCTAAAATTGTGAATTTCAGTTTCAAATCTTAACTTAAGTGATTTAACATGTCCATTTGAACTTGACACTTGCAACTGTCATCAGATAAAATTGTCAGGTTTAAATCACTTGAAACCAATTTTGAACGATTTACCCTCTGGTAAACTAACCTAGCTATGGAAAATCACCATCTTTATTAGGTAAATTAACTACAAATTTGCCATTTTCCATAGCTATGTTAGTCATTGTCAGAAGGTAACTGAAATCAAGTTTGAAGAACATGTCAATAGAATTCGACTATTTTCACCGCCTGCTGGATCCCCAACCAGAAATCTTTCATGTTGGTTCCCACAATGTGGGGCCCCCAGTTATAAGTTGGATTTTAAACCCCATTAACTATATATGTGTATATATATATATACTTATAATTATACTTACGATAAACCATAGTTACTGGAGTTATAAACCAGCTTAGCTATCTAGGGGGCCCCACATTGCAGGCAACCATTTGTTGTGGAGTGAATCTCAGCCCATAGTGAAACAACATGCAACAACCATGTATGGGAATGGGTTCCGGTGGTGCCTAGTTAGCGAAGTTGGTCTATAACTCCAGAGATTGAAACCCATCAAATTCGCTGTTGGGAATTTCCTTAGGGCCTTACAAGAAATTGATACTGTTCTCTGGAGGTTAGAAACAAGCAAACATCACTGCTCGGGGACCACCTTGTACGGTCAATTTTGAGCAATTCTTTGTATTGAACCAATTTGTGGGATTCCAAATGTCGACCCCCAACTTGTAACTTGTAACCAGAAACTTCAGTTGTGACATGCAATCCCCATCATGAAACTATATATCCATATCATACATTATCATACCATATGGGTGTGGCTGCAAATGATGACTTTAACCATCTTTATATATGGCAACATAATGGGGCAAACATATGTTTATCAAATTTGCTGATTTTTATGCCCATGGTTTTCCAATGGTTTCCCATCGTTTTCCTATGGTTCCCATTTCGGGCAAATCTGTTTGGAACCGGGCCGATGTCCAGTTGCCAAGGGACCAAAATGTGGCCGCTACCTTCAGGAACAGGACCAGCAAGCTCTACCTGATCCGGCCCTGATGGTGGATCCCTGAACCCCAAAAGCATGGGATTTTTCCAATGAAAAACATGACAAATGCAGGATTTTCATATGGAGAAATGGTGCATGATTTAACCAGCAAAGATTTGGACTTGATCAAAAGTGATTTATGCCTTCCTCAGTTGACACAAATCACTTGTTTCACGTGTGGGTTTCTGGGGAATATAACGAACCAACTCGCGGGGCCGCAGCTTGTTTCAGCCATGGTCCGAAGAAGGGAATCCAAGCACTTGGTGGGCACCACCAAGTGTGGCGAACTACCCTCGAATATGAAAAAAAGAAGGTGGTCTACTTGGTGGTGAACTACCCACTTAGTAAGTAGGTTATAAACCTAGTTATTTCAATGGATTAGGATTAAAGCTACTTATCCCACGCACACAAAACCAGGGTTTTCACTAACCTACAACCAGGATCGGTAGTTCGCTACCAAGCATGACAGTGGATTGATGTCGACTCGGTGGATTATGTTTGGGTTTTCCCATTGGAAAAAAATCAGCTCACATCTTGCAACTCAACTTGACAACTTGGATAATTTGGGGCTTCGCCATTTTATCTGGTTGATAATGATAGTTAATGATACTAGTTAATAGTAATAGTTAACAATGATAGTTAATCATACTATCTGGCCAAATTACTTTAATTCTTACCTCGTCTCCCTCGTGTCTTAATTTGTTCCCCATGATTACTGTCCTCGTTCGTTAATTTGCAGGTGCAAATTAAGGCTTTACCTCGTTAATTCGAAGGAAGAAAGTAGCTTGTGGGCCTTCTTTCCAGGGTCCAACCCCAAGGAAAAAAAACTTTTCAGCTTCCGAAAAGTTTTTTTCCACGATCCACGGTCTCTTGCAGGGATTTTTAAATCTGAGTCTGATCGGTCTTTGCGCTTCTTGCGCTTGGGTGGTGACATCTCTGACATTATCGCAGAGATGCAATGCTCTTCTGGAGCAACTCTGAATCCTACTGCTTCTGCAGCCGTCAACCCACGAAGCGGGCCTCTGGCGATAGAAAATAAAACTTTTTGGGGCCTGAAAAGTTTTTTTCCTTCCTTGCCTGCTGACCGGCCTCTGGCGATAGAAAATAAAACTTTTTGGGGCCTGAAAAGTTTTTTTTCCTTCCTTGCCTGCTGACTGGCGATAGAAAATAAAACTTTTTGGGGCCTGAAAAGTTTTTTTCCTTCCTTGCCTGCTGACCGGCCTCTGGCGATAGAAAATAAAACTTTTTGGGGCCTGAAAAGTTTTTTTTCCTTCCTTGCCTGCTGACCGGCCTCTGGCGATAGAAAATAAAACTTTTTGGGGCCTGAAAAGTTTTTTTTCCTTCCTTGCCTGCTGACCGGCCTCTGGCGATAGAAAATAAAACTTTTTGGGGCCTGAAAAGTTTTTTTTCCTTCCTTGCCTGCTGACCGGCCTCTGGCGATAGAAAATAAAACTTTTTGGGGCCTGAAAAGTTTTTTTTCCTTCCTTGCCTGCTGACCGGCCTCTGGCGATAGAAAATAAAACTTTTTGGGGCCTGAAAAGTTTTTTTTCCTTCCTTGCCTGCTGACCGGCCTCTGGCGATAGAAAATAAAACTTTTTGGGGCCTGAAAAGTTTTTTTTCCTTCCTTGCCTGCTGACCGGCCTCTGGCGATAGAAAATAAAACTTTTTGGGGCCTGAAAAGTTTTTTTTCCTTCCTTGCCTGCTGACCGGCCTCTGGCGATAGAAAATAAAACTTTTTGGGGCCTGAAAAGTTTTTTTTCCTTCCTTGCCTGCTGACCGGCCTCAAGCGATAGAAAAACTTTTTGGGGCCTGAACAGTTTTTTTTTCCTTCCTTGCCTGCTGACAAGCCTCTAGCGATAGAAAATAAAACCTTTTGGGGCCTGAAAAGTTTTTTTTTCCTTCCTTGCCTGCTGACCGGCCTCTGGCGATAGAAAATAAAACTGTTTGGGGCCTGAAAAGTTGTTTTTCCTTCCTTGCCTGCTGACCGGCCTCTGGCGATAGAAAATAAAACTTTTTGGGGCCTGAAAAGTTGTTTTTCCTTCCTTGCCTGCTGACTGGCCTCTGGCGATAGAAAATAAAACTTTTTGGGGCCTGAAAAGTTTTTTTTCCTTCCTTGCCTGCTGACCGGCCTCTGGCCCCCAAAAAAGTTTTTCTAGCCAAGCCCAAGCATGCAACAGAACCAATGCAAGGCTACCTCGTCGAAGTCGGCTAATTCTGATGAGCAAATTAAGGGCTGACCTCGCTAATTCCTGCAACCTGCCTCGTTGCCTCGGCTGTCCTCGCTATAATTTGTGCAGATACTATATAGTTAATAATAATATAATTTCACCAACTGAATATGTTGGGGATGATTTTTGGACCTGATGTACCAATACTCATGGGATTTTACCAGCGGGAATTTCTCCGTAGTGGCTGGCCAAGTTCAAAAAAGCTATCGAGTACCCTCTGGTAAACTAACAGTTACCCTCTGGATATTTAAGATAGCCATGGAAAATCACCATTTTTAATAAGTAAACCCAGGTAAACCATCATCCATCTATAAATGGGCCATTTTCCATGGCTATGTTAAATAACCATATAGTTGATTTACCCATTTACCCATTAGAAATGGTGATTTTCCATAGTTATGTTAGTTTACCAGAGGGTAATTGTTGCGTGAAAGCTTCGTGAAGCCATACCCGTAGACCTACCATTTGTTGACAAATAGGCCTTATTCAAGTGAGCGCCTATCAAAGATTCGGTTTCTGCAGTCAATTACCATCTGGTTATGACTAACATAGCCATGGAAAATCACCATGAAACCATCTATTTTTATGGGCCATCTATATCATGCCTACGTTAGTCATAACCAGATGGTATAGTCAACTTATAGATGGTATAGTCACTTTTCAACTATAGTCAATTTTCTTACCATCTATAAATGGACCATTTTCCATCTGGTAAACCATCTATAATAGGTTAGTCATGTTTAGTCAATTATAGTCAATCAACAGAGGGTAAGCAGCCCAATCTCACTGCCTCTAGTGGCTCTTCTTTTCGCACATCCTGGCATCATGGTCGGCATCTGATCTCTTTTTTATGGCGAGCGTGCGGAATGAATCTCAAGAAAAAACGTAAGAGAAGTGGACTATAGAACCACTCATTTAAGCTACTGGGATACAATCTGGGATATTTCACTAAACCATAATAAACCAAGAAAGAACAACTAGAAAAATCACTTTGAAGTGAAAGAGTCTTATTATGTTTTTTTTTGTCAGTTTTTTTCAAGTTTCATGATTTTCATGGCACTCACCCACAGAAAGGGCTCATTCACCTGATCAACCGCTGAAGTTAGACATGAGGATGGATCAAGTTACCTATGGCCATTCCAGGAACCGATTGAAAAAGGAGGTACCGATTCCATATATTTTTGGCCTATGTATGTAAGGCCTATGTTTCAGGGAATATCCCCTTAAAAAATATGGCCAGAAATATAGTACGTTTACGTACCTCCATTTTAGGATCCTGAAATTCCCATTGAATTTTTACACTAGTTATTTTGGCCTGAAAACCAGGGTACCAGGGTAATGGTTTTGACCCATAGCCGCCATATGGCTCAGTATGGCTAATCTTCGACACCCAAAGAAAGACATGAGCTGCTCAATTCGTCAAATGTCCCGTTACTGCAAAACAACAACTCTAGTCCTAGCCTACCATTCATCAAGGTTTGTCTAGAGAAGCAAAGTTCGAATCTAGTTACGCACCCTACGGTAATTTCATAATAGCTATAGAACATTACCATTTTTATATTACGGTACCCTCTATAAATGGGCAGGCCGGTCCATTGCTACGTTAGACCAGAGGGCTCTCCGAACATCATGGGGATTGAACGTTCCCAAGTTGGGGAATTGTCCATTGCCACCTTTGATGACACCCCTCCGGGTAATCCCGAACAAAAAAAAATCAACCAACTGTTGGGCGTCTTGCAGCCATTTCAACCATATATATATATATACCCTCTGGTTATTTAAGATAGCCATGGAAAATCACCATTTCTACTAGGTAAACCCAGGTAAACCATCTATAAATGGGCAATTTTCCATGGCTATGTTAAATAACCAGAGGGTATATATATATATAAATCATTATATATATATATATCCATATATCTGAATCTGTTCATCCTGAGTTTCCAGATCATCACATTTTTCCACAAAGAAACACGTGGCGGAAAATCAACAGGAACCAGTGAACAAAAAATGGTCTTGATGTGGCGTTTGGTAGAGATAATCATGGAATGAGTTCCTAGGATATAAATGGATTTACCATTAATATATCAAACATTAACAAAAACACTGGGATGTCCCTTCACAAATGGAACTCGCGATGGGGAAAACAACTACAGGATTGGGCCCCCGTAAACGATAGCGCTCAGTTGAGATCTGGCTGTGGCTGATTCTATGGTTTATGGTAGATATCACTATAGTTAATGGGGTTTATAGTTTATAGTTTACCATAAACTATAGTAGTTATAAACCCCATTAACTATAGTGATATCTACCATAAACCGGTAGTTTATAACTATAGTTATGGTAGATATCACTATAGTTAATGGTAGATTCACATAACTGGGGGGACCATCCTGTAGAAGAGCTCGTTTTTCATGCCATGTTCCTGCTCCCGGCCCCGACTCTGATGTGGCCATTCTTAGAGCTGCTCGAGACATCGTCGCCACAGGACTTTTTGCCCCAGAAGATCCTACCAGGATGTCTTTTGGAGCTGGAACTGCTGGGAGCCATAAGATATCTAAATTGTGTTTTAAGCATGAAACATGGAGATTTCATGACGATTTGATGGGATATACAGTGATGAATACGTCTAAAATCTCTCTACATATCTCTACTAGATGGCGCCCCGCGCTGAAATTTGTTGGGGTATAAACCTCGATAATAATATTATAGATTTATTCTACCATAAACCCGAGTTGACATAGTGAACCAAACCAACTTAGCTATCTAGCGGGCCCCAACTTGCATATTTACCCACCTGAAACAGCAGATATTTAACCAACTGAAATCGCATATATTTACCCAATTGTTCTTTGCGTTTTTAGATGTTTGGTAACTATATCTAAATATACGGATTTAGACATACACGAACTGGTATTTTAGACTACCTCCGGAAAGGTTTTCCTCGGCCTGCCCGGATACGGAATCCAATTTATTCAAACATATATTGAAAATCATTTAAATATACGGATGGAACTAGTGTTTCATACTACCTCCTTTTGGCCTTGTGGTCTGGCCCTCCACATAAGAGATGCACTGGATTGATTTCAGGGAATCTATTTACCCTTCAGAAATCAAACATGGGAATGGAAAATCCTACATTCTTAGTGCTTTTTTTGTTCCCATTAAAACAAAAATTTAGAGGGGATTTCCTGTTTGTGTACCGGATTGTATTTAGAGGAAAACATGTTGCTCACCTGAAATTCCGAGCAAAATCTTGTCTTGGACGGGTTTCCAGTCAGGGTTTCCATACAAAGAATGTCCTCCAGTCAGCTGGTTCCTTCAGCGACAACTTCTTACGCAGGGAATCTACGGCTTACGGCCGTGCCAAAATGAAGAATGCATGTTATCATCATATGGAGATGGGTCATCTATGGTCACCGAACTGAGTACCATATTTGGGGGAATAAACACACATTACCATCTGGTAATTTAACATAGCTATTGAAAATGGCCATTTATAGTGAATTGTCCCATAAAACATGGTGATGTTCCATAGCTATGTTAGTTTACCAGAGGGTAACCGTTAACCAGCTATTTTAGTGTATCATTTGGGTACCAGGGTGGTCAAAACCCATCCCCATATCCGTTTCCTGGTGGAACCTGAAACATGAAACATGCTCCAATCCCATTCAAGACTCTACTGGTTGCCTGATACGAATCCCCAGCAATCCCCTAAGCAGTTTTTTCTTTTTTGTTACCATCGTATAATAACCCATCAACCATCATTGATCACACATGTTTGAGATTTACCCCATACAGTTCGCTATAACCATCAAACAGCCAATCAAAAAAATGGGGTTATGAGTTCTATCCCATATTATCGCACATCTCATGATTGGAACTAAAAATGATTGTTAAGTCATGTTAAATCAACACATCAACCAATCAACCAACACATCAACTCTCTCCCAATATTTGGCGCTAAGTTCATGGCTCACCTGAAAATCATGGCTGAGACCACCAGCGCTAATATGATGGTGACCATTCATGTTATTATATTATACTTATATTTGTATCTCATATAAAATATATCCAATCCCATCTGCTTATAGCATCCCACTATGATATTTAATCCCAGAATATAGTTGTACATTTATATTTATATTGCTTTAAAAATCCACTAGTTATAGTTACAGTATATTCCCAATAAACCCAACAGTTTATCAATTGATTTCTTTTTTCGCCAACTTAGCTATCGAAAACAGGCCTCACCTTAGCTATCGAACGATCCCTTCAGGATGGTGCCCCCTAGTTATGTAAGTTGGTTTATAACCCTATGAAAATTTAACATAGCTATTGGATGGAAATTGCCATTTATAGTCGATTTACCTTTTAAAAATGGTGATTTTCCAGTTCGCTATGTTAATTTACCAGAGGGTAACTATAGTTATATCTATCTATCTAATCAACCATAGAAATCAGCCACAGCCATATCTCAACTGAACGCACGCTATCTTCTTCGGGGGCCCCATCCTGTACCCTCTGGTAAATTAAGAGTTTTATAGTTGATAAAAACCGTAATTAAATTTTAAAAAATGGTGGATTTTCCATGAGTAGTTATCCCAGCATATTCCTATGATATGTCCAAGATTCTCCTGTGAAAACAACATCGCCAGTCCTATATTTCTCGATTTTCTCCTCTGATTTTGCGGGAGTCACGGTCACCTTGACCTGGCGATTTTTTTTTTGCGCCAAAAAACAAGGCATTCGGAACGAGCCGGGCGGGCCGCGCTTTCGACCGCTCGGATCTGACAGGTCTTTTTTGGAGAATATATGGTGGATATATATATATATATATAACTATATATTATATATATATATATTATATATATATATTATATTATATATATGTAATATTGTATATATATGTAATATGATATATATACACATATCCCATATGCTCCATGGTGCTGGCATATTGACCAACATTTGCCCGAACAAAATCACCCAAAGGTAGGTAAATATACCATACATGGAGCATATGGGTATATATGCAATGTGGTGCCCCCCAATTACCCCCAGTTATAAGTTGGTTTATAAACCCCATTATCCGCAGTTATACGTATAATCAACGATAGTTATTGGACTTATAAACCAACTCAGCTATCTAGGGGGGCCCACATTGTATATGTATATATATATATATATATGCATATGACAAATGGTTTCAAATGGGATAATCATAATCAACATTGAGATTATTATTAACATATATTATATATATATACATACTCAGAATTAGTTTTTTTTTTCAAATCTAGAACGATGATACGGCTGTCATAACCTTGGTCCAATTGCAAGTCCTGATGTCTAGGGTTATGCCATTAAATAGGTGTATATATATATAATATACTTAATTATGTTAATGTATATACGTATATACTTAAATACTGATATATATATATATGTTTAAATTGTTATATGGAAAACATGGATTATAACATATTGCACTGTGGAAACACGTTCACCATGTCGGTCACTTTGTGGGATGATTCAAGTAACGATGCTCCTGGGCAAAGCTGAAGACTTCCTCTACTACTTGGTGGCGAACTACCCACGAATCCTGGTTGTAGGTTAGTTCACTATAGTTAATGGTTTATGGTACAAATAACTACGGTTAATGGGGCTTATAAACACTTAGTTAGTAGGTTAGTGAAAAACCTGGTTTTGTGAAAGTGGGATGTTTGGAGGATTAATCCACTGAAATAACCAGGGTGAACTAACCTAGTTGTTTCAGTGGATCAACCTTACTTCTCCCACTAACAAAAACAGGGTGAACTAAGCAACTTAGGATTCGTGGGTAGTTCGCCACCAAGAACTGTACCCTCCGGTATCATCAAATGTAGCAGAACGATGGGAAATCTCGAACGATTCATGGAGGTTTCAAGGGAAATTCGGGCCGAACGTTTGCTGGTGGATTTTCCCGCAAGCTACGTTTGTAAAAACTGGAGGGTACATGATAGTTGCAAGGTGGTGTCTCAGTTCGTGAACGCGAAGTTGGTGGAACATGGTCGAACTCTGTTGATTCTATCTGATGAAAATAAATCAGAGACAATAATGTGGTGCCCCATAGTCAGCTAAGTTGGTTTGTAACTCCAATAACTTGGGTTTATGGCAAATATACCGAACTACTTACTGGGGGTTATAAACCACCTGCACATCACTGGGGGGGCACCCCTTTGAAGGTGGTGACCAGCTTCATCTTTGTTGGTGAACCCCCCCCATTGAATGCTACAGATATATCCAACATAAAATCTACAAAAAAACAGATCCTCCCACTTAGTAAGTGCATGGTAACCATGATTGTAGTCAGACCCCGATTCGTGGGTTATCCATATTCATCCCATATACTTACAAATGGGTTATAACTATAACTATACTAGTTCGTTATTTGCGTATCATAAGCCATGGTTATTGGAGCTATGTTCACCAACTGAACGCCACATTGTAATGATCCCATATACAAATGGTTTATAACTTGTTATAACTATATTAACTCACCAGTTGCTAAGTGGGATGATCCTCCAAGTAGGGGACACTGGCCTTGATTTCCAGAGGTTGGATTCTCAGAGCTGAGTTGTCAGTTGGATCAGTTGTCAGTGAAAATCACCAACATTCAATGGGAATTATCATCCAAGTATTATGGTATTATTCATGAACCATTGTTTAATATTAAATAGTGTTATCCCATTAGTTCAATGGGAATAAACAAGGATCCTAAATGGAGGTACGTTAGTATCATATTTCTGGCCATATCTTGTGGGGATATCCCCTTACATAGGCCTAAACAATAGGCCTTATGTATGGTAGGTACCTCCAATTTATATAAGGTTAAATCACCAACATGGTGAAATCACCATTTATCATGGCTAATTCCCCATTTTCTTTCGGTCAATGGGTGCTCCACCATTAAGTAGTTCCACATATCTACGATACAAGCAAGTGATTTCTGAAGTCATGGGGGTACCCCCAGTAATCATAAATTTTATAGATGTGATTTTCCATGAAACCAACCATCCAGCGAGCTTCGGGTACCCCCGATTGATGGAAACCCCCGTGACATCGTCGCATCGCGCGGCGCACCTTGGCCTGCTTTGGCTCAGGGTTCTCATCTACAGTGACCTGCACCTCAGAGGAGGCGAAGGTTGAAACATTACATATGTATATATGTATATATGTATATATGTATATATTTATATATGTATATATTAGCTACGGCCTATAGGCCTCTGTTAGTCTGGCCCCTCAAAACGAAGGCAACAGGCACTGGCAATGAGTCGACGGTAGGACAACCAAATGACGACAGCAATGTATCGGCACGCCAACGGCAAGGCAATTAAAGGGCGACGGCATGGCAACGGCATGGCCACAGCATGGCGACGACATTGCGACGACATGGCGACGACATGGCGACGACTGGCGACGACATGGCGACGACATTGCGACGACATGGCGATGACGTAATGACAACATGGCGCCGGTGCGGCGACGACGACGACGCCAATGGCGGCGAAGCAACGGCGATAACAACAACAAGGGGCAACCTGCCTGCCCCATCTCTTGGCAGAGTGTGATGCTATCTTTGGGTGTGTGTGCGTGTGTGTTTGTTAACGTGTTTTCTCTGCATGATGACTAGTATATATAATACTATATATATATATATATATACGTTGTTTGCTTTTGTGGGTCCTGGAGTATTGATTATTTTGTATTGGGCTTTTGGCTTGCATGCTTTGCACTTTACAACTGGGTTTTGCACACTTTGCATATGTTGTTGCATCCCTGACATGCAGACAACGATTCTTTTTACTAAAGCATGTCAGCAGACAATGCCTATACAAGTCAGATACTCTCAAGTCAGACATGCTTGAGTGTACGGAACAGCCTTTAACGCCAAAGGTTGGCGAAATTGAATGCAAAGAAAAGTGTGCACAAACTTCTGCACGTTCACCGCCAAACTGCCCTTGGGTTTGCTTGAGCTATGCGCCAGCTGAATTTCAAGTAAGTTATACGCTATATAGGTTTTTGTGACACGTTAGATCCCTTGTAAACGCATTTAGTTTGGAACAGGTTCTTACCCATTGACACCTTGTCTTCATCGAATTTGTGAGGACATAGTACCTAGGCTGGCATACTGACAATGAGCAGCTACAACAAACAACCTGAATCTGCTCTGTCCCGCTCTAATCCTACATGATATTTGTTTTTTCGATCAGCGTTTTTTACATAAAATGCATGGACTTGACAACATGATCCACATGTATATCATTGTATATCAATTCCAGTTTTTGCACGTGTCAATCACAGGTCCTGCATCTCCTTTATCTTCACCTCCCCTTTGCACACACGCATGTTGTGAAATATAATGGGCTAGGATGTATGGTACTCTGGTGATTTTTGAAACCTGCGCAGCAATCTAGATGCTATCAATGTCATATCAGCGATGTTCAAAACCCGCTGTTGGTGATTGATTTTGCTCGCCTGTCGGAGCTCTGATCAACAAACCAGTATATTGCAATCAGATTGATCTTGAACACGGCTGATATGAATCGTCTACGTGAACCGATGTTTGGCACACTGAGTGGTGAACAATGGTTAGATTCTTAACAGGATGTCTGGCACAGTGTTTTCGATACAGCTTCGGTGCATTAGCACCCTGTTAACTCATTTGGGCCAAGAGCCGGGTGTAAGGAATCATCGCCAGCCCGTGAATCACTGGCAAGTACTTGCAATAAAGAGAGATCAGCTTAGTCACCTTCTTCATGTGCCCCAAAACAATTTCGCTTTCTGCACATTTTGCAAACAGGTGACGGGTTGGGAGCACCAATCAACAAAGTGATAGGTTTATATACATGTTATTTTGCCTAAGAAAAGTACCACGGCCAAGGTCACCAAACGGGCGCGCTATTGAATATGGTTGGGATTTTGCTTCAAAATGAGTATTGCGCTGTTCTACTCAGATATTCTTCCCCAAGCCCAGCTCTAATTATGAAAATCTACTCCGGTAATAAACGTATTTTTTGTATAGGCACCGCATGCTGACCCATGACAAGGTGATATTTCATAGGTGAAGCTTGGGCAGAGGTGCTACGTCAAGAACTCTCAAGCCAGACATGCTCAAATACACGGTCGAGCCTTTCACACCAGAGGTTGATGAACTTGAATGCAAAAGCTTGCAAGGAACCCATCGTTTTTGCATTCTCCTTGCGTTCAGTTTGTTTGAATTCTGCGCTTGCTAGGTATCAATGATATCAATGTCAAGCACTACAACTTTGCACGCTAGATGCATGGTCGCAGGTTGAACCTGGAAAGGTTTCTAGGAAGTCATGTAAATATACAACAGGTAGTCCCAGTTTCATCTTGAAAATTTGGGCATATAGTATCTACATCGTCAACAGCGCAGGTTATGTAATGTAGTACCGCATTCAAAACTAAGGAATCTGGTTCACCCACTGTTTTCTGAAAAAAAGGGCTCACATGCTGATAATGCGTCATACCCTGTGCAAGCACATGTCCAACGTGTTTCTTCATCTAAAACCAGTTCACACACACAGATCTCGCGAAATACAACGGACGTAATGCGCAGGAATTGCCAGAATCAAGCGAGCAAGTGGTTGAAATATTTGGTACAACCGGCGATAATTGTGAAGGAAAAAAGCAATCAACTTTTCTTTCTTTGAATAAGTGTAGCGTAGATTCTCCTCCTCTAGATGCAAATTGGAACCGAAAATCCAAACGTACAGCGGGACTGGGGAAGAACCCCGCGGAGCGGCTTCCTACAAAGGGGGGACGTATAGGAAGGGGTTTCAAAAGCCACATAAACAGGAAACATGTTTTTCCACACCCCTAGCTGCAGACAAGAGGGGTTCATCTCCGGACAGGGCGGGGGATCAAAAAGAGAATAAACCATTTGTTCCCTGCATTGTCCGGCGAATTCATCCCCCCTGCCTGGAGACGGAATATATTGATGCACAGAAACATCAAAGAACCCCGAATTGAGATTCACTACGTTTGTCCAAGTTGTGACTTTAGCAACATGAGAGTTCATGCGGTGTCAAAAACAAACTGCTGTTGTTTCAAGCCCATTGATCGAACACAATTCAAGTTGAATGCTGCCAGCACCGGAAACAAACACCCATTTAACGTCACTTCTCTTTTCCTTTTTTGATCACATACACAGTGCCGATTTGCATCTTCCCAAGGTCACACGCGCTTGGTTCTTGAAACGAATCAAGGCCCATTCGATGACTGCATTGGAAGGCCATAGCGGTCATTTCAAATCACACCAATCATATAGGGCAGCTGCATGACGACGACCTTGCAACAACACGGCAAGCAGCGCGGTGTCATCATCAAAAAAACATGTTTTTATTTGCCTGTGCGTCGGCACGATTTTGGGTCTTTGGTGGAAGGTGACACTCTGTGAGCAGGGGTTGCGTTTTGCTTGCAAATGCGATGATCCATGGATTTCGTGTCGCCGTGTTACTTTTTTGGTTTCTGCGACATGATGATAGGACCAGGAAGAGATTTCAAATTGAAGGATATTTCCATCGTCATGTCATTGTCCCTTCATTGTCAAAATTGTAAAAAATGTCGTCGTCGTGTGGTCGTCACATTGCCACCACATTGCCACCACATCGCCGCCACATCGCCGCCACATCGCCGCCACATCGCCGCCACATCGCCGCCACATTGCCGCCGCCGCGCCGCCACATCGCCGCCACATCGCCGCCACATTGCCGCCACATTGCCGCCACATTGCCGCCACATTGCCGCCACCTCGCCGCCACAGCTGCCACAGGACCTTATTTCTGCCAATAAGGTCTTGTTTTCCAGTTTTTGCACGTGTCAATCACAGGTCCTGTATCTCCTTTATCTTCACCTCCCCTTTGCAAACACGCACGTTGTGAAATACCATGAGTCCAGCGTGCATCCTAGCCATGCTTGAAACGTGCGCATCAATCTAGATGCTGCAATCAATGTCAAATCAGCGATGTTCAAGACCCTCTGTTGTTTGAAGATTGCAGGCGGCTTTACCAGCCAGTGTATTGGGGACTACCAAGGCACCTCTATCAACCAACCAGCATACTGCAACCAGATGGGCCTCGAACACCGCTGATGTGAATCGTCTACATGAATCGATGTTTGGCACATTTTGGCACCCTGTATGGTAAACAACAGCTAATTTTTTAAACAGGATGTCTGCAATGAGAAAGGAAGACACGCAAGATAGGTTTCTATTATAGTTCCGGGCTGTTAACCTTTTCGGGCCAACTGCAAGGAATCATTGCCAGACTGTGAATCACTGCCAAATAAGCTCAGTCACCATCTTCATGTGCCCTAAAGCAAGTTTCTTGTCAGCAAAATGTGCAAAACGGGTGACCGGTTGGGAACACCAATCAACAAAGTGGTAGGTTTAATTAGGTTTTATATACATGTTATTTTTCCTAAGAGAGAGTACCAAGACTAAGGTCACCAAACGGGCGCGCTATTGAATATGGTTGGGATTTTGCTTCAAAACGAGTATTGCGCTGTTCTACTCAGATATTCTTCCCCAAGCCCAGCTCTAACTATGAAAATCTACTCCGGTAATAAACGTATTTTTTGTATAGGCACCGCATGCTGACACATGACAAGGTGATATTTCATAGGTGAAGCTTGGCAGAGGTGCTACGTCAAGAACTCTCAAGCCAGACATGCTCAAATACACGGTCGAGCCTTTCACACCAAAGGTTGATGAGCTTGAATGCCATAACTTGCAAGGACCCCATCGTTTTTGCGTTCTCCTTGTGTTCAATTTGTTTGAATTTTGCGCCGGCTAAAAAATCAATGATATCAATGTCAAGTACTACAACTTGGTACACTAGATGCATGGTCGCAGGTTGAATCTGGAAGGGTTTCTAGGAAGTCTTGTTTAAAAACAATAAAACATGTAGTCACAATGTTCACCCAAAACTACGAGGAATGCTTTTTAGCACATGGCACCTACTTTGTCAACAGCGCGTGGGTTATGTAATGTTGTAACTGTACCACATTCAGAAAAGAAATCTAGCTCACTCACTCTGTGCGGAATAAAATTCATGCACTCACATACTCACATACTCATAATGCGTCATATCCAATGCTTGCACATGTCCCACGCGTTCTCTCTAACCCCAATACACACACACAGACACTGTGAAATTCCATATGGACGCAATGTGCAGGAATTACCAAATCAATATTCAGCGTATTCGAAGAATTTGATACAATCAGCGATCATATTGAAGGAAGGAAAGCCAATCAACTTTTCTTCCTAAACACCTTTGAATCGAAACAAGCTCCAAAGAGTTGAATATAAGTGTAGCCTAGATTCTCCCCTTCTAGATAACAATTGGAACCGAAAATCCAGACGTACAGTGGGACTGGGGAGGAACCCCACGGAACGGCTTCCTACAGAGGCGAGACATATAGGAAGGGGTTTCAAAAACCACATAAAAGGGAAACACTTTTTCCGCACCCCTAGCTCCAGACAAAAGGGGTTCATATCCGGACAGGGCGGGGGATAAAAAAACAATAAGCCATTTGTTCCCTGCATTGTCCGGAGAATTCATCCCTCCTGCCTGGGAATATACTTATGCACAGAAACATCAAAGAACCCCGAATTGAGATTTACTAAATTTGTCCAAGTTGTGACTTTAGCAACATGAGAGCTCATGGGCTGTCAAAAAAAACTACTGTTGTCTCAAACCCATTGATCGAACACAATTCAAATTGAATGCTGCCAGAACACGAAACACACCCATTTAGCCTTGCCCGATTCAGAAAGCATGGCGCCCATCTGGGAAACAACATACGAAAAACTGATTTGGTTGTGACAAACACGCTTCGGCATCATCAAACCATAGCCATATGTATATCATTGTATATCTATGTCTACACCATACCCTATATAACCCTGTCTCGTGATCATTGCCGTCGTCCTCGTCATTGCCGTCATCGTCGTTCTCACCGTCGTCGTTGTCGTCCTGGCCACGTCGCCATGTCGTCGTCATGTCGTCGCCATGTCGTCGCCATGTCGTCGCCATGTCGTCGCCATGTCGTCGCCATGTCGTCGCCATGTGATCGCCGTGTCGTCGCCATGTCGTCGCAATGCCGTCGCCAAGCCGTCGCCATGTGGTCGCCGTGTCGTCGCCATGTCGTCGCAATGCCGTCGCGATGCTGTCACCATGCCATGGGCATGTCGTCGTCATGCCGTCGCCATTTGCACCAACTAAGCTTGCCACAGACCCCCTGGTACATACTAGAAACCTCTGCCCACAGGCTTCTAGAATCTAGATAATGTATATATGTATATATGTATATATATATATATATGTATATATGTATATATGTATATATGCATATATGTATATATGTACATATATATGTACACATGCATACATGGATATATGGATATGTGGATGTATGGATATATGTAAATACGTAAATAAGCATATATGCAAATATGTATGTATGTCTGTCTGTCTATCTGTCTGTCTGTCTGTCTGTATGTATCCATGTATGTATGTATGTATGCATGCGTGTATGCTTGTATGTGTGTATGTATATGTGTATGTGTGTATGAGTAAATGTGTGTATGTGTGTATGTGTGTTTGTGTATGCATGCATGCATGCATGCATGCATGCATGCATGTATGTATGTATGTATGTAGGGATGTATGGATGTATGTATGTATGGATGTAGGTATGTAGGTATGTAGGTATGTAGGTATGTAGGTATGTAGGTATGTAGGTATGTAGGTATGTAGGTATGTAGGTATGTACGTAGGTACGTAGGTACGTAGGTACGTAGGTAGGTAGGTATGTAGGTATGTAGGTATGTAGGTATGTAGGTATGTAGGTATGTAGGTATGTAGGTATGTATGTATGTATGTAGGTATGTAGGTAAGTAGATATGTAGGTATGTAGGTATGTAGGTATGTAGGTATGTATGTAATGTTGACCTATGATTTGTAAATGCCCCCTGAATAAAGCTAAATTTTCCCAAAATAAATAATAAATGCCCCCTAAATAAAGCTAATTTTTTTTGGCCCTAAAAGATTTGCCCAGATGGGGCTGAAAAAAAATCCATGCCTTATTTGAGGTGGCTTTCATGTACTAATTCATATTGCCAGCTCATTAGATCTTACCTTGATAACTTCAAATTTTCAAAAATAATGGTTGCTCTTTTCTATTCAAAAACTTTTATTCAAAATTATCCAAAATCAATCCCAAATCAACTTGTCAAGGGTACCCCCCATGAGGTGCCTTGGCACTAATTAGAGTTTGACCCTGAATAAAGCTAATTGTTTTTGGCCCTAAACCAAGATTTGCCCAGATCCATGACATGAATACTAAATCAATACTAAATCCATGACATGAATACGAGATCAATACTAAATCCATGACATGAGTACTAGATCAATACTAAATCCATAACATGAATACTAAATCAATACTAAATTCATGATATGAATACTAGATCAATACTGAATCCATGACATGAATACTAAATCAATACTAAATCCATGACATGAATACTAAATCAATACTAAATCCATGACATGAGTACTAGATCAATACTAAAACAATTGCTGGATTCCTTTTTTTTTTGAAATTGCATTTTTATGTATTCGTTTTCAATTGTGGTAATTTAAAACCTTTACATACAAACAAGTTTTATGGTGGCCTTAAGTCTATTTAGGGTCAGAGAGGGGGGGGGGGGCCATTTATAAATCAAGGGCAAACATTATGTATGTACGAATGTACGAATGTATGAATGTATGAATGTATGAATGTATGAATGTATGAATGTATGAATGAATGTATGAATGTATGAATGTATGTACGTATGTACGTATGTACGTACGTATAAACGTATAAACGTATAAACATACGAAGTTACGAACATATGAATGTATGTTATAATATGTTATGATATGTGTTGGTATGTTATGCTATGTTATACTATGTTATGTTATGTTGAGATATGTTATGGTATGTATGGATGCATGTATATGTATATGTACAGAGATCTCATATCTATATAAATAATACACATATATATATATACATTATATAATCTATAAAGTTCAAAAATATTGATATCACATGTGTATATATAGTATTGTATAGACCCAGGTACACACACATATAATATATATATATATATACAGCACATAGACCAAACATACAATTCAGACACCATGGGTGCGAAACAAATAACACACACACATTCCAGCCAGGGTAATTCAAATATAGTAGTGGAATATGAGCCAGTATGGGTTGTCTGAATATAAGGTAGCCACCAAATGTAATGGTTGTCATTATTTTCCTATAAACGTTGCAAATTTGGGAGTACCCGATTAAACTCCTGTTGTAATCCTGTCATACTAAGTTATGAAAACAGTAGATGTATTACGGGGGAACAAAATCCCATGAACACTGGGATGGGATGGATATACACATGGGGAGGTCATAATCTAATATCGCCATACTTGGGGAATAACCATCCGTTAACCCGCGATTTTAGGGATTTTTAGGGTACTGTACCTAGGGTGTCAGGGTTTTGACTCATACCTAAATCATGCCATATGTATACTCCAAGTATCCATCCTGCTGAATAAGGCCTAAATTTAACTATTCAACACCAATCCAACAAACATTCATGGCTATTGGGCCACCCCCCTCCAGTTCGAAAATCCACCAATAATAGATGGTTAAGATTAGACGGTTAAGATTCGCCTGTGTAAACATGGTTGTCAGTGGTTAGTAAAGCCCTCATAATTCCAGCAATTAGTTGTGGGGAGGGTCAGCGATGGCTGAGTACCCATTACTATAATCAGCAATCAAAAATAATTTATGTTTTTTATTTTTTCTCCATACTTTTAATCGTTAAGACTCCATGAATACTTGCATTTGCCAATTCGAGGTCCCCCAAACATGAAACATAGTCCCTATAGATGTCACATTTCTGATTGATATTCCAATCGGAAAATAACACATCAACGGCTAAACAAAGCTAGGCACGGTAGGGTCAACTAACATAGATGTGGAAAAACTATGTTTCCCTAGGAAAATAATCTACAAACGGTTGATGTTCCACATCTATCTTAGTTATAACCCCATGATATTCTATGATATTCTCATGATAACCCTCATCAATGTACAAGTTTTGGTGAAACACTTAATCGCCATTTTAAGAGGGTAACTCATGGCAAAATTTGCCGCTTCTCTCCGAAACTCCAAGAAACTCCTTGGGGACAACTGTCCTCACCACGCGAAACGCATGGCTTGGTCTTGTCCACCACCTGGCAGCGTTGCCGAGTCGATTAACTCAACAGTAAACTGCGGAAACACAGGGTGGTACCCCCCCATGATGTTAGTTGATTTATGAACCCCTATAAAGTAGTTCGATATATGTGCCTATATCTATATATATATATATCTCTATATATATCTATCTATCTATCCTATCCTATCCGATCCTATCCGATCCTATCCTATCCTATCCATCTATCTATCTATTTATCTATCTATCTATCTATCTAGTTATCCATCAATATATCAATTTATTTATCACTCTATCTATTTATCTATCTATCTATCTATCTATCTATCTATCTATCACTCTATCTATCTATCTATCTATCTATCTGTCTATCTATCTAGTTATCCATCAATATATCAATTTATTTATCACTCTATCTATCTATCTATCTATCTATCTATCTATCTATCTATCTATCTATCTATCACTCTATCTATCTATCTATCTGTCTATCTATCTATCTATCTATCTATCTATCACTTTATCTATCTATCTATTTATCTATCTATCTATCTATCACTCTATCTATCTATCTATCTATCTATCTATCTATCTATCTATCTATCTATCTATCTATCTATCTCTCTCTCTCTATCTATCTATCTATCTATCTATCTATCTATCTATCTATCTATCTATCTATCTATCTATCTATCTATATCTCTATCTATCTATCTATCTATCTATCTATCTATCTCTATCTATATATATCTATCTATATCTATCTAAATCCATCTGTCTCTATATATCTCTATCTATCTCTGTCTATCTATCTCTATCTATCTATATCTATCTATCTCTATCTATATCTATTTGTCTCTATCTCTCTATCTATCTATCTATCTATCTATCTATCTATCTATCTATCTATCTATCCACTTGTAACTAGCTGGTTGGTAGCCATGATAAATGGGGGTGTCTGGAAATGGGATATACGCCAACAATGGTACTTTTAATAGAGAAAATGATGATTAACCAATGCTGGTTGGTGGTTTGGAACATGACTTTTATGACTTTCCATATATTGGGAACAATACTCCCAACTGACGAACTCCATCATTTTTCAGAGGGGTAGGTACACCACCAACAAGCCACTAAGTGGGATGAGCCATCAAGCAAGAATACTGTAGGTGAGGCTCCTCAACGTGATGTTTGTTTGTTGGTTTATAAATCAATGGGAATTTCAGGATCCGATTTTTTGAGGTACCTACCATGGAATATCCCAACAAAATATGATCTTATATGGTGCTAAAGTACCTCCATTATAGGATCCTGAAATTCCCATTGAATAAACCCCATGAACTAGTTGGTTACATCTACCATAATCCATGCTTAGTCAATTGAACCTTGCGTCAACTTAGCTATCGTTTGGGGGCCCACCTTCTGGTCACTGTATGAGATTTATAAAGGATGGTGCCCCCCCAGCTGTAAGTTGTTTTTTAAACCCCATTCTGGTAATTTTACATGGCTATCGGCTATTGGAAATGGGCAATTATAGTCCATTTACCTATTAAAAATTCTGATTTTCCATAGCTATTACTATAAGGTAACTATAGTTATATCTACCTAATCAACCATAGTTAAGTTCATTCAGCCACAGCCATGTCTCAACTGAACGCTCGCTATCTGCTTCGGGGTTCCCATCCTGTCGAGATGTCTCCACATGCTAAGAAATGTTCTCAGCTGATAAGCCTTGGTTGTCTTGGTTTGGGTCCAAATCTGGCGTTTTTTTTGCTCAGAAGATTCCCCAAATGATATTCAATGGTAATATAATCTGGAGAGAAATGGATATAATGGAAATATCACTGGGATAGAGGTGGATATAGTAGTAATATCGTTGGGATAAACACTAATTGATATAATCATAGAAAAGGAAATGATGGTAGTATCATTGGGATAGAAATGGAATAGTTGGGGAAGAAATGTATATAATGGTAATATCATGGGATAGAAATGGATATAACGGTCATATCATTGGGATAGAAATGTAATATAATGATGTTAATATTATTGGGATAGAATGTGGTTATAATATGTTTTAATGATGGGATATGTACAGTAACCAACCAAAAGAGGGAGCTTTGCTGGCAATAAATTGGTGCCAGAACCCAATTTTCAAACACACGCGCTTTTTGTATCAATCCTGCATTTATGAACTTTGGTCAGAACAGATATGTTGTCCCCAAATAAAGAGCTGGGGGTCAACACGAATCCTGACTCATTTTCTTTTCCGTCTGGGCTTGGTACGTGAAAAGGTAAGAGGTCCATATGCGATGGACCATGGGCCATGGAATTAACCATTATCAACCCATGATTATATAACCATTACTAGCCACTATCAACCACTATTGTTTTATTTGAAATCACGGTACCCCTCACATTTTCTCATCCAAAACTTCCCTATTGAAATGGCCACCAGCTGGTGGTATACCTCATGTTCAGACACGGCCACATGTCATGTTGGATATATTCCCATTATATACCCATTCCGAGCCATTATTAAACTTGTTAACTCACCATTTTGGTTGGCTAAATCCAATTCAAATCCAATATTATATATATATATATATATAAATCCCGATTACAGTATCCATCACTTTCTTAGCTAAAAACAAAATGCTTGTATATCTTCACATGATATATATATATATACATATATATATACAAATGATATATATATAATATAGATATGATATGTGTATATATATATATATGTATAGTATACAATATCAATATCAAGGTATAAAACAACTACAAACCCGTCATTTTATCACAGCGCAGCACTGTCCAGAACGTCTTCAAGATCCTCGCCTGAAAGCTCACCGGCGAGGGGAGCTCTCCAAAGTCATTCCTGATGAAAAGGATTCAATGGAAATGCCAAACCAACAAGCAGGGATAGTATATATATATATATATAAATAAGTGGTAAATGTATGGTCAATATATGGTAAATTTCATGGAGCGTTCACCCAATAGTTAACTGGTTGGTGGTGTACCTACCCCAATATATGGAAAGTCATAAAAAATGTTCCAAACCACCAACCAGACAAGTAGAATTGATCACTTACTCCAGAGGACTCCAAAGGGGAAGAGGCAAGAAATGGGACGTTCCTCCAGCCAGATTCACCATGGGAAGATCATCTACAGGATGGTGCCCCTGCGTGATGTTGGTGAACGTAAACCCCATGAATACTAGTTCGTTATATCTACCATACAACCATAGAATTCAGCCAATTAGTTCAAATGGTTGGACTAGATTGGCATTTCAATTGGATTCAATTTGTAATTTCAAAGAATTTAAAAAACTCTGCTCCATTGGATGTTCAAAATCCTCTGTCGTCTCTTCATACTGGGTGGTTCAAGAAAATGTCCCTTAATGAATCTGTGATAATCCCAATTTTCTGATGGGTATAACCCCATATCATCATCAACCAACAAGTGTTTTGAACATTGGGTGCATTCCATACGAAAATAAGCATTTGACCTATGAAGCATGGTGGAAAACATATGGATTTGAGCAAGCTAATTGGATTGTTTTTTGGGGCCTCCATGGTAATTGGTGAAACATGACAGACTTTATCCCGCTTATATCCGTTTGGCAAAAAGCCACGTATTATACAAACTGGGGCTTTCAAGGTCAGGAAAGTTGGTTTAGACAGTTTAGAAGTAGGCTAGTCCTTACACAGGCCTGAAAAATAGGCCTTATATATGGTAAGTCCCTACAATAAATCGGTTTCTGTTGCATGGCCATTGAGCTGGATATCAACGTTCACATCACTGGGGCACCCTGCAGAGCCAGAAACTGCCACAACATCCCCATGGTCGAATGGTACTAAGTTAGTATCTCCATTTTTAGGGCCTCCAAAACTCAACATGACTGTCATAAACATCCAATGGCGAAAATTATCAACTTGTTTCTCCATTCAACATGTTAAACAGTACAATGTGGTGCCCCCCAGTTATAAGTTGGTTTATAACCCCCATTAACTGTAGTTATAAGTATAATAAACATTAACTAACCATATGGACCATACGTAGTTATTGGACTTATAAACCAACTTAGTACGAATGGATCAGTAATTCCACTTTCAAGCTGTGGCTGAGCATGATAGTGGAGGCTGTGGGATTGTCACAAGGTGGCGCCCCCCAGTGATGTTGCTGAACATCACCATGTACTTCGATATATATATATATATATAAACAAATGATTGGAGTTATGTTCACTCACTTGGCGAATAAAATCATTCTAAATCACCATTAAATCCAACGAATTCCCATTAATTCCCACTAAATCCCATTAAATCACCATTTTTCATCACCATTAGATCACAGCTCACGTCACGGGGCACCGTACACTGTTCATCCCTTTAGCTCCGATCCCCACTTTCCCCACTGGTCGAATTGAAATTTATGGAGATTGCTCCAGTTCGCGGCTTGGTCGTTGACCGGCGATACATTAGAAATTCATAGAAAATCATAGAACATTTACAAGCTTCGACAAGATTTCAACAAGGAAAGACATAATGAGCCGTCTGTTTGGATGATCCCGCTTACTAAGCATCGGCGCTTTTCTGGGTGTTTTGAAGGCGCTCTGGAGAATTGTAGCAGACTTGCTTGGTGATTGAGGTTTCCGCCGAAAAAAATGACGGTTGTGAATGATCTAAATTTCAACCGGAAGTACAAATCATTGAAACATATTGAAACTACCAACAACACAATGTGTTGGTTGAACTTGTGCTTGACTCTTTTCGGAACACATTTGACGTTGTTGAACCACCTACCTGATTGCCCAATCTTTTGCTTCCAATGTCAAAGTATGGTACATTATCTGTGGTATGGTCATCCATACCATAATGGGAATCCTCTTGCGTTATGATACACTGGGTATGCATGGGTATGGCAATCCAATGGATTGATGACAGATGACCAAGAACCTTCCCAGAAACTCTGCGCAAGCCACATCCCCAGGTTGCAGCAAGACGGGTAGTCGGGTAGGGTCTGGGAGACGGACTTGGAAAAGGCCAGAAGATGCGTGGCACCATCTGGCGGCCTAGGCACCATTGCACCATTGGGATGATGCCGAGAGAGGAATGGATGATTGGCTTATCAGTAGTCGTGGAGAATTTCTACTCATGGCCAGCCAGATAGCTTGCAAAAATTCAGACAAAAATTCTTAGCTGGTGAAAGTGGATAATCTCATTGATACCAAAAGACTAGTTAGGATTAGTTTCTAGCCATCCAAGATTGACGTAGTAATCAATCAACTCGAACCAATTGGTGGTTCCAGGATGGAAGGCCTACGGGGTGGTGCCCCCCAAGATATGGTTTGTTATCGTTTGTTGGTTTATGTTCGATATATCTATCATCAACCCGCCAGTTACTGGAGTTATGTGGAAACCAACTTAGCCAAGAAACTTGGTGGGTGACATAGCAAACTCATGTGCTTAAAACAAACAACTTTATGGTGACACGCTGGGCTTGAGCTGAGTAAGGTAGCTGGCTTCTTGTTTCGCAACTCTTCCCACCGTTTCGGGCTCCGGAATGTTCCACACTGACCATCAAATGGGAGACCTTTATTACAATGTGGTGCCCCCCAGTTATAAGTTTGTTTATAAACCCCATGAGTACTATAGTTACTTGCGTACAATAAACCATAGTCATTGGACTTATGTTCACCAACTTAGCTATCGAAAACGCGGGGGCCACATTGTATAATTGATGAAATATCCCCAATATCACCATTCTATAGTGGCTGGTGGATTTTTTTCAACGCCTCGAGATACGCCTGCATTGCGGCGAACCTTTAAAAACATCATCATCTGCCCCACCCCAGTGATCAATGGGAATTCCAGGATCCTAAAATGGAGGTACTGTACCATATAAGGCCATATTTTGTAGGGATATTTCCTTATATAGGTCTTACGGAGGCCTTATATATGGTAGGTACCTCCAATCAATCGGTTCCTGAGATGGCCATTTTTCAGTGATGTTTGTTGGTTTATCAACATCCGATTTTTCACGGCGGCCGCCTGCTCATGCAACAAAGCAGAATTGCCGGCTGTGTCTAATCTTCAGTTATGGCCGTTTATGAGTTATAACTGGCTATTTCTATGGGGATATACACTCTATAAATGGGGTTAATTCAGTACTTATATAACTGGTATAACTCGGGCCATAACTGTTCCTGAGCGCTGCAATTTTGACGTCGTTTTTGAAATCCACCTCACCAGAGTTCACGTCCATACAACGTTTCTTGCAGCTATGGCTCGAGTTATACCAGTTATAAGTGGGATATCCATAGTCATATGGTGCAATACCCTCTGGTTATAAGTACTGAACTAACCCAATAGAAATAGAGTGTATAACTGTAAAACCCAATAGAAATAACCAGTTATAACTCGTTTTTACGGCCATAACTGTGCCCTTGGCCTTGAAGGTCCCGCGAGCTTTTCTGTCGCTGGTAAAGAACTTTGGAAGACGGGTATCCCAGTCAACGGGTGGCAATTTCTTCTTCAGAATGATCTGCGGCAAATTCGGAAACGGGGGTGGCCCCGGATATACATACATATGTATACATATATATATATGTAAAAAAAAACATGTCCCTTCATATCCCACTATATTCCCATTGTATTCCCACTATATCCCTATTGTATCTATTAAAAGTATTCAATATCCCATGATGAATATCTATAATTGTCTATTCTTATACATATCCCCATTATATGTCAATACACCTGGCTGAAATTTAAAAAAAAAATGTATATACATAAAGTAATATAGTTTTTTGGGTAGATTATAATATTTCACCAACCTGAAACTTGCGGCCATTTTGGGATGATTCCCCGAATCCTAACCATGATTTTCAATGAGGGAGAACAGTGAGGTCGCTATAATTTACCAAGATAGTTATGTATAGATATATAGGACAGGGATGTTTAAATTATTTAAATCCTTAAGAAACACATAAACTAATCCATCAACATGTATATACATATACCTATATATATATATACGTATATATATATATATACGTATATATGTAAATACGTGTATATAAAAATATAAATACATAATATATATATATGATTATATATATATATGATTATATATGTGTATGTATGTATATAATATCATATATATTATAGATACACCAATTATACACCTATTATTGTTTCTTATTTTATTAGAATTTGGGGAATCTCCGCAAACCTGGGTGGCCGCACTTCTGGGAGGAGAGCCAATACGACACGTCTTTGCCTTCCTGCAGTTATGGCCGTAAAAATGAGTTATCACTGGTTGTTTCTATGGTGTTATACACTCTATAAATGGGGTTAATTCAGTACTTATAAGTGGTAAAGGGTCATAACTGCGGATGAAGAGTCACTGAAGATGAGTTTTAATGGTGTTTTGATGGGCTTTTCATGGTGATGACACATGTTAATCTAATGCTAATTTAATGAACATCATTGGGATTTAATGGGGTCTAGTATGATTTTGTTAATTAAATTGATGAGTATAACTCCAAGTTCACTTTGGCTTATAGAACGAACATATATGGAACTACTTGATAGCGCTTATAAACCAACTAGGATAAAATGGGAATGTATCCGAACACATGGATATTTGGGAGTTTCTGCATACATGGCAACTTTAACCCCAATACGTCTTTTTTGATCTGTGGCGATTTCCGTTAGGCCAATCATGTGATAACTTGGGATCATTGCCACGGCAATGGAGTTACGCTTAAATAATTACCATGTGGGCCCCCCGTTTTCCATAGCTAAGTTGGTGAACATAAGTAACATAAGTCCAATAACTATGGTTTCTGGTAAGTATAACTATATAGTATTCATGGGATTTTAATAAATCAACATTCACATCACCCGGGGGCAGCACATTGTATATATATATATATAACATAGATCCACCAGATTCCACAAAATGGTTGTGGCATCCCGTTGGGAAAATATATCTGGACTGGAGTTTGCTGTAATCCCATGCCCCCGATCAGAGCCGATACTCCGATACAATGTGGTGCGCCCGATTCATTTTTTCTGAGCTGCTGGGAAATCCACCAAAAAATATGGCCAACTTTATGGCCTTTAAACGGGAAAATCATCTACAATATGGTGCCCCAGTTCGGAATCGCTAAGTTAGTGAACATCATTTCAATCACTTGGGCTTATGGTAGATGTACCTATACTTTTCATGGGGCTTATACACCAACGTTCACATCACTGGGGGGGGCACCACCTTGTAGATCCAATACTCAACCAGGATTTTGGTTGTTTCGCTTTTACATCTTTTACTAATTGATATGCCTATATACCCCTCTGAAAAATATGAATTCGTCAGTATGATGACATTCCCAATATATGGAAAAATAAAAACCATGTTCCAAACCACCAACCAGATGTGTATATATATATATATATATTAGGGGCAAAGTACTATATGTACAACAATATTTTCTGGGATGTCTGGTATGTCTTTGCACGAGCTCAAATTGGATCATAGGGTGGATTCGCATCATACCGCCTTTTCTAACATTTCGGTGAAAACTGGGTATACTGTAGTGAGCAATACTGTTTCACAAACATCTGATGCTTTGCTAAAGCAGTCCCAACAAAAGATAGAACTGTAAAAATCAACCGAAGAAGTGCTACATTAAACCTGTTCAAATCGCTTCTATCTCTTTTTTTGGGGGTTCCTATCCACTTTAGTCACGAATATCTGCAGTTCAGCAGCATTTTGGAAGCCGGGCCTCTTTTTTCACAGTGCTAATGAAGGAGTTTTGAGTCGTCTTCCTGGCAATCTGGGACCATGGAGTGGGTTCATTAGTAAATGGTATGAAACCCTGAAATGGGATGACTAGATGAGTTCATGTGAGTTCTATGGTCCATGATTTCTAGGTATTACAAAATACTACAAATATACATATCCGGTTGGTGGTATACCTACCCCTCTGAAAAAATATGAGTTTGTCAGTTGGGATGATGACATTCCCAATATGGAAAAATGTTCCAAACCCCCAACCAGATATAGATGGATAACAATCAAACTTATAACTGTTATAACTATACGGACAGACTTGGGTAATCAAACATGTCTAGTTGGGAAATGTCCGAATGAAGTGGAGGTTTGTAATGCGGAAAATCATCGGGAATTTTCCAGTTAGCTAAGTTGGGCCCCCCAGTTGTAAGTTGGTTTATAACCCCCATGCACTATATCCCCCCATAGACCCAACAGTTAGCCAAGTGAACTTTGCGTCAACTTCGCGAAAAGGGGTGGCCCACCTTCTAGTTTACTCCTCCACATTAGTAGATCCCATTCAATCACCATAGTGGGTTAAACAATATGAATAGATCATATACAATTTACCTATATATATATATTATACATATGCCCAGTTAACCAACCTGCTCAGTTCTGACCGCACCCCACTCCGGTTCTTTCCTGGTCGGAGAACGACCCCAATGCAGCGAATACTCGGAGATCTGTTGCGAGGCGATCTCGGTCGGAGTTGGGAGTTGGGAATGAAAATTTGGAAAAGCTACGACGGTGGTGCCCCCAAGAATAAGATAACTGAAAATGGACCATTTATAGATGATTTACCTGTTATAAACGGTTATTTTCCATAGTTATGTAAACGTTTACCAGAGGGTAATTTTGATTTTCCAAAATGAGGTAAATTCGTATTTAACCTACAGACAATGGGATGTTTAGATAACTATAGATGATTTATATTGGTTTATGATAGCTAATTAGCTAAGTGGGTAGACAGACCTCCAATAAGTGTGGGGTTTATGGTATATTGATCCTGTTAATGGGGGTAATATAATCCAACAAACATAACTAGGGTACCATCTTCTAGCATGTATTGGAGTGGTTTCAGGGAAACTTAGAGGAAATTTGGCGTTCAACAGCAAATAATCATCCAATTCTGAAGAGTATTTAGTCAGCTGAAGGCGGTCCAGGAAATAGTGATATAAGCAATATTGACAAGTGATGACAAATGTGTATTGATTCTGTTTTTTTAATCTCTAGATATCAATGATCTAGCTACAAGTCAAAACCTTGGGACCCTAGGTACCCTAAGATAGCTGATGTTGATTACCCCAAATATGGCAATTTCATAGGTTTCGTTTCGACCCATCCCCATATTGTGTGACCGCAAATGAAGACAGAACACAATCCATAACATCGCTAGTTGGGGTTGGCTCATCCCAGAGATCCGAAGTGGGTCATAACCCGAAAACAAATGCCAAACTACAGTTATGGCCGTAAAAATGAGTTATCACTGGTTATTTCTATGGGGTTTTATACAATCTAAAAATGGGGTTATAAGTACTTATAAGTGGTAAAGGGTCATAACTGTATGCATTATGTGGAGATAACACCAGTTGTACAATTTGGTGCCCCCATGATGTCAGTTGTTTTATAAACCCCTATGAAATAGTTCGATATATCTACTATAAACCCAAGTGAATTATTGGAGTTCTATACTCACCAACTCAGCTAACAAACTGGGGCATCATCTTGTAAATCTTGTAAATTGAATTATAATTTGGTAGACTACAATATTCATGGGGGTTATAGGTTGTAATTATATATGGTTTATACCCTGCAGTAAATTTACATAGACCCTGCCAAATAGGGGTTGGAAGATTGGTTTCCACTTTAAAAAAAAGGATTTTCAGGGTCGAACTGCTAATCTACCAGAGGGTAGTACACCTTATAATTATGGATATCCCACTTATCCGTTATATCATTAAAAAAATCGTATCCCACTGATATTCCCAATGATATTCCCTAATGTTGGTAAATATCCAAAGCATTTGCGATGCCACCGGGCCTTCTCTTCATCTGCTGCTCTAAGAATAGTAATGCGGCCCTTCACCTCAGCCAGGCCAGGTCCGGGCGGGTTCCCTCAGCTCCCTGCCTGGGAAGTCCCTGAGCGAAATGGAAGTTGTATTATCTATAATTGACATAGATATTGATAATTTATATCATCTATATCATCTATATCATTCTATATATATATATATAAGAATGCAAAATAAAAACAATTAAAGGTACAATGGTCAATACCTCTATCTATTTGTATATATACATATCTATCCATCAGCTATCATAAATCACATCTAAATCCCCAGGTTTGATGTTTAAATCACCATGCCCCCTTTTTTCAAAAGGAAATCGCCATTTGCTCCGGGTAATACCCGGGTACTCTCCATTTTGTATATATATATACATATACATCCCCATTACATGCCACTACATACATACTCGGATGTGCATCCCACTTACTAAGTTGGTAATAACCCTAGAATATGCAAGCTGTAGATGGAAATATCACCAGTTCTATGGGCTATATATGGGTTAAAACCAATTTACTATCTGGGATAGTTAAACTGAGATACTTGCCAAAAGATTTCATGTCTAGCGGATTAGCAAATCTTCAAATTAAATAGCAAAAGATTAGACATGATTAATTAAACATAAGTAGTCCCTAGCCATCCAGTTGGTTGACCTAGATACATGGAGTTTTCCCAGATTCCCATATTTTGGTGCTACCCCAAATGGATGATTTGTAGTGGAATATCCTGCAGTTATAGCCGTTGATGAGTTCTAACTGGTTATTTCTATGGGGTTATACACTCTATTTCTATGGTGTTATTTCAGTACTTATAACTGGTATAACTCGGGCCATAAATGTAGATATCCTACTAGCCAATGATATTCCCATGATATTCCCATTCATTTACCATGGTTTTCTATGGGTTTCTATGGGTTTCCTATGGGCTACCCCGATGTCTTCGGCAACCTCCGCCACGATGCACCCCCCAGATAAACCACCGCCAGGCCGAGGGTGTCACCAAGTCTTTCCCGCCATCCTCGTCTTCGAAGCTGAGGCCACTTGGCTTCGCCTACGTCACCGTGACTCGCACAATGTGGGGCCACCCTACATAGCTAAGTTGGTTTATATCCCTGGTTTTGTGAGTGGGATAACTAAATAGGGTTAATCCACTTATAACTACAATGTGGGGCCCCCGTTTTCGATAGCTAAGTTGGTGAACATAATTCCAATTTCGCTTGGGTTTATGGTAGATATACCGAACTACTTAATGGGGGTTATAAAACAACGTTCACATCACTGGGGGGGCACCACCTTGCAACGATCTATTTATGGGAATCTCAACATGCGGTGAACAATTTATGGATAGATAGTGGGAAGACAGTGGGATATCATGTGAATATTTCCACTCTTATCCAGAGATATTTATGAACATTCAATACATGAAATCTACATCCACTATAATGAAATATTTCATGGATTTACTTTGGATATACTTGGAAAACAGTGGGATATACATCATACATTTATGTTATATATATATATATACAATATGTAAATATATATATGTGTGTATATACAAGATATGTGGGGATCCGATGATGATGCTCACAAAATCAGACTATCTGATAATGATATATTTCTAGTAATTATGCATGTGGTTATGTGTAGAATGAAAATGCCTTATCTGAGATAAATATCTACAACAAATATCTAATAGGTAAATACAATGCTAGACAAATATCTGTCTGGCAACTCGAAGTGGGGTGTATAGTCCAAGACAAGTAGTAAGAAAAGATTTCCCTGCTTACCACACCCCCAAAATCCTGGATTCAGGCACTTTTGGGGAAAATCCTGGATTCAGGGGTGTAGTAAGCAAATTCCTGTTTTGTCATCAAACCATCAACAATGAAAACTGCTTACTGCACCCCTGTTGAAACAGGTCGGAAACACATGGAAAACATGTTCAGGAAACAGCCGAAAAAATAATGAAACACACATGTAAAACCACACAAAGAAAAACAACATTGAAAAGAAAAATCATGCCTCACAGAAAAAACAAAGTCTGAAACTTCCAACCCCGAGAAAACCGCACGCTCAAAGCAGGAAGCAGGAAAGATAAACTTAGCATTGACATAACAAGACATTTCTGAGAGAGTGATTAAGTGAGACAGAGAGAAAGAGAGAGGGAGAGAGAGAAAGCAAGAAAGAAAAAAAACAGAATGAAAAACAACAAAACAAACAGAAAGAAAGAAACGCAAAAAAAAACAGAAAGAAAGAAAAACATAAAGAAAGAAAAAAAATAAAGAAAGAACGAAATAAAGAAAGAAAAAAAAGAAACCATGAAAAAACAATTAAATTATTATGATTATGTTATTAACCACCATCAAGCACCATTATCCCATTGTGAATCCCTTATAGCCTCCATTTCATGGTCAATCTTTGGTAAACCACAAACAAAAATGTTGTTTATTACGAAATTTTCTATTTATGGCAAAAATCTAGAGGATTAAACTGGCAAAATCCGCCTTTGGCAAAGCCGCGTCTCTGAGCAACAAGGATCCCGGTGAAGAGTACCTGAAAGGTGCAGCTGCTTAGTGGGAGTTTATGGGGCTATAATGAAATACCATGTGGTTAATCGTGGTTAATTCTTACATAATGGCTGATTAATCGCTTTTTCATGGGATTTAAAGGTATATATTGTGGTTCATAATTAATAATGTTTAATAGTGGGATACTTGGCATAATTCTATATGATTATATACTTGGAGGATCACCCCACTATAGTATAGTTCAGCTTTAGTACGACATTTTTGGGCTATCCTGCATATAAATGGGTGAACTAAGTGCAGTTACACGCTGACAACATCGTTTGCCCAAGAATACAAAGGCCACAACATGCACATATATCATCACGATAACTATCAATACATGTTGATCTGCATAACATCATCATATGTGCTGGGATATTGGTCATACCATATGGATTAAAATGCAGATGCATGGAAATTGTGCCATGATTGGATACATATAGTACCATGTGGGGTCTCTGTTCTGTTTTAACAACCAACTAATTAATCGTGCTGATTCAATGTTCATCCATATCTGAAGTTCATGGCAACATTGACACTTCGTCGTGCCGCAGAAACATACAGTTGCGGCCCAAAGGGAATGAAGGCTTGGCAGAGCGGGCCCGTCTCACCCGCGCAGCGGTGGGATTGCGCCGAGAAGTTCAGTGGGTCAGGACGGTAGCCCAGAATATTCACGAAAACACTAAGAGATGCTACAACAAAATACCTGTATGATTATAAGGTTATCATTTTCCCCATGACCCCTGAAAGATACATATCATTACCATTTAGGTTGGGGGGGTTGGGGGGGTATCCTGCTCCCCTGCGCCGAAGTGGCATTCACAAGGATGGGCCGGTCTCTTCGTATCTCCATGTCTTTCCCTGGGTCGGCCAGCACCCAGGGGAGGATCATTCAGGCCTATTTGCCTGTGCAAGTGCTGAAAAGGGGACACTGAGTTTATCCACCCCACTGGTATCACTTGTGAAGCCAGCCACACTTGACTGACATCAGGTTTTCCCAGGGCCCACCCTGGAACAGGCCAACAAATCGCCATGAGTCCTCGCCGCTGAGGCGGCAGTGCCCAAGCGTAAAATGCAGCTTTTTGATCGCCCCCGACCATAGCAACGCTGAAACTTCAGGCATTTGGACCCGTGCCCATTGGCTTGGAATGGCGAACGTTTCCACTTCACCACTCCTGAGACGCTGCAGGGAGTTGGATGGTACAAGGTTCATTATTGACTGGGTTACTCGTTTTTCACCTGCTGCAGGGGTACCTGTCTTTTCAACTGAGATTAAGGACTGGTTCACCTTTTACTTTAAAACTATCTGAATAATCAATGGGGCAAAGGATATTTCTTTGAACGAGGGTTACCGCGACGTCGATCCGTTCATCTTTAGAACCATTCATACATGGCTGGGGTAAAGGACTAGGCGATTTATCTTCTGCCAGCAACGCGGATCTCTCAGCCACCGCTGAAAATCCACCCCCGCCGGTGCTGCATCCAGCTGGCCAGGGCATCCAGAAGGGCAAGGGAACGCCTAGGCGCAGAGGCAGAACATGGGAGACTTCTTCACCACAGTGATCGATACCCAAAGGTTTTCACCAGCTCGACAAAATTCACTGGACCAAGGGGTTCTTCGGGATGTTCACGAAAATAGTGGCAAACCTTACCGATGTGGTTAAGGCAATCCTTTTGACCTTCAGTGTAAACTTCCCAACAGTCAAAGAGCGGACCAACCCAGTTCAAAAGCTGTCCATTGAGAACACAGATACAGTTGAAACGCCAAATCTGCGAACACGCGGACAACACAAGTTTCTGTCTCTGTTGTTTATGCATGCTTTTCAGGCAGGATTCATCAAAAACACGGAGACCTGAACTTAAGCTTTTTGTCATTCTCAGGAACTTGATTGTCGCTCCCACTGCCGGAAGAGGCATCGGTAGCACATCCCTCTGCCGGCAGCTTGGCATGACAAAGCTCTTCAAAATGGGGCCTCTCTCGGCATCGAAAGTAGGAGCTGCATGGAGGTCATTCCAAGTTGCAAACAGTGACGAATACCTGAACCATGACTATAGTGTCAAACTGCTTGAAAACATGCATTAGATCATATTAGATCACTTATACGTTTTTTTTTGAATAAACATCAACTCCCGCAGCTGATTAAACAACACCGGACCTTGATCTTTACAGTGTACAGGTTTGTCCGGGCTCGGGGAGAACCCTGGCCATGACCAGGGAAGAAGCACGTCGCTTCATGCCTTGCCATGTTTCTTCCTGCCAACCTTGGACTTTGCACAGGCTTCTGCAGTGTGTCCAAGCTGCTTTCTGCATCTCCTGGTGCTGTAGTGTTTAGCCCAGCAGGTCTCACAAGGTCCTGATGCCATTCTTTTTTGAACAGCTTTGGGCAAGACGGCATTTTCCTTGAAGCGACCTTTTCCCAAGCACGCCGCCATGCAAATGTACTCCGGGGCTACACGCACACCATGCCCTCTTTGCTGTAATGAAGTCGCTGGATGCCAGCCGTCCGTGCACGTGCCAAAGCAAGCACTCTGAAACTCCACTCTCTGTTGTATTGGGAGTTCTTGGCGGTGCTTTTTAGTTGACACACCGCGTGCTCACTCAAGGCTTTCAGCACAAGGGTCTGAGCCTGCTTGTATGACGCAAGGCTGGAAACTTGGGGTAGCGAGTTCAGAGTCTGATGCATGTTCAGGAAGCCTTGGATTGCCCTGCGAGCAACCAATGACAGCTTTGGAAGAACACGAAAAAGCTGTGCACCGGCTCCTAGTTTGAGGGAGCCGCCGAGCTGGACGACATGGAGCTTCTGCAGGTAAACGGAAAGGCCGTGGATTTTGAGGGGGCCTTTGATGTCATCGATCTGGGAGCGAAGCACAGCGCAACTTGAACTGCCATCTGTAAACCTCAGAGCTGTGTTGCGTAAGGCCGTCCAAATGCGTTTAGCTTCATCGGTCATGCGCACTTTGCTATATTCTTCCCAGAAGGCCTTCCTCGCAATGGGGAATTTTAAGCCAATCAGAATCAAAAGACAGCCCAGGGAGTTCTGAAAGGCCGCACGCACGCGGATGAATTGCGACAAGAATGGTGGTGCATCAAACATACTGCAAATAGCACGCATGTGTGATGGTTTAGCTCCGAAGTGCTGTAAATACCAGGAAAACCGGGCCCTGGCCTGGCCTGGGGGGACCATACCATGCGGGGGGTTGCTGGCCGCCGGCCGAGACCATATAAACACATTTTGAATTTTGGTTCTGCGTGACCTATGAACCATAGTCATTCATATTCACTCATGTTCTATCTTCTGTTTTCATGCGCTTTTCCTGATCTGGTCGATGCATGTCAATGCAATCATCATTGTGGGGATACGGTCCATGATGATTGGATCTGCCGCACCGAGATCTTTCAGCACAAACATTTGACTCAAATGACAAAATTACATCAAATGACGGCACATGCATTGTTCAGCATGGTGATGAGTGCTGAGCGTCATGAACTCCAAGAACTGAACATAGCCAAACTATGCACATGATATCACACGATGCAGCCATTTTTCTGGCACCTCGGCTCCTAGGGCTCGCATGATCACTGTCTCATTATCTTCACTGAACTGTTGATGCGACACTTGATTTCTGCTTGGAGCTAAGTTGAGCTGCGACTCTACAAGATTCCTATCCAAACCCGGCCAGTTTGTTATGCAAATGTGATGTCTGACGTCGAAGCTTCTTCCAGGACACATCAGTTTCATCTGCACTCCTGCGCTGAAATGAGGCAAGACTTCCACTTCAGTAAACTTCATCGCACTTGCAGAAGCTGTTCTGAAGGAGCGCGGTCAACAAATCATCAAAGTGATGCTGCATGGTTCTGAGTTCTCCACGGGACAGTCACAAACCTTCGAAGCCTGGTGTATCTGGATCTTGCTGTGAGATTTTCTGCCAGACTCCCATCTGCTTCAATCTTCCTCAATCAGACCACCCTCTAAGATCTGAGATTCTCTCCTCTCCAGGTCTAATGCCAAGCTGATCAAACATCGCATTGATCGATCTTCCATTTTCATGTTGTCAAAGTTGATGCATCTCAGGATCTACCATCTTGATCTCACAGTGTGAGTTAGCGCATGCTTAAAAGTCATGTAAACAGTACATATCACCAAATATAAACGGATCACACTATACCGTCACACATGACATGGCATCTATGCTCAACAAACTTGCCCAGCCAGCTTTCCGGTTGAGCCGACCGATGAAACCGGGGAAGTTCAGACAAAGGACAACCATGAGGATATCCAGGACAAGAACCCTGCTGACGAAGACGGGAAGAACAACGACATCGGGTCTTCCCTACAAATGCTTCTGCTTGGGTTAGAGCTGTCCCCATCTTCATCACCAGCCACTTGTTTTCCCTTAGACGGAACAAGATTAAATGCTCAAACATTCCTTTCCCCGATGAACGTGAAATCAGGTGAAATCTTTGCAACGTCTCGGCGCCGGCGATTTCCCTGGCCTTGGTGTCCATGATGCTTCTGGCCAGGCGCGTGTGTTCTGCTGTTCTGAATTGTGTTGTTCTTTTCGTCTTGTTCTTCTATGAAAGTTTCTTGTCTTGTCTTGCTGTCTTGTTCTAGAACTGGTTCTGTGCTGCCACGCTGTGGGTTAAGACAGTTTTCTGTACCAGGTTTCCCGACAATCATGTGGACGATGGCAATGATAATGATGAAAATCATGATGTATTCTGATGATGAAGAAATGGCAAAAGACGACAGCGCTTTTGATGTCAATGACAGTGATGATGTTCATGATGACAATGAGGATCATGATGATGATGGTGTTTGGCAGCAATGATGTGAAATGCAATATGTTTGAAAACTTCTTCGTCGTCATGAAATGATGTCTATCTGATCTTGTATTGGTTACTAGAGTACAGATCATCACTGTTTTCAGCCGTCTTCATACGTCTGATTTTTCCTGATCAATGCACACAGTGACAATCACAAAACGGCTACGAAACAAAACGGCAGGAGCTTCCGATACCAGCCCATTGCTGGTTCATGCATGCAGGACGCATCTGCACTGAGTTTGGAGATGGCCAACACAGGGATGTTGGCTTGATCAACTTCGGATGCTGTGATGGTGCCGCCACCGTCATGGACGAGGACTCCATGCGTACTGAAAAGACCGATGATGCCGGGCCCATCTATGCTACAGCAGCAGGTATGCCCGCCCGCTACCGCCTACCTGAACCTGAACCGCTACCGCCCATGCATCTTTGGAGTTGCAGCCGCTGCCCCATTTCCAAGGTGATATGCAGGAAACTACGCAGGGGATTGGTGGGTATGAAGAGGAAGCAGAAGAAAATGCAAGCAAAGGACACGAAGAAGAGAACGAAGAAAACCAGGATGAGAAGGTTGAGGAACAAGAGGAGGCTGAGGAAAGTGAGGATCAAGAAAATGAGACTTCCGACGAAACTTAGTGGAATCGGTGGTTGACTCACCGAATGAGTCTGAAGGATTCTTGGGAGATGGGGCGTTTTGACTGAAAGTGAGGAGGATGAGGGGAGAAGGTCGCGATCAGAACCCGATGCAAAAAAAAACCGAGCCAAAGAACCAGGCAACCTCCTCTTTGGCAGAGGAGGTGCATGAATCAGAACTAGTTTCTGAAGAGAGCCAAGAAGCGCAGTCAGTTTCTGAAGAGAGGCAAGAAGAGAAGGCAGCTGAAGAATCTGAAGAGACCCGAGCAAAGCAGCCAGTTTTTGAAGAGACCCAAGAAGAAGAGACGCAAGAACGCAGCCGCAGCCCAGCTTCTGACGATACCACCCAACCCCAACTTATCCCAAAACAGTTGTTCCCCGGGGAACCCTAGGACTGGAGGGTCATTTGTCATCAACATTGCCATGGCGCAATGAGTTTCAATGACAATGTCTCCTTTTTGGCACTGCATCCATTCCCGTGCCTGTGTTCATGACACGTGGTGTCACATGTGCTGTAACCATGACGTCAACATGGTCCGTCCAAAGCATTGCCTGGCACCTCTAAAGTCCTGAAAGTCGCAATGCGGCTGTGAGGATTCCGACGCAGTTTGCAGTGCTTCAAACCAGACAAGGCCCCTATTGCTTCACAATCCGTGCCGTGGGTTCCTCTATTTTCCGACGCGGGTGCAGATGCAAACATCAAGGTGAAACTGACGTGAAACCTAGCCTGTGAACCAAGCAGCCATGGCGGACCAGAAGGAACAAAATGAATCAAAGGTACTTGGCTCGGCGTCTGCCGAAGGTCGGCATGGCCGAAAACTTTCAAAGTCACCGGGATCCAAACTACAAGGTTCGGATTCGAAAGTTATAGTGAGACCCAGTTGGCCCACCGCAGCGAAAGGGAGGTTGGGAAGGTCAAAGCCGCGGCTCAGGTACACGTAGGACGGATGGAAATCCACATATGAAGCAGCCAATAGTTGATCAAACTCCTCGCGTCTCGTCAGGTTCTGTGCTGCCATAGTCCGTCCCACTGAAAGGCAATCCTCAAGATGCCCACGGTCCAAAGATGAATCCCCGCGGAGCTCCCGTGCGGAAAAAACACCCAAGCTGACCAAAAAGTCAAATGTTGGCAGGTCCACCTCGTGAATGCGTGCTTGCAGCGGAGTAAAGGGTGGAGCTTCAACCGTCTCCTGCACGTTTGCTTCTGTTGCCTGTGCACGGACTGAGGGAAGGATCGCATGATCCGGGAAGAAAACCATGGCGCCTCCCTGAAGGCGTGTTAAAGATCTGGTCCATCCTCATGCAGCATCATCATAACCAGCAGCAGCAGCATCAGCAACGGCAGAAACAGCAGCATCAGCATGGGCAGCATCCTAATCCGCATCCTCATCCTCATTGGTCCTTTTCATACTCCTGAGCCACGAATTCCGGGTTAATGGAGTGATAGCCCTGGGAGTGCGTGTGAGACGATGATGATCCTTTTGTTCCGGGCAAACGATGGCGTTGGACCGTATAGTTACGCGCTAGTTAGTGCTTTGTCAGTGGTGCACGTAACTATGGATATAACCAACCCCATCTGTATATATATATATGGGATATGATATAAGCTCACATCAAAGATGTGGGGACATAAATATAGGGGATTTACAATGAGATGCTAGTGGTTAATAGTGATCAATAATCACTTAATAATGGTTTATTAATGGCTTACATGGAATTTAATGAGACATATGGTGGTTAAGAATGATGAATCATGGTTAATAATGGATAATTTAATGGTAACTGGAGGCTCACCCCACGAATCTTAAATTCTTAAGTGGTTAGCAGCTGTAGTTCCCATTTCAATTCATGGGATCACCTGCTGAATGGGGACTTCGCAATCAGGCCTTTTGCAGCACCAGTGACACGATCTGTGCTATGATCAATCAGCAGGATTAAACACATCCTGCAGTTATGGCCCGAGTTATACCAGTTATGTTTGTACTGAACTAACCCCATAGAAATAGAGTGTATAACCAGAAATAACGAGTTATAACTCATTTTTACGGCCATAATTCTGTAGTTTCTATCCAAACAGAATTGGATTATGTAATTATGTCAGATAAGTTCTTCCAGATTTGTTGTTTGGTAACCCCCTTGTGGTCAATCACCTGGAGGCAATTTAAGTGTTCACAAGCAGCTGAACAACACCCACCAGGGATGTCTGTTGCGATAAAAACCCTCTAGAAATACGTATTTATAGAATTTTATAGATATTTCTATATCTGCTATAAGGCCAAGTGACATTGGTGTTATAAAACAACTGGAAAGCTCATTTAGCTCAAACTATGGGGCAAAACCTACCATTGCGAATCGATGGTTTACCCAGGTTTATCACAGGACTCACAGGACTATACTGTTGATACTGTTCTAGCCACTGGCAGCCCATCACCAATTTCCTGTGACATCCGAATTCCCACTTATCAGTGTCTTTGAAGCGCGCTTTTTGCGCACTCGCCGTACTCATTTCGGGAGAAGACGAGAAGGTGTGTGGCACCTCTCATGTGGGACTCTTGAGGATATTCAAATGGGGATCTAGTCAACATGGTGATGTTGGGCATTTGTGTTTATTCAAAAATAAATGCAAGGTGCCAACAAAGCAGCTAAAACAACAAGGGGCAAAATAATACTACAGTTCAAGCCCGAAATACAAGTTATGTATATATATATATATTGTTTTCATGATGGTTATTTGTTTCATTCCAAAAAATTGGTGACTTCCTGACTTTTAACTGGTACATGGCCAAAACGATGGGACGAAATCTGTGGCCAACTGACTTTCAATATGGGGATTTGATTGGTTTGAAACCTCACCTTCCAGTTTTCGCAGGATCAAGTTGAGCAAAGATCAGACATAGAGCACCAATGCACTCGCAAAAACGGTGTCATTCTCAGGATGACATCATAGGTTTGTCATTCTTAGCAGAAGCAACCATCACATTTAGATCGATTTGGTCCTTAGATGTCCTTAGTATATGAATGGGGTATCGTTGTGTGTTTGACTCAATTTGACTATCCCGAAGAGCGGCTCAAACGTAAATTGTTGGGTCCCTCAGTATTTCTACTTTCTACAGCTTGTCATTCCAACAAATTCTAATAGGTTTGATTCATATTTTATTGTTGTTCTTCCGATGTTTTTACAAGTAGATACAGATCTCACTCAACTTGGGTTTCTCCAAAAATTGCATGTTTCGAAACAATTCGTTTTCCCCATTTTCCCAATTATGCAACACCACCAAATATCAATTTGGGATCATTTAAGAAGACATTTTTCGTTGAAGCCAACGCCAGCAACGATGCAAGAGGCAGGGGTAGGTACATGTCCTAGTTAAACATCACCCAACTATTGGGGATATATCTATGTCTATATATATATATATAATCTCCAACAAATGTTCTTTTTCAGGTGATGTGAAACAAATCCCCAAAATTTGGGACATTTTTACATATTTTTACCACACCCCTGGGGCGAGCGCACCCTCTGGAATTGGGCTATTCTGCGGGATTTGCAGGTCTAGATCATTGCTGAGAGCACTGACCTGCGCGAAGCCGACGCCGTTCGACGGCTGGGAGAATGGGGGGAGAACCGCGGAACCGGTAACGATCGGTCTCTTGGATCTCTTGTTCTTTGAGGAACCGGAGAACTAACACAGAACACCAAAAGCTAGGTTTGGAAGGCGAATTTGGCACTGGACCTAACTTGACCACCACGTTTTTGTTCCATGATGGAGGTTCAAGCAATAGAAAGTACGGATGTAGCCAACGAGAACCTCTCAAAGCCCCGTAGCCCTGAAACATTGGAAACTTTAGATCATTAATCCAAGTCCAACAATCACTTTCTAGAGAAAACCACCTTTTATGCTTTTGAACAGTAGGGTCAGTAAACAATGGCCAACCCCAAAAAAATCATTCTGGCTTTTTGCACATCCCAAGGTCCCTGCTGAAATCGAATCCGTAATATCAAGCGAATCCGCTCTGGTTGGCAAACATCCTTGTTGCTGGTGTACATCGCCACCTACAAGGTGGCGTCCATCTAGCTAAGTTGGTGAACATAACTACAATAACTAGAACTAGGGTTTATATATGGATATATATATATGGTATATATATATAATATATAATTAGAGTTAATGGGGCTATCAACCAACTCAAAAGGGTTATGAATTTCGCTCATGACGGAGGCGTCTTACCAACTCAAAAGTGGAGATCCCGGATGTCCTCCACAATGTCACTGATCTTGCCTTCGATATCCTTCTATGATGGTGGTGAGTGTGTAAAGTTTCTTCCGACTTATAACTGCAATGACTTAAGGGAAACACCCTGAAACACCATTATTCACTACTATTAACCATGATTAACCACAGTTATATAACCATTATGAACCATTATAAAATTCCACGAATAAGCCATTGATAAGCCATTTTTAGTGATTCTTCACCACACATTTCACCATGAAATTCATCACGAAATTCTCCCCCGACGATTCACCGATGCCTCTCCAAGCAGCATTTCTTCCCCCTGCGAAGTCTCCAGCTTGGCAAAGTCGCTCTGACGGCCGATGGAAGCCAAGAATGAGGAAAACCCCAGACTAAATGGCTGGCTGGCTGGTGGTGCAATAACCATCTTGAAAAATATGAGTTCGCCAATGGGAAGGATTATCCCATATATTATGGAACATAAAGTTCATGTTTGAAAGCACCAACCAGATGGACATTGAAATGCAGGATGGTGCAACCCCAGTGATGTTTGTTGGTCTATAAACCTTATTAGCCTCCAGAAAAAAATAACATAGACCCTGCCAAATAGGGATTGGAAGACTAGTTTCCATTAAAAAATAGTGATGTTCAGGGTCTATGTTAATTTACCAGGGGGTAACTATCCACCATAAACCAAAGTTAACCATAGAATTCAGCCACTGCCATATCTCAACTGAACGCTATCTGAGGGGGGGCCCATCCTGTGGGCAATCATGCCGGGATTTATCGGCTATTTTCATCCCATTCCATGCGAATATTTTACAAATGGGTGCATAAATATCCATTAATGGAAATGATGACGCAACTTACCCAAATTTTGACCGTGGCACTTGTGTTTGACCATGGCAACTTACCTAGTCTTGACCGTTGTAAAACTCAGGAATCAACTCGCGGAAAGGGTGAATTCAACAGCGTAAAAATAGTTTCGACAACTATTGCGAGAAATGAGCACAAATCTGTGGGTTGGTGGATATTTCAATTCAGGAAATTCACCATCACCACCACCACCGCAATTGGTGGATGTCCAATTGCATACATGTATATATATATATATACACACATTATAAATATGTATATATATATATATATATCATATATCAAACAATAAGACACATATTAAGCAAACCCAGTCGGAAAGCTGCCCGATGGCATCAATTTTTGGATTTTGTTCACTCGACTCGATGTCCCTTCATCTTGGGACGAGGCGTCCTCGGGTAACTCAGGTCATACGTCGATCCCATAGGAAACCCATAGAAACCCATAGAAAACCGTGGTAAATGAATGGGAATATCATGGGAATATCATTGGCTAATAGGATATCTACAGTTATGGCCCGAATTATACCAGATATTATAAGTACTGAAGTAACCCCATAGAAATAGAGTGTATAAGCCCATAGAAATGGTACCAGTTATAACTCATTTTTACGGCCATAACTGTAGAAACAATCATGAAAAGAAGGAACAATGGATTGGTTTGAGGGAAAACATACAGGAAAACTCCATATCTAATGGGAAAATCTATGGTTTCCTGTAGATTTTCCCTCAAACCAATCCATTGAAAGCAACATAGAGGCCCACTGGACTGATATGAGTGTGCTTTAAAACTAGCGCTGCAGTATAGCTCCGAATTGGCCAAAAAAAAACAAAAGTTTGAGTGCGGGGAAACATGATGATAAACCAATGGGACCATTGGGGACAAAATGATTTTCCAACAAAGCCATTTCGGGAGGTTTCCATAAATGGTACAATGGAAAATCAACAATCCTATTAATATGGATGAGAAAAAAGGGCAACCCCATTTCAGGAACCTCCATATCCCATATGCTCCATGTCCTCCATGTATGGAATATTTACCAACATGTGCCCGAACAAAATCACCCACATGTAGTTAAATATACCACACATGGAGCATCTTGGTATGTCTTGGCTGAATTATATAATCATGCGCCAACTTCTGAAAATGGCTGAAACTTGCAGCTGGCTATGGGGATGATTCCCCTTAAGCCAGATCTTCGGTGGCGAACCCCCCACGAATCCAAGTTGTAGGTTTCACCCTGGCTTTGATAGTGGGATAAGTAGGGATAAGTAGGGCTAAAAAACACTGAAATAACCAGGGTGAACGGAAAACCATTTCTTTGGATTCGTGGTGATTGGTAGTTCGCCACCAATCTTAATATTATATTTATATAACTACAAGGTGGTGCCCCCAAGATAGCTAAGTTGGTTTATAACTTCAATAACTATGGTTTATGGTAGATATATCTATAGTTAATGGGCTTATAAACCAACTTATAACTGGGGGGCACCACCTTGTACAGGATTATAACCTAGGATTTGTTGCTAGTTCGCCACCAGATATTTTCTATGATCCAAGGCCTTGCTGGCCGGTTTCCGCGGAGAATAGCTGAAATTGGGACCATCGTGATTCATCTACGAGGCCGGCATGAACTTGAACAAATATTTGAAATTGGAGCCTAGACCCTCCAAGTACCATGCAAATGGTTTTGCTAGATATGACCGATTTTCCTATGGGAAACCAATCCATTGCAGGGTTTGAATATGTTGTCCATCTACTCCACAGTTATGGCCCGAGTTATACCAGTTATGATTGTACTGAACAAACCCCAGTGAAAAAGAGTGTGGAACCCCATAGAAATAACCAGTTATAACTCATTTTACGGCCATAACTGTAGACCCTCCAAGTACCCATAAAGTTGTTAATAACTGTCCCAAACAAATGGGTACAAAACGGCATTTTTTTCTAGGTACCTGGAGGGTCTACGAAAGCGTCACACACACATACGGTAACTATTGATTATAGTGTTTGTATTTTATTGCCATTCATGCAATGTGGTGCCCCCGCCAGTTATAAGTTGGTTTATAAACCCCATTAACTGTAGTTATAAGTATAATAAACCATAGTTATTGGACTTATAAACCAACTTAGCTATCTAGAAAGGCCCACATTGTGTGGTAAGGTCGCAAATACCAAGAAGCAAATTACCCGATTCCAATTGGGGGTTTCGACCAGCCATTTCTCGGGAAAAAAACAACATATATTTTTGGATGTGTTATACAGTTTTATAGCTCTGTTCTATTGTTGGATATGATATGTGAAGCCAAACAACTACAAGGTGGTATAAGTTGGTTTATTAGATATGGGGGTCTCCTAAAATGATACCCCCAAATGGATAGTTTATACTGGAAAGTCCTACTAAAATGAATGTTTTTGGGGTACCACATTTTTTTTGGAAACTTCCAGATATTTACTATAAACCTAATTTATTGGAAAAAAATACGCCTTGCCCCAATAGACGGCATAAGTGTCCACGTCAAAGTCATTTCGAGCCTCACATCGCCAGTGTGGTCGCCAGTCAGGGAGAAACAACCATGTTTGCTGGGAATGTTCCATGTTAATGTAACCCCAGGTGCATTCTCAATGGACGAAACAAATCAAAAACCCAACGTTACTTTTGCCAACACGCGCGCTGAAACTTTGAGATTTGGGGGTGTGGGGGTTCAACATAGTGTGGGCGCGGAGGTTCATCATAGTGTGGGTTGCACAATGTGGGCCCTCCAGCTATAAGTTAGTTTATAAACCCATTAACTATGGTCATAAGTATCATAAACCATAATTATTGGAGTTATGTTCACCAACTTAGCTATCTAGGGGGTCCCACATTGTAACATTTTCCAAGCCTTTTGAAAGCTAAGTTCAATCCCATGCAAATGGTTTTGCTGGATATGACCGATTTTCCTATGGGAATCCAATCCATTGCAGGGTTTGAATATGTTGTCCATCTACTCTAGAAATTATGGCCCTTTACCAGTTATAAGTACTGAACCAACCCCATAGAAATAACCAGTTACAACTCATCAACGGCCATAACTGTAGACCCTCCAAGTACCCATAAAGTTGTTAATAAATGTCCCAAACAAATGGGTACAAAAAGGCATTTTTTCTAGGTACCTGGAGGGTCTACGAAAGCGTCACACACACATACGGTAACTATTGATTATGTGTTTGTATTTTATTGTCATTCATGCAGTGACATCAAAATGTCAAGGCCCACCTCGTGGAGATGTATCATACGGAAAACATTTCATGCGCATGCATATATATATATATACATATATATATATATATTACTAATAATAATAAATAATAGTAATAATAAACAACGTGCTGCATATCTATCTATAGATAGATAGATAGCTAGATACATAGATACATAGGTACACAGATACATAGATACATAGATACATTGATACACTGATACATAGATACATAGATACATAGATACATTGATGTATATTTGGTATACTGCAATATGACATATTACAATCTGTTGTGGCTACATATATTGAGCTATATTTGGATATTATATATTAATTAATGTACATATATATATATATGTACACGTATGTATAACAATACACAACGTGCATATCTATCTATAGATAGATAGATAGCTAGATAGAAAGACAGATACATAGATACACAGATACATAGATACACAGATACATAGAAAAATCGATACATAGATCCATAGATCAAAAGATACATAGATACATAGATACACAGATACAATCAGATACAATCAGATACAATCAGATACAAACAGATAAAATCAGATACAATCAGATACAATCAGATACAATCAGATTCACTCAGATACAATCAGATACAATCAGATACAATCAGATACAATCAGATACAATCAGATACAATCAGATACATAGATAAATAGATACATAGATCCATAGATACATAGATACTTAGATCCATGAATCAAAAGATTCATAGATACAAAGATACACAGATACAATCAGATACAATCAGAAACAATCAGATACACTCAGATACAATCAAATACATAGAAAAATAGATAAATAGATACATAGATACATAGATACATAGATACATAGTTACATAGATACATAGGTACATCGATACATAGATACATAGATACATAGATACAAAGATACATAGATACACAGATACAATCAGATACAATCAGATATAATCAGATACAATCAGATACAATCAGATACAATCAGATACAATCAAATACAATCAAATACAATCAGATACATTCAGATACAATCAAATACAATCAAATACAATCAAATACAATCAAATACATAGATACGTAGATACATAGGTACATAGATACATAGATACATAGATACACAGATACAATCAGATACATAGAGCCATAGATACATAGAACCATAGATACAAAGACACAACCAGATACATAGAACCATAGATACACAGATACAATCAAATACAATCAGATACAATCAAATACAATCAGATACAATCAGATACATAGAATCATAGATACACAGATACAATCAGATACAATCAGATACATAGAGCCATAGATACACAGATACAATCAGATACCACCAGATACAATCAGATACAATCAGATACAACCAGATGAAAAAATCAGATACAATCAGATACAATAAGTTACAATCAGATACAATCAGATACAATCAGAAACATAGAACCATAGATACACAGATACAATCAGATACATAGTTACATAGATACATAGATACAAAGATCCATAGATACATAGATACACAGATACAATCAGATACAATCAGATACAATCAGATACAACCAGATACAATCAGATACAATCAGATACAATCAGGTACAATCAGATACAATCAGATACAATCAGATACAAACAGATACAATCAGATACAATCAGATACAATCAGATACAATCAGATACAATCAGATACATAGAACCATAGATACACAGATACAATCAGATACATAGTTACATAGATACATAGATACATAGATCCATATATCCATAGATACATAGATACACAGATACAATCAGATACAATCAGATACAATCAGATACAATCAGATACAATCAGATACAATCAAATACAATCAAATACAATCAAATACAATCAAATACAATCAAACACATAGATACATAGATACGTAGATACATAGGTACATAGATACATAGATACATAGATACACAGATACAATCAGATACATAGAGCCATAGATACACAGATACAATCAGATACAATCAGATACAATCAGATACAATCAGATACAATCAGATACAATCAGATACAATCAGATACAATCAGATACATAGATCCATAGATACATAGATACACAGATACACAGATACAATCAGATACATAGAACCATAGATACACAGATACAATCAGATACATAGTTACATAGATACATAGATACATAGATCCATAGATCCATAGATACATAGATACACAGATACAATCAGATACAATCAGATACAATCAGATACAATCAGATACAATCAGATACAATCAGATACAATCAGATACAATCAGATACAATCAGATACATAGATACATAGATACGTAGATACATAGGTACATAGATACAAAGATACATAGAAAAATAGATACATAGATACATAGATCCATAGATACATAGAACCATAGATACAAAGACACAACCAGATACATAGAACCATAGATACAATCAGATACAATCAGATACAATCAAATACAATCAGATACAATCAGATACAACCAGATACATAGAATCATAGATACACAGATACAATCAGATACAATCAGATACAATCAGATACATAGAGCCATAGATACACAGATACAATCAGATACAATCAGAAACAACCAGATACAATCAGATACAATCAGATACAATCAGATACACTCAGATACAATCAGATACAATCAGTTACAATCAGATACAATCAGATACAATCAGATACATAGAACCATAGATACACAGATACAATCAGATACATAGTTACATATATATATACAATCAGATACATAGATCCATAGATACATAGATACACAGATACAATCAGATACAATCAGATACAATCAGATACAACCAGATACAATCAGATACAATCAGATACAATCAGATACAATCAGATACAATCAGATACAAACAGATACAATCAGATACAATCAGATACAATCAGATACAATCAGATACATAGATCCATAGATACATAGATACATAGATACATAGATACACAGATACAATCAGATACATAGAACCATAGATACACAGATACAATCAGATACATAGTTACATAGATACATAGATCCATAGATACACAGATACAATCAGATACAATCAGATACAATCAGATACAATCAGATACAATCAGATACAATCAGATACATAGATCCATAGATACATAGATACATTGATACATAGATACATAGATACACAGATACAATCAGATACATAGAACCATAGATACACAGATACATGGATACATAGATAACAACTATTGTTTGTTGCTAGTCTCCCCCGGACTCTCCGTTGTGGTCCTTGTGGATCTTCACTTCACCACTCAGCTGGTGCTCATCCATATCGGCATCCTGGGAGGGGTGGGAGGGGGTCCCCGAAACGGCCGAACCCTTCAAAGATTGATGGATAACCATTATAGAATTATATAGGATTACTATTACCCCCTGGTAAACGTTTACATAACTATGACAAATCACCATTTTTAACAGGTAAATCATTGCTATAAATCATGCCTGGTTGGTGGTTTTAACCATCTTGAAAAATATGAAAACCAGTTGGGATGACCAACCAGATGTTGATAAATCTGGGCATGGGATTAACGTGGTTTAACAATGATTCAAAAACTAGTTTAAGATGGATTAACACGGGTTAACCATCAAAACTCGGTGAGTTACAGTAAACTATTTCATGATACTTCAGGGTTGGTACCTGACAATTCAATCCGCTGGTTCATCATACTTTTTCCTTTTGACTTGGCAATTTAGGGCTGTATATGGTATACCCCATTTTTAATCACACCATGCCACATTTCATTGGAAACGCTGCAGTATATACAGTACTAACGGTAGGAATGAGTTGCCCCCTTGAACTGATACAGAAGCGCGAAAATGGTGTTGGCCCGCTTTCTGATGGACAATTTTTTCAAGAGTCCCACTGTGCCAAAAACACGACTCGTTCACCTGATGGAATTATCGTCGAACATGGAAACACTCCACCATGTAGCCTGTCGAACCCAGTACCGCCGGGACCAGATGTCCTGAAAGCTCAAGGATGCCTGCGGCAACAGTGAAATGATGTGGAAAATAGGAGGGGAACATGTATCAGGATTTCATAGAAAGCAGGTGTAGCTGACACGCCGTAGCCTGAGAAATCCATGTTTCTAGATTCATTGCACCGGAATTCTTTGCCAAGTTGACATTGGTTTTCTGATTTTTATGTCCACTTCAACCTGCCAGAATTGTCAAATTCGCCAGGAAATCGAACAGTATGTCCATGGGGTCCAACTGCCCAACAACTTTTGACCTATGTAATCCCATTTCCTGTTCAACAGTGCGAGATAAGTTATTTAATTCCCTACTTGGTGGCGAACTACCCACGAATCCTAGCCTGGTGATAAGTGGGATAAGTAGGCTTAATAATTACCCTCTGGTAAACTAACATAGCTATGGAAAATCACTTTTTTTAATGGGTAAATCCACTATAAATGGATATAAATGGCCATTTTCAATAGCTATGTTAGTTTACCAGAGGGTATAACATTTGTAACTAGGGTCATAACCTACTTAGGATTCGTGGGATGGGCCACCAAGGGATACCAAATGCTAATGCTTTGTACGTACGGGGGAGGGATTTTATATGAACTGCTTAAGGGATTACAGTTATGGCCCGAGTTATACCAGTTATGTTTGTACTGAACTAATCCCATAGAAATAGAGTGTTTTTCACCCCATAGTTAAATAACCAGCTATAACTCATTTTTACGGCCATAACTGTATGAACTGCTTAAGGGATTAGATCTATTAAAACATGACCCGAAACACTTCGAGTGGGAAGTGGCGGAGCTAGGCGCTATTTTATCCTATGACTGGCCGGAAAATCATCGAAGCAATGGGCCGCGATGTTGCAAGATCTTACTGCTTCAATCATCACTTATTCCATCTTTTTCACCATCTTTGTCTAAGATTTTTCACTTATTCCATACTTTTTTTCACTTATTCCATCATGTTTCACCATGTTTGATGGTTCAATCACCATTTTTCATCATTTTTCCAAATGGTTGCTGCTTCAATCACCATCGTTTCACCCTTGCCTTTTGCCATTGAAATCTCCATCCGAATCCCATCCTTTCCGTGCCTTTTCGGAGGGTTTGCCTGCACAGAGGTGAGCCTGGCTGAATTCTACTAGCGATGGTACCCCAGTTCGGAATCGCTATTGAAAATGGCCATAGAAATAGTGGAATTACCCATTAAAAATGGTGATTTTCCATAGCTATGTTAAATTACCAGAGATATATAATGTATGATATATGATTGCATATGTATATAGAAAATGAATAGAACATGGATATGTATAGTATATATATATATATATAGTTATACAAGGTGGTGCCCCAGTTCGGAATCGCGTTCCGTTGATGAAGATAACTCCAATTTCACGGGAGGGTTTATGGTAGATATACCTATACTTTTTATGGGGGTTAGAAACCAACTAAAATCACTGACTTGGGTTTGTGATACTTATAACATCTTATAACTATAGTTCATGTGGTATAAACCAACTATAACCAACTTATAACTGGGGGGCACCACATTGTATGGTTTATGATAAATAACGAACTAGTATTCATGGGGTATATACATATATGTCCCCATTACATGACAATATGTGTATACTTTTATGTGCATCCCACTTACTAAGTTTGCAATCATATGTAATAAGCCTAGTGTATGCCAGTGTATGCCAGCTATATTTGGAAACATCACCAGTTATATGGGCTATATATGGCTTAAACACCATTTATATACTACCTGGGATGGTGAATCTTAGATACCTGGCAAACTATGGTTTGTGATAACTATTCAATGGTCATTCCAGGATCCTAAAATGGAGGTACTGTAAGGCCACATTCTGGGGGTATATCCCCTGAAAAATAGGCCTTATATATGGTAGGTACCTCCAATCAATCGGTTCCTGAGATGGACAGTGAAGTATGGTTGAAAACTATACGATGAAGTATAGATATCTCTGCTATAAACCCAAGTGAATCTAAGATCCGCAATTTTGATGCTTCGACCCTTGCAGCTATGGCCCGGAATACCAGTGAGAGTCGTCAGTAAGTCACCCGATTTATGGGAAAGAGGACCCCATAATAAATCACCATTTATAACCATGTATAACTGGTAAAGGGCTTTAACTGTACCAAAACTGGATCAATACAACTGCAAACATCTTGTATTGTTGTCGAAGATTGAAGTTCTGAATTGAAACATATGGAAACTAAAGATTGCACATGTTAAACATATAGAATCATGGGGTTGAATTTATCTTTAAAACATTATCACATTATATAATCATGAACTAATCATCATCATCATCATCATCATCTTCACCATCATCACCATCACCTTCACTAATTAACAATTAACATAATGTTAAAAGTTAAACATATAGGTTGATGAAAATAAAAAGATTGAAGTTAATGAATATTGAAGAAAACAAAGTTAAATTCACCAAACAACATTCATCAAACATGGTTAAGTTAATTAACTTCTGGAAGGTTATCATTATCATAATCATTATCATCAACTAATCATCATCACTAACTAACAATTAGCTAACTTATGGAAACTTATGGAATATTTTTCAGATGGTGAAACGGTTCAACCCGTTTAACCCCCGTTGTTTTTTCCGCCACCTCCTCGTTGGCTTCAGTCTTGCCAGGGCATTGAGAACAATTTTCCGACCTCGCCCCAGGGCCACGGACGTTTGGGCACTGAAAAAGCAGGATGTATCCACAATAATGCACTGATATATTATAATATAGTATATCCTGCGCACATATAATATTAATCCACAATAATATCCACAATAATAAACTATATATAATATAAAATATACAATATGAAATAAAATAGTATAGTATATTATGATATAATATCAAATAATATATATATATATGGTTGGTGGTATACCTACCCCTCTGAAAAATATGAGTTCGTCAGTTGGGATGATGACATTCCCAACTGAATGGAAAAAAACATGTTCCAAACCACCAACCAGATATATATGTGTTTCAACATAGATTTACAGTGTGATTTATTTATTTGATATCTATTTGATGTGTCCAAAGTAGCTATGATTAATATACATACTAATTGTGGGCTATATCCAATGTGATATATTATTGTGGAGGTTTCCGAAGTCATAGGAGTAACCCCAGTCATCATCCAGTCGTTATGGATGACCATGACTTAGTATTGAAGCCAATGGTGACTTGGGGATACCCCATGACTTCGGAAACCTCCATCTGATGAGGATAGAGTGGATGGACACTCATGGGATACCCTATATTATGTGTGTATATATATATGTATATACCTGGAACCCAAATGACCCTTGTTTTCAAGGTTTTGACCCATAAAATTGAAGGTTTAACCATCCAAAAGAGGGGTCATTTGGGTTCCAGGTATATATACGTATATCTAATTAACACATACCGGTAATTAGTGTAATGTTGTCTGTTTGTCTTGCGAGAGCCGCCCACCAACAATAACAGAGACGCTTTATCAGCAATGCAAGGAATGGCTGCTATGACGGATGCATGAATGAATGCGAATACTTGGATTTGCTTAAAGACCAAAAAAAAACACTATAGATTCCCCAAGTCGTGCATGTCTCACTGGGAAAATACAAGACACATTCAGCAAATCCAAGATGAAGCGAGCCGGTGGTGTACTGATTGTAGTTGTTGACTTCTCTTTTGAGGTGCTTAATCTGACTGGCAATTGCTTCAAGGTTTTCAGAGGGGCTTCTCAAGTACATGAGTAGAGCAAAGCCCAAAACATTATGTAGTTTTACCATGTTTTACCAACAAACGTGGGATAGCAATAGTTTACCAACAATCCGAATGTAGCTGAACAACGATGTACTGACTTCAGGGTTGCTTGCAAGGGGTTCGCAGAAAACAGGACATCTAAAGAAAACTGTAACCATATATGATTGGGAACTGGTTCGAGAAAACACCCAGCCATCTGGAACAAATGACAAAACGACACGGGAACATATATCTGGTTGGTGGTTTCAACCCCTCTGAAAAATATGAGGTCGTCAGTTGGGATGATGACATTCCCAATATATGGAAAAAAAAGCCATGTTCCAAACCACCAACCAGAAAATTATGTATGTCATAAATCACGATGAATCATTCATAAATGTCTATCGGAAAAAACACACTCAGATGTTCTCCAGGATGCAAGGTGGTGCCCCCCAGTGATGTGAACGTTGGTTTATAGCCACCATTCAGTATATAACCACTATAAACTCAAGTTATTGGAGTTACGTGAGCCACAACTTAGCCTTCACAAACTGGAGCGCCACCAAACGTAGGTTTCCCAAAGTTTTCGTTTAGTGTCACTTTCCGCTGGAAACCCACCGGAAGAAACCATTGAGTTCGCCAACTTCTTGCAGGTGTCGGTGGCGACGCAGTACCTGAAAAGAGGATGGATACCCATGCACGTTGTATGGTCAATGACCATTTCAGGTATCGATTTATTGGAGCTACCTACAATATACCCTCCGGTAAACGTTTACATAACCATGGAAAATCACCACAGAAATTCTCAATTTTCTCATTAATAGCATGGTGGATCTTTCCAGTTCGTTATGTAAACGTTTACCAGAGGTCATTAACCATTATAATTAATCATTATTATCCATTCACCATCCATTCACCATCATAATTAACCATCATTAACCATTGTTATAACCATCATTAACCATCATTAACCATCATTAACCATCCATTCACCACTATTCACCACTATTTGCCATAGTTTCTACTATTAACCACTATTAACCATCATTAACCATCATTAACCATCATTAACCATCATTAACCATCATTAACCATCATTAACCATCATCACCCATCATTACCCATCATTACCCATCATAATTAACCATAGATTCCACGATTCAGGGCCCCATTGGGTCGGTACCATCGGTACCATGCCACAAAAAAATGACCGGCTTGCAGGAGAACGCATCGGAAACCTTGGTGGAGCCCCAAAAAGGTGATGTGAACGTTGGTTTATAACACCCCATGAATACTATAGTTATAGGCAGTTATAGGTATCATAAACCATAGTTATTGGTTTATAACATTTTATAACACCCCCAGTGATGTTTATTATACTTTGAGGACGACAAGAAAAAGCACCAAAAGCAGAGAAGGAACTCTAAAGGCGGGATGTGTTACAATGTGGGACCCCCGTTTTCGATAGCTAAGTTGGTGAACATCACTCCAATAACTTTGGTATATTGTACTTACAACTACGTATAGTATTCATGGGGTTTATAAACCAACAAACATCACTGGGGGCACCACATTGTATATCTACCATAAACCCAAGTGAAATTGGAGTTATGTGAACACCAACTTAACTATCGAAAACGGGGGCCCCACATTGCAGGAAACCTTGTCTTTCCTCAACATGAGCTGTGATTTTTGTAGTCAAAACTTTGGTACCTGGTGACCAAAATAGCTAGGATTGATGTGCATCCTCCCCAAATATGATATTACAAACCCATGAAATCTGTGATCAATGGAAAACCTAGCCTGGTAAAGTAAATATCTATCGATATATATATATATATATATAAGATGGTTTCTCCCTCCAGTGATGTGAACGTTGGTTTTATAACCTTTATAACCCCATGAAGTAGTATAAAGCCAACTTATATCCCGTTATATAATGGTTCTTCAAAGTGACCTTTCCAACCACCAATTCGAGGTCACAAATACCTATTTTTTAGAGTCACCGAACCAACTCAAAAGGGTTACTTCGAAGAACCTGGCTAATAGCTGTATATATCCCAAAAAAATATTGTCTTTAGCTGGTAAATGTACATTCTGCCATTAATAGCAAACATATTAAAGCTGCAGCTAATTACATTGCCAATCTTAGATATCCTGCAAAAAAAAATCTTTACTGGTGAATCGTAAATATCCCTGTTGAAATCGCACAAGATTAAAGGATGAAAGGATAAGTCCCTACCCATCCAGTTGGTTGACCTAGAATGATCCATGAATTATATTGAATTATCCCATTAAATCATCCACTATGATTTGATCAACAATATATATATATATAATAATAATAATAATAAAATAAAATAATAATAATATGTAACATATGTATATATAGACACATTCCTATGGTGTTTCATTTATACCACCCAGATGTTATCTTCTACTTAGAGGTAGTTAGTTGACCTATTAGTATCTAACCAGTCGGTTGGCCCAGTCCTTCACAATAATGTTCTTTTGGTAAAAAAAGAGCCGGGAGCTGGTATACCATCTATCATCAAACAAACCTGTTGTTAAAGGGGTAAACCTTGAAACCCCTCTTTTTTCATCAATGAAACCTGGTTGGGAAAAGGCCCTTCATCCCCTTCTGAACCCGCTGGCGCACAGCTTGCCACCTGCCGCGCAGGTCACTGGCGAATTGGACACGCTGCTGAAGCCACTGAGACTTCCGTCCAACTTCTCCTGAAATTTTAGGCCGGCCCTACGGTGAAAACCATACAGTTATGGCCCTTATATAACAGTTATTGTTGTGGGCTTATAACGATATATAACCTTAGTTATAGAAGTTATAATTCCATTTATAACTGTTAAGGGCCATAACTGTAGAAACATGGGGGAGAAAACAGACGAAAAACCATAGAAAAATGTGGGAACTGATTTCACCAAAAGTGTTGGGATTTACATGTGATTTATACGTTGGTGGCTCATCCTATAAATCCTAAGCAGGCTATAACCCGCAAAAAAGGGGATAAGTAGGGTTGATCCTCTTATAACTAGGGTTATAACGAACTACTTGGTGGCTCACAGATCCAAAAGTAGGTTAGTTAACCACCCTAGTTTTTTCAATGGATTACGCCTACTTATCCCACAAAACCAGGGTGAACTAACCTACAACCAGGATTCGTAGGTAGTTCGCCGCCCTTGTGAAAGATGCTTTCAACCTCCGTCGGCCCTGGGGAATCCTACCCTCCACTGGGGGAATCCAACGCGGCGATGGAGTCCCTGAGCTAGCCATGGAGATTTCTAGCTGGCAGAATCATCTACCATCTGGCTATTTAACATAGCCATGGGAAATGGCTTTGTAGAGTTTTACCTATTAAAAATTGTGATTTTCCGTGGCTGTGTTAAATAACCAGAGGGTATAAATGGAGGATTTTCCAGCAAGCCATGGTTGAGTTCTGAAGTAAACATGTTTCAAACCCAAAATACCTAGCCCACGCAGAGAACATCATATAACTGCATGGTCCATGCTGCATGGTCATATTCAATTAATCTCACTGGATCATGTCATATGACTATTACCCACTTACAGATTGGAATGTGCCCAAATAAGCGGAAGCATTTGGACCAAGTATTTGGCATTGCTTCCAAACAATTGGATATAAACAGCCTTAAACCCATAATAACTAAAGGAGTTTCAGACATGGTTTTATGCAACAAACAGCGGGGGATGTCATTACCTTGGATTTGCGACGATTTGCGAGACAGAAACCCCCAAAAATAGAGTCCCTTTTTCTATTTCCCATTTCTAGTGGAGTGGGAACATGCCAAAAATCATCAAAAATTGTCGACACAACGCAAATCGATTATAGTCACTATATAGTTCTTAAATATATATATATATATATGTATATATATATAAACATAAAAATACATACATATATATATATATATATATGTATATATATAAACTACATTTAGTTCCATGATTTTTCCAGCGAACTAAACGTCTATTTTCATAGAGATGTTGTTCCACATATCGCTGCTGCACAGATCATCCCAGAAATGCCAGCAACGTTGACGATCATTAATAACCAATCATTGGGGGGCATCACAGTTACTGGTTTATAACATATATATATATATTATCATAATATCATATTATCATAATATATAATATATGTATATCTAATATGATATATTATATCCTTATAACTCCAAACAATTTGTGAGACTGTATTTGGGGATGGTTTTTGGGTTCCAAACACCTTCTCAGAAAGTATTTGGAGCACTAGGGTATATATATATATATATATATTTGTATATCGTTCGTTAATAATTGGATATTTGTTTTTCTTTCCATTCATATACATAGCTGGCCTCCAAGCGGCTTATGACACAGAAATCGGATTCGTGGGGCATCCAAGTCGTTGGCCTCAGCCGCCCTCGTTCGATGGCAATTTCTTCCATGCCGCGATGGAATCCAGTTCGCGAACTGTGAAAAATTACTACCGAGGTATACCACATGTTCTTTGTAAATGAGATGTTTGGGGAGAAATCCACTTTATTTTTTTGCAAATCCATATGATTTTGAGAACATTCATGTTTCCTTTGTATTCTACAGTTATGGCCCTTTACCAGTTACAGTATAAGTACTGAACTAACCCCATTTATAGAGTGTATAACCCCATAGAAATAACCAGTTATATCTGGAAATATCTGGAAATATGGTTAATAGACTATTAATGGTTATAAATGATAGTTATAAATAGACTATTAATGGTTAATCATATCTGGTTGGTGGTATACCTACCCCTCTGAAAAATGATGGAGTTCGTCAGTTGGGATGGTGAAATTTCCAACTGAATGGAAAAATAATCAATGTTCCAAACCACCAACCGGAATATAACTGGAAATATCTGGAAATATCCCTGGAAATGATGGAGGAAACATATAACTATACTATACCCAGATGCGAACCATGGTGCTGGAATATGTAGCTACATAGAAACCCAATTTTTATGGCCCAGTTTTGTAGGTACATATTGCAGCACCATGGAGCATCTGGGAAAGGGATCCAAAGAAAATCCAAAAGGTACCCTCTGCTAAACTAACATAGCTATTGAACATTGACATTTATAGTGAGTTGTCCCATTAAAACTGGTGATTTTCCATAGTTATGTTAGTTTACCAGAGGGTGCAATTTCTAAAAACAGGGTAAGGCAATAATTTCAGAGCCCCATCTCACAGCCCTCCACAGCCCATAGCAACACAATCCCCCAGGGTGCCCGCAGTGCCCGGTGAATTTTTATCCTGCTTGCTGCTTGACCATTAAAGCATTCCGAAAACCATACCCATAGGATCCATGTATGCTATATATGGTAACATTTACCATCAATATACCCCCAATGTTAGCATATATACCATACATGGATCCTATGGGATATATGTTAGCTAGTGAACTAAACCAAGGAATGACATCATAAATCCCGGAGGGATGACATTGACATCCCTTTTCTTGTCGTCTATTTTCAGCATCTTTCCACCATCTAAGTGATGCAAAAAAAAACCGCAAGGTTCAAAAATCCAGGGACTTGGAAAGGGCCCTGGATGTATCATGATGTAACCTAACCCCACGCCTGCATCTCCATCCACAGGTGCATGTTATTCACCTTGGTCTTCTTATCGCCGAGAAGTCTCGGCCATTTCCTGCGGCTTCCAAACAGTGAAATCATGGAGAGAATCATAGAGATATATGTTGCAGGGAATTTTAATAGATTTTAACCCTTAGACCCTCCACATACCCTAAGAAAATGGTTCAAGTACTAAATTCTACGAAGATTTTGGGGGTCAAACGTCCTTTTTTAAGTGATGGCTACTTTTCTTGGAGGGCCTACTAGTAGATCTTAAACATCCATGATAGAGATATTCATCATTTGTGGTAACAACAAGTTCAACAAGTGATGTTTATTATACTGGTTGGTGGTTGATCTATTACTGTGAAAAATGATGGAGTTCGTCAGTTGGGATGATGACATTCCCAACTGAATGGAAAAATACAGGCCATGTTCCAAAACACAAACCAGTATAAATGACGGCATAGTCACTAATTTCACAATCATCGGGGTTTTCAACACTACTCCAGCTGCCATTGCTGTTCACCCAGGACTAGTTCACATGCAGTTGATCTGACCACGGCACAGATGCAAGCTGGGCCCCCAGTGATGTAGCTGTTGATTCCTAAACTGCATCAAAATACTATAGTTGTATATCCCAAAAACCCAACAGAATCCGCCTTAAGTGAACTGAGTCAACTTACAAGGTGGTGTCAGTTTGTTCGCTAAGTTGGGGTTCACATAACTCCAGTTTCACTTGGGGTTATAGTATATAGATATATCGAACTACTTCATGAGGCTTATAAATTGTTCACATTACTGGAGGGGGGGGCACTCACCTTGTATAAACACACCACTACTTGGTGGTTCATCCCACTTACCAAGTCCTAGTTGTATGTGGAGCAACCCTACTTAACAACCTGGATTAAAAGGGTTTGTGAGGTAACCATTTAACCCATTTCATACTTGGTGGCTCATCCCACTTACCAAGTGGGTTATAACCCCAGTTATAAGTGGATTAAACCTTACTTATCACACAAAACCAGGGATATAACCCACTTAGGATTCGTGGGTAGTTCACCACCAAGTAGGGTGAACTAACCTACTTAGGACTCATGGGATGTTCCATTTGAAGCAACAAAAATAAAGGAATTAAACTACAAGGTGGTGCCCCCCCAGTGATGTTTGTTGGTTTATCACCTCCATGAAAAGTAGTTTGGTATATCTACCATAAACCCTCCCGTGAAATTGTGGACTTCTGTGAATCCCAACTTGGCTTAGCGTTCTCGATTTCACGGGGGCACCATGGGGCACCACATACCCATCCCTGCGGTTGATCTAGTCGAAAGGCTCCCGGACTCCCTGCGAATCCCTGCGAATCCCTGCGAATCCCTGCGAATCCCTGCGCCTCGCCCATCGTTTGCGAAGTGTCACACTGAGTTTACCAACCTCGGATCCAGAGGTGATGGAGTCGCTCAATGGAGCTTTCCGAAGGAATTATATGGATAAATATGTTTGCTTCTATGGATTAAGATGGATGAATATGGATGAATATGATTGAATATGGGTGAAACATGGGGACAAATACTAATGTTCATGTGTTTTCCATATGATTGGACTGAAAAAAACCAACAACTAACATGCTTTTTTGGAGCTTTCCGAGGTCATAGGGGTACCCACCATGACTTCAGAAAGCACCACATTTTTCGATGTCTCCTTGGGTCTGCCATCCAACATGACATTTTTGGAAACAGGTAAAAAAAATGTTTTCTTAAAAAAAAAAAATAGATGAATTTAGGGTGTTTCCATGTGTTTCCCCCTAAATTGCCGGACAAAGCGATATCGATACTCGGACAACCATACCAGCTGGTCTTTGGTCTTCAAAGCGGTATGTCTCGAACCTGCTTCTTTTCGAGGACTTCTTCAGTGATTCCACTTGTGGAATGCAGGCATCGCTGAATGCTGGTGCGGGCGCAGTTTGAATCCCCCAAAGTTGGGAAACCCCATCGTCACCATAGTTATCTGGTTGGTGGTATACCTATCCCTCTGAAAATATGAGTTCGTCAGTTGGGGTTATGAAATTCCCAACTGAATGGAAAGTCATAAAAGCCATGTTCCAAACCACCAACCAGTTATATAGCCACTTGTAACTGGAACCGCACTTCCAAGTAGCTAACAAATATGCTAGCCTACCTTGCCTGTTTGGTGATTCAGTCTGCGTGATCACCCTAAAATTTACGTCCTGAATCATTATGGTATTCCTACTTGGTGGTGAACTACCCACGAATCCTAAGTGGGTTATGTCATGTTATGTCCCTGGTTATAAGTGGGATAAGTAAGGTTTGATCCTCTTATAACTGGGTTTATAACTCACTTGGTAAGTGGGATGAGCCACCAAGTATGAAATGGGTTAAATGGTTACCTCACAAACCGTTTTAAACAAGGTTGTTAAAACATGTTTAACACCATACTTGGTGGTTAATGCCTTCCCAGCAAGGGTACAAGGTAGACCCATACGGTTGTAAATTGGTTTGGAACGCACATAAATTATAGCTATACACCGCTATACGCTATACTTACCATAAACCCTAGTTATTGGAGTTATACTCCAACTTAGCTATCATGATCATAAATCACATCTAAACCCCCATGTTTGATATTTAGATCACAATTTGTCCTAATTTGTGGATCGAACATCTCAAGGTTCTTCAATTTCATCAATGGCCATTTCAGGAACCTAAATTTTAAATCGGAGGTACCTACCATATATACAATGTGCCCCCCCCTAGATAGCTAAGTATGGTTTATGATACCTATAACTGCCTATAACTATAGTATTCATGGGGTTTATAAACCAACATTCACATCACTGGGGGGGCTCACAATGTAAGGCTTATTTTTTAAGGCTACGGGGATATGCCCCCAATAGAAATCAGCTCTATTTTAGGGTCCTCAACTTCCCATTGACGTTGGATTTTGACTTCGGTATCTTCTTTTCAGACAGTTCGCCACCCATGGCGAAAAAAACAAAAAAGGCGAACTGTTGACCCAAATAAGTATCAATAAAAATAACAATAATAACAATTAGGGATTCTCATTTTGGAAACCAATATACTAACAATTGGGGATCCTCATTTTGGAAACCAATAGGATTGAACACTAAACAATACTAAACATCTAATCTCAGTATAAAATCTAGCATTTGGGGGTATACACGATGATGTTCAGACAACGCCATTTTGATGACTCTCAACTGAGCGCTCGGCCGATGCAGCACTCCAACTCGAAAGTTGGGCCTTTTTTGATAACTGCGATCCGTTGTATCGTTTTACCAAGGGAAACACCTTGTTTTTAGGTATATCTTATGGTGTATTACCATTAATGGTATATAAGGTAAATGATCTGAATGTATAGTGTACATAATTGTACATATAAAGTCTTACCTACTTGGTGGTGAACTACCCACGAATCCTAAGTGGGCTGTATCCCTGGTTTTCTTACTAGGATAAGTAAGGTTAATCCACTGAAATAACTAGGGTGAACTACTAACCTACTTACTAACTGGGATGAGCCACCAAGTATCATTAACCAATATAACCAATATTAACTATTCGTTATGATTGGCCATAAACCATTTATGTACATATCATATATATAATGTTTTAGGTATTCATGAATATGTTTTACTTATTATGGTGTGTTACCTATTTGCAAACACACCGTGAAAGCTCGGCGTCTAAGACCGAGCGACGAAGCACCTGGCCTCAAAACATATGATCAATCTGGAATCTGGAAAGAACCAAAATCAAAATAAAAACGAAAGCACATATATGAGGTTTCCGAAAAATTATATGGATTCACGTTAATACGGATGATATGGATAAACATGGATGAAAAATGAACAAATTTTGCATTGTTCCATATGATTGAACTGTTTTGACCAACAACTAATATGTATATGGGGGTTTCGAAAAATGGGGGTGTCCACAAGTTGACAAATCATCCAAGTCATGAATGACCGTTTGAGTATTGAAACCTATGGTGACGACTGGGGATCCCCCATGACTTAGTCAAAACCCCTATATATCTAGGTTGCTAGATGCTTTATCCCATTATAGTCCCATTATTTACAGCGTTTCATAGAAATCCCCACCATTTACCCTCTGGTAAACTAACATAGCTATTGAAAATTGCCATTTTTAGTTGATTTACCCATTAAAAATTGTGATTTTCCAATAGTTATGTTAGTTTACCAGAGGGTAACAACTGATATCAAGTGGTAACTGTAGTCCTATAGTCCTTTGATGTCCTTTGATTGACAATCCAACGGATTTCCGGTGGTCAGCGTCGCTCTCGCGTCCTCGATGTTGTCAAAGAGGTTGATGGAAAGGAAATATTTGTACCTTCACATGACACGCTTCCCGCAGAATTGGGGTATATTGACTACATAATCTCTATCTCGGTTGTGTTGTTCTTCAAATGACTGATTTCTGAAGAAACGCAGGAGATTTCAGCCGGTTTTCTGCAATTCTTCCCATTTCAACACATTTTGCACTCTTTGATTTGACGCCAAGCTAAAACCATCGCCATCTCAAAGGCTCAGTGAATCTTAGTGATGTTTGCGCTGTGGCAGTGGCAGAATTGCTTAGAGTAGAGCATATCACTAACATGAAGGCCCGCCGTACTAAACAAAGCTATTCAATAAGATTTACCCCCCTGGTAAACTAACATAGCTATTGAAAATGATGATTTATAGTGGATTTACCCATAAAAAAATGTGATTTTCCATGGTTACGTTAGTTTACCAGAAGGTATTTCAGAAGCTTAACAAGGATTTAGATTTCGATGGGATTAACAAACAGACAATACATTCCCCAAGAAACATAACTAGGGCCATCTCCATTTCACGATGTTATATCCAAATATATCCCCATGAAAATCCCAATCTATTCCCATTATATTGCTATTTCAAAACGGTTCAAATATCTCGTCAATCACTAAATATATATATAATTGCTGTTAGATGTATGATATATTCCAAAAAAATCTGCAATCCCATGATAACCCATGACTGGTTGGTGGTATACCCACCCCCCTCTGAAAAATATGAGTTCGTCAGTTGGGATGATGACATTCCCACTATATGGAAAAATAAAACATGTTCCAAACCACCAACCAGATATAGCATATACCCTCTGGTAATTTGTTACAGTTTGCTATTGAAAATGGCCCAGTCGAAATCGTGAATTTTCCCATTAAACCATATTAAACAGGGTGATTTGAAACCACCAACCAGTAACCCATGATATTTCCATGATATTCCCCATCTATCTCGAATATTCATCCCATTTTTTACTTCACGCGGTCACTTGTTGTTGGAATGCTTGCCAAGGCCGGAGAAGTTGAAGACGTTCCCGGTCATGTTCACCGACGGATCCGTGACCTTATTGGGAAACAAACAATGAAAATATATGGCTGATATTATGGTAAATGATGGTTAATGCACCCAACAATAGATGGTTAATGATTGGGATTAACCATGGTTTTACCTAAAACATAGTTATAATGGTTAATATTGGTTAATATTGGTTAATAATGGTTAATTTAATGATGGTTAATTATGATGGTTAATTATGATGGTGAATGGATGGTGAATGGATAATAATGGTTAATTTAATGATGGTAAATGATGGTTAATGCACCCAACAATAGATGGCTAATGATTGGGATTAACAATGGTTTTACCATCCTAAAACATAGTTTATAACAATGGTTAATATTGGTTAATAATGGTTAATTATGGTTATAACAATGGTTAATGATGGTTAATTATGATGGTGAATGGATGGTGAATGGATTAGTAGTTGACATTATTGTAGTTGATATGGTATTTAACATAAATTTATAGTATGATTTATAAATGATTAGTGAACCATTATTGAACTATCGTAGTTGAAAAAATATGGTCAATATTTGCTAATATCTGTTAATCAAAGTGAATATTATGGTTCATAGTGATTAATAATGTTTATCTAGGGATATCCTACTTAGGATTCGTGGGAAGAGCCACCAAGTATGGTTAATATTGGTTCATGATAGTTAATAATAGTTTATAAATGGGATTCAGTGGGATATATAATATAATGTTTAATATTGGTAAATGATGGTTAATGCACCTAACAATAGATGGTTAATGATTGGGATTACCAATGGTTTTTACCTAACACATTGTTTAATAACTGTACAATATATTAATGATTTTTAATAGACTATTAATGGACTATTAATGGTTAATAAAAGACTATTAATGGTTATAAATGATTGGTTTCAAATGGACTATTAATGGTTAATAATATGGTTAATAATATGTTTTAATATGGTTAATCTATGGTTAATATTATGGTTAATAGTGATGAATAATGGTTATAAATCTGGGCAACACTATAATAATTCACTAACCTGAAATAAGGTCATTTGGGGATAGTCACCCCTACTAACCATCATTCCCAGTGAGGTCGCAGTGAGGTCGTTATAATTTACCCAGATAATGGAGTATACATAATATGCGTTAGTAGTTGACATTATTGTAGTTGATATGGTATTTAACATAAATTTATAGTACGATTTATAAATGATTAGTGAACCATTATTGAACTATCGTAGTTGAAAAAATATGGTCAATATTTGCTAATATATGTTAATAAAAGTGAATATTATGGTTCATAGTGATTGATAATGTTTATCTAGGGATATCCTACTTAGGATTCGTGGGAGAGCCACCAAGTATGGTTAATATTGGTTCATGATAGTTAATAATAGTTTATAAATGGGATTCAGTGGGATATATAATGTTTAATATTGGTTAATGATGGTTAATGCCACCCAGCAATAGAGTGTTAATGGTTGGGATTAACAATAGGTGTTACCATCATAATACATAGATTAATAACTATACAGTATATTGAGATTGGTTAATGATAGTTAGTAGTAGTTGATAATAATAGAGTAATGGTTATCTATGTGATAAATAAATGCTTTATGATTAATCATAAGTAATACCATCTGGTTATTTAACATAGCCATAGTTCCAAATCACCATTTTATAGCTCGGTAAAATGGTAAACCTCTATTTCTATGGGCCATCTATACCATGGCTATGTTAGTCATAACCAGAGGGTAATTCACATTGGTTCACTGGCTCCTTGCTGGCGAACCAACTACCCACGAATCCGTTTAGGTCAATGGTCAGTTCAGCCCGGATTTCTGTGGATTCACCAAAAAAAACATCCCACGCACACAAAACCAGGGTGAACTAAGCTACTTGCTATAGTAATATAATAAAGTAACCATGGTGGTAACAATCACTTAATTATTAATAATGGCTAATAGTGATAATAGTGGTTAATGATGGAATAATAGTAGTTGGTAATGGCTTATAAATGGCTTATAAATGTGATTTAATGGTTTTTTTTGATGGTTAATAGTGATTATACAATAATGGCGCATACCCCCAACAATAAATAGTTCTTAATGGAATTACAATTGGATTACTATGGTTAATGCTGATAAAATATGGATATATGATTTGCATAATTGATAATAATGGTTTAAAAGGGATAGATAATGGGATAAACATGGGAAAATAGTGGTTAATCTAGGATCATCCCGCTAGAAAAAGGCTTCTTATATTCATTGGATTTAATGGGATATTAATGATGCTTAAATATGGTTAACACCATGTTAATGGATTGTTAAATTTGTAACTGGTGGTCGTAACTGGTGAACCTGGCCATTTTTTTTTGGATGGGGCCCCGGTTCGATAACGTTCCGTTGAGATGTGGGTGTTGCCTAATGGGGGTACCCCAAAACGGATGGTAAGTGGATGATTTGGGGGCACCCCTACATTAGGAAACCCCCATATAAGTGGTTAAATTCTATATGGGTGATGGTAGATACAACGAACTAGTTAATGGGGTTTACAAACCAACAAACATAAGTGGGGGGGCACCATCCTGTAGCTGGCAACAGATTATGATTAAAGTAACTCAACTATCCGTGAAGTGTGTTTTGGCGTTTGAATCACTTAGTATGGATAATACCATGAATCTGGATAGCCGGATTATAGTATTTTACAACTTGATTTACCCAGTCAATATATGGGTTTGCTGTTAAAGAAATGATACCAAAAAAACTGTGATTGATCATCAAATGTCCCAGTTTGTGTGATAAATTCCGGGTCTCCCCTATCCAAGGCTTACCCAGTCACAAAGAATTCCATGTTTTATCATTATTGTCCCCATTCAAAAGTACCATCAATTGCAGGTTAAATTCCCATTTGCAGGTGCCAAACCCAAATTTGACACCCAAATTTCACATAGTATCCCCATTATACTCAATATACAGTATCTTCCTATTATCTTTCCATTATGTCAATATATCTTCGCATTATCCCTTTTACATCCCATTATCTTCCCATAGTATCCCCATTATACTCCCATTTATAGACGATCTTTCCATTGGTGAAGCTGGCAGATCTTGCCTCCAAAGCCCCTGGTGCATTCCATCGTACCGTGTACCTCGTGGCACGAATGTGGCACTCGTGCCAGTTCGTGCCATGAGAAATGTGAGGGCTGATGGCTGATGCGGCTGAAAATACCCTATGGAAATACCTGGAAATGCCATATTGATCCATATCGTTTTATGTTTTGTTACCAATCAATTTCCACCTTGTAGGATTGAATATACCCTCTGCTTAAAAAACAATATGGAAATTCGTGGCTATCCCGACACGATGTACTTTCATGCTGGGTTTTTCCATATCTATATATGTTAATTCACTGGAGAGTACTTCGAAACAGATTAATGGATTCCGGAATGAACCTAGATCAACAAAAGCTGCAAGATCGGAATGAATGTGTGGGAATTGGAAGTTTGACCAATGCCTTTTCTGGGATCTGTTTCAATTCCTATCAGCCGGGGGCAGGGTGCCAGTATTCCGCATGTTTGTCCCTACTCGCAACCCTCAACAGGTGTATCTTAAACATCAAACCATCACTGCCCTGGTTAATCTTCAAACCCCCAAAAACAGGATTTAATTTTCTTTAGTTTCTATATGTTTCCATTCATTTTATCCAACAAAAAAATGCACCACCTGGAATGTTCCCAGTTCCCTGAGCATGGCGCTTAATGGTCAAGAAAATGGAGGTGTCATTCTGAGCCCACTGAAAGGCCGGTGACACCTGGCATCGAAGTCGTCTTCGTACTCCTAAGATGATCTAAGATGAAAAAGATGAAACCTACAATGTGGGGCCCCCGAAGGTGATGTGAATTGTTTATCAACCCATGAATGCTATAGTTATAAGCTGTTATAAAATGTTATAAGATGTTATAAGATGTCGTCATAACATGTTGTAAGATGTTTTTTTTGCGTATCATAATCCCGAGTTGTTGGAGTTTTAAACAACCAACTGAACGCTGTCGCCCAAACGGGGGCCCCACGTTGTAACAACGTAATTAATCTTACCATGATGTTTGCACCACCCAGAAACCATGGTGGATGCAGGCTGCCCTTGTAAATGAGATGTTTGGGGAGAAATCCACTTTATTTTTTTGCAAATCCATATGATTTTGAGAACATTCATGTTTCCTTTGTATTCTAGTAAAAAACAATCGGTTTGTGGTAACATCCCCTTTGTCTTTGTAAGCAATACCGGCAATAGCCACGGATCCACCCTGCGATCCCTTCCTTAAGCCGCGAGTTGTCATGCCCTGAATACCTCTTGAGAAGGATTTGAAATCCACAAAAGGTGGTACAAAAGGTGGTACCCATGTGGTAGTTTGCTAAGTTGGTTTAAATGTCCAGTAACTTGAGTTTATGATAAATATTATAACGAACTAGTACTCATGGGGCGAATCTAAACCAACATTCACATCACTGTGGACCCACCTTGCAGATATTTAGATGTAAATCCCATCATTTTTTCCCGTCACTTACCCATTAAATCACCATATCTCATGATTAAGTCAAAACACCATTGTAGGCGTTTAAAATTGTTTTAAAGACACTACTCCCCTGGTAAACTAACAGTTTGCTATTGAACATGGCCCATTTAGTTCCTTGATTGACCTATTTAAAATGGTGATGTTCCATAGTTATGTTAGTTTACCAGAGGGTATATCGATTTAAAAACCAGAAAAAACAACAGCAACAGCCACCGCGCTAGCGGTGTGAGTTCACTATGACCTGCTGAGCCATGCCATAGTTGGGATTCAACGTCCGCAGGAGCTCATCTGCCTCGTCCTGGCCAAGACGGCCCGTAAACCACAAACTCACCGTTGCGGGTATAATGGTAGATATACCTATCTGTATTAACTATGGTTTATGGGTAGATGAAACTATATACCTGGTTGGTGGTTTCAACCCCTCCAAAAAAAAAATAGTCAGTTGGATGATGACATTCCCAACTGAATGGAAAGTCGTAAAATTCATGTTCCAAACCACCAACCAGTTATGGTAGATAAAACTATAGAAGTAACCTATCTCTATGGTGAACATAACTAGGTCAACGAACTGTTTTTTGTTGATGTTGATAGATATACCAACATTCACATCACGGCACCACCTTGTATACTAACCATCATTGATCATTTATCAATGATACCAGTATCCCCATGTTTAGTGGTTAAACCGCTAAAACCGCTAAAACCGCTAAAAATGGTGGTTATTGTAAGTGATTAAAAACCCTGGTGCTCGTAAGTCTGCGAGTCTTGGGTTCTCTAAGATATACAAGGTGAGGAGCCTAAGTTCAAAGTTTGTTTGTAAACCGCACTATCTATAGGTATATCTACCATAAACGAAAGGTAATCTATCGTTATAACTCAACTTGGCTATCATAAATCAAATCTAAGTCTCAATCCGACTCAATCTGCTGGTTAAATCACAACTTGTCACAAGTGTTCATGGGAAAATCTCCGTTTTTCCATCGTTTGGGGGCCTCCACATTTTACATGTATAAATGGGTGAACTATGGTTACGTGGTTGCGTTCATCAAGAGTTGCGCGATGATTCCAAGGGCTAAGCGGCTAGGTACCAAGGGCTCCCCAAGTTCATCTTGAGTATTATCCCAACTGAAACAGTTGACATTTATTTTCCAAAAAACAATAGTTATAATCCGTTTATAGATGGAAACAATATGAAAACAAAATCCCAATTTTCTATATGATTTTCCCAATTACTAAACTATATTTCCCCATTTTCCTGGCTATGTACATTTACCCTCTGGCAAATCAACATAGACCCTGAAAATAGCCATTGTTTAGTTGAAACTAATCTTCCAACCCCGATGAATGCCAGGGTCTATGTTAGTTTACCAGAGGGTATTTTCCCTTTTCTATGGTAACTTTGTACTTGGTGGCTCATCCCACGAATCCTAAGTGGATTATATCCCTGTTTTTTTTCAGTGGGATAAGTTAATCCACTTATAACTGGGGTTATAACTCACTTGGTAAGTGGGATGAGCCACCAAGTATGAAATGGGTTAAATGGTTACCTCACAAACCCTTTTACACCAGGTCGTTAAAACATGTTAAAAACCATACTTGGTGGTTTGTCTGCCTCCCCGGCAATGGTACAAGGTAGACCCCACGGTTGTAAATGGGTTTAGAACGCACATAAGCTGTATATAGCTATACACAGCTATACACAGCTATACGCTATACTTACCATAAACCCTAGTCATTGGAGTTATACTCCAACTTAGCTATCATTATCATAAATCACATCTAAACCTCCATGGTAAATTGGTAGATTCATAAAGCTCCCAGGCCCGGGTCTCGAGCCAGGTCCTTCAGACTTCGGACAGCTTTTCTAACCGAGAAGGAGAGATCCACCTGGACCCCTCCCGCCATGGAAAATGGCGAAAAAAAAACGATATTTTCCCATGAGCAGTTGGGAAACATGATGATTTAACCACCAACAAATGGGATTTGTTTAGACTTATGATAGATTAACCAAAATCCAACTAAGATTTACCATCGTAAGCCATTTTTGGATTATTTACCCACTATGTCTCTATACATACAAGGTGGTGCCTCCTAAATGAATAAGTTGACGACTTGTTCACGTGGGTAAACAGAGTTTCTGGCAAGTATAACTATCTGGTTGGTGGTATACCAGCCCCTCTGAAAAATATGAAAGTCAGTTGGGATGATTATTCCCATATATTATGGAAACATAAAAAATGTTCCAAACCACCAAACAGTAATTGGTGTTATAAACTGGCTTCTAACTTGGGGTTCCAGCTTTTTCTCACGTCATGATGAACCAGGGGTTCAGCACATGTGTTTGACCTTTTTCATCAAATGGTATATGAGTGATTATGAGTATATGTAGACGACTAAACGATCTGAGTACATAACGATCAATAATGATATGGGCATGGGCCAAAATCCGGCCCCTTGTACGCTGCCTTACAAAATAGCTGCTCGGCTGCTGGATGTTCATTCCTCCATGGTAGGTTTGTATCCATCCCCAGCTGGATAGAATCAGGTAGAAACTCTGAGGAGTTGACTTTAGATGACTTTGGTGTCTGCGTGGCAAAGCGCCACAAAATAGGCTACACAAATAATCATTCCATGGTTCATCATCATGTTCCCTGCTAAATTTGATTTTGGGTTGCGATTGATTTCATCAAACCAGTTTCAGGCATGTGCAGTATATCAACATGATGTTTATGGCAACCCCAAAATAGACCGAAAAAAAGTTGCAGACCTGGAAACTTTGGGAAAAACATCATCTATACCATCCGGGAAACCCTGTTCTCTTTTTGGAATTCCAGAAATGTCCAAAAGACAGAGCTCACAACACCCACGGGGGATCAGGTTGTTGATCTGGTGATCTGGGAATCTTAGATACCCTGCAAAACATGACAAATTCATACAAATTCTTAGCTGGTGAACGTAGATATTCCTTTAACAAAAGACTATTCAGGATTACCCTCTGGTAAACTAACATAGCTATTGAAAATTGCCATTTATAGTGGGTTTACCCATTAAAAATTGTGATTTTCCATAGCTATGTTAAATTACCAGAGGGTAGCCCCTACCCATCATTCGTTGGTTGACCTAGATGCTATCATTATGACCATTATCCCATGAAATCATTTAAAAAACATATATAATTTGACAATATATACAGTATATATAACATACCATGATAAATAGAATATACAAGAATATGCAGAAAAAAAAGTAATATATATATATATAACTGGTTGGTGGTTTCAACCCCACTGAAAGATATGAGTTCGTCAGTTGGGATTATTATCCCCAACTGAATGGGAAAAAAAATCATGTTCCAAACCACCAACCAGTATATATAATAACCAGTATTCATTCCCATGATCCCCTAATTATCCATGAATTATCCCATTAAATCATCCACTATGATTTGATAAACAATATATATATATATACATACATACAGTCCGATGATGTTATATATATAATATACAACCCATCATAAACAGTATCTAAAGTAACAACAACCATGTTTACCAAGAATGATTCGTTGTAATATGTATATACGAAATAATAATAAATAATAATAATAATAACCAGTATATGATAACATCCCGTGATGTTTCATTTATACAACCCGTTTTTGTTATCTTCTAAATGTACCTGCAAGGTACGGTGTTCCCCAAGTCTTTGTTTTGTTGCTTCATGTAAATAATGTATGATATCTATATATTATAATGCTTATAGTATATATATAATATATGTAAATGTATACTACTATAAACCCAAGTAAAAAAATCATGTTGGTTGATGTTGTTAGTCAATCTAACTAGTTCGATATTGACATCATAAGCCCAACAGTCTTTTAAATTAATGAACTAAACCGACTTGTATATGCAAATCCTCATTTTTTTTCTGCTTGAATCACCAATTTTTCCTCCCATGTTTGATGAGTAAAAATGCTCCATGTTTCTCAATCTTTGGGTAACTCACCATGCTTCAGATGTTTTTTTTCCCCATTTTCTGATGCTAAAATCCCATGTTTCCCCCGAATTTTCCAGTTTTTGCCGGCGGCCTTTTGCTCATGGGACTTGGACACGATTTCTCTGGCCAACGCCCACCTCAGGGCATTTCGCGGTGTCGAACGGTCGACCAGTTCGCCAAAAGTTCATGGAAATCGAAGTGGTTTTCATCAACAAAAACGGCATTGTTTTTAATGATGGTGCCATGGGTAGTGATGGTTAATGATGATTGATGATTTATGATGTTTTTGTACTGGTTGGTGGTTGACCTACCCCTCTGAAAAATATGAGTTCGTCAGTTGGGATCATTATTCCTAATATATATATATATATATATATATATTTAAAAAAAAAGTCATAAAATTCATGTTCCAAACCACCAACCAGTTTAGATTTTTAATGGGATTTTATGATCAGTTATTTACCCTCAGTGATGCTTGATGTTTTTTTAAATTTCACCAAGAGCATTTTTTTGATGCTACAGTGGACTTTCATGGAAGTTCACAAGCCAACATGGTGATTTAATGGGATATACATTGGAAAATATCATGGAAAAAGCAACCGTAGTCAAGAAGGTTTGATTACCCTCCAGTAAATTAACATAGACCCTGCCAGATAGGGGTTGGAAGATTAGTTTTCATTAAAAACTGGCTATTTTCAGGGTCTATGTTTATTTACCAGAGGGTAAATTTTCATAGGGTTTATAAACCAACCTACATAACTAGGGGGCACCATCCTCAAGGGATCGTAGAAAATAGCTAAGGTGAGGCAGGTGAGGCCCCTGTTTTAGAAAATAGCTAAGAAGGTTTGATTATACCACAAGATACCTTTTGAATGAGACTTAACGAACCCAAAATTGGGACTTCACGTTGTTATTTAACCATTCAGAATTTCATGCGAATTATATAACCAATGAACACTTTTTATGCTCGGAATCATAGGAATCCAAAAAAATAAGGAGGTTAAGAATAAGACTCAAATTCAATGGATTGGTTTAGGGGAAAATTTACTGGAAAACCTCATTTTTAATGGCAGAAAACATGGTTCCCTGTAAACTTTCCCTTAAACCAATCCATTGACAATTGGGTTTGTCTCAATGTGTTGTACCCAAACCCGTGTATATATATATTATTAAAACAAATTTTGCCTATTATTAACATTGCAATAAATGGGGGATAGCACATTTTCAGTCACGCCCAAAAAGTTACAAGGTGGCCTTCCCATAGTTATAGCCTGTTTTAAAACCAGCAGTAACTGTAGTTATATCATGATACAATGATACATCTACCATAAATCCATCTGTGAAACCTACATATTAAAATACATATAAGGCTACTTAGCCATCTTATCGGCCCCACGTAGCGTGACGAAGATCCCCATATTTTTTTTGAGCCCCGCGGCCACTGTCGCATCACGACCAGCTCAACCGCCTGGAGCTCAGCATCCCGTTTTTCTCATGTTTTACCTGAAGTTTTTATAGTTGATTTACCTATCAAAAATGGTGATTTTCCATGGGATTTAATGGGATTTATTAGGATATATGATGGTATACCCGGCCTGGTAATGACTAACAGTTTGCTATTGAAAATGGCCCAGTCGAAATAGTGGATTTTCCCATGAAACATGGTGGATCTTTCCATAGTTATGTTAAATTACCAGAGGGTAAACGTCTCGAAAAAAAATCCATCAATCACTGGTTGGTGGTTGCTGCTAACCCCTCTGAAAAATGATGGAGTGAGTAAGAGTTGGGATGATGAAATTCTCAACTGAATGGAAAAATAAAACATGTTCCAAACCACCAACCAGATCATTTTTGTCATCATCATTCCAAGTCAGAAACCACTTAACTGTATACTTGGTTGTGATATCACCATGGAGGTTGCTCCCAATACAGACACACGCATAGATGTATATAACATATTCAACGTCTATGAATATGTATGCATGTATGACGATGTATGATGTGTAAAATGTTATGTGTAGACTGTAGATAACATATGTGCAATATATATATATATATATACACATATGTATATATATATATGTATATATATATATATGTGTATATATTATGTATGTTATATTGAAATATTATGTGTATATATATGATATATGTAAACACTAGCACAATGACACAACCATGGCTTTCCGATTCGACATGGTCTTTCAGGCGACCAAACACCAGGTCCCAACAGGTCCCAGCTGACAGTTGACCCTGTGAACATGAATCAAGTCTGGATGGCGAAGGTAACCATATTTTTTTTGGATACACTATTTCGTGTGAAGAAAATAACACATGTACCATGGACAACAAAATCGAAAAGGGATGACCATGATTCGAAAGTCACGATTTCATGCCTCCTCTCCCCAGTCCGTTTTGAGTGGCTCCAGTGGCAGCGTTGGACTCACCTCTTTTTCCATGGATTTCATGTCCTGCAAATGAGGCTCGAGAATGGATCGGGCCTAGGGCGGTCAGTTGACGCAAAGTTCACCAAGGGCGACCAAGGCTACGGTAGATGGGGCCCCCGAAGCAGATGACGCATGCGATGGGTTGAGATATGGCTGTGTCTTAACTAGGGTTTTTGGTAGATACTGTATAACGAACAGTACGAACGATAGCGTGCTAAGTTGAGATATAAGTATTATAAGTTTCTTAACTAGGGTTTATGATGTTTATGGTAAATATAACGAACAGTACGAACTAGTTAAACGGGTTTATAAACCGACATTCACATCACAATGTTGGGGCACCATCCTGTGAAGTCTGTGGGGATATGACCATATCTGGCCAAAGCGACAATCACTGACGGCGCTCCAAAAATCCGAATATGTTTTGCGGGTAGATTGGGTTGATAAAAAGGTATAGTATAAACTATGTACATTTGCAGTACCTATTGGAGAAACCCTGCTTCGGAAATTAGATGATTTATGTCACAGAAAACATCAGAAGCATTCATATTTGTTTGTTTTATTATGGCCGTGTTTGACTAGGAAATGGTACTCGGAATTGGGTATTGCAGCAGTATTGCACTGCCATGTACCAGTAGAATACTTAGAAGGGCAAGTCAGAGGCATGTGTCGCCCTACTCATGAGAGTTTGTGAACATTTGGCGAGGCATGTGTGATGGTCATGCTTTCCATATTCCTGAATTTGCTGACGGCTCCTTCCCCCAAAAAACAACAATACCTCATATCCCTTATGGATTCCAGATAATGATGTATTTCCCATTGGGATAGTTTACCAAACAACATCACCGACTAAACACATCCAATATTATTAATTAACCACCATGATTAAACAATCTGAAAATCGAAGCCATGTATTGCGCGCATTTTTTTAACAGACGGAGCTGTACATGGCGTCATCATCTACGATTCTGAAAATCCCCAGCTGGGTAGTTCTGTCTCCCCAGAAGCAAACAATTCTATTAAGTAATTATCAAAGATGATCAAAGTACCTCAGCCAAGGTTTACACTGCAAGTTTATGCTATGGCTTGAAGTGGATTCAGGCTTTCACGACTGAAAAACCGGCTGAACGGCTGGAACTTTATACATAGTCAGATTAGGGTTTACAGTGATTATATACTCATCTTCATGGAAAAAAAAACAAATAAAACAAGGGCTGCTTGGTGGTGTCAACGTCAAAAATAGGGAAAATCATGGAAGCTGGAGAACATGTTCCCTAGGATGGAACATTCAATACATATGGTGGTCAAAAGCCTACCCGGATGGTACCCCAAGTCATAGCTTATTCCCCTAATATGGTAACATATGGAAACATATGGTAACAGTAGGTGCAATGATCCAGCCCTATATGTCAAGCTATCAGAATTCTGTCTCAAAGTTCTCTTTAAAGTACAGTGCCAATGTTCAATCACTTCTATTTTTGATATATTCTGATTGATCTGCATGTTCTGAATCCAAAAACTCATGTGTTGGATCCTGACATTCATGGTTTCACTTTACATTCACATGTCACATGTCGCTTCAATTCTGTTTGGTCGGATGATGAAATCCCCAACTGGATGCAAAATCAAAAGAATCATGTTCCAAACCACCAAACAGTTACTAATAATTCACCATTATTAACTAATATTAACCATTAATAATCCCTATAGCCCCATATTAAATATCAACCAGAAAAAATAAACAAAATTCAGATGGGGAACTTAGTCATCTTAGATTTCTTTTTTAAAAACGTTATAACAACATGTTGAAAAACAACTTTCCCATCTCGGAGATTTCACGTTGGGAAATGCCCCCAAAAACATGACACACTGCAAATCCAAGACTATAGTTCTATCATGTTCTATCCCACATTTAGTTCGATGATTTTCCCAGCGAACTAAACCTCCGTTCAGTTCTGAGCTTTTTTCCATATGGGTAAAAAGAACATGGAAGCTTCACGGGTCTCGGTCAACCACGGATCACATTTTCAAGTCCGTTCAGGTTTGTGTGGCAAGTGTGGGACGGTCAATTATCATCCTCTTTTAGAGATCTATAAGGTTTTAAAGCTTTTGGAGGGTGGAAATGCGATCAGGGTACGACAAAGCTCCATGCTAGGATTTTGAGGGGAAAAGGTGTGCAGAAGAAGAAACCAAACATGTTCACTGTCGGAATCTCAACAAGCGCAGCTTTTGTCCTACCACGTGGTGGCTCATCCCACTTACTAAGTGGGTTAGTTCACCCTGATTTTGATAGTGGGATAAGCAAGGTTGATCCACTTATAACTAGGGTTATAATCTACTTGCTAAGTGGGATGGGCCACCAAGCAGGGCCAATCTTCGATACCCTGTAAAAAAAAAAACTGGTTAGTAGATAATTCCATTGATACCAAAAGACTAAAGTAATAAACTACCCATCCAAGATTGACCTAGAGTGTATACTACGAGCCAAATCTGTGACAATCTTTTCTGCAAGCAGGTGGCTTCATCCTCCGCCGGAGCGCTCTCTAGAGCCTGGTTATGAGCCAGATTCAACTGGCACATTACAGGCTTGAAAAATCATCGAGTCTCACAGTTATGACCCAACTAACACTTATTTCTATGGGTTTGTAACGATATACAACCTTAGTTAGAGGAATTATCATTCCATTTATAACTCTTAGTTGGGCCATAACTGCACCTTCTATGGCTGTTTGATCACCCCTTCTATGGCAATGGAAAACCTGAAGATTTACTCCAGGTGCAATACCCATTATTATAGGTCAATTTTTGTTGACCATGATGGGTTTAATACCTATAGTGATAAACCCAAGTCCAGCAAAATCTCAATTGATGACTAGCGGTCACACCATGGCCGACCATCTGAAATCAGCCGAATGTATCAGCCGAATATGTTAGTATTCGGAATATCCCTTAAATTATACTTATAATTACTGGTTGGTGGTATACCTACCCCTCTGAAAAATATGAAAGTCAGTTGGGATGATGACATTCCCAATATATGGAAACATAAAAAATGTTCCAAACCACCAACCAGATTACATGGCTTTTCTGGATTTGTAAATCACTCATATAAGTCTACTATAGATGTAGAATCATATAGACGCATATACCATCTAGATAAACATGTATATGTATATATATATATATTTATACTTCCATTCTAAACGATGTAATGTGGGCAAACCAATAATAAACCATCCCCCAAATCACAATTTGTATAGGTGGTATGTTTACCATTCCCAAATTTGGGTGGTTTATGATTGTTTTACCCGCATTAAACCATGGTATTTTTAAGCACCTATAGTTCTTTTTTGCAACCAACTGGGATCCACTTATTTTTTCCTATCATCCAGTTGACCATCTAGTATATTATTATAGGTCAATTTTATAGTGAATGGAAAGTCATAAAATTCATGTTCCAAACCACCAACCATTAACCATTAACCACCACTATTAACCATAGATTAACCACTATTAACAACTATAGACCACTATAAACAATCATGAACAATATGAACCAGTTATTATTATAGCTATCATCCAGTTAACTCCACCATCCTCACCGCCAGCGCCTGAATCAGAGGAGATCCTTTCGCCGCCTGACGGGTTCCAAGTCGGCGCGGAAGCGGCGCGGTGAAGAAAACTGAAAACGGGGGTGCCAAGTTTTGGCTCAGCTAACACTTATTTTTTGACGGGACTTATAACGATATACAACCTTAGTTATAGGAGTTCGTTCCATTTACAACGGTTAGTTGGGCCATAACTGTCCCGAGAAAATATTTACATCGCAATGAGAACATCCTGATTGGGATTATCATGGGCTTATATTGTTGTAATATATTATAATCATGAATCATGAACATATATCCTCACTCATTGGGATAATCTTTGTATAAAATATGATCATCATTTACCATCTGGTAATTTAACATAGCTATGGAAAATGGCCCATTTAGTTTGTTGATTTCCCTATTAAAGATGGGGATTTTCCAGTTTGCTATGTTAAATTACTAGAGTGTAACTATAGTTACATCTACCATAAACCATAATTCAACGATTACCTCATTCAATAATGTCCTTTTGGTAAAAATAGAGGGGCCGGTTTGGTAAACCACATATCATCATTTACCTTTAACTTAAAGGGGTAAACAAACCCCTCTATTCATCAACCAACCAATGGGAAAAGGACATCTAAGAGGACCTAATTATTATTCAATGATTATCATAAACCTATTGAACCAAATTACCAGAGGGTAAATTTAAAAAAAAAACATGTTTGATGGGGATCATTGAGATCATTGTGCAAATCCCCATCGGGACGAAATGCTAAGGGACATCTGACAGGAAAACCCCATATTTAATGGGAAAATCTATGGTTTCCAGTTAAGATTTTTCCAAGAAAACCAATCCATTGAAACAATATCCATGTCTAAGTGGTGGATTTTCCATTGTCATGTGTAATTATTGGAGAGTACATATCTCAGCAAATCCCCATAAAAATATTCTCACATGAAACCATTTGCTATGAAAGAAAACCAACATATATATATCACATCAATATTCTCCTTATGATGCTCCCAGTATATACCATTATATCATATATCTAAAGATACAAGGTGGGTCCCCAAGTTGTATTGCTTATAAACCCCATGAAATATAGTCGTATCAAAGTTATATCTACCATAAAGCATACTTAGTTACTTGGCCATTCTATCAGCCAACTTAGCTATTACAAACACATATCAATCCCCATTTTTCAGGGCTATCTCCAACAAAGTTATAAGTCAACTTAGCTATCTGTGCCATTGGTTTTCCACCCTGTACCCTCCGGTGATCTACACATGCATTGTTCATTGCTCATGTGGAAAGCTGTCTGACCTACTTAGAAGAAAGCGGAAAACACCCCCAAAAAAATGATGTTGATAATGGCCACAAAGGGACGTGGAACAGTTTTCCCATATCATAGGACCCGCCAGCCCTGGGGTTCCCCGAGCCACCGAATGTCTCGCTGAGGTGGATCAGTGTCCGTTTTCCTTTTTTTTGGGGGCTCAGATGGACGCTGTAGTCCTCGCCGTGTACGTGTCTCTTTCCATATCATGGTTACTTCGCTGCAGCGGGTGTGATCTGTGGCCGACGTTTCGACCGACGTGCGCGCAACTTTGGGAAGTTCTTCATGTTTCTCGGCTGAACCTTTTGTTGGCACGTTGGTTGGGGGGTGGGGGGGGTGGGGGGGGTGTAATAGCGTCCTGTCGACGACCTTCTTGACGGTCTTCGTGATCTTGCAACATCCAACATCCAACATCCAACACGCTCTTGATGCTACGCTGTGGCACTTCTTCTTGCAACATCCAACACACTCTTGATGCTACGCTGTGGCACTTCTTCTTGCAACATCCAACACGCTCTTGATGCTACGCTGTGGCACTTCTTCTTGCAACATCCAACACGCTCTTGATGCTACGCAGTGGCACTTCTTCTTGCAACATCCAACACGCTCTTGATGCTACGCTGTGGCACTTCTTCTTGCAACATCCAACACGCTCTTGATGCTACGCAGTGGCACTTCTTCTTGCAACATCCAACACGCTCTTGATGCTACGCTGTGGCACTTCTTCTTGCAACATCCAACACGCTCTTGATGCTACGCTGTGGCACTTCTTCTTGCAACATCCAACACGCTCTTGATGCTACGCTGTGGCACTTCTTCTTGCAACATCCAACACGCTCTTGATGCTACGCTGTGGCACTTCTTCTTGCAACATCCAACACGCTCTTGATGCTACGCAGTGGCACTTCTTCTTGCAACATCCAACACGCTCTTGATGCTACGCTGTGGCACTTCTTCTTGCAACATCCAACACGCTCTTGATGCTACGCTGTGGCACTTCTTCTTGCAACATGTTGGTTGGTGGGTTGCAACTGAATACCATATATTGAACCTGTCCATAACTGTCAAGAGTGCATACGAACCCCTAGCACCACATTCATTGAACTTGTTTTTGAGAGATGATCCTTTTGTTTTTATCCTATGAACTGTTCTAACTCATGACGTTGACATTAGAAAGATGTTTCATGTAGAAAGATCTCTGGTCAGCAGAGCTGCCTTGAATGGCGCCAGGTAATTCTTCAATCTGCTGGTGTCTTCGGTTCATGCCCTGCAGATGTTATTTATGAGATGTTGACGGATGGTCCTCTTTTTGTGGAGCCCAGAGCCTTGATTCGGAATCTACCCTTGTTACTATCGGAATGGAAAGCGCAATATCTGATGTGGCGCAACAATGAACCTCCGGCATTTCTGGCTGTGTCTCTCAAGCAATTGGCTGCTGGATGGGTTCGTCTCTTCGAAGGCAAGTTCACTGAGGATGATTTCATCAAATTTATATGTGGGAAAAGTTCTTTGTCAATCCTGATGCAGACGCTCTGGGCCAGCATAGAGATTTCAGAGACTGCATCTGAGCGAATGAAGAACCATGAGGTGTTCACAGGCAAGGCAAATAGACGCAGGTCTGGCTTGTCAATTTCGCCACGTCAGAGGGTGGCAATCGAGTTTTGGCCTGGGCAGCCGATATCCGATTGGCTTGCGCAACAGCTGAATTCATTGATTCGCAAGACATTAGCTTCGAACCGGGTGTCCTGGAGTTCGACACGGCTGCAGCGGCCATTTCACGCAAGCCAACGCAAAAAGATCTGAGCCTCGTATGTGTTTTGCTCCTGTTTTCCACTCAATAAGATGTCAATCTGTTGCACGCTTTTCAAGTCGGTTGATGAGATGTCAATCAATAGTATTAAAATGCAAAGCACTTGTCATTCTGTAACTTCCCTCTTGCATGATCTCTCAGGAAAGATGCTTCGCACAACCGCAAGCGTGCGGAGAGGTCTGGAAAGACATTGGTCGGAAAAACTGCACGAAAGACTTTGCGCAAACCTGCAGCTGCTCGTGTGAGTCCTGTGAAAAAACCATTCACAAAGGAAGACACCTTATCTTCAAACTCAGAAAAATCAATGGCCAAGTGAACACAAAGAGTTACGCAGTGCTTCCGCTGCCTCCGAAAGTTGCTTCCAAAGGGTCCTCGGCTGGTGCAGAATCTTTCTTGGAAGTAGCCAAAGGAGTGAGTCAGAAGTTGAAACCAGGGAAGCACAATCGCTTCTGCAGATGGCTCCCCGGCGCTGCAAAAAGCAGCTGGTCTTGCCAAGACTCCAAGTTTGAAAGGTGTTTCCCATCTCCGCTTCGTATTTATGCCGCTGGCCACCCTCCCCAAAAAAGGTATGACCCAAGACTATGTGACACAGCTACGCAAACTGGTGCAAGATGGGATGGCAAAAGAAAGGAAAGACAGTTTCATATTGGCAGCTGGTGACAATGTGGCTGAAGGTTTGGCAAGTGTATCAAAAGGACAGCTGAGACGGATGGGTCTCTTGTCAACCACTGCGCGTGACAAGATCGAGCACCGCAATCTGCTGTGCGCGCACTACTTGAACAAGGAGCCTGGCTTGGAACGCGTTCTTCGAGCTCTTGCCGTACATAGGCAAAAAGCGTCAAATGGATTAACAAGTCCATCGCAATGCTTCCAGAAACCTTTGTGGAACTCGTGACCGCTGTGAAAAGCACAAAAAAAAGGTGACTATCAGCTTTTGGGCCGCTGTGGCAAACACAGATTGTATTGGTATTTGCAATGAATTTTAATGGATCTCCATTTTCCTTGGCGTTCGCAGGGGTTTTGCATCATCATTTTAATGACTATGTACGGACACTTGATAAAATCGGCAACCTTTCCACGGAATTTGCTTCTTCCATTCTTCAAAACCAACACATTTTGTTAAATTGATGCTTCTCATCGACGGACATGTTTCAAAAATGTCCGCGCGCCCCATGATCAACAACTGATGAGTTCACATCTTCAGAAACACCAAAAACATTGGAAAACCCCATATAAAATGGACATTTGCCTATGCAATGGATCTTGGAAAAAATGATGCTCCCGGGTAACCTAAGGGCCGGAGCGTCATAGGATTCAATGTGTTTCCAATTGGGTTTGATCGAGTTTTAATATGCATTGTCATGGGGATATCAAATTTGGTTCTTTGTGATCCATCGCCAAGTTGGTGTATTTACAAGTAGGATAAAATGGTGTTGACCAATAAACAACCAATGGCAGTGAAGGGTTTCCCTTGAAAATTAGCCACTTGGATTTGTAGAGGATATATTTGATCAAGTGCCTCCCTCGAATAAATACACAATAACCCCAATAACCCCAATTTTTATACACTTCACTTGGTGGCTCATCCCACTTAGTAAGTACTGGTTGGTGGTGCAATAACCATCTTGAAAAATATGAGTTCGTCAATGGGGTCGGGATTATCCCAGGATGACATCCCATATATGAAATGGAAAATAACATTCATGTTCCAAACCACCAACCAGAGTAGGTTAGTTCACCCATTTATAGACGGATTTTCCACTGTAAACCATCCAGCTATTGGGGTACCCCCATTTATGGAAACCCTCTATCCTAGTTATAAGTGGATTAACCCTAGTTATAAGTGGATTAACCTTACTTAAACATCCCACTCTGGGATGAGCCGACAAGTCATGAGTGATTTTACATGTCCACCAACATGAAAGGTTGCTGTCCTACGTTGAGTCGGCACGTTCAGAAAATACTGCAGTACATGGTGACAACAAAGGAAACGTGGTGCCCAGTTTGAGTTGGCTAAGTTGACATAACTCGTTTAACTAGGATTGATGGTGGGTACATCGAAATAGGTATGTAGACGACAACAATGAACCAACAGTTCACATTCGCGGACACCACCTTGTAGTGGAAAACAACCAATCTGATGACCCATCGATATCATCAATATGGAAAATGAATCGTTATCATGGCTTATTTGATTGTTGTTTACATACATTAGCGAGTATATCATGTACAATTATATAATATATACGTAGCCTTTATATATAAATATATATATATATACGTACGTAATTGACCTTTATTCCAATATTAGACTCACACGGGTATGTCTGAAAATCAGGTATACCCCAATTGTAATCGATTGGTATCATGATCCTCACTGAAATGATCGGAGGGTATACTCCATTTTCAGACAAATCAATATTAGACTCATCTAAACTATATATATATATATTTACATATATATATATATATACATATATATACATATATATATATATATATACATTTATATATATATATATATGTATATATGTATATATGTATATATATATATATATACATATACATATATATATTTACATTTATATATATATATGTATATGTGTAAATATATATATATATATTATAAACATATATATAAATATATATAAATATATATATACGTATATATATATATATCTCTCTCTCCAAATCTAAATCTGAATCGAAATTCTACGGACATTCCAATTAATTCGACTCATCTAAAATCATCTTGGTCAACCGTCGCCTGGGCCCCGGCCACCACGGCCACGGCCACGGCTCCAAGAAGTGCCCGGAGCATGGCCGCCTGGATTCAAACAACGGAAAAAAACAGAGGTTTATGGTTACCCTCTGGTAAACTAACATAACTATGGAAAGATCCACCATTTTCAATGGGAAAACTCACTATAAATGGCCATTTTCAATAGCTATGTTAAATTACCAGAGGGTAGATTAACTTGTGGTTTATCAACGTTTTTTTGTTCACGGAGGTTTAGAAATATAACTTATGGTTTATCAACTTATGGTTTATCAACTTATGGTTTATGGTTTTAGAAATATAACTCTAGAATATTCAATCGATAAGGGCGTTTTGAACTAATCACCCCCCAACAGTTTTGGTATAATGATAGATATATCAAAGTAGATAGGTACCAACAGTTGGTATATATCAGTATATGTATATATCTCAGCATAATAAATAGTTGGTACAACTATCTAGTTTGTATAATGATGGTGTATGGTAGATATATCGAACTAGATATTGGATTTGTTTTAACAAACGGTAGTAATTCTTCGGGTCCCACCATTTAGGTATATATTGAAATGGTCATATATATATATATAATTATATATATATATGTATGATATATATATATATATATGTATGATATATATATATATGATATATATGATATATATGATATATATATATATATATCATATATATATATATATGATAAATATATGGGGGGTGCGTCAAAATTCGGGTATGGATCGACGGTATGGATTGGCCTGTGGGTTCAGGGTATGGATCGGCGGTAAATTTTGACTCGCAGCCATATATTTATATATATATGTATGTATGATAACATATATATATATATACCAGTATGTATTGAATACTGAAGATATACCATGGTTTGGTTTTGTTGGAAACAAAACGGCCGGAAACCACTGTTTTTGCGAGTGACATGCAGATAAGTTGTTGGGCTGAAACCAACAGGTTTCCCTTTCATCCAAGTTGGGAAAACGTAGAAACATGTCAAAGTTGCACAGAAAAGAAACATGATACAATGTGGGCCCCCCAAACGATAGCAAAGTTGGTTTATGAGTCCAATCACTATGGTTTATTATACTTATAACTACAGTTCATGGGGGTTAAAAACCAACTTATAACTGGGGGGGCACCACCTTGTATCTAATTGGACAAACACAAATGACTTTCGAACCAACAAGTTGGAGATGGTTGCTAAAAGAAAAGCCTAAACAAAACAACAACACTTAGGATCTAATCCAACACATGGCGTCACAGCCAGCCCTTGTTTGGGCATTTTAAAAACCTAACCCGGTGATCCTTAGCTCCCACAAATCACAACAATCCATTGGGTGTACTTTAAAAATGCACTTACCCTCTGGTAAACGTTTACATAACTATGGAAAGATCCACCATTTTGAATGAGAAAACTGACTATAAATGGCCATTTTCAATAGCTATGTTAAAGTACCAGAGGGTACTCAAGAGTAGCACAGCACGCTTACATCTAGTTCAATAGTTCAATATTAGTTCAATTAGTTCAACTCCAAGATCAAAACAGCAGCATGTTCTATCTTGGAAGATCATCCCAATAGGTAGCTGGTTAGTAACCATAGTTATGACCGATTTATGCTATAACGAATCGGGGACTTCCAATCACCATATATCCATAGGATAATCCTCTAAGATACCAATCACTACTCCATAGTCCATTGATTGTCCTTTATATTTCCATTAAACCCATCAAACCCATTATGTATCCAATTATACTTACAATCCGTGGAATGATCCTCCAAGTATTAAATAAGCCAATATTCACCCTCATCATCCATCACCAAAAATAATGATTTTTAATCATTGTACACCTATGGCCCTTGACATAAATATTATAAATGGAATAACTCCTATAACTAAGCTTATATATATATATATATCGTTATATCGTTCCAAGATATTATTAGCCCATATAATATATAGCTGTTAAGGCCCAAAGCTGTATCTCCTCTTAAATCCCATGAATAAGCCATTTGGCATGATCCTCGACCGATCCAAGGCTGTGTTCAACCCAGCCTTGGTGGCGGCTGCAAAGACCCCCCCGCAGCCCCAATCTTTCAACGCTGGAGCCAGATGTGGAAAGTCAGAATTCGCTGTATCCATTTGCCCCCTGTCGCTTCGCTGGGGACTAAAATTAAACATACTGAAACCTCACAAAAATATGAAGAAGCAGCAAGAAACCTTGATACAATACAGTTAAAACCCAAAATACTAGTTATTTTTATGGTTTTAAATTGCAATAAATGGGGTTATCATTCCATGAATTGGAATTAACCTAAAAAGGAGGTACGTTAGTATCATGTTTCAGACCATGTGTTGTGGGGATATTCCCTCAAAGTCAGCCCTAAAAAATGCGCCTTACATATTTCTAATACATGGTAATGGTATGGAATGATATGGAATGATATGGAATGATATGGGATTGTATTATCGCAGCAAGAAACCTAGCCATCGTATGATCTGGATGGTTGATATTAAAACCTCAAAAGACGGTGTAAACAATGGTGATGATGGTAATTTAATGATATGAGGTAATGATATAAATGGGAATCAAATGTCCAGTATCAAAAAATTGATGATATAATGATATGGAATATAATGATATAAAATATGATATGGGATATTATGGGCTAATGATGGGAATGATATGGGAATGCTATGGAAATGATATGGAATGGAAATGATATGGGAATGATATGGGAATGATATGGGAATGATATGGAAGTGATATGGGAATGATATGGGATTGTATTATCGCAGCAAGAAACCGTGATACAATAGGAGATAATGAGAGATTTTTCTATAGCAATATGTAGCAGTAATATATGACATGGAGGATTGATATTACACTGTGGTAAACGTTTACATAGCTATGGAAAATCAACATGTTATAGCTGGGCAAATCAACGAACTAAATGGCTTCAGGCTTCAATAGCTACGAGACAGTCATTACCAGAGGGTATATGGTTATATAAAGTTATAATATATATATATGTATATTTTATCTGCAATATTTAAAACCAATATCAACATCAGTATTAACCATTATATAAATTACCATCAGTATTACAAGAGGCTAAATAGCTTCAAATTTCATGAGCCATTCAGTTGTGGATCTATGAATTTTGAGGAAAACCTTTTGGCTGCTTCAGGACTTGTTCCCCGGAAATGCGGTCAGTCACTCCCCGGTCAAACAACAACAAAAAAAAAACATTGTTTTCATGATGTGTTTTTAGACTCTTTGAGTTGGTAAGTGAAGACTTTTCACCATTGCTGGACAGTGGATTTCCTAGGAAAATGCCAATTTCATCATCGACCAACCGCAAATCCAAGACTTGGTGATAACCATCGTTAGTTCATCCATATATATATATGTAGATATAATCCACATTTCGTTAGTTAGTTCGAAGATTTTCTCAGCTATAAACCTCCGTTTAGTTCGGTGGATCTTCCATCCTGTGGGCAGTTGGGGTTTTGTTTCGGGGCTCCAAGTCAACATCTGCAAGATGAGAGTCCCAGGAGTGGCGTAATGTTTGTTGATTTGAAAAGCCCATGACTACTATACAGGATGGGGCCCCCAAGATAGCGTTCAGTTGAGGTATGGCTGTGGCTGAATTCTATGGTTTATGGGAGATATAGCGAACTTAATGGGGTTTATGAACTAACAAACATAACTGGGGGGCACCATCCTGCAGTATCTGGGTAAATGTTCGGACATTTTGGGGTACTTCACCCTTACGAAGCCTCATTCCAGATTCAGAGAGAACAGTGAGGTCGCTAGAATTTACCCAAATGGTATAGCATGGACAATCTTTGGTAGTCCACAAAAATATCAAAAGAAAAAAGTTGCTTATGCAAGAAAAACAACATTTATATATATATATATAGCAAACAACCTACAATGTGGGCCCCCCGAACGATAGCTGCTCCGCAAGTGGAAATTACATTTAAACCATTATATATCCATAGTTTACCGTTACCCTCTGGTAATGACTAACATAGCTGTAAATTACCAATTAAAATGGTTATTGTCCATGGCTATGTTGATTTACCAGAGGGTATTAACGATAGTAATCATAGTTGCATTATTATGTAACAATGATGTATTTATAGTACTTATCTGGGCAATTTAGAATAAATCTTACCTCGTCATCTCGTGCTTAAATCGTGAAACCGGAACATGTAGTGATCTCGTTAAATGAGCATTTTATGTTTAACCCCTCGTCGAACACAGCCCAGTTTTGCCTTGCAGATACAGCCCTTTCATCCCATTCAAGCCTCACGCCTTCTCTTTGGCGGGGACAAGTCTTGCAAAATGCTTGGCGGGGACAAGTCTTCCAAAGACTGGAGGAGAGGGAGAAGGGAAAAAAACTTTTCTAGGGGAGATTTTTTTTTTGGCTTGGACCAAATGGCAAGTGAAAAAAACATTTTTAGGCTGCGAAAAGTTTATTTTCTCTCCCCGGCATTCAGCGTTCCAGACTAGGAAAAGTTGTTCTTCTCGAAACAAGGGTCTGCATTTCCTCTTGAGAACGGGAAGCAACAACCACAAGCATGGCCAACGGCTACAGGAAAATGAGCTTTCAGAAAAATTGCTGCAGAATCACAGCTTGCCAAAAAAAACTTTTCAGCTCCAGAAAAGTTGTTTCCATGTCCCTTGCCATGGAAACGGTGTCTGATCACCCACCTCGTCTGACTGAATTTAGTTAAACCACCTCGTTAAAACCAAAAGGCTACCTCGCACCTCGGCTGTCCTCGCTATAAATTGCACAGACTTAACTTATTAAACCATGAATAACGATTAGGGCTTATTAATCACCTATTGTTGGGGGCGTATCAACCATTATCAATCACTATTAACCATTATATATACATATATATCCCATTAAACCCCATTATATAAATCCCATTTATAAACCATCATCAACTATTAACTGTCATCAACCAATATTCACCATACTTGGTGGCGAACTACCCACGCATCCAAAGTAGGTTATATCACCCTGGTTTTGTGAAAGCGGGATGTTTGTAAGGTTAATCCCCTGAAATAACTAGGATTTTATCTAGCCTACTTAGTCCAGACGGTGGGTAGTTCGCCACCAAGGAGCCAGTCCATTGATGATTTTGTGGCTCGGACATGTTGAGATGATTATCCATGTTTATATCTCTTTATCATCACAAAGATCCATGCAGTTTTACCATCACTAAGATCAACTTGTTTGGCTCGGAAATTTTGACCCATGCCTGTTTATTTATCATCACTAAGATCAGAAAGTATAGAGCCTAGAGTCAAAACATGTCAAAACCATGTTACCCTGGTAAACGCCAATATAATTAAATTGCAAATGGATGTTGATCTTTCTAGAAAACCGATGGCTACTCCAATCTGGCAACAGGAAGTCCGCAGTTTATCAGATTATATGTTATAGATCCTATACATAATATATATATATATATGATATGAAATAATATTATACATATAATATGATACATATATATAATATAAATTAATATAATATATAATAACATATAATACATATATAAATAATTTTGTATTATGTTACAGGTGTCTTCGCGGAAACGCAAAGGATTTCATTGAATTTCCCATTGCCCGGTTTCACCAAAAACGGCGACATCCTTCGCTTTTTCTCACAGCGATGAAAAACGTCTTTTCGTCTCCTGGATGAAAGTGGACCTTTGGTCGACTTTCCACTGGTTGGTTGGGTATATTTGGGGATAACCCTAATATCTTAAACCCCAATAGTTGGGATATGGGGCTCCCCTAGAAGTATGGTTGTTGTATATGGTTATATAATGTCTGGTTGGTGGTATCCCTACCCCTCTGAAAAATATGAGTTCGTCAGTTGGGATTATTGTTCCCAATACATGGAAAAATAAAAGTCATGTTCCAAACCGCCAACCAGTCCAAGATTCAACGGGAGCTATGTCATCTAACGGTCTTCGACGCCACAGAACTGCAAAGGACAGAAACAAATCCAGTTCCTCAATCTTTTGTGGTATCAAATGGTATACCCATGTATACCCTCTGGTAATTTAACATAGCTATTGAAAATGGCTATTTATAGTTGATTTTCCCATTAAAAATGGTGATTTTCCATAGTTATGTTAGTTTACCAGAGGGTAAATTCCAATCTATCCCAGATGCTCCATGTATGGCATGTATGGAAGATTTACCAACATTTCCCCGAACAAAATCACCCAGTTATGTAGGTAAATATACCAGCACCATGGAGCATATGGGTATATGGTACGCCTAGAAATATTAGACATTGCCACTTTCAACGACGGAACATGCTTCTGATTTCATGCATGATTTCATGATCAACTTGATGGACAATCATGGCGAATCCTCGCATGAATCACCCAGGGTTGAGGCTTTCCAGGGCCAATGAGGTTCAAACACGTGGTTTTTGTTTGGGATTCAGCCACTCATCCTAAGATGAATATGAAAGCAACTTCTGGATCATCATTCCATTTCCATGATTCAAAGTGTTGGGCATATATGAAACGATTCGAAACCACAATAAGCAGTCAGAATTTACCGTTCCATCTTGTGGGATTTGAACATTTGCCCCCGATTTTTGATGCAACCTGTTCAAGCTGTTCTTATTGACTGAACACCTCGCAGTTCTGAGTGATTTCCTATCCCTCGGCCAATGACGGGGGTGTCTGGCAAATTGATCACATTTGAGGCACACATATCATGATGAGGCTGACAACGTCAGCATGAAGAGAACGAAAATGGAAAACCAATGGATACTGTAAAAACTTCGCAGTGATGTCTTATATCAGGGCAGCAGCTGGGATTATTAATGGGTATAAAAATATAATCAATATAGCGACGGACATATACTTAGAACATCATTTTCCAAAATATCTGAACCTTTTCTTAGAACATTAAAACACCCTATACTTAGAACATCAAAATATTTCTAAGTACCCACTAAGAACATCAAAAACAACATATACTTATATAGAACATATCCTTTGATTTTTGCATACTTAGAACATTAAAAACACATATACTTAGAACATTTCCAGTTACTTTAAGTTACTTTGGTAAATCTGCATATATATATACACAAATACCTTGGTGAACACCATACTTAGAACACGTTCTCCCCTCACTGCTGCAGAAAAGCATTATATACCTTTTCTTCGGGAACAATATCCCAAGCAGTCTTTGCTGCAACACACGGACTTGCACTTCAAACACACATATATATATATATGTATGGTTCCCATTGGTTCCCCACTGGGATGTTCTAAGTATAGGTTTCGAAATGTTCGAAGTATAGGTTTTGGGTATGTTCTAAGTACCGATTTTAATCCCCTACTTAGAACATCCCAGCCGTGCGGGTTTTCATTTTGTTTTTCCAAAGTATGTTCTAAGTACAAGTCCGTCGCTATAATATATACGGATCCAAACTCAACCAAAAACATCCAAAACACAAAATTAGATAAGATATAAGATATAAGGATTCAAATTCAACCAAAAACATGTTAAGAAAACATCCAAAAACACAAAATTAGAGAACACTTTAAACATCTTTAAACAATTCCCCAAAAAAGGTGACCCCCAGCCCAAAAGAACGCTCCCCAAAAAGGCTTGATGGGTTGGGCGATTCTTCACCCGCAGCCAAAAAATCAGGGCTGGTGAACCGGGGGGTTGTTGAATCCCAATGATGTGAAACCGTGGCTAAAGATTCCTGCATATTGGAAGAAACGCGTCCATGGATGAAATAGTTACTAATTGAATCATAGGTTTTCACAAGCCGTGAAAACTCTCCTTGCACTTTACAAGACCCATGGCTATGTGGCTCTACAAAATAACCAAAAAAAACTTGAGATACAAACCCTGTGACCATCGCCATAACTAAAAATGCAAGGCGCTTTCGGAATTTCGCGGCATCCTATAACACTATATCCTTTCGTCAAAATGAGAAAACATAGAACCCCTCAACAGTCAGCTGAAAGATATAAGATGCCTCCCAATCAAATAGGTGTATACCAATTACAGGATGGGGCCCCCGTTCGATAGTGTTCAGTTGAGATATCAGTGACTTAACTATAGGGTTTATGATAGATATGAGGAACTAGCTGATGGGGGTTATTAACCAACTTATAACTAGGGGGCACGATTCCTGTAGTAACCTTAACCTTGGCGAGCCAGAACATCCCCCAATATTGAGTTACGTGCTTTCCCACAGATCTAAACCTCTATGGCTTGTTCATGGATTTCCCGGCTTGCCACGTTTGATGACACCGACTTCGGGTGCGAATGTCGCGAATGTTTTGATTGCCATGTGAAAACGCAGTTATGGCATGTTATGGCCCTTTACCAGTTGTAAGTCAGTTATAGTCACTTATAATCCCATTTTTGGAATGATAAGCCCAGGAAAATCACCATTATTATAACTGGTAATTGCCATGTTCGAGGGAACCAAGTGATAGGATCTCTCCGCCGTGGACTAAGTCATGGTCATCCATGACGACTTGCTGATCACTGGGCGTACTTGGATGTGCATCCCACAAAGCGGATCCGTGGTTTATTATCCATTAATCTAACCCATCATCCCATATAAACTGGTTGGTGGTAAGACAACCCCTCTGAAAAATATGAAAGTCAGTTGGGAGAATTCTTCCCAACTGGATGGAAAAATAAAAAATGTTCCAAACCACCAACCAGTAAAATATAGGCGATATTCCATTACTCTAGCTGGGTTTTTATTCACCCTTTTACCATTCATGGGGCCCCCACTCCCAAGTACCCATGACAAAATGGACGCCTCCATCTCTAAAACAATGCGGATGCATGACTCATGAAGCGCTTCTTGGACAGCTCCGTCCTGAGACGTGGAGCTGTCTGAGACATGGAGCCCTTGACAAAGGTTTTTCTAAAAGCTGGCCAAGTCCTAAGTGAATGGCCCAATGAGCTATGAGTACCCTCAGATATTACACCTGGCAATGGACAATCGCACATTTATATACCCTCTGGTTATTTAACAGTTCGCCATGGAAGCCATGGCCCATAGAAATAGATTGTTTACCTATTAATAGCATGGTGATTTTCCAGTTTGCAATTTAGTCATAACCAGATGGTAGATGTTTTTTCTACTATAGCCCAATAAAAGATGGGAGTTTCTAATATCAAATGACCAAATGATGTAGAATCATTACCGTAAATCTGACAGTAAATCAACAATGTCGCAAATCATTCTCGGACAACATTATTGACCATCACTCAATAAACATTAACCAGAGGCTATTCCACCATTCATCACCATTAATCATGATATATCCCATTAAATGCCATTAATGATGTACCATCTGGTTTTGACTAACAGTTTGCCATGGAAAGATCCACCCATTTGTAATAGGTAAACCATCTATTTCTATGGGCCATCTATACCATGGTGAACTGTTAAATAACCAAAGGGTAATTCAAGAAAGAAGCACACAGATTTATCAATTCATACAACCATCAACTGCAAAGTCAGGTCTGAGTTAAACATTGGGCAAATAATTACCACATTCAATGGATTGTAAGACTGTCTGGAACCTGACATCACTGGATAGTCATCCATGAATATAGCGGAAACCACGATATATTACAGACAGAAGCAAACATAGCAAAACCACCAATTCATCTGGAAAATGTTGAAACATAATTCACCAACCCAAAATGCGAGAGGACCCAAATGCACTTCCCACATTCCCGTGACATCGCGACGGAGATCACGTACTGTAAGTGGGAGCACGAGTATGTAATTACTCTTGGTGATATAAACAAATCAGCTAATGTTGTCCGCCTAAATTTGGACATGTGAGTTTCGCATCAGTTTCATTGCAGTTTAGCATCAGCAAGTTCGTGAGGCTTCGAAATGACATTTGAAACAAAAAAAATCGCAGATCTACACAGATAAGAACACATATTGTTGAATCTTGGACATTATGATTACCTAATTATAATATAACATGACCATTGAAATGTTATAAATATTGTTATATCATAATCATATGATACCAATATCTGTAAATATATGTACATACATCCATTAAAATATCCACATTTTGGTCCTAAACAGTTCTCCCTTTAGCATGGCATTACCGTTACCTGTCGCCAGGCCGTTTGTCTGATAGGGAACCCCGAATCCAATGGTTTATCATCATTTTCACATTAAAAAAAATAATCAGTAGAACATGTTTTAAATCAGTAGATTTTCACATTAAATTGATTTAATCAATTCTATCATCATTTTCAATTTTAAATCAGTAGACTCAGTAGACGGGTAGACACCATGTTCATTGGATTGGTTTAAGGGACAATTTACTACAGGAAACCTCTATATTTAATGGTAAAAATCATGGTTTCCTGTAGGTGTTCCCAACAAAACCTATCCATTTACATGTTCAGAGTTGCCATATTAGGTTATTTACCATGGAAAAACATCACTTTAAATAGGTATATCATCTATTTCTATGGGCCATCTATACCATAGCTATGTTAGTCATTACCAGAGGGTAGATTATACAGATTATAAGGCCAATAACTATGGTTTATGGTTGGTAGATTATACAGATTATAAGGCCAATTATACAGATTATAATGCATGTTCAGATGAAAATGGCCATTTATAGTTGATTTACCCATTAGACATGGTGATGTTCCATGATTTTCCATAGTTATGTTAGTCATAACCAGAGGCTAACCCTAAAATTCCCAGGTGACCAGATCGACTCGATCGACCGAGGTCGCTGCTTCAATTTCTGCATCAGCTCCTGCCGCTGGTGTCCCAAACCTGTGGCTCCTCTGACTTAAATGACTTGCTTTATCTTACGTACTATCCAACTAGTCACACACACATATATATATGTATAATATATATATATATATGTATAATATATATATATATATGTATATGTGTGTATAATATATATATATATGTATAATGTGTATATATATATGTATAATATATATATATAATTATATATATAATTATATATATATATATTAAAATCATATAATAAAATCCTGATAATTTATAGTTGCTATAAACCATTATAAACCAACTTCGCCATCTTGCCGGCCCAACTTGGGGCCCAGCTTGTAGTTAGCGAAGTTGGTTTCAAGATTGTCTAAGTAGACTTGTTGGTGATAAAACAACTAGTTACGTGTGCTTATAAACCCACGTCACTGACATCTCATATCTAGGGGGCTCCACCGTCTGGTTTTTTAGCCTAGCCGGTGACTTCGAGTCAACATATCTGATGATTGGATTTTCATCTCGACAAACATCTTTAAATGTATTTGACTAGACCCATGATTCTCTCCCGCTCAGCTATCTTTTGGGCGGGCGCATCATTGCATCCAGGATCTCCATAGTACATCACCGTAGCAGATGGCGCCCCATAGCTAAGTTAACCAACATAACTACAAGGTGGTGCCTCCCAGTGATGTTTGTTGGTTTATAACCACCATTAAGTATAGGTATATCTACCATACACCAAAGTTATTGGGGTTATAAACCAACTTAGCTAACTATGGGGCACCACATTGTAGGTTTTATGGTAAATATATGTAAATATACCGTAAGTATATACCTGACTAGTTGGATGGGTAGTTATAAACCATTGTAAACCAACAGACAGAACTAGGCAGAACCACCTTGTAAAGATTGCCGTCCTCCAAATCTTTGGCTGCGTTCTTTGCCACCGCACACTGCCGCTCCAGTTCATCTAGGCCTCAATGGTTGCCGTTCACGACCAATTTTGAACTTTGATAAGATGAGTATGTTCAAAATCCTCTGTCATTTCATAATGATGGTTGGTTGATAAGGATTCCGAGTGCATGCATTATTATAATCCCATATAATCCCCAATTGCCAATATATTGGGTACAATGTGGTGCCCCCGGTTATAAGTTGGTTTATAAACCACATTAACTGTAGTTATAAGTATAGTAAACCATACTTATTGGACTTATGTGAACCCCAACTTAGCGTTCTCGTAAACGGGGGCCCCACATTGTAGTCAATCAACAGGGGCTGTGTTCACACTGCCCAAATGGTGTTGGATCTTTCAATGGATTGGTTCTGTCGGGAAAATTGAAACCGGAAAGCCCCATGATCTTAATTGGAAAATCTATGGTTTCCGGTGTAGATTTTCCCTGAAACCTATCCATTGAGTGTTACTTTGACTCTGGAATCTGTAAAAGAATCCAAGGCTTTTCCTTGAATCATAAGCATCCGCTGCCATCTGGGGTAAGGTTCGCGCGCATATTAGCTGCTTCTTCGAATCCTCGCCTCAGCTTCGAAACAAATTTACTGACACAAAGATCTGAAATGGCACAGAGATCGCTTGTGTCACAAAACCTGTGTCACAAAACCGATCGAACATGTCATATGGGTTTGTCTGAAAAAAGGTACCCCTAAATAATACCTATTTAAATACATTTAAATTGCTATTTGGGGATATACCCCATTTTCACACAAACCCATATGGAAATCCAAGTATAAACCAAACCTGATTTGAGAATTTCGGGTTTAACCAGAGAGGTTGGTAAACGGTCTTTGTTTGCTACATCATCCAACAATTCGGAATACAATATCCATCAAAATCATCAAATACTTGAAAATCATGTTCATAATCCCCGAAACGGAACATTTACCAATCACTAGTTAGTTAATCCATCATTATTATATGCCCATTATTCCATCATTATTCAATCATTCGCCGGCCACTTACCATGCCCTGAAGCATGGCAAATATCTTCACTCCTCAGCTTCCAACATCTGAGTTTCAAGAAGCTCACCAACTCGCTCAGGCTCTGCTTCCTGACAGGAATTGATGCGGATTTTGAGCGGAGCCACAACTAAGCCATATGTGTTGTTTGGAGGTTTCCTAAGTCATGGGGGTACATAGATTGCTGAAAAAAATGGAAAATCCATCTATAAATGGATGATTGTTTGGTGGTTTGAATCCCTCTCAAAAATATGAATTTGTCAGTTGGGACGATGACATTCCCAATATATGGAAAGTCATAAAAGCCATGTTCCAAACCACCAACCAGGATGGTTGTTTGGGGTACCCCCAATTTTGGGAAACCTCCATTTTTTGACCCATACAAATACGGCCAAGAACCATGTGAAGTCTGACCCTTCTAGCAGTTCTGACTGCTTTCGGCCAAATTTGTAGCTTATGGTTTCTGGAAAATGGATACAGAAATTGGACGACATATTTGAGTAAGAATATATTGCACACCTGCTCGTGAGAGTGCTCAAACATTTCTAAGCGGATTGTGCCCAATTTCAACCTAATTACTGACCAGCAGTGGTGTAGATACAACGCATGTGCAGGAAATGATGCTTCGATACTGAAGGATGGCTCGTATTATATTGATGGAGACATACTCCTCCATTGCTAGATGGATTGACAACTGTGTAGGCCCTAGAGTTGTGTTCTTTCTCTCCGCAAATGGACAACTAGCACCACTTATCAATAACTTTCCCAAGCACCTCTCAACTATTTTCCAACTAAGGGTGTTTCCTAAAATAGTGGTACCCATTTTCACCATTGATTTGCCCTGATCAAAAAGAACTATGCCTTGGATACTTTTTTGAGGACACTCATTTTTTTGAACCCCGCAATGTTCCATATGGTCTAAATGAATTATCACCCATTTGCCAACCACTTCTGAAACAATTTTGAATGTTTTAGCTGTGTTTTCGCAATGGCCTTGGAAAGCCAACATTTTTCTTGAGCTCGTGAGCAAACATATCCGTTTATGGTAAACGATTTAGCCTTTCTCCAACTATCATAGTCCCTATGAAATAGACATGACTTTCCTCTGAAAATGGGTGATTCTCAAGTTACAAGGTGGGGTCCCAAAACTTGAGCCAAAGTTTATTTTTGCAGCTGTGCTACGCTTAGCTTAACCAGAGTCTATGGTAGATACATCGAAGTAAGTAGTTCATGGTTTTATATACTTTATAAAGTTGTAACGTTTGGTGGCCCCGCCAAACGCATGTTTTTTGTGATTTATAAGGTGGGGGATATAAACCACAGAACTGAGGCTTATAAAAAGACCGGTTTGGTATGTTAAAATCATGAAAAATAATAAGTATGGACTAAACCATCATAAAGATTCATAAAGCCCATAGTTTTTGAAGTTACATTCCAACTTGGCTATCATCACATATCCTCATGTTTGATGGTTAAATCACCAGCTTTTCCCCACTTTTTCATGGCAACCTTCCCAGAACTGGGCTGGGCCTCAAGCACCTGGGTCTCCACACCTCGCATGGGGTACCCCAAAATGATGGTTACTCAAAAATCCGATGTAAAAATGGGTGATTTGGGGGTCCCACATTTTAGGAACCCCATGGGCCCATGGAACCCCTTGGTATAACTGTTCTGAAAATCATAGACTTTGCAATGTTAAGCTCTTCAAGTTTGGTTCTTATTTGTGCTAAAGAATCGAATTGGTCTTGGTTTTGGGTGAAAGCCTGATCGGTTGATGGTGGTATTATGATATTGCCTGGTTCGTGGTTAAACAACCCCTCTGAAAAATATGAGTTCGTCAATTGGGGCTATTATTCCCAATATATGGAAACATAAAATTCATGTTCCAAACCACCAACCAGTATTAATAACCAGTATTCATTCCCATGATGTTATATATATAATACAAACCATCATAAACAGCATATAATAACTATAATTATAACCATGTTTACCAAGGATGTTTTTTTAAACATTTAACTTAACAACCATAGATCCTGATTTCTTGGGCCTCGAAATTGATGCCCTGGAATCCCATAACCATATTTGAGTGACTTTGTGAAGTACCACCAAAACAAAACATAACATGGGATTCATAATATATACTGTTTGAGAATCACTTATTCCATGTGATAGGATTACTCATTCCATTTTTAAGTTGGATTCTGCTATTTGTTTTTTCTGTTTATTTGTTTTTATCTTGTTAGGATAACAAGAACATTACTGGTTGGTGGTTTTAACCATCTTGAAAAATATAAACGTCAATGGGAAGGATTATCCCAAATATGATGGACCATAAAAATCATGTTTGAAACCACCAACCAGTTATTAATAACATTTAACAACCATAGATCCTGATTTCTTGGGCCTCGAAATCTTGTTAGGACACCAAGATCATTAAGTGACTAGTCAACCATTGTGGAGAAAACCTTTGAATCAATGCAGCCTCCATCAGCATCTTCGGGCAGCAATTTCACCAAGAGCTTCTCTAACTTTTCAGCCTGGCAAACTCAAAGAACCGCTGAACATTTCACAACAAATCTAGTTGGTGGTATACCTACCCATCTGAAAAATATGAAAGTCAGTTGGGATGATGAAATTCCCAATATATGGAAAAATAAAATTCATGTTCCAAACCACCAACCAGAAATGGTCGTTTGGAAATGAACTGTCACTTCAGTGGATAACTCCACAAAATAGCCGGATATATGATGATTATTGATGATTAATATGGTGTTTTGAGTTCCTTAAAATAGCCTAAAGAACAAAGATACCAAGCAATCGGGGACAGGTTTAGCGGTTCTTCAATGGCGAATCCTCTACAGGGACTTGACCTTCGCCATGCTGGGATCAAAATGATCAACACCTTCGTAGCCTGCTGGTTGGTGGTGCAATAACCATCTTGAAGAATATTAGTCAATGGGAAGGATTATCCCATATATTATGGAAAATAAAAAATGTTTGAAACCACCAACCAGAACACCTTCGTACCCTGGTTTTCATGCCAGCACCACAGAACACGCAACATGCATAAAAACAGCATCAAGTGAGATAAGCTGGACCAGTTCCAGTTAGTTCCGTGGATATATAACATTCACCAGAGTTATAGGGGCCCCACATCTCAACTGCGGGTTTATGACCATGGGTCATACCATGGTTTGGCCCATCTCCATTTGTAACCTCAACAGCAATGACCATAGAAACGATGTCGCGATGCCCAGAGAAAACCGCCAATTCGTCTACAATCCCTGCAATGCGGGGCCCCCGTTTTCAATAGCTAAGTTGGTGAACATAAGTCCAATAAGTATGGTTTGTTATACTTATAATCCAATAATCCAATAACTATGATTCTGGTTTGTTATACTTATAACATCTTATAACTAATATAGTATTCATGGGGTGAATCTAAACCAACATTCACATCACAATTTTGGGGCACCACATTGTGCCTTCTTCTTCGCAATGAGCATGCCCTTCGCGGTCGCCTCAGTGGTGCCGAACTGCGAGCCGTTTTCACCGCCAAAGGAAACGCCGAACTGGGGTGAACAGCTAAACCTGCAAGTTTTCTGGGATGTATAGTAGATATATCACAATATATCTACACTTTTTGGATCTTAATGGGGGTTATAAACCAAGTTAATAACTGGGGGGGTACCTTGTAGGATATCATTCTGTAGTTTGATGGGCTTATAAACCAATAAAATCCAATAAACATCACTGGGAGTTTCGTCAAAAAAACGATCAAAATGGTGCCCGTCTCGAGGTCGGCGACGGTTGACTTGGCCGGACTCTTTACCCCTTTCGGACTGGAAAATTTGGCTTACTACATGATGGAAATACCCAGGTGCATCTACCTGGAACCCAAATGACCCCTCTTTTGGATGGTTAACCTTCAATTTTATGGGTCAAAATCTTCAAAACAAGGGTCATTTGGGTTCCAGGTACATGCATCTATATTAATTTCGAGATATGTTTGTTCGATCTGAACGTTTTCCAGGAAATTCCAATCCTCGACTATAACATCAGTATCTTAAGTTAACATAAGTTAACCATGGCTAAGATTATGAGTTTGAATCATCAGTTGTACTGGATTGTTTGTGATCATGGTATATTTACCAACATTTGCCCTAAATATCACCCAAAAGCAGGTAAATATACCATACATGGAGCATATGGGTTATCCAATGTAAAGTTTTGATTCCCATAGGCTGTTCTTCAAGTCGGCAGCTCCCTTTTGAAGTCCCCTCGACTTCGACATCTTCGAATAGCCTCTGGTAAACGTTTACATAACGAACTGGAAAGATCCACCATTTTTCATGGAAAAACTCACTATAAATGGGTAAATCCACTATTTTTATGGCAATTTTACATTTTATAGCTGGGTAAATCCACCATATCGACTGGGCCATTTCCAATAGCTAACTCTAACAGTTTACCAGGCCATCTTCGACAAATCGCCTTGCCTCACCCTTGACTTCTGCCATACCTCAGCGCTTTTCAGGGCTCGTGAATCTCCGAACGATGTGAATCACTCAGGTCATCTGGCGGAAATCCACATGGAGATTACAAACAATGGTTGGTTGGTGGTATACCTACCATTGTGGTTAATATACTGTTAATAATGGTTAATATATGGTTATTATATGGTTAATATATCATGGTTATTATATGGTTTATATGGTTAATAACATAAATGGTACCCGGCCTGGTAAACTATAACTAAGAGTTAGCTATTGAAAATGGCTCAGTCGAAATAGTGGATTTACCCCCTGAAAACATGAACATTATCTGGTTGGTGGTTGAGCCCTACCCCTCTGAAAAATGATGGAGTTCGTCAATTGGGATGATGACATTCCCATATATTATGTAAAAATAAAATGCATGTTCCAAACCACCAACCAGTAATGGGCTATGTTTGGTGTGTCGACAAGAACTTGGGACCCAGATACTAAGTCGCCCAAAAAATGGGAAATGATGAACACAATGCCATGATTGCTTGTTGCGGAAACGCCACAAGGAATTTAGAGGGATCATGCTGCAATGATGATTCATCACAGAGAATATTATACATAGTTAGTTATATATTAACCAGATAATATATGTATATATATATACAAAGAATATATAAATAAATATTATATATATATGTTATAAATATATATATAATTTACATATATATATATATGTATATATATATAATCCACATGACACATAGGATAGATAGATATATATATATATATTAACTCCGCTAATCAAACATGGCTAGCAAATCCACCGTGAAGTTCGATGATTGCCCCAGCGAACTAAACCTCCATATAGTTTGGGGATTTTCCATTGCCACATTTGATTAGTGGAAGGGACATATACATATATATATATATATTATATATATATATTATACATATATATATATATAGAGACACCAGGTGAGCAATGTTCAAGACCAGAAATGTCATTCCATACTGATAGGCAAATAGTGATTCCCAGCGCATGGACTATGAAAATCTCCAAATATCGCCAGTGTGGTAGTTCCGTATCTGCGAACTAGTCATCAACATCCGCCATTCACGATCATTCATGCTTGATGCTTCAAACCCCTATAAATGATGGTTAAATCAGTTAAGTCCTGATTCAAACACCAAGCAAATAAAATCATTGATCAGGCCATCTGGCAACTGATCATCTGCAGGTCGTGCTGAGGTAATTCAACCAAATATATGATCCATATCACATAGTGATGGTTATGCTTGGTAGCTCAACCCCTTACTTAGTAAGTAGCTTATATCCCTGGTTTTGTTAGTGGGATAAGTAGGGTTAATCCACTTATAACTAGAGGGAACTAACCTACTAGCTAAGTGGGATGAGCCACCAAGTATTCTCCCATGATATTCCCATGATATCTTCATTGATATCCCATTTATCCATTACCCTGTGGTAAACTAACATGACCACCCTGGCATTCATCGGGGTTGGAAGATTCGTTTCCATCCAAAAAACGTTATTTTCAGGGTCGAACTGTTTATTTACCCGAGGGTATTACACTTTACAACTATGGATATCCCACTTATCCATTCTATCAATATTTGGTATGCCAATGATATTCCCTAATGTTGGTAAAACAATAATGAACCATCCCCAATTTCACCATTTTATAGGTGGTATGCTTACAAATTAGGGTGGTTTATGGCATTCTGTGCAGCTGTCAAAGGTCTGAATCCATACACTGAAGCACCTGGAATGTGGGCAGGAATAGCCCCTCCAGGACCACAGTAGTGGAACCCAGCCAAGTCCACATTTTGGTCAGACAGTTCCTTCTTCAAAGATATCTAGGTCCGGGGTCCGGGTGTGCCACGTCAATGGCATCTCGCCAAAATCCAGGAGTGCTATGCCGCCACTCTGCGTCTCTAACTGCCTTTGATCTCAAGGGTTTTTCCAGTGACTCCAAAACCTTTCCTGCCTTTTTGATATGAGTACCCGTGGTCAAACGTAGAAAAGAGTAGAAGTAGCCACCAAAAATCGTGAGGAACCAAATCCAAGCAAGATACCACCCAGTCCAAAAATCACTGCGATCCAAATTACTTTACTTCGAGTGATCCCCACCATGACATTTATCGATTTGTTACTGGCAAATCTTCTGGCATTCTATCTGACATATCTTCTGGCATTCGATCCGGCATTCTATCTGGCATATCTTCTGGCATATATTCTGGTATATCTTCTGGCAAGTCTTCTGGCATTCTATCTGGCATATCTTCTGGCAGATGTTCTGGCATATCTTCTGGCATTCTATCTGGCATATCTTCTGGCATTCTATCTGCCCGTTGAGGCCCAGCAGTGCACACTGAGCTGGGGAGGTCCCCGGTTAAGGTCCAGCGGTGCACACTGCGCTGGGCAAATCCCAGGTTGAGGTCCAGCGGTGCACACTGAGCTGAGACGGTCCCTGGTTGAGGTCCAGCGGTGCACACTGAGCTTGAGGTCCAGTGGTGCACACTGAGCTGGGCAGGTCCCAGGTTGAGGTCCCAGTGCACACTGAGCTGGGAAGTTGGCAAAGAGCTTGGCGAAGAGAGTTGGCAAAGAGCTTGGCGAAGAGTTGACAAGGCGGAAGTGGAGGTGGAAGTTGATGCAGACATGGTCGAGGAGAAACTAGAGGGGGAGGAGGAGGAGGAGGAGGACAGCTAGCCGAGGAGGAGGAGGAGGAGAACAGCTCTGATAAAATCTAACAACCCTCACCTGGCAGATGGGGAATAATGGTCTACTGTACAAACTGAAACCAGGATCGTCTTCGATCGACGGAACCTCACAATGACAACTACAAGTTGGGCCAAATGGAGGATCTTTTGAAGCGCTCCAATCTTTCACCAACCAACCGCCTAGCACGCCACACACGAGGTGGGGCCAAGCGTCCATCACGGGTCCCACATCTATTTGACTTGAGCATTTGATGATCGGCCACACGAAAAGCTCCTCCTTAATGAACAAGTTCTAAACATAAACCATAAAGCATAGTTTAGCCACAGCCATATCTCAACTGATTGCTATCTTGGGGGCGCCATCCTGTATAATATCCCACTGATATTCCCACGGCCAATCTTAGATACCTCTGCAACAAATTAAATTCGTAGTTGCCATGGTTAGTAGATAATCCCATTGATACCAAAAGACTAAAGGATTGGTCCCTACCCATCCAGTTGGTTGACCTAGTAATGATATCCCAATGAAATTCCCTATTTGGAGGTTTCCAACCCATGGGGGTACCCCTAAATCATCCAAATTTTAGATGGGGATTTCCATGAAATAAACCATCCTAAGCTCGCTTTTCCCCATTTATGGACAGCCCCATTTGGTGAATCATTTCCCAGGCACCTTTGGTGAACTCAGACACACTGAGTTCTCCTTCACCATCCGCATCCAGGACCTACCAAAATCTGCAGATCGCGCTGATCTACGCTAGGCAGGACGCGTTGTGGAGATCAATAGGATATGAAGATATTTGTTGTATGTAAGTGATACCATATGAGTGATATTGAGTTCTATTGTATGAGTGACTATATTATCATGTATTATCTGAGTTCTATATATATGAGTTATATGACTATATGATACGTAATATGGGCTAAATAGGCTAAAAATCACTATGGATTGTGAGAAACGGAGTTATGTCATATCCGGGCTAAATATGAATGTATATATATATATATGGACTATGACATATGGCTATGTATGGCTCATGTTCACCACCTACGATGCCAATCATGTTGACTGTTAAAATATACAGACTTTCGGTGATTCCGGCTGCTTCGATAACAAAGCATTGGTGACTAATGACACCCCCAGATTAGAGAGAGAGAGAGAGGGAGCGAGAGAATGCAATATGCGAATTAACAATGTGATTGCTTACAGGCGCAGAAATGGTGATGAAATACCAACTTTTATTGATGATCACAAACACATTGTTATCCAGCTAGGGGAACCTTATCAATAGCCATTCATACCCATTGTTAGTGATTAAACACCTAGTTGGATGCTGATCCAAGTTAGCAGAACCAATGGTTACGTTGCGCATGCGTTCCCACAGGTTTTTTACTCCAAAATACTCGGAGTTTAACTCCTCAGATAGGGAAGTCTGCCGAAAAGGTGTCATAATGAAGCTCATTTCATGCATGATATCAATTTTATGAAAATAATGATATCCTACAGATTTTTTCCCATACCTTGTAATTTCATCTAGTTTCCAATTGTCCATAAGTTTCCTATCATGCCCGGTTTCATGGTAAATCTTAGATACCTGGCAAACAATCTATTTTTTCTTGGTTACTACATTTTACCATTGATAGAAAAAGATTAGAGTACTAGTTCGTATCTGACCAAGGTTGACCCAGTCATTCACCAACCAGAGATCACTTCCCGCCCTGCTCCACCGACACGGTACCTTGAAAAGACGCTTGGCTTCTTCTTCATCAAAGCCCAAGACAACAAACTTGTACCTCTGCAACGGGGAAAAAAACAAATACCAGTTGTAACTTGTAACTGGTTAGTATTTATAGTATCTTGTAGTTATTACCAATAAATGGTTGTAAAATGTTGTATTCATGGGGTTAACATTCCATGAATGGGGTGACTTACTGAGGGATCCTGGATGGGGATCTCATAGCACCCCTTAAAAAGGATGGTCAATACCATGGATGGTGCCCCCCAGTGATGTGAACGTTGGTTTATAAACCCCATGAATATCTATCTATATACCATAAACCATCATATGATAACTATGGTTTATGATACTGAATGTTGGTTTATAAACCACATGCATGGGAAATGTATGGAAAATCTATGGGAAATGAATGTTGGTGTAGATTCACCCCATGAATACGATCGTTCGTTATATCTACCTAATCAACGATAGAATTCAGCCACAGGCATATCTCAACTGAACATAACTGAACGCTATCTGAAGGGGGGGCCCATCCTGTAGTCATAAGTAATAACTGATTTCAGCGGGTCCCTTAAGGTCTTGTCTTCTTCGCGGAGGAATCTTTGAAAAAAAATGCACGTTGCGGATATGGGATGCAAAATTGCGACCCATGGCCCATCGCCCATTTCTGTGATTGATTTTCTCCAGTCTTAAATATCTTAAATCAAAAAGCATCAAAGGCTAGGGTGACAAATAGTGACAAATATTACAATCCAATCAGAGAACCTATTCATAACCCAATTTTCAGAGGAAAGAATTCGTTTCCAGCCAACTCATGACATTGTTGATCTCTTGGGATGGTAGAGGATGACGTATTGGTCACTTGAGCCCTTGGTCGCCCGACAAAGCTATGGACTTATAGACAATGGTCTATATATATATATTATTATATATATATATTATATTATATATATATTATATATATATATTATATGGACTATTTGCCTGTTAATGGTGGATTTTCCAGAGCTATGTTAATTTACCAGAGGGTAAACGGTGTGTACCTCGCCTGATTTCCGGAATTCTGAAGGCGGCATCAAACTCTTCGAAGGAGACCTGGACGTTGCACAGCAGCTTGTTGCTACAATCCCGTCGAGCTATAGATCTACCCTTCGGCAATACTACCTGGTTGGTGGTGTACCTAACCCTCTGAAAAATATGAAAGTCAATGGGAAGAATTATCCCATATATATCCCATATATTATGGAAAATAAAGCATGTTCCATACCACCAACCAGCTACATGATTCATGAAAAATCCCTGCATCAATGGAGATTTCAAAAAAAAGGAAATTCAGAATCTATAGATGAGGGGTTTTTCCAGCCCGGAGAGTGACTATATCCACCATAACTCCAACACTGGTAAACTCAACCAACCGCAGGTGCATTTCTGTCGAGCAGTGTTACTTACCCTGTGTCGTCCCTTTGTACTACTTAGCATGATTTCCAACTTCATGTATTGTGACACTCCCCAAGTTCGTATAATACCCAAAGTGATCATAATTTAAGCGTCTTATTTCAACCCATAGGATCCATGTATGCCATATATTGTAACATTTACCATTAATATACCCCCAATGTTAGCATATATACCATACATGGATCCTATGGGCAATGATATTCCCACTGTTGATGGTTCAAAGCGCTATTTTCTGACGGGCGCAGTTCGCTCACCTGGCCGCTTCCATCTGCGTCCAATTTCAGAAAGAGGTTCTTCAAGTCCTCACAGTGCCATGCCCCGGGCCCCAGCCATGAATTATGAGATTACCAAAAACAATGGTGGCCCAATGGTGGCTAACATGGTTTCTACCATTTGGTAATTTAACATAGCTGACATAGCCTTTTGAAATCTTTTGAACTTACTAAACATGGCTATTTATGGATGATTTACCCATTGAAATTGCTGATGTTCCAGTTCGCTATGTTAGTTTACAGGCACAAGCGGCGGCAAAGTCTCTTGATGTTTCAAAAAAAAACATCCAGATTTCAGGGTATCCAATGTTGATTCATACCCATGTATCACTACATATAAGCAATAGGAAAAGGGTTTTCAGCACAATGTGATGATCTAATAGTAATGATAATCTAAGAGTCTACTATTCAAATAGAATAACCGTTGAGTACCATTAATTAACATTAGGCAGGCATTATATTATCACTCATCTGTTTTTTTTTTTTAATTAACTAATGTCGCGATTAACATATTAAGTATTATCACAATTATCACGTGTGACACAACATGCTAAATCATCAACGATTAATGTTAAATAGTTATCATTTCACTATTGGTTGTTATTTGCTCCCATGATATTATGCAATCTAAGATCTATGATTTAATAATAACTGCTGCCAAACAGTAATGTATTATATGTTCATATCACCAGCCATTATAGTTGTCAATAATAGTTGCCATTCCCTACAGGATGCTGCCCACCAGTTATAAATTGTTTTATCAACCCAATAATAAATTAGTTCGTTATATCTACCATAAACCATAGTTAAACCACCTCTATCTCAAGTGAACGCTATCTTGGGGCCCCATCCTGTAACAATAGCCTGATTGACAGGTTGAAGATTAACCATATGATGCTGATCTCCATGTGCAAAGATGTTCCTGGACAAAGTTTGGTGTTCCAGTTCGGAATGAGTCTTGTCCACCAATAGTTATCTATCATAGTTAATTAATTCACTACTAACATTGATCGTCATGAAAATAATTTATAGTAGTATTAGTTAATCACCATTATAATAATATCAACTTGATTAATAACATCATAACATCATTATAACATCATTATAATCACCATTAATATTATTATAATCATCATTATTAACATCATTATTAACATCATTATCAACTTGATTAATATCACCATTAAAACCATTAGTTAATCACCATTATATAATATCACTAATACATTAGTTAATCACCATTGTTAATCAACCATTATTAATCAACCATTATTAATCTCCATTAACCATTCATTAACCACTATTAACCATAGATGATTAACCTATAACATTACCATGATTATAATAACATAATAATAATATTAATAACATTATACTAATATTAATCATTATATAAATCATTAATATAGTAGTATTAGTTAATCACCATAATAATAATAATAATATCACTAATACATTAGTTAATCACAATTATTAATCAACCATTATAATAATATCAACTTGATTAATCACCATTATAATCATCATTAGTTAATCATCATTAGTTAATCACCATAATAATAATAATAACATCATTTATCTCTCCTTGAGGGTTTTCTTTTCTTCCTCTCGAACTTCTTTCGCTCGCTCCGCCAAGTTGGCCTCCGCTGACGGCTACGACGGCTGACGGCTACGGGAACCCCCCTTTATTAGCCAGGGTGGAAACGTTGAAACCATGAAAACCATGGGAACAATCGTGGGAAAAATGGGAAAACCATTGGAAAAACTCGTGGGAAAAATGGAGCAACTATGGAAATGTGTGTTTTAACCCAAAAACATTGGGATTTGCATGGATTTAGCCATGAACAAGTGAGGGAAAAGGTGATGAAATGGGGACTTATATAGTTTTTGGGAATGATTGTAAATATATGTAATAAATATATATATATATGGTTTTAGGGAGCGGCAATATGCTTCTATTTTTTGGGGTACAGTACAGCATAGGGTCAATACCCCTGTGCTCTGCTTCTCATATCGCAAAAATGTCTGCCGCTTTGTCCAGAAACCAGGGGAAACCACATTTTTTTCCACACATGCAGGATTGGGTGTCATATTAATGGAATATTGGTCTACTTAATGGTGGCATATTTTTTGAAAAAAAAGGGTTGCTTCACTTTTTCCGACAGATCGACTTATTTCATGGTGGTTATAAAACAATGTTCAGATGACCGGGTGGCTTCTTTGATATCGTTCGTACCATGGTAAAAAAAATGGATTGATTAATATATAACAAGACTATAGTGTAATGAACATGACCATGGATCACCATAGTGTAAAATATGATAGTGAAACTATTGTCACATTACTTTCCGGTCATACTAATTACCATCAGTTACATTAAGATGCCATTAACATTTAATCATGTAGTTAAAAATTCTGGCATGACTATGCCATACTGCACAAATATTCTTATTAACATGTAACAGAGTAATGCAAGTGTACTATCATTATGCTGGTAGTTATTCCATGATATTTATTGAAAATTCTACATTATCGTCACCATAGTAACTATACGCACTGATACCATCGCTTGCCCCAAAATCCAAAGGCCACAACATGTACATATATCATAAGGACTATCAACACGCGTTGATCGGCAAAACATAATCATATCTGTTGGGATATTGATCATACCACACGGATTAAAATATAGATGCATGGAAATTGTACCATGATTGGTTTTATATAATACCATGTAGGGCCTCTATTCTGTTTTAACAACCAACTAACTAATCCTGCCGATTCAATGTTCAGTGGGTCAGGAGGTAGCCTGGAGTACTCACGGAAACACGATCTGAGATGCTACAAGAAATTACCTGTATTAATAGATTACCATTTTCCCCATGACCTCTGAAGGATACATATCATACATATCATTACCATTCAGGTTGGGGGGGTTGGGGGGGTATCCTCATTATTCATCATCATTACGTACCAGATTCTTTCCCCCAGGGGTGGTAGCCCTGTGTGAGTTACCGCGTCCCCAGTTGTATGCTGCTGATGATGACGACGACGATGATGATGATGTTGCTGATGCTGATGATCATGATCATGATCATGATGACGATGATGATCCTTCCCGGTCCGGGCAAACGATGGCGTTTGACCGTAACTATACCGTAGAAATATTTGAAAAGTTCCTGGCCATAATTATAATTATATTGTAGATATACTTACAATAATGTACATTATATTATATACATTATTATACATGAATTATATAAGATCAATAAACGTTTACATTAACTATATATATATATATTCATTGTCATTGTTAATATTGTAATTATTCTACTTGGTGGCTCATCCCACTTAGTAAATAGGTTTTATCCCTGGTTTTGTTAGTGGGATCATCGGATAAGTAAGGTAAATCCAGTGCAATACTGTAACTAGGGTGAACTAACCCACTTAGGATTCGTGGGTAGTTCGCCACCAAGTATCCATCCTTTGGCTTTCAGCTACCCTCCCAGGCCTGACTCATGGATTGGGCCTTGCGACAAATCACTGCGGTTACCTCGCGTCAGGCTGCGTCAGATCTTCTGCTGGGATTGCACAATGACATATAACATGCCCCATTCTTTGATGATTTTTGTATGAAACATGTGTTTACTGTTTATTGATGTTTATTGAGTTTATTGTGGCTTTCATTGTGCAAATTCTGTTTGTGGCTTTATGAACGCAATAAAAATTGCCATACTTGACTTGACTGGTTAAACTGCTTAATCATGAACAAGATTAGGGGTTAACCACAGAATTACTTCAAGGATCATCCGACTAAAAAAGTGGTTGTCATAACCCTAGTTGATAAGTCTCCATAGGGTGATCCCATACATGTATCTATGTATATTTACAGGTTAGAAGCGTTGCAATTATGATCGCTAATCAGTTGCAAAGTGCGATGATCCTGCAGGTATCATAGGAGAGATGATCTTACTGAATGTCATTTGCAAAGAGGGTCAATTCGAGGCCAGCTATCATCACTTCAGAAACCATGAACAGATTGATTCATAGTTCATTTAATGTCAACCCCGGGTTCATAGCAGACTCTCAGTACTTGTGGGCATCAATCCTAATTTTATTAACCGGGGTTTATGAACTACGGTTTATGAATCCGGATTTACAACAGCAATTCTTGCGCTACATTCAGCGACCATACACCAGAGGTGACGCGAGCTGTAAGAAGGGAAGGTTTTGAAGTGAGTGAGTACTAGATATCACCAGAAAAAAAAAACATGAATTCATGTATTACAAATATGGGAATAAGTAGTCACCAATGAAAATGGTTATATTATTCGCCATCAAGAACGGCGGTTTTCGAAACAAAGAACACTCTGGTTGGTGACGGCTGGTGGTTTCGAGTTTTTCAGCAACCACATTAACATTGCTAGTCAGTTCTTGAATCCATGACGGAGACTTACTACTGATGTTTTACCAATGTTCAGCATTCAGAGTTCCTGAGTAATCCCATCCACCGTGAAATACCTCGCGTGTCCACTACATTCCCCAACGTTTCTATTTGGGGGGTATGAAGACATCAACCACCCTGAGAACAGTGACAAGCGGCCAAATTCAGGATGACATAGGCGGAGATTGCAATGTAGCAGAAACAGAAGATCCAAATGTAGGGCTGCTTCTCCAACAGCTCCTGCCCGTGGGAAATCCCCTTCTCGAACTGTGGGGGATTGTCCAGCTAGCCATGGAGCTGATTGTCAATCCGGCTATGCTGCAGGAATTCCAAACATCATGGCCCAATGGGTATGCAGTTATGGCCGTTTATGAGGTATAACTGGTTATTTCTATGGGGTTATACACTCTATAAATGGGGTTAGTTCAGTACTTATAACTGGTAAAGGGCCATAACTGTGTTAAACTCTATGAACATCGGTTGATAACCATCCCTCAATTAGATCAATTAGTGGGTATCCAACTTTTGACTATGGCACACGTTGCCTTCTATGGCAAGTGAAGATTTCTTGATTGATGACCAAGGAGTTCTTCCATACAGGATACTTGCAGGTGCATCCCAGGCATCATATCAATGGGAATTTCAGGATCCTAAAATGGAGGTACCTACCATATATAAGGCCTATTTTCCAGGCCTATGTAAGGGAATATTCCCACAAAAGATGGTTTTATATGGTACAGTACCTCCATTTTTGGATCCTGGAATTCCCATTGATCATAGGTGGTTTATAACATAATCTATCTATGTGTATCCATGTGACACAAAAAAAATGGGGATGGTTCCATTGATCAAACAAGGTGGTATTGTCCGACAAGATGGTACCCTATCTACGTTTGAGGATCCAACCTTGTAAAACTCTTAGTTGAGGGGAAGGTGTATTCCGGGAATATGCTATACAAAACATTCTCATCTATTTATCTATCTAACTATATGTTTATCTATCTGTCTATCTATCTATTTATCTATCGATTTATCTATCTATTCATCTATTTATCTATCTATCCATTTATCTATCTGTTCATCTATTTATCTATCTATCTATCTATCTACCTATATATCTATCGATCGATCTATTTATCTGTCTATTTGTTTATCTATCTATCGATTTATCTATCAATTGTTCTATGTGTTTTATCTATTTATCTATTCATTTAAATCTTTATCTATTTATCTATATATCTATTTATTTATATATTTATCTATCTATTTATATATAGATTATCTAATCTATCTATCTATCTATCTAACTATCTATCTAATCTAACCTAACCTCACCTAATCTAATCTAATCTCATCTAATCTATCTGATCTATCTAATCTATCTAATCGATCTATCTATCTATCTATCTATCCATGTATCTATCTATTCATCTATGTATCTATATATCTATCTATCTATATATCTGTCTATCTATCTATTTATTTATCTATCGGTCTATCTATCTATCTATCTATTTATCTATCTATTTTTCTATCTATTCATCTATCTATCTACCCATCTATCTATCTATCTATCTATTTATCTATCTATCTATCTATCTATTTATCTATCTATATATCTATCTTTTTATCTATTGTTTTTATCTATTTATCTATCTGTCTATCTATCTATATATTTATCTATCTGTTTATCTATATATCATATATCTATCAATCTATTCATTTATCTATTTATCTATGTGTCTATATTTTCTCTATTTATAAACTTATCTATTTATCTATTTGTCTATCTATCTATCTATCTATTTATTAATCTATCTATTCATCTAACTATCTATCTATCTATCTATCTATCTATCTATCTATCTATCTATGTATCTATCTATCTATGCATTTTTCTATATATTTATCTATCTATGTATCTATCTATCTATCTATCTATCTATTTATCTTTTGAACTATATATTTATCTATCTATCTATCTATTTATCTATCTATAGAATTATCTATCTATCTATCCATTTATCAATCTATATATCTATCTGTTTTTTTCTATCTATCGATTTATCTATCTATGTTTCTTTCTTTATAGCATCTATCTATCTATTTATCTATCTATCTATCTTTTTATCTATCTGACTAACTATCTAACTATCTATCTAACCTAATCTAATCTAATCTAACTGATCTATCTAATCTATCTAATCTATCTATCTATCTATCTATTTATCTATCTATCTATCTATCTATTTATCTATATCTATCTATCTATCTTTCTATCTATCTATCTATCTATCTATCTAATCTATCTAATATATCTATCTATCTATCTAATCTAATCTCCTCTAATCTATCTATCTAATCTATCTAATATATCTAATATATCTAATCTATCTAATCTATCTTATCTATGTAATCTATCTTATCTATCTAATCTATCTAATCGATCTTATCTATTTAATCGATCTAATCGAGCTAATCGATATAATCTATTTAATCGATCTAATCTATCTAATCTATCTATCTGTCTGTCTGTCTGTCTGTCTACCTGTCTATCTATCTATTTATCTATTTATCTCTATATCTATCTCTATCTTTCTCTGTTTATCTCCATCTATCTCCATCTATCTATCTATCTCTTTCGATCTATCGATCTATCGACTTATCGACCTATCTGTCTATCTAAAAATAAATAAATAAATAAATAAATAATGTATATCACAATACTAATCACCACATCCGGAAGGGATCGTAAATTAAGTAAACCTAGTTGCAACCTTTGGGGGCCTCATCTGGATCTTGATACGCTCTACCAAAGGAACCAAAGAACTCTTCGTCAGAGATAATAATGGTGGTTAATAATGGTTAATCACTTATAATCACTGAAGTAACCATAGTGGTAATAATCACTGAAATAACCATAGTGGTAATAATCACTTAATAATGGTTAATAGTGATAAAAGTGGTTGATGATGGAACAATAGTAGTCAATCATGGGATTTAACGGGGTATAAAGTGGTTATATGGTTAATAGTGACTAATAATGGTGAATACCATCCAACAATAGATGATTAATCAGCCCTAATGGTTATTAATGGGATAATAGTGGGATTAATTACTTTAGTAATGGTAAATATGGATAAATACGGATAAATACTTGTTAATAATGGTTCATAAGGGATGAATCCTGGGATAAACAATTGGAAAAAAAAACGTGAGTGATGAGCCGGATCATCCCATGAATGGCGGGATTTCATGATATCATGGGAAATTATTGTGAAGAATGGTGAATGGATTCATTCATTCATTATCCCATTGGGGATCCCAGGCACCGAAATAGTGGTGATCATAGTGGTTAATAGATGCAAATAGTGGTTAATGGATTGTTAACAATGGATTAATAGTGGTTAATTAATAGTAGTTAAATCTATGGCAAATAGTGGTTAATAGTGGTGAATAATGGATAACAATGGTTATAATAATGATTAATGATATGATACCCTCTGGTAAACTAACATGGCTATGGAAACCATGGCCCATAGAAATAGATGGTTTGCCTATGAATAGCATGGTGATTTTCTAGTTAGCTATGTTAGTCATTACCAGGCCGGGTATCTCCCATGAAATCCCATGAAATGATCACTGGACATACCTACCGTTGGTTGGCAATATACTGTTATGGTTTTTATGGTTAATGATGGTTAATAATATTCTGCTTGGTGGTAAAACAAACAACCCCTCTGAAAAATGATGGAGTTCGTCAGCTGGGATGATGAAATTCCCAATATATAAAATGGAAAAAACACATGTTCCAGTCACCACCAACCAGTAATTATCTTCAGTGAATGGATGAACAAAAAATCTCCAGTGAATATCCATGAAATATCCCCATTGATGGTTGTTGATATATCACTATAGATATAACATCCATTAACAAATAGATATAACACCCATGAAAACATCCATTAATAGTCACTATCGTTTCCATCTATAGATCTGAGTAAATTATAATATTTCACCCACCTGAATCTTGCGGCCATAAAAGGGGATGATTCCCCTATACATTCACCATGATTTCCAGGGTTCGGGAGAACAGGGTTCGGTCGTGATGAAATTTACCTAGAATAATGGATGAAATATCTCCAGCGATCTCCATTCCCATTGTGAATGGATATCTCCAGTGAATGGATTATTGAATGATCACTGGAGGATCTACGGATAGGAACTGGATTTTTGTTTTTTTTCACTGCTTAATAACCATACAATGTGGTGCCCCAGTTCGTGAACGCTAAGTTGGGGTTCACATAACTCCAATTTCACGGGAGGGTTTATGGTAGATATACCGAACTACTTTTCATGGGGGTTATAAAGCAACTTATAACTGGGGGGCACCACCTTGTAGTTAGTTCACCCATTTATGGATGGGAGAAGCCACTCAATGGGGACGAATCCACTCACCAGGGTTACCTACTGTTCAAATACTAAGTGACATGCGGCCTGGTCCTCCAAATTCTTCCAAGTATGAAAGCATTCATTTTTTGGGGCTGAACATATTTTCACAGGATGGGGCCCCCGTTCGAGCTCGCGTTCAGTTGAGATATGGCTGTGGCTGAATGAACTATGGTTTATGCTATATATATATATATATATATATCTAGATAGAACTATAATATTCATGGGATGAATCTAAACCAACATTCACATATTTCCCATAGATTTTCCATACATTTCCCATTCATGGGGTTTATAAACCAACGTTCACATCACCTTTGGTCGCACCATCCTGCCGAGTTCACCCGTCCGCGAGAAAGTCGCTGGCATTGTCCCAAAAAATGAAGCGGGTCATGGCCATGCAGCTCGGAATCCCGGCCCGAAAAAAAATAATCTGCAGTTATGGCCGTTTATGAGTTATAACTGGTTATAAATGAAGTTATATACTCTATAAATGGGGTTATAAGTACTTATAACTGGTAAAGGGCCATAACTGTGGGTGTGTCTGAAAATGGCGAACAAAACATCAATAGAGATGGTGAATTTCTAGATATAATGTAGGAATCATGATATGATGGATTGATGGATATTCTAGATAATTCAATTTTCGTTTAATTATTCAAGATATATGATGATACAATTGTATATCATTTTAAGAAGGAAAATGATAAAGATAAGAATCCAATGGACGAAACGGGGTCTATTTTCTCTGAAATATCTTCTATTTTTGGCTATACTTTAACAGGGAAATTTATAATTGATGAGAATCCAATGGATAAAATGGGCCGATGTTCAAACAAAGCCATCTGAAGAGTTCTTCTGAGTGGAACCAGTCAACTGCATAGTTACGATTTCCCACAGGAAAAAAGGAAAAAATGCCCAAAATCATCAACAAAGCGCAAGACTGTTATCACCGTAGTTCTACCCCACATTTACAATAGTTCGATTATTTTACCAGCAAACCTCAGCGAAAAGGCACTTTTCCAGCTAGCCCATTTCTATTTATGGATGATTAATCCAAGGATTGTAATTGATTGTAGTTGAAAACAAATGTAGTTGAATATGAGCAGATTATGAATTCTAATTCCATCATAAATTTCACTTTTTCTTATGATTGACATCCCCATTTGGATTTTCACCATTTTTTTCACATCACCCCAAATATTGGGGATATAATATCCATAAAAGTGATGTGAAACAAATCCCCAAATAGGGACATTTACTTAAGGTGGCTCATCCCACTTAGTAAGTATAGCTTGTAAACCTAGGCAGATTTCAGTGGATTAAGCCTACAGTTATGGCCCGAAATACCAGTTGTAAGTACTGAACTAACTCCATTTATAGAGTATATAACTCCATTTATAGAGTATATAACTTCATAGAAATAACCAGTTATAACTCATTTTTACGGCCATAACTGTACTTATCCCAGCAACAAAACCAGGGTGAACCAAGTAGCACCGGGTGCCGGACAGGCCATTTTGAAAGTTCCAGGCAGCCGTACCTGGAGCGAAGTACCCCCGTGAGGCGCCATAGGAACATCAGGATTTTCCATGAAAAATTGGAAAACATGGTGGAAAATTAGGGACAATAGTGATTTATCTATGAAAAAGATGGAGGCAAAATGAGATTCCCCATGAAAAATCGGAGAAACAAGTGATTTTACCAGCAAACAAAGTATAACAAAGTGAATTTAGATGTGATTTGAATGATAGCTAAGTGGGATATTAGCTAGGTTTACTGTGGTTTATGGTTTCTGGTAGATCACTGATACATATATATATATATACACATATGAAGACTATTTCTCCGCACAGAACCGGACGATTCCCCGGAGCCTTAGCTGGTTGGTGGTGCAATGTGCCCATCTTGAAAAATCATGGAGTTCGTCAATGGGGTTGGGATGACATCCCATTAATATGATGGAAAATAAAATTCATGTTTGAAACCACCAACCAGTTCGTGTATATATTGTTTTACAAATGAAATCCAGTGTGCCCTACTATATATATATATATATAGTTTGAGGGGGGTGGCAGGTTTATACCATGTTGTTACAGTATGTTATTTGTAGCTTGTGTTGAAGTTGATGAGAGAGATGTGAAAATTGTGGTAAAAGTAACCGATTATGTCATGTTGGGCAAACGTGAGGTTCTGCGGGTATTTATCAATATAACCGTAAATCCTAGTATGTATTCACCTACTGAACTGAGCCAACTTAGCTTTCTCGGGGAACTTGCCGACCATTTTCAGCAAGACCCATCATCTATCAGAATCTATCACTGCTTGACCAACAAGAGACTCTAGGAATTTCATGAGAGCAATACCCCAAACCTGGTACCCCAAACAACCCGAAATAGCCATGATGCTTTCCCTAAACAAACTACCATGTGCTATGTAGGCATGTAGGGATTCTATGAGATTCTGCAGTATCATAGGGAAACAACTCCGTAAAAATGTCTGGTTCTTTGAGGTTCTGGGAAAATCTCACAACTTGACAATCCAATCCAACAAAATGGATCTGTTTTGGAAAGGAAAACGGCCATTTGAGAAATTCGGAATCCGTCAATTTGGACATGCTCATTTCACACATGTCCCAGATGTCTGCGCTACACACAATACATTCGACAAATATAATATATATATATATATTTATTTATTTATTTATTTATAATGTATATATATACATAAATATATATATATATATATATGTTTCATTTATATATATACATACTTATATTTAAAAAAAAACTCATGACTCTAATATATATATATATAATATGTCGACATACATCATCTCTAGTTGTATATATATATATAAATATTATACAATATTATACAACAGTATACAACATTATATAACCCTGGATGCAAAACTTAACCCTGGATAGCAGGATCAGGCAATATATGTATAATGCTTGCACATTTTTTATAGGGAAACATATCCTGTTTGACCACGTGGGTCCGGGTCCCTGGGACAATCGAACGCGTTCGCGCCTCGTTCTGCCAGCCCCCAAGGTTCGAAGCGGCCGATGAGTTCGATGGCAATGATACCGAACCTTGCAAGGTAGAGAAACCCCGCGATGGAAAGCCATAGGACCATGGGGATTTACCATGATTTACCCATGAAAACTGGGGAAAATGCTGGAAGATAAAGGGATTTGCCGATGAATCATGGAGGTAAAATCAAGTTTGGGTCTCGACTTAGTCTAAACTTGGCTAAATAATTGTTTACGGGATATAATGAACTAGCTCATGGTTTTTGGCTGACATCTTGTCAGCGACTTTTTCATATGTGTTTTAGCAACATAGTTTTGTGGGGACAGGCAGACGCACCAAAAGTATTCATTCCCCGCTTGCGGTTCTGCGAGTTCGCGCGGGTTCTCCAGGCTCAGGTTTGATCTTCGAGTCAGCCTTTTGACCTACCACTGCAGATTCATCAGTCATGGCCCGCTGGCACTGAGAGTTGTGCGGACTGAACGCCCAAGGATTCCAATTGTCCCGAAGCCATGTCACTGGTGCCAAAACAGGCAAGCAGCACAGTCTCTGCCTTCACAAGAAGAATACGCATAGTATTAAGCAATCCTCAAGTCAAAAGGCCGTGAGAAAGTGCGCTTGGGACATGCGGAGGCATCGTAAACATTCATAAACGTCTAGCCGTCTAGCCTATATCCAACACAGAGTTGGTCGCTGAAGACATAACCGTTGAAAGGAGTGCTCTACCCGCCAGTAAATTAACATAACGACCGGCCAGATAAGGATTGGAAGATTAGTTTCCACTAAACATTCGAAATTTTCAGGGTCAAACTGTTCATTTACCAGGGGGGACTATTCGCCAACTGCAGTTTGCCAAGTGCTGTTGGTTAGCATCACCAGTTGCTACATAGTGCCAATATCACCATGCTGAGTCAGATTGATTGGTTCATTGGGTTAATAGACCAGCAAATATAATATACCATCTGGTTATTTAACATAGCCATGGACAATCATCATTTTTAATAGGTAAACCATCTATAAATGGGTCATTTTCCATGGCTATGTTAAATAACCAGAGGGTAACCATGATTTCTGAGTTGTATGCTGTATCCCGCACTTTTCCTGGTTGAATCAAGTTGAACCGTCATTTTTGTTGCAAAAAAAAACGTATTCTCTAATCATTGACGCATTTCTCCTAATATTTCAATGCCCAACAACTTTTTGGATTTGCTCAAGGGACCCAAACAAATCAAAATCATCCAGTCTTCCCCCTAAAATTCGGCATTTTTCTGATTTACAACATCACTTTCCGGACTTTCCCTTTCAATCCCACCGGATGCTGCCCCCCAGGTATGTTTGCTGGTTTATAACCCCCGTTAACTAGTTCGTTAAATCATGTTATCTCCACCATAAACCCTAGAACTCAGCCACTGCCATACCTCAACTAAACGCACGCACGCGATCTATTCCATGAAATATCCCCATTGATGGTTGTTGATATATCACTATAGATATAACATCCATTAACAAATAGATATAACACCCATGAAAACACCCATTAATAGTCACTATCGTTTCCATCTACAGATCTGGGTAAATTATAATATTTCACTAACTTGAATCTTGCAGCCATTTGGGGATGATTTCCCTTATTAGCCATGATTCCAGGGCTCGGTCGCAGTGAGGTCGTTATAATTTACCCAGATAGTTATGTTAGTTTACCAGATGGTAGCCCTGTAAATCCCATTAAATCCCATTAAATCCCATTGAATCCCATTAAACCACCATTTTCCTGGCATGAAAACATCTCCCTCCGGGCTCCCTCCGGGCTCCATCTCCCATCATCTCTGAGGGGCAGAAGGTCCAGCATGGCCAGCAAGATGACGCAGGCGGCCAATGTGGAGATGGTGCCCAGTAAGCCCGCCAGCAACATCTGCGAATGGAGGGCTGCTGGACTGCTGGATGGCGCTAATGGTGGCTAGAGGGCAACATCTTGGGGAGGTCATGGGGATACCATGGATATCCATGGAATATATAATATAATATAATAAAATATAATATAAGATATAATATAATATAAAAAACACATATAATATAATATAAGATAATATAATATAAAATATAAGATATAATATAATATAAAATATAATATAATATAATATAATATAAATATAATATAATATAATATAATATAAAATATAATAACATATAATATAATATAAATATAACATAAATATAATATAATATAATAAAACATATAATGTAAGATAATATAATAACATAAAATATAATATAAATATAATAAATAATATATATATATATGTAAATATACATATATTATGTAAATGTATATATATATATATATTATGTATATGTATAAATATACGTATAAATGATCTTTGGAATTTTGATTTGGGTCTGTCTCAAGTTGTGGGGATTAAATAAACATTTTTTGTAGTGAGATCATAGGATATAGTTGATGGAAATGAATGGGTTAGATGTTGAAGTCCACTTGATGTCATTTTTGGGGCAGGGATTCTCCTGTTATCCATGAATGCCGAATAGGCTTTTAGCGCCCCAACCATTCGGAATATCATTAGGTTTCTTAATGGGGGTATGCGATCTGGAATGTGACAATTTTTTGTGTGTCCCAAAGATTCTCAAAGTGTGGATTTACGCAAATTATCCCATATTTAAGGCCATCGAAGAATGGAGAAAACACATAATACACCATTGGTTCTGGGAGTTGATACTGAACTCGATATGGATACTAAGCTCTTGGGATGTCTATGTGGACCAACGATGATTTTAGCTGGTCACTTGTCGGGACTTTTACGATTCAGATGCTCTTTTGATGTCCAACAAAATAGCCGGGTGTGTATCTATTGCTTTTATCATACAATAGATTATATGTTCTGATGTATACATGCATAGAACGGGTATACATGGGGGTACCAACCAGGGGCAGACCAACAAAAATGTGATTTGCTAAATCAATTTCAGCATTACAAGGTCACAATCTGTTCACACCAACCAGTTGCCATCACTTCACAGGCTGGAATTTCATGCTGTGCCCATGAAGTGGGATACTATCATACAGGATGGTGCCCCCCAGTTCTAAGTTGGTTTATAACCCCCAGAAAAATAGTTCATTATATTTACCATAAACCATAGTTCATTCAGTCAACTGAAAGTTTTGTGCTCCGGGGGCCAAAAATCATGTACTCTCTGGTAATTTAACATAGCTATTGAAAATGGCCATTCATAGTTGATTTACCCATTAAAAATGGTGATGTTCAATAGTTTTGTATCTGCCTTTTTTCACTAATTCACAGACCTCTTTCAGCCTTGCTGCTGTTGCTGGAGCGTTGAGGGATCCGTTTGCCATTCGTTTTTCGGATCGTTGAGGTCATTCTGGCATCCAGATCATGTATTAAATCATCTATTGGTGGCTCATCATTAATGGTTGATGATGGTGAAATAACCGGAGGGTAATGATATATCATTGACCTTGTATTAATTTAATAGTGGTTAATGATTCTCTGAACTATCAACCATTATCAACCATAGATATAACATGGGTAGATATATCCAGTTTTTAGATTGGGTGTAAAAATGATACCCCCTGGCAAATTAACACTTTGACCCTGAGAATCGCCAATTTTCAATGTTTTCACTAATCTTCCAACCCCGATGAATGCCAGGGTCAAACTGTTTATTTACCAGAGGGTACTACATATTGCCTAGTTTTTCACAATGATCGTACCATAAAATTCAAGCGATACTGAAAAGATCTGAGAAAAAAAACACCTATGTATAAGGGATCAAACTCTTCAGGGTGGTGCTCCAGTTCGTTAGCTACATCTGTTTACTCCAAATTCAGGTGTTATAGTAGATATGTCTTACTAATTCGGCTTCATAGTATATATAGTATATATAATATAATATTATATATATATAATTTTATGCTGGTGGTTATAAACCAACTTGTAAGCGTAAAACACCAGCTTAAAAAAAAAAAAAACGTCAAACATCTGACATAAGTTTCAGGAATGATTTCCGCCAAACAAACCAGCATTTGTCTGCGCCTTGTCAATTCGTGGAGCAGCATGGGAGCAGTCAGCATTTGCTGCAATCACTTGGATTTAGCTTACAGTTATGGCCGTTTATGAGTTATAACTGGTTATAAATGGGGTTATACACTCTATAAATGGGGTTATAAGTACTTATAACTGGTAAAGGGCCATAACTGTAAAGAACCACCCAAAAAATCCCAACATGTTCCCCATAGATTCCCTAGTACTGGATCTCCCATTGGGAAAATGTCCTTAAAATCATCGATTCTTGGAAATGCCCAATAATGTTAAGCATCTTATCGCTGAGGTACACAACGTTAAGAATCATAAATAGTCATAACATGTCACGATCAGTCCCTGCCATACCTTGAAGGTATCGAAATTCTTCAAGAACGCGAAAAATCGCAGGGTCTGGCGCAGGGAGTTGGCAGAATCGGGACCTGTTGGAAGCCATGGACCGATGAACACCTTGATGATTTCTACAATGTGGTCCCCCCCAGCTTTTTTTATTGGTTTATAAACCCGATTAACTCGTTATAAGTATCATAAACATTCATAAACCATAGTGGAATTTTTAGTTATGTATAGTTATGTTCACCAACTTAGCTATCGTTTGGGGGCCCCGCATTGTATATTCAACATGCAGACTTTGCTTTGAAACAAACTCCTGAAACGCGGGTACCCATCTAGCAGGACATGTTTCTCAATGTCATTCTTACAATTTGGGGCCCCCAAACGATAGCTAAGTTGGTGAACATAACTCCAAACAACTATGGTTTATCATATGCAAATACCTATAGCATTCATGGGGTTTCTAAACCAACGTTCACATCACTGGGGGGGGCCCTACATTGATGTCATTCTTTCTGGTAACGAAATCATGAAACCTTGGTGGCCTCATCGAATCATCTCAGGCACCAAGAATCTGTGATCCAATCCACCATGCAGAAACCCAACCATTTACCTTGCATTTGGATTGACTGATTGACATATGAATACATATGATAGGTTGGGTTTCTGCAACTGATGTGGGTGATCAATGGTGATCAAATGATTGCTTCTCCAAGCCATGCTCCATCGATCATTCTGAGCTTCCAACTCGCATACTTCGCAAGACATTCAAGGACTGAGTGATCCTGAGCGGCGAACTTTCGGCACATCAGGACAGGGAACCACCAATGTTTACCATCAGCGGAGGTCGTATTTTAGCGGCGCCAAAGATTAAACCTTGCAATTTCTGATCTCTGCACATGATTGTTAGTCCATTTGAATCATCAACCCATTTTTTCTAAAGATCGAACATTCAATCAAAATATCTGGAAACGCCGCCAAGTAACCATTGCGAACCCATTTTTAGGTGCTTAAATCCATTTCAGCTGATGAAACAATCGTTTTCTTTGGGAACTTACAATGGATATAACATGATCTAACCATCTAAACACCACTTCATACCGAGCTCGCAACGGGCTTCGCTTCACCTCGATGGGAATAAAACATGAACACGTCACGCAAAGGTTGCAACAAAACAGGAGGAGATGACTAAGAGAATCATTAATTAAATCCAGATCATGTATTAAATCATCTATTGGTGGCTCATCATTAATGGTTGATGATGGTGAAACAACCGGAGAGTAATTTATATATATCATTGACTTTGTATTAATTTAATAGTGGTTAATGATTCTCTTAACTATCAACCATTATCAACCATAGATATAAAATGGGTAGATATATCCAGTTTTTAGATTGGGTGTATAAATCATACCCCCTGGTAAATTAACAGTTTTACCCTGAAAATCACCAATTTTCGATGGAAACTTGTCTTCCAACCCCGATGAATGCCAGGGTCTATGTTACTTTACTGGAGGGTCATATATATATATATATTCCCATATTCCCATAATCATATGATAATATTCCCATTGTATCCATGTATAGAGCAAACACAACTATTACCAGGTCTTTATGATGGTTGATATGGCTACACATGGTTAGTGATGGTTAATCATCTATGGTTGATCGTGGTTCATGATAGTAAATCATGGATAAGAATGGTATTAGAAGTGTTACTTGGTGGCGAACTACCCACGAATCGTAGGTTAGTTCAGTTCACCCTAGTTATTTCACTGGATTAACCTTATCCCACTAACAAAACCAGGGATATAACCTACTTACTAAGTACCAAGTATATGTATATATATATATAGCGGTCCTATGAATCCAATGGGTATATCACGGTATATAAGATAATAGAACATCATTATCATATTGGGGAAATTATAATACACTAAATTGAAAATTCGCGGCCATATTTTGGGATAATTCCCCTAAAAATAAACCATGATGAACCAGGCTTCGGGAGAGCAGGGTTCGGTCGATATAATTCGCCCAGATCAGCAGGGAAGATCTTAGACCTTGGTTTTCCTACACCGCAACTGGAACTGGAACCCAAAAATTTTTTATATGTCGCAAATAGGTTCTTGTCGGTTATAAGTTGTCTATTTGTAACCCCATTATCGATAAGATCCATTATCATCCATTATCTACTATGAACACTATAGTGAAATTGGAGTTGCAAACCAACTTAGCGATTCCGAACTGGGGCACACCGGGCACACCTCCTTGTACCTAGGATTACACACATGGAACCATTATCCTGATTAGTGAAGCAGGATGAACCTACCAGTGTGGTTGAATGAAACTTGGAATGAAACTGGCCCCCTACCAGTCATACTCATGAAAGTACCATCCAGTGAATTAACATAGACCCTGGTAGATAGGGGTTGGAAGACTAGGTTCCTCTAAAAAAAATGTGATTTTCAGGGTCAACCTGTTAATTTACCAGAGGGTAATTGTCACAGATGACCCGTTTTGACAGGTGTACGGCCCCATCTTCGGTAAAGTGTGAGGATTCATACTTATACACGTTTTTTTTTAAATTGCAGACATATGCAGGCATGCATAAAAGATGCAGAAAAGGTGGCAAATCTTTAAGAAAGCAATCAACTAACACAATAGTTGAGGTAGCTCTCCTCTCAAACCATTCAATTTGAATGGTGTTGGGCGATGTTGGGCGTGAAGATTGCCTCTGTGATGGAGATTCAAGGTAAGATTGAACGGATTTTTGTGGGAGATATCAAGGAAGGCTTCCCCCACGACTAACTGCCTATTTCACTGTCATACTATCCTGTTTTTTTTTATTTCTTTTCAGCAACCTGACATTTTGGGATGCTTAGCGTTCCCCCTCACTCCTCACAAAAAGAAGAATAGTAATCAAATAATATATAAAATATTATATATATAATATCATATATCACACACGTATATATATATATATAATCATATATTCGCGGAATTATAATCCACTGCTTGGGCATGTTTTGGCGATATTTGCCAGCGGTAGTTGTATCCTCATTATAATTCTTGGTGTTATAATTATCTCCGAGGTTATTGATGGTTTGAGTTTAAGCTCCAACCACCATCGGAAATGGGTATATCAAGCGAATGATCACCTCATATGTATATAATATATATATATATATATATACACCATTAAAACATGGTAGCCTCCCATAGACTTTTAGATAGATGAGGATGGGTCAAAACCTTGTACCCCTTTTGTGAACATCAAAATAGCTGGGATTTATGGGTTCAATGGATGCTCATCCTCCTAAAACATGTATTTATAGGTATTGATCCATAGCCAAATGTGAAGAACACACTAATGTCAACCCTGGATTAATAAACCCCGTTTACGGCTGTTGGGAAGGTACCATTTAAGTATTAGATGAAATGACTATTGGACACTATTGGAGGAGTACCCCCCCTAATTAATCTTACTGGTGCTTAGCAGGGAATTTTCGGGAATGATCCACAATAACTATCAATAATCATCCCATTCCCCCATTCTCATCCATTCCCCACAGTTATGGCCGTAAAAATGAGTTATAACTAGTTATTTCTATGGGGGGAAAAACACTCTATTTCTATGGGCTTAGTTCAGTACAAACATAACTGGTATAGCTCGGGCCATAACTGCACTAAAAATCGCAATCCAGATTATTCAGGATTAGTCCCTACCCATCCAGTTGGTTGACCTAGCATTTGTTTATAGTTGACCATCCAGTTGGTTGAAGCCATAACTGTAGATATCCTATTAGCCAATGATATTCCCATGATATTCCCATTCATTTACGACGGTTCTTTACCACGGTTTACTAAGCACCAGCAAGTTTATTAATCCTGGCATGATTTGTAGATCATTTCCCCACCGTTTCACCGGTCGACCAGCCAAGGCGCATCTTGAAGCGTCAAGGGAATGATCCACCTTAGCAACGGGCCAAGTAGCTAGCCTGGATGATATGATAAATATTAATGAATACGATCTATGAATATGAATATTATTGTTTAGATACAATGTATTAATATAGTAACTGTTTGAATATGAATACATATGAATATATGAAATATATATGTATAAATCTTGTATAAATTACTTAAGAGTCTTATGAACATATGATGAATATCATCAATAATATTAATATTGTGACTTTTGCAATGATTATGATTATGATGAAGAAGAAGAAGATGATGATGATGATCATGCTGGCTGATGATGATGATGATGGTGATGGTGATGGTGGTGGTGATGATGATGATGATGATGGTGATGGTAATGGTGATAGTGATGTTGATGAGGCCGGTGATGGTAGTGATGATGATGTTGATGACAATGATGACGACGACGGCGATGATGACGATTATGATGGTGGTGCAGTTATGGCCCTTTACCGGTTATAAGTACTTATAACCCCATTTATAGAGTATATAACTCCATTTATAAGCAGTTATAACTCATAAACGGCCATAACTGTGGTGGTGGTGCCGGCGGTCGTGGCAGTGGTGATTATACTGATGATGAGTATATAAATTACTATTGTTACTATGATCGTCGAGCTGCACGATTATGATTTATTATGACGGTGACACGATGGCAACTACAAGTAGGGCATCATGCAACTCAACATCACTAAACGGGTAGCTCGGAAAAAAAAAATAAAAAATAAAGACATCCCCCTAAAATTAAACACCCCCGGAACGTCCCAAATATGTGCTGTCCATCCCGTATTTTCTGGGGTGTGTTTATTGTAATACGGGAAGGGATCAATGGCAAATCAATATCCCATTCTTGTAAACCCCTTACATTCTGTACTTCTCCTTGGTATTCCGTCTCTATTTCCCCATGTCTGCTGGGTTTTCCATTAAGAAAATAAGGAGACACCTTAAACAAACCCAAGATAGCCAATCACCCATCTGCAAAATCATCAACCAACCATACCCTCTAGTAAACTAACATTGCTATTGAAAATGGCCACTTATAAACTTATATTCGATTTACCAACAATGCTGATTTTCGATAGTTATGTTATGAATCATGATTCCAATGGCCATCATGAAATGGGAATACCACAATTTATGGCCATTTGATTAACCAGTTAATTATTGAAAAACATAACCTTCAACACAGAGCGGCTTCTCCACGATTCTCGGTCGCCACCAAGCAACCCAAGAAGTACACCACAGACCCAAACGATCAGCGTATCCAATACGTGCTGACGTCGGATCAGCGTTCAGAGCGCGAAAAGGTCGGAAAAGCCACAATGGATATATGGCTATGGCTCCAATACCTACCCTCTGGTAAACTAACATAACTATAGAAAATCCATGATAAATGGATGTTGATAGCTGGGAAAATAATCTGTAAATGGGCCATTTTCTATAGCGATGTGAAGTAACCAGAGGGTCTATTTTTTAAGGATCATCCATGAATCCCAGCTATTTTGATAGGGGGATGTTCACCAGGGGTAGGTTGACAAAACCCATCCCCATATCATTCTGAAACTAATTCCTGGTTGGTGGTTGACCTACCCCTCTGAAAAATATGAGTTCGTCAGTTGGGATGATGACAACATTCCCAATATATGGGTATGTCTGGAAATGCGGTATACCCCCAATTATAGCCATTTAGTAGGGATAATGATCATTAACCATTGGGTGTAGGGGTACACTATTTACAGACAAACCCATATGGAAAAATAAGAAATGTTCCAAACCACCAAGCAGTAATTGACTCACCTAATAAGGGAGGGTCTCATCGATAGCGAAGTTACTTACAACTCCTGTTGTGAAAGAAATCTGGCGGCTTCTGGCTGGGGAACATATAAACTATATAACGAGATACAACTATGGTTTATGGTAGAATTAACTATGGTTTATGGTAGATGTAACGAACCAGTATCATAACAAATCATATCTGAAACGTATCAAAATCATTAAACAAAAATATTTTGAAAAACTTTCATCCTAGAGACTTCGCATGTTATAAAACCAGTATTCATGGGGTTTACAAACCAACATTCACATAACTGGGGGGGCAACATCCTGTAGGATACAGCGGGAGTTCACCAACAGTGGGAACATGGGACAACGGATACAAAATGCTGCCCGATAGTTTGCTAAGTTGATGAACACAACTCCACAGTTATGGCCGTTTATGAGTTATAACTGGTTATAAATGGAGTTATACACTCTATAAATGGGGCTATAAGTACTTATAACTGGTAAAGGGCCATAACTGCAATAACTATATGGTTTATTATACTTATAACATCTTATAACTATAGTTAATGTGGTTTATAAACCAACTTATAACTGGGGGACACCACCTTGCAAGATTTGCTTCAATGGGCTGAACAATCAGGAAACTAAAACCATTTCTGGCTGGGTATAAGGCCATTGTGCTCAGGTATCATTCGTCACCACAGGTTTTTTCGAACCCCAAATAATCATAAAGATCTACCGTAATACTACCTATCAAATCTATAATTATATCACTATAATCTGGCTAAATTCTATCTAAAATCATGAAAACATAATTACTCACCTGAAATAACGATAATATTGAATTTCATCACCATATTTTCTGGTGAATACTAATTCACTCGCCTGAAAATAACTTTTTTTTCCATTTGGGGATAATCCCCACACTAGCATTCCAGTGATGGTGACGGCACGACGTGAGGTCATGAAATGACCCATCCCCAGATTCAGCTTGTCTGAAAATATCGTGGCACCTAAATCCTCCGATCTATCGGAATCGAAAAAATCATGTTCACATTGATACACCTATATCATTTCTGTCAATAATTTTCAATTTATGGATAAAAATGGGATATGCGATACTTCAATTTATGGCCATTTTCATTCATTTTCCACAATGGCCGGAAAAAAAAGTATCCCATATCCCCCTGGAACCAGGCGATACAATTGGGGGCGAAACCTGTTGTGTGGCATGGGAAAAACCATCAAAAATCAGGACCATTGGATTCAGGGTTTTCCGTGTTTTCCCCCAAATATATCCAAATATCATGGCCAATCTTACCAACAATAGATATAATATGTGTATATATATATATAATATGGGGATACTTAATGGCTACTATTATAGGTTAATAATGGTGAATAGTTATCATGGCCAATCAGCAAGATACCCTGCAACTAAATAAAAATCTTCTCTGGTGAACGTAGATAATCCCATTGATACCAAAAGACTAGTTAGGATTAGTCACTACCCATCCAAGATTGACCTAGATATCTGATTGTTGGAACTATTGATATCTAGTACTAACAATATCAGTGTTAAACTACAAGTGCTCAGAGGGATATGATGGGGATATCATGATGTGTGTACTTGTTAAACCTCCATTTCATGGAAAGCGAGTTATCGGGTAAAGGTCCAGTCATGGTGATGACATGTTGTCATACTGATAGGGCTGATAGGGGTACAGCTATGACCCCTATCAAAACAGCTAGAAGTCAAGTCAGCCCATAAATTGGAATGATAAGCCCATAAGAATAAGAAATTATAACCCATTTATAACCAGTACAGTAAGTGGTATTTAGTGGTTATTTTTTTGTGGTCATTTACTACAATGTGGTGCCCCCCAGTGATGTTTGTTGGTTTATAAACCCCATGAAAATTGGTTCGTTATTTGTGTATCAAAAACCATAGTGACATTGGACTTATGTTCACCAACTTAGCTATCGTAAACGGAGCCCCACATTGTAGGATATAACCTGGATGCCATCCCAAAGGCTGAAACTCTTTGAAAGCCTGCCAAAAAAGGTGGCCAGCGGGATATTTAAATTACCATCCGTTATATATATATATACACATACATAATTAAATATATAATCATAATATAGTCATATGTATTTGTGTATAGTATGTATATACATACATACATACATACATACATTACATTACATTACATTACATTACATTACATTACATTACATTACATTACATTACATTACATACATACATACATATCATAGTATACAGTTATATCATAGCTATGTTATATCTATAATCTGGGGTTGAATTACCTATTAGAAAATGTGATTTTCCGTAGTGATCTTAGCCTACCAAAGGGGACATATATAGATAATTAATATAGATACATTTCCATTAATATAGATGAGTTATGGTGATTTCCATACTACCAGAGTTGTGATTTTCATTTCAACAAATAGATACACCGTGTTGAAAAAAAACAACATCTGCAAATACACCTGAGCCATTAACAATACCCCTATCACATCTCATTCTACTAGTTGGTTGAAAACGGTTTCCCTATGGGTTATCATGATCCCCAGTACACCAGGTAGTATAATCCACTATAGCAATCAATTAACCAGGGTATTTTTAATGGCTCACCGTGATGCGCTCCGGGAGTCCTATTGGCGCCTCAGCCTTCAACGGCAGGAAGTATTTCTTGCCATCCTTCGCCACACCTTGGGACCAGGCGCAGGTCCACGGGATCGGTTCTGGATGGCGATTCGCATTTTTTTAGCAAAGTTCATGGTGACTTATCCACTGGAAAAACATAGGAAAACCATAGGAAAACCATAGGAAAATGGAGGTTTACCCTCTGGTAAATTAACATAACTATGGAAAGATTCACCATTTTTAACGGGAAAATCCACTATTTCTATGGCCATTTTCAATAGCAAACTGTTAGTTTACCAGAGGGTATCCACTAAATAATTTGGTAATTTATCAACTATGGCACGATGGTTTGTTCACCAACTTCGCTAACTAACATAGCCATAGTCTAATAGTTGATAAATTACTATGATTAATCACTATGATAACCATAGTTGTTCACCAACTTAGATAACCATTTGGTTAGTCAACTATGATTTAATCACTAACATAACTCCACTCATATCATGGTGATTTAACCACCAAAGGATGGGGATTTACATGTGATCTTGTGATACTCAATTCGTGAACATAGCTAGCTTGACTATGGTTTATGGTAGATACATCTAGAGTTACATTGCCAATCTTAAATACCCTGCAAAAGAAACTAAGGTGGTCAGTAGATATTCCTATTTGCAGCAAAAGATTCTGGTTGGTGGTATACCTACCCCTCTGAAAAATGATGGAGTTCGTCAGTTGGGATCATGACATTCCCAATTTATGGAAATTCATAAAAGCCATGTTCCAAACCACCAATCAGTTACTAATCATTCACCATTATTAAGCAGTATTAACCATTCATAATCCCTATAGCCCCATATGATTCAGGATTCATCCCTGCCCGTCCAGTTGACCGGTTCTTCGGGATGTCAATCCTACAGCAGGATTCCACAGGATTCCATATCAATGGCCATGCAACAAGAACCGATTGAGGACGGAGGTACCGATTCCATATATTTTAGGCCTATTTTTCAGGCCTATGTAATTAAGGGGATATACCCCCAATTCAAATGGCCACAAATATGGTACTAACGTACCTCCATCAATTGGATCCTGGAATTCCCATTGACAATTGACCATACTCTCCCTTGTTAAACGGACGTCTCTGTTCTAAGCAGGACGTCAACGATGTCAACATCATGATCAGCATGATCATCTGCCCTACTGATGGCGTCACTTCGACGTATCTCAGGACGGGCACTGGCTGAAGAGCCTCTCCACCAGAAATCCAGATGGAAACAAGAAAACCCTGAGATTGGACATTGTCAATTCCTCTTCAAAATGTATTCATACACCCAAAAAAATATGGGTGCTTAAATAACGTCTACCAAAAAGAACAGGAGTTCTCATCATTGCAACATCAACATTGCCATATACTGAGATTTGTTTTGGGGTTATATACTCGAACACATCTTATATGGATGGTTGTATACCGTTAATATCCATCCATATAAGATGTCAACTTAGCTCTACAACAAATCCATCCAAGCTGGGCCGTTTCTGTGATATGATCAGTTGATTTTAAACCCCCATGATCTATACCCTCTGGTAACGACTAACATAGCTATTGAAAATGGCGTTTTATAGTTGATTTACCAATAAAAATTGTGAATTTCCATAGTTGTTAATTTACCATGATCTATAGATGTATCTGTATCTACCATAAACCATTGTAACTCTGGTTGGTGGTTTCAGTCCCTCTGAAAAATAGGAGTTCGACAGTTGGGATGATTATTCCCAATATATTGAAAAATAAAAAATGTTCCAAACCACCAACCAGTAAACCATTGTAACTAGTTAGGTTCATCAACTTGGTGTAAGATGACATGTAAATACCCCATTCTTTGGCGCTGAAAAATCACCACAAATTCCCACTTGTCATGGGTCAATCCCGACATATTCCCGCATATCGTCGATAGCGCCGATTACCGAGCTACGAAGGCACCATTCAACCAAGAAGGCAAAAACAAAGAGCTGATTCATCACTTCGTAGAAGACCTGGCACATACGGGAAAGTACTTTTTGTGTGTTTTCGATCCTAAAAAATGTGCTAAAGAACTTGGTGTTCATAGTGAATCTTAACAGTCTTAGATACCTGCCAAAAAAAATCATTGTTCGCTGGTGAACGATGCGATTTTACCGTTGATAGCAAAAGACTGAGGTATTTCGTATTGAATGAAGGTTGACCGAGATTTTCATCAAAAATTCATCGTTTCCTCATGGCAAACAGCACAAGTCAAGTTTTGTCCATGTGCGTCAAGTTTACATGTAATTTTACATGGAAAATGATGAGTTAAATGGAGTTAACATGATTTAACCATCAGCACTAGTGATCCAGCAACACTAGTGATTTTCTGTGGATTTTTTCTGTGGATTATGAAGAGTTCATTGGGAAAACCTATGCCGTGGATCGTAGAAATGTGCACCCACGTGGCACCGAAGTTAAATGCTTCGTCATGGTTAGTTCACTTTCATGAAAACCATCATGAAAATCATCAGAAAAACCTACTCTACTTCAGTGGATTCAACATGATGAAGCCTACTTCTCCCAACAAAACGCACGCCATCGCGCGCCTTGGTGCCGTCCTTGGACTGGAGCCGATGATTCCAATGGGGGGTTGGGCCAGTTCGTTCGCTAAAAGTTGGGTTATACCTTCATAATATAAGTAGGATTTGTGGTGGATCCATATATATATATATATAAATGTATGTATGCATGTATGTATGTATGTATGAATGTATGTACGTATGTACGTACGTACGTACGTACGTATGTATGTATGTATGTATGTATGTATGTATGTATGTATGTATGTATGTATGTATGTATGTATGTATGTATGTCGAGGTTTACTTAAAAATGGTGGATCCCCATTCGTCACCATTGGTTTCAACAGCAAAATGCTCGGATAGGACTTGGATAGGACTTGGATGATTGGATGAGGAAGCTCTATATCTGTAGACTTATTGGATGGGGAAACCCATTTTCAAATTACAACTTATTGGATGGTGATATGATGGGGACTGTGGGGGTAGATGTGGACATGGCTGACATGGCTAAAATAAGTGCTTTGTTTCTGGCGCGCACACACAAAACACAAAACTCTGGTATTCAAATATAGGGCTTTCTTAAAATGGAGCTACCCCAAGTCACCATGGCTTTCAATACTAAAGTGGTCTAATGATTGATGATCTGGAGGCTGGAGGTGCTCCCATTTTAGGAAGCCTCCATATTGACTTACATGGGACGAACGGTGCATGGTCATCCCACAATCATGAGGGAATTATTCGAATGAGTATATTGACTCCTGGATGACCATCCACCATAATCTTAATATGACGAATGGTTCATGAATGGGTATATAACGGTATATATATAATCCTTATGATTTTATGTAATGGGTATATAAATCCCTTTTCATGGATTCATGACCATCCTCTTTGATAGGAAAATAACCCATGTCTTTGACCATAGCACACACGAGAGCATCCCGGTCAGTGCCAACCATCAGTGATGGTCCTATTGAGGAGTTCCACCAAAGCAGGTGTATAAAAAAAAACACATGGGATGTAAAATCAACACTTGGACACAACTAACCAAGAAACATGCTTGAAAGGGACATGTCACCAACACCAGTTGATAGCAAGCTGTTTTGAGAGATCTTTCAATCCTGTACAATGGAACATGTGGAACATGCTGGAATCTGGGTGCTGTGTTTTCAACAAGTGCCTAGGCCAGATCTGATTCTTTCAGACACAATTTTGCATCAACCTCATGTGTGCGCGAAAACGTCAGAACATTGTTTTTGGTGGTAAAACATGATCCTCCGTCCCAAAGGAATCCTTAAAGTGGACATATAAATAAAACATAATATAATATATATATATAAATGTATATATATATATACATGGGCCATTAAATGTCCCCATTGAACATCACCCAACCATTAGGTATATGGTCTATAATGGCTACTAGAAGGTGATGTCCAATATTCCCAAAATGGGACAGTTACCAACCCCTGATATATGTGGTGGGTGGTTTCAACCTATCTGAAAAATATGAGTTTGTCAGTTGGGATTATTATTCCCAACTGAATGGAAAAAATATAAATCTTCCAAACCACCAACCAGATCTACTTACTTGATGGACTGATGTCTTCATGACCAATCTTTCATAGTGAACAAAAAACAACATCTGTTGCTGGTTGTGGTTGTGGTCCATGTTTTTCGCAACAAAAAAAATACTTTACTTCGTGTGATCCCCACCATGACATTTATACATTTTCTTACTGGCAAATCTTCTGGCATTCTATCTGACATATCTTCTGACATTCTATTTGACATTCTATCTGGCATATCTTCTGGCATATGATCTGGCATATCTTCTGGCATTCTATCTGGCAAATCTTCTGGCATTCTATCTAGCATATCTTCTGGCACTCTATCTGACATATCTTCTGGCATTCAATCTGGCATTCTATCTGGCATATCTTCTGGCATATATTCTGACATATCTTCTGGCCTTCTATCTGACATATCTTCTGGCATATATTCTGACATATCTTCTGGCATATATTCTGACATATCTTCTGGCATTCTATCTGACATATCTTCTGGCATATCTGACATATCTTCTGGCATATCTTCTGGCATATCTTCTGGCATATCTTCTGGCATTTCTATCTGGCATATCTTCTGGCATATTTTCTGGCATTCTATCTGGCAAATCTTCTGGCATTCTATCTGACATTTTATCTTCCTACATTCCGGCAGGGAACACTTGGCGTGGATACTCGCGGTTGAGGTCCGGCAGGGAACACTGGGCGTGGATGGTCGTGGTTGAGGTCCGGCAGGAACACTGGGCGGGGATGATCGTGGTTGAGGTCCGGCAGGGAACACTGGGCGTGGATGGTCGTGGTTGAGGTCCGGCAGGGAACACTGGGCGAGGATGGTCGTGGTTGAGGTCCTGCAGGGAACATTGGGCGTGGATGGTCGTGGTTGAGGTCCGGCAGGGAACACTGGGCGTGGATGGTCGTGGTTGAGGTCCGGCAGAGAACACTGTGGATCGCGGGTCGCAGGTGAGCAAGGACGACGAGGACGACGAGGACGACGAGGACGACGAGGAGGACGAGGAGGAGGAGGAGAGGAGGACGAGGCAGGAGGAGGCGGAGGAGGAGGAGAAGGAGGAGGAGGAGGAGAAGGAGGAGAAGGAGGAGGAGGAGGAGGCAACTGACATAAAATCTAACAACCCTCACCTGGCAGGTGGGGAACTAAAGGATGTCAACCGTCCAGTTGGTTGGGGATGTCCACAACATACCAATGTGGGGCCCACAAACGCTATGTTTGTTGGTGAACAAAAAACCCTATGAATACTATCGTTATAAGTATCATAAACCATTGTGAAATTGGAGCTATCAACCAACTTAGCTATCGTTTGGGGGGCACCACATTGTATAACTGTGAAATTGTATGTTTCATGATGAGTTAAATCATATGAATGCCCCATGTTTCAGCAGTATTGTTCTCCTTTGTATATCAATGTATATATCATTGTATAACCCCAGTTATAAGTTGGTTTATAAGCCCCATTAACTAGTTCGTTATATCTACCATAAACCATAGAATTCAGCCACTTATCCATATGTGCGACGGTCAAAATTCAATTCATGTGGTGAGGTCATGGCATCGCTTCATAAGGCCCCCTATCGCTACACACAGTCCCAGCACCCTTTTCACCAACTAGGCGGCAGAATTGCTGCTAGAAGAGGAGGATCCAGATGAGGAATCGGATTCTTATTCCCCTTGCGATGGTATCTCCAGGGAAATTCAAACTTTTACTTGATCACCAAGGCTGACGTCGACAGCTTCAGCTAGACACCAGCCGGACTCACTGCAGGCCATCTGACCTCGGAGGCTGCCCTTGGCTTGTGTTGGCTTGTCTTGGCTTGTCTTGCCTGTGCTGCCTTGTTTCCGGCGCCTTTTTTTCTTCACCCCGCCTCCTTTGCAACCTAATACCACGCCAAAATGAATCGGCAAAACCCTGACCAAATGAACCCTTTAAGAACTAACCCAGTAAGAACTTGAGGGTACCCTTGTTCATACTTCCCATATTTTTCCACCTATAGCACAAGTTGTATAGTTTCAAGTGACCATGTGGGGTACTCCCTAATTTCATGGATTTCACGTATCGCTCTGGGTATCGAGGGGTATCGCTTCGGGCATCGCTACGGGGACCAGAAAATGTGTGATCTCAGGTGTATGTTTCAAGTGACACGAAATTCTGACAAGCTCCATGTTGCAATTCTACTCCTGGACAGTGGCTTTGGAGAAGCGTCCGTGACCGCACAAGGATGCTTTTTCAACATATCTCAGCACGGTCACTACCTGAATCAACATCATCACCATCACCATCATCATCAGCATCATCACCATCATCAAGCTCATGATGCGTTATGAATTAGTTTCTTGCATACATTATAGATCAACATACCCCAATATATCAATATTGTTTAATGTAACTATCTCATATATACTTGACGACAGGCCATCTTGCAACTACCCAGGAAGACCAGCCCACTGCGACTGCTCCAGTGTCGCACTCTGACATCAAAAGATTGGAAAGTCATGCGCCCAACAGGAAGCTTCAATCATAAACAAAGTCTAAAAAGAGGTATCGCTACATAAGGCCCCCTATCGCTACACACAGTAAATCACATATTTTGAGTAGTGATGGCGGATCGTAATTGAAGCCTTTCATAGCGTCTTTTGACCCTTGCTCATATCTCAACTGAAAGTTTTGTGCTCCGGGGGCAAAAAATCATGTACCCTCTGGTAATTTAACATAGCTATTGAAAATGGCAATTTATAGTTGATTTACCCATCTCAACTGAACGCACGCTATCTGAAGGGGGCCCCAGATTGTATAACCCAATGTGGGGCCCTAGAACCGTCTCCAACATCACCAGGTGACTTGGCATGTGAAGCAAGCCGCATCAGCACCTGGTGATGCGAAAAATGAGGTCCGATGAAACATGATAAGAAAAACCCATGGGAAAATGGAGGAAAAGGCTGATGTAACTTCTCAAAATGCCATTTTTGATGTGATTTATAAATTGGGGAAATTCCACAGGAAACCATCGGTTTTTGGCACCAATTATATGTGTTTCCTGTAGATTTCCCCAGACCAATCTCACATTGAACTGGTTGGTGGTAAACCTAGCCCTCTGAAAAATGATGGAGTTCGTCAGATTGGATCATCATCCCAACTATTGGGGAAAATATCATTCATTTTCCAAACCACCAACCAGTTGAACCTTATGCTTTCTGGCCACGCCGAATATCGTGTGACGTTTCGCAGCCGTTTCCCATCTGTCAGAAAGGCCCTGTCCCCCGTAAAATCACGCTGAAAGGAAGCCGACTGAGCGCATGGCCAAGAAAGAACATACAAAGGATGATGGACATCATGCTGCACGCCTCAACATCCAACGTCTGTGCACCCGCCATGAGTGTCAAATTTTCACTGCTATGGTTGAAGGCATTAGAATCGAAGCAGTAAGTAAACCCAATGCCAATGACGCCGACCGGAAATGGGGACGTGTCAAAACCCATGCTTGCCATATTTTGGGGGAATAACCATCCATTCACCATCTGCTATTTTTGGGTACCTATGGGTACCTAAGGTACCAGGTTTTTCACCATTTTTCACCCATCACCAAATGGCTGGCTATTACCCATCAACAAATGGTGATTTATTGGATCATCAACAGTACAAGAAAATTACTTTACTTCGAGTTATCCCCACCATGACATCTATACGTTTTGTTACTGGCAAATCTTCTGGCATTCTATCTGACATATCTTCTGGCATTCTTTCTGACATTCTATCTGGCGTTCTATCTGGCATATCTTCTGGCATTCTATCTGGCCGTTGAGGTCCAGCGGTGCTCACTGAGCTCAGAGGGTCCCAGGTTGAGGTCCAGCGGTGCTCACTGAGCTCGGAGGGTCCCAGGTTGAGGTCCAGCGGTGCTCACTGAGCTCGGAAGGTCCCAGGTTGAGGTCCAGCGGTGCCCAGTGCGCTCAGACCCTTGCAGTTGAGGTCCAGCAGTGCCCACTGCGTGCGGAAGTTGGCGAAGAGCTTGGCGAAGAGTTGGAAAGGCGGAAGTGAACATGGAAGTGGAGGCAGAGGTGGTGGAGAAGAAGGAGGAGGAGGAGAAGGAGGAGGAAGAGGAGGAGGAGAAGAACAACTCTGATAAAATCTAACAACCCTCACCTGGCAGGTGGAGAAAAAACAAAAAAGTGGGTGGTGTCCGTATGGTAAGTATCCCTGGGCCCGTAAAGGTCACACCAACCTTTCTTTTTCGAGATCTCTGTCGAAAGGAAGTCTTTTTGCGTCTCACATGGGCACCTGAGTGTTTGGCAGCGGAAGGCTGACGTGGCTGCTTTTTTGGTTGTACGTTCCGTTGCGGAACCCAAAGAAGCTTTTCCTCCACCAAGGCCAAATCGGTATCAATGGTGTAAACTAGTAACTCCAGCTTGGTAAGGCGTGAAGCGGTAGTTTGCAGAGCTTCAGCGATGGTTGCAAGCCGCTGTTGTAGCCAGGAGATCACTTCTTGGGTCTGTGTCACAAAGTAACGAACCTGAAAGTCAAGCGTCTGCAAAAATTTGTAGATGCGTTGACAGCTTTGCTTGGCGGATCCAAAACTTTCTAAGCAAGATGGGACTTGAATCGTTGGCGAAATGAATCCTGCAAATGGCTTGGCAGCATTGTGACCTGTACTGCAGTTGCGATTGTGTTGAACCACGTCCAAGCAGCATTTTCCGCATGACCAAAAGAGGTCTTGCCAAGTCGGCCCAGTGGGAAAATGACATCTGATGTCTCTACGCCTTAAATCTACTATGTTTTATGACTTGAATCACCACGTTTATGCATTCCAGAAATTGAATGCCTAAACTAGTCTAATGTTCTAATGTCTTGCTGAAGCTCCCTATTTTTCTCTGCGAAATCACAAGTCTGTGCTGCTTAAATCCCAATCTCACCATTTTTCGTTGCTGCTGGTTTCCTACAATGTGGTGCCCCCCAGTTATAAGTTGGTTTATAAACCCATGAATACTATAGTTATAAGTATAATAAGCCATAGTTATTGGACTTATAAACCAACTTAGCTATCGTTTGGGGGCCCCACATTGTAGTGAATGATCGTTGCTTCACTTCGATTCGACTCAGCAAATCCAAGACCACCCTTTAACCATCATAGATGATTAAGCACTATCAAAGATTAATGAGACAATTAAGAGAAATATTCATCATAATGTAAGGATAACCATTACGTGATGCTGATATATTAAATAGAACCATATATATATACAAAAAAGTCCATTGATTCGATAACCAACATTGATGTTTCACCACTAATTTATCCCACTACTATATATCCCATGATTAGCCATTCCTATTCATGGCCAATCTTAGATACCCTGCAAAAAAATAAAATCTTAGCTGGTGAACGTAGATAAATCCCATTGATACCAAGAGACTAGTTAGGATTTGTCACTACCCATCCAAGATTGACCTAGTAATGCCCCCCACAGTTATAAGTTGGTTCATAATAACCCCATTAATTAGTTTATCACCATACACCATAGTGAAATTGGAGTTATTTATAAACCAACTTAGTTATCGTAAACGGGGGCTATATATAGATTTCCCATGATTTCCCTATAGATTTTCAAGAAACTCCAGCTTCAAGCAGCCACCTCGAAGCCATTGCTGTTGACCAGCCGCTGCAGCAGGGGCCTTTCGAGATTCTCAGCAGCCTCACAGCATCGGAGCCCAGCTGACATGAGTGGCTGGGATCTACCGTTGGTTGATGATTCTAAGGGATGGGTATATAATTCAGCAGATTGGGGATTCTCACTATTCATTATGGGAATATAAACAACCAGTTGATGATGATAGTGCTTTAATGGGGGTTTAATCATCTTTTTAAAGGTGTTTAGCTATTTTACCATGAACTGATAAATGATGGTTGGTTGATAACTATATATATATAATTCGAGGAGTATACCAATCCAGTATATTGGCAATTATGACTATCCATGTATTGGGAATCCTTATTAACCAACCAGGATAATGAAACGGCAAGGGTTTCGAGCACTGCTCATATGGCCCAGCTGTCGTGGCGAATTTCTCTGGCTCATTCTGGCTGTTCAACCAAACTTGGGATCCTCCTTAGATCGAGCTTGCCCAAGATCAGCGAAGTCAACGCTTACAGCAACCCCAAGAAAGAGGCCGATTTCAATGCTTAGGTTTGCCACTAATCTATCTATCTATCTATCTATCTATCTATCTATCTATCTATCTATCTATCTGGAGATGACTACAGAGAGCCATCAAAATGGCAACGATATGACTCGACCCCTTAATCGAGCGTTTGCCAAGGTTCACGCAGCAAGAATGGCTTGAGCAGAAAAACATGGGGATATTCACATCTATTCACCACGCATTTTGGCAAATTTGGGGATACACAATGTTACCAAATTTTACCAATCAATAATTTTCATAAGACGAAGCCCATAATCAGAATCTCCCAGCCGTAACAGCGATCCCACCTTTGGCTTCGATTGATCCGTCTCCTATTGGTGCATCACGACATCATGGAAAGTTCAGCAACAAACATGGGCATACTTTTGGTGGTTCCTGTGCTTCTCCATAGCGTTCAGTTGGGCTTCACAAGTTCACATCATTCCAATTTCACGGGAGGGTTGGTTTCTGAAGTAGATATATTAGTGGATGGGTCAAGTTAGCTATGAACTTACCAGCCATGACTGCGGGGTTATTTGTATCCGAAAAAGAAAAACTATGACTTATAGGTTACCAGTGGTACCAGGGTTTTGATCCATAACTATATCTGACAAATGGGGGATGAGCTGACAAATGGCAAGGAAAACTAACCCCACAACTAGCCGCTAGGTGTTCTTGCAGTTCCCCAAGTCGAAGTAGATAAGTAGAGTCTGCAACAAAATACATCAAAATACTACAGATAGGATTGACATCAATGATTCTTGAACTGCTCCAAGCTTTGAAAAGCACCCTTCTGTTTCGATCTGGAGTCATATCCGATGTTCGTAATTTCACACCAGAGCACGTCAAGCAAGATGGTATGCCCCGTAACCCCCCTCAAGCCTGTTTACAGTTATGGCCGTTTATGAGTTATAACTGGTTATAAATGGGTTTATACACTCTATAAATGGCTTATAAGCACTCATAACTGGTAAAGGGCCATAACTGTAGTTTGTTGATGTTTTTTAAGTGGACAGAATTAGTGGGTTTACGCGGCCAAGAAACACAGTGCTTGCTGGTTATATCCCACATGTATTTAGATTAACAGAAATTGACGACATACAAGCTGTTACAAGCAATGTTGGTCATTGTTGGTCATGGTTTAACCACTTGTTTAAAGACTTAACACAAATTAACCAATGTTTAACCACAGCCGTTGGTCATGCCCGTTGTGTTTCTAACGTTTCTCATGTCCCGAAGACAAACATATTGGGCATGATGAAAACCATTGGGTGGGGATCATTACCTCATATTTATAACGATAATAAATCTGGAGTTATGGCCGCAAAAATGAGTTCTAATTGGTTATTTCTATGGGGTTATACACTCTATTTCTATGGGCTTAGTTCAGTACTAACTGGTATAACTCGGGCCATGTGGATTATAAACATTGGATGTTTCCATTCGAACAAAACAGAAATGAACATATGAACAATTACAACATATTGTCAATGGGATTTTCAGGATCCTAAAATGGAGGTACTGTACCATATAAGGCCATATTTTCTGGGGAAATTCCCTTACATAGGCCTTACATAGGCCTTATATATGGTAGGTACCTCCAATTTAGGTTCCTGAAATGGCCATTGATATTGTTGAATGTTTAGTATTGTATCTACTGAAGAGTATGACTATATAATCACATGGTCAATCTTTGCTAGTCAACAAAAAAAATAAAAATGGTCAATCTGTGCTAGTCCACCCAAAAAAACACATGTTGCTGTTTATGTTGTTTTTCATTTATAGCAAAACAACTATAGAAAACTGAAGGATTAGTGACAAAACACCTATCCAGTGGGGGATACTTTGCCGCCTCTGCTGTGCTCTCATCATCACCTGGGCTTCGCCCGTCTCAACCGAATCTTGGGTACCTTGAATGACTAGCCCGCTAGATTGAACGATGATTGAGGCAGTTTCCGCAAGATTCTATTCCGTATTCCATATATATACAAATATAATAGTGTTCCATATATAGGAATCCTTAAAATGGACATATAAATAAAACACATACATGTATATATATATATATATATTGGTGGTATAGCTACCCCTCTGAAAAATATGAGTTCGTCAGTTGGGATGATGACATTCCCAATATATGGAAACATCAAACATGTTTCAAACCACCAACCAGATATAGTGTTTGAATGTTTTTGATCTGCGCACACGTTGTGAATCATCCAAGCAATATCCTCACCTTGTGCTGCTTTATGGTATGAGACTGTATGGATACACCATGGAACAATCTCAGGGTCATTGTCATGGAAAAAAACCCAAAAAGGTATATAAGTCTGGGCCCCCCCAGTTATAAGTTGGTTTATAATCCCCATGAAAACTACAGTTATTTGCGTATATTAAACCATAATTATCTGGTTGGTGGTTTCAACCCCTCTGAAAAATATGAAAGTCAAATTGGGAGTATTATTCCCAATATATGGAAAATAAAAACATGTTCCAAACCACCAACCAGCTATAGTTATAGTATGTTATAGTTCACCACCAAATAGCCATTGAAAATGACCATAGAAATAGTGGATTTACCCATTCAAAATGGTGATGTTCCATAGTTATATTAGTTTACCAGAGGGTAAACCATCATTAACCATCATAATTTACCATTATTATCCATTCACCATCCATTCACCACTATTAACCATCATTAACCATTGTTATAACCATCAAAAACCAAAGAGAGTAAACCATAGTTATTGAAGCTATCTTCACCAACTGAACGCTATCGATTTCAGGGGCCCACCACATTTTTTCAGTGACCTTCCTGGAGATCACCAGTCAGATCTTCCCCACGGTGGGATTTCAACAGCATTTCCTACAAGTTGAGAAAAGCCATAGTGGGTACGTTCCATAACCCCATACCCTTATGCTCTATGTATAGTATATTTACCTACATTTGGGTGCTGTTGTTCGGGCAAATGTTGGTCAATATTCCAGCACCATGGAGCATTTGGGCTATCGAAAACCATCGAAAACTCACCTATGAAAATGCCGGGACGATCGGGATATATAGGATCCATGGTGCTGCTATATATGGTAACATGGATCCCATCAATATACCCCAAATGTTAGCATATATACCATATATACGATACATGGATCCTATGGCATATATATTATATATATACCCCAAAACGATGGGACTTCACCCAGCCTTCGTCGTCTTCTGCGATGTAGGGCGCCGTGCACCATTCCGTGAACTCACCTGGCAGTCGCAGCGTATCACTATGAGTCAACACCCTGGCACCCTAGGTACCCCCAAAAAGTACCTGGTTAATGGATCTTTATTCCGCCAAATATGGTAATAAGAGGTTTTGACCCATCCCCATATCTTTTAGTTGAATGATTTTTAGGGTCGCGAAACACGATGGATCTTCCTTTAAAATTAACCTGAGATTCGAGGATACAGCTGGGAAACAACTGCAGATTTGACGAGACTTGTGAAGCTAAGGCTGAAGCACCAATTTGGAAAACACAAATTCACCACGGATGGTGCCCCCCCCCAGTGATGTGAATGTTGGTTTAGAAAACCCCCATGAATACTAGTTCGTTAAACCATAGAATTCAGCCACTTATAACTTGATATCTCAACTGAACGCTATCTTGGGGGCCCCATCCTGCAGCAATCTGATTTTGTTTATCGGTCTGTATTCTCCCCACGCTTAAAAACTTGATCGTTTCGAACTCGTGAAACAAATCTAAAGTTATGGCCCTTTACCAGTTATAAGTGCTTATAAGCCCATTTATAGAGTGTATAACTCCATTTATAACCAGTTATAACTCATAAACGGCCATAACTGTACCCAATTCCATCGACATTATTTGAGGGTTGGCGGGGTCCTAAGTCCTAGGGGATTCCCAAGTCACCATGGGTTTCAATATGAAAATGATCATCCATGACTGGATGAAAACTGGGGGTACTGCCGCACGACTGGATGGAAACCACCATGGCTGATTGGTTTAGATGTTCGATGGAAATATACAATATAGTATCTATATCTAAATGTAACTATGTAACATTATGTTCATATAATCATATATGTATTGATGACAAACCATCTCTATTATGCTATTTTACGTTTGTTATTGTTACATATGGGTCCAAATTTGTTCCGCCGGTTCATCTAACCCGGCCCCTAAAGTGCCCTTAGGGGCCGAGAGGCCCGACAAACAATAAACTTATAGGTAAGTTGAGATATAAGTGGCTGAATTCTATGGTTGATTAGGTAGATATAACAAACTAGTATTCATGGGGTTTATAAACCAACTTATAACTGGGAGCACCATCCTGAAGTAGAGTAAATGTAGTAGATGCAGTAGATATAAATAGTCAAATCATGTAAAATGAACATGTTGTTAGACATGATACTGTTTTAACGTATACTGAATATAGTCATTAACGATTAAACATCTATGTATTGATTATATATACATGTATCTATCTGTACATGTGTGCGTGTATATATATATAATATACTACATGTATGTATGTATATATATATATATATATATTATAATATAATATAATATATACATATTATAATATATAGATATATACATATCATACTATATTGCATACTATATTGTATACTGCATTGTGCACTCCGTTGCATACTACATTGTATACTACATTGTATGTCTTCTACATATATATATATATATATACGTGTATAGTACCCGTCATTTCTTGCTGGGTATCAGTACTTTCTATGCCTCATGATTTTGTGTGATGTGGCAAATCCAATAAATAACAAGCCCCAATGACTTTCCAAAAATTGGCCGTATAGACAATGCCCATCAATGACCTAAATGGATGTGTCTGCTATTGGGTTTGCCACATCAAAATTTCAATCTTTTACCTGGAGAATTCATAGCATTTCACCAGCCTGAGACAAGATAAATAAGTAAGGTCATGTGGGAATATGGGAATATGATCTGGGTAATTTATATTTATACTATTTTATACTTATTCACTGACCTGAAATATATAGGAAGAGTTGATGCTTCAAGTCGAAGTTGAAGCTTTAGAAGCATACAGAAAACGGAAGTTTTTTTGTTTATCCAAGGCATCGACTATACTTCTGTTGAGGCTTGTGACTTCGAAAGTTACTGCATCACCGAGTTCTTGACTTTGAAGCATGGCAAATTCTGGCACATAAATCTAGTTCAATATCACCACACCAATCTCGGACTTGTTGCTTCATAAAGAGCTTCTCCAAGATGTCTCTTGCATTGAACACATGAAGCGATGCAGTTTTCAGAGCTCCCTTGGCCTTGCCAATTGATTTGACAATTGATAGTTTCAGCCAATTCCTGTTCAAATTGTCTTCAGTGCAAGTAGTGCAGCCTGGGATCGACGACTTCTCTTTACAACTTTTTCAAAAGCAGCTGTGAATTTCCCGATCATTGAGACTCTGATCACGGAAGGAAAACTATCTGACACTGCTTTCACCAAATCCAGCATCAAAAGCGTGGTGTCAAAATATACCTGAAAAAAACGGCCACTGATCTCTTTGGCCGGCCCCCTCCCAAAAAAAAACTGAAATTAGATGAAATTACTGTAGATGTTTTTTTTCGGCCATTTGGGGATAGTTTAATATATTCCAGTGAGGTCCATTCGTGAAGTCGTGATCAAAAAAATCCAGATATGATGGGAGGTTTGGGGTAAACTAACCATGAAACCCTCTGGTAAACGTTTACAAAAAACCATGAAAAATCACCATGTTTAATGGGAAAATCTATGATAAATGGGCCATTTTCAATAGCGAACTGTTGGTTTACCGCAGGGTACTCACCATCGTGGCAACTGCACAGTCGCAATCGTGCCAGAATCTCGAGTAAGCCGTTCGAATCTGTCCTGAAACCAGAGACTTTTCGTGGCAATGTACCAATTGGGGCCCAAAATGGAAATAGCAACTGGCAAATGGCTGGTCTTGTTGAATGGGTTTCTGAAGGCAAGTTATGTTAGCTTACCAAAATGGATTAAACTAACTATGGGACGGTTTGGGTTTCTTGAGCAGTTTTAATCCATGTTGCAAGTTCATCTAGAGGCAAGCACCCACATGAGACACTGCAAATTACCGCATGTCCTACTAGACAGGATGAAATAGGTACGGTGGCTCAAACATTTTGAAAAATCATGTCTTTGGGCAAATTGCAATAATTCATGAACCTCAATTTGTTTGTTGTGTCGGGATATCCCAATAATATTCAATAATTCTAATTATAATAATATATCATATATCCCAATAATACGTCCCTAAATGTCCCAATTACATTTGGATAATTTCCCTTACTAATCATCATTCCAGTGAGGTCGTTGCACGATGTCCGACTCAAAATTCGAGGACGGGCCCGGGTAAGGGCCCCCGAGTGCCATGACGGAACATGGCGATTTACCCATGAACAATGGGCATAACATGACTGGTTGGTGGTGTACCTACCCCTCTGAAAAATGATGGAGTTCGTCAGTTGGGATGATGAAATTCCCAACTGAATGGAAAGTCATAAAATTCCATGGTTCCAAACCACCAACCAGATGATGATTTATTGGAAAGGTTCCCCAGAAGTGCCTGCACTTTATTTTTTCGGGAAAAATCAAGATCCTTGCGAAAAGCCACCTAAACCTGGAATCGGGGACGTGAGCCGCTCTGAAAGGCGTTGCATCAAAACACTGGCCCCACAAATTGGTAATCCAAATTGTGCCACGCAGATTTTGATGAATATATGTGGTGGATAAATGTTCGCCGCCTGATGGATTTTTTTTGGTTTGGGGCGTGGTGCATGGTGAAGTTTGTTGGAATTTTGGTGGATTTGTTTAAAGAGGAAAATACAAACACATAATGCCGATTCTTCGCCGCAAACTTCACCGCATGTTTACACTACATGTTTCACTCAGAAACTTCGCCGGCAAAACTTCGCCGGCAAAACTTCGCCAGCAAAAGTTCGCCAACATAATTTTGCGCGTTATTTGCCATTTTTCATATAAATATGTTGCCCTTGTGGGCACTTACACAAACATGATGTTCATCGGGATAAACCTTGCAACAGTTGAACAAAAATGAAAATTACATAAAATTACAAGATGTCACTCTAACTTCATTCTGCAGGTTTTTTGGCCTAAGACCTATCCATGAAAAATTGGGATTTACATGGTGATGTGTAATAGCTGAGTCGACGCAAAGTTCGGGCGAATTCTGTTGGGCTTATGGGGCAACGAACTGATTACTGTAAGGGGGTTTAAAAATCAACTTGAAATAAGGGACCCTATCTTGTACAGTTATGGCCGTTTATGAGTTATAACTGGTTATTTATATGGGGTTATACATTCTATAAATGGGGTTAGTTCAGTACTTATAACTGGTATTTCGGGCCATAACTGTATACTGTATTGGTTGTTGAAAATATGATGAGTTCTTTTTTTTCCCCAGCCAGTCAGCTTCAGCAAAAATTAGGCACGTTATCACCCTATCAGTTGGGGCATGGTATTGGTTTGGTGAATATTTTGAAACCACCAAGTCACACGAAAGATAAACAGGTTGGTGGTTTCAACCCCTCTGAAAAATATTAGTCAATGGGAAGGATGACATCCCATATATGAAATGGAAAATAATCCAAATGTTCCAAACCACCAACCAGTAAAGATGAGCAGGATTCAAAACCCGAAATGTTGTTCCCTTACACTAGCTTGTGACAGTTATTCTGGTATTCCCAGTTCACGGATTGTACCAATCCCCAATCGATTGGATTCAGATTGACCATATATATTTTTCAACCAACTGTCATGTATCTATCCTCATGTACTTCACGATGAAAAACCCCTATGAATGATGGTGAAATGGAGGTTTTCTCAAATAAGGATACCCCAAATCATCCTAATCTAAATAATCATGTTTTATTATTGAGCCAATGGTGACGTCGGGATCCCCCATTTGGGCTTGTCTTATAGCACCCCTGAATCCATTGATTAATCAGAACGTTCATGAATTTTCCCTACTAAAATAAACATAATATGGCGAAAAAAGAAAATGTTTTCAGACACACCCATTTTACTTGGTGGTTCATCCCACTTACTAAGTGGGCTATAACCCTGGTTATAAGTGGGATAAGTAGGGTTAATCATAACTAGGGTTTTTTTCCCTACTTACTAAGTGGCATGGGCCACCAAGTACAAGGTGGTTCCCCCCCAGTTATAAGTTGGTTTATAACCCCCATTAAGTAGTTCGGTATATCTCCCATAAACCCAAGTTATTGGAGTTATGTTCACCAACTTAGCTAACTATGGGGCACCACATTGTAGTGACCATGCATGACCACGCTTCGTCATATGGCTTAGTAATGGTTAATACCGGGTTACCCTCTGGTAAACTAACATAACTATGGAAAATCACCATGTTTAATGGGAAAATCCACTATCAATGGTCATTTTCAATAGCTACGTTAAATTACCAGAGGGTATGTTTTGTGGGTAATAGTGATTGATCATGGTTTATCATGGTGAATACTGGATTATTTATGATCAACCAACAGGGTTTTTCCGCTTCCGCGGCCAGTTCCACCAAGATGCACAGAAACTTTCACGCAGCACGGCTTGAGCTTCAGAACGTCTGCCTGGAACCGGCGTGAATCAATGGGCCGAAACCGGTTGATTTGGAGGTACCTAGCATGGATAAGGCCTATCTTTTAAGGATATGTTTGTTGGAGCATTTCCAGAAGATATGGTTTTATAAGTTTTATAGTATGGTACAGTACCTCTAGTTTAGGGTCCTGAAATTAGAATATCCTCTGGTTATTGAACAATTTGATAATGGTATATATAGTCCAAAGAAATGGTGATCAACATGATGATTTGCCGTTCTTAAAAATGCTATGCTAAATTACCAGAAGGTATCCACCAAAAAAAACATGGTGAACCCGTGGGCACAAGAAATCAAGTAGTTTGGTTCCCGAAATTCCCGTTTATTAGCCCCATTTATATTGGCTACTGGGAAACTATAACAATTCATCAGCCTGGAATAGGTCATTAGGGGATAGTTACCACTTACCAGCCATCAATGAAGGTTTAAATCAACAAACCTTAATAGCCCCATGAAAGGAATTATATAATATCATAAAATATCATACTGGCTATGATTAAATATGATTAAATGGTACTCACAGCATTCGGGCTGGCCGAAGAAGATTCCTGCGGCTTGACCATGAATTTCTCAGGTCGCCCGACTTTTTGTTGCCGGTGATCCCAGGGTGATCCCAGGTAGCCCTCCTGGCGCTTCTTCCTGCGTCGCGCGAATCGAGATGCGCACAAAACATCTGCGCACATTCTGCGTTGCAATCGCATACTCATGTCCCGAGCTCAACTCCCAGCCTTGTCTGGACTCGCAACGAGCGAAAAAACTTTGGGTCCACCAGGCCTGACACCCAAATAATGGCCCACATAGCCACAAGCCGCTGCGAGCACTCGGTACAGAGTGCCATCTGACGAAGGGTCCTCTGAAGCTCTCTCAATTACGTGTTAATTACGTGCCTGGAGATACATCGACGAGAGAAAGAGCTACCTTACAATGCCAATGGTCTTACCTTTTAGGGTCTAGGGGTGGGAGGGACTGGTAGTGGCTTAGGGTCTAAGTGCGGTTCTAATCATGTGCCAAACCTGACAGTGCCGATGGTTTTACCTTTTAGGGTTTTGGGGTGGGGGGGTGTACGTCACAAACGACGAGAAAAACCGCGTCACGAGATCTCCGAGATCAACAGGGTCACAGGTGGTTTGGGTCGGATTGAACTTGTACAGAAGGCCCATGGGCAGTCCCAATGCATTCATTGTTTCATCAAAATTCAAGCATGTTAGTATTGAAACCCATGGACAGATGGATAGAAACTAGGAACCCGGCGCATAGACGGCCGTGGCTCAAAATGAAGAATGAGTATCATCCAGCTTGATTTTCTGCACGTTTGTAAGGGGATTTCTCAAGTTTCAGGTGTATACACTTTTTGTGGCTGAATTCCATTGGAAAGTTAGCAAAATGGCGTTTTCGCCTCAGCGAAACGATCATTTTAATGTTTTTTTGAAATGACGTAACTACTTTGTCTATGCCAGGATTTGCTTCTTTTTTTCCTCATCTGACAGCATCAATCCTGCGGCAGGAGGTCTTCCAAGTGTTCCAAAAATTCGCAGCAGCGTAGCAGCAGCGTAGCATCCACGTATGTAGGCAAGGTACATGAACGTTAATATCCCCCCCACCCCACCCATGCCCAGTGACGTAGCAGCAGCGTAGCATCCATGTATGTAGGCAAGGTACATGAACGTTAATATCCCCCCCACCCCACCCATGCCCAGTGACGTAGCAGCAGCGTAGCATCCACGTATGTAGGCAAGGTACATGAACGTTAATATCCCCCCCCACCCCACCCATGCCCAGTGACGTAGCAGCAGCGTAGCATCCACGTATGTAGGCAAGGTACATGAACGTTAATATCCCCCCCACCCCACCCATGCCCAGTGACGTAGCAGCAGCGTAGCATCCACGTATGTAGGCAAGGTACATGAACGTTAATATCCCCCCCACCCCACCCATGCCCAGTGACGTAGCAGCAGCGTAGCATCCACGTATGTAGGCAAGGTACATGAACGTTAATATCCCCCCCACCCCACCCAACCCCGTTTTGCTAAAATATGTATTTCGGTCCACGGCCGTCTATGCGCCGGGTACCAACTACTTGGGGGCGAACTACCCACGAATCCTAAGAATCCTAAGTGGGCTATATCCCTGGCTATAAAATGTTATAAGTGGATATAAGTGGGATGAAAAGTAAGGTTAATCCACTTATAACCAGGGATATAACCTACTTACTAAGTGGGGTGAGCCATCAAGTAATCCTTGAGTTCTCTGCTATAAATATGAACACAAACCATGTTCACAGCAAACTAGTTTATTTTATTTGTGTGGACTACCAACGATTGACCTTGTTTGCCCTTTGGTCATCTGACATAGGTATTGAATAGATTCCCCATAGAACTAGATTCTTTACCTATTGAACATGAGGATTTTCCATAGCAACCTCTTAAATGAACAGAGGGTACCTTAGTGGTTAGGAAATGAGCAAAAAATACAGTTACATGATTATATCCATATATCTGGGTAAATTGTAATATTTCACTAACCTGAATCTTGCGGCCAATTGGGGCTGATTCCTCTTATTAACCATGATTTCCAGTGAGGGAGAACAGTGAGGTCGTGATGAAATTTACCCAGATAAAATGTGATGACTTGGGTACACAACCTACAGTATATCTATATATACTGGTTGGTGGTGTCAACCCCTCTGAAAAATCATGAAAGTCAGTTCGGATTACTATTCCCAATATATTAAAAAAAAAACATGTTCCAAACCACCAACCAGATATACTTGATGGATTGATGTCTATGAACCAAATCTATATGGTAAAATCTATGCCTTGGGTATAAAATGGTACAATGTGGTGCCCCATAGTTAACTAAGTTGGTGAACATAACTCCAACAACTTGGATTTATGGTAGATATACCGAACTACTTAATGGGGGTTATAAACCAACGTTCACATCACTGGAGGGGAACCACCTTGTACTTGGTGGCCCATGCCACTTAGTAAGTAGGGAAAAAAACCCTAGTTATGATTAACCCTAGTTATAACCCTACTTATCCCTTGGGTATAAAATGGTATCTATCTGGGTAAATTATAATAATTCACTAACCTGAATTAAGGCCATTTGGGGATGATTCCTCTTATTAACCATGATTCCAGTGAGGTCGCAGTGAGGTCGTTATAATTTACCCAGATCTATATATGGTTAACAATTGATTTGTTTAATGGTCCCAGGATCATCCCCCACGGTTCACATGATGACTTCTTCACACAGTGTTTTTTCATAAGCGACTGAATGGGGACGACCTGTTCACCAGGAATATGAAGTCATGAACCTGGCTTTATCTGGCTTTGTTATTGAAGGTACCCTCTGGTAAACTAACATAGCTATTGAAAATGGTCATAGAAATAGTGGATTTACCCATTAAAAATTGCGATTTTCCATAGCTATGTTAGTTTACCAAAGGGTATACCAGATTTCCAGGGCTACTGAACTGGTTTTTAGTCTTTTGAGACTAAAAACCAGTCATGAACCACCAAGGGGGACGCTTCAACCGGCTGTCCCTCCGTCCTCCTTCGAAGACCGACGCCAACGTGCTGCGCATCAGTCCTGACGCCCAGGTGATGAGAAGTGCAAGGCGAGCGCGGACCGTTTTCTGACAGGTTGCCTTGCAACTGGCTGAATTCTATGACTTATGGTATATATATATATATACCCTCTGGTTATTTAACATAGCCATGGGAAATGGCCCATAGAAATAGATGGTTTACCTATTAAAGATGGGTGGATCTTTCCATGGCGATGTGCTTAAATAACCAGATGGTATATATAGTTGATGAGCTTATAAGTTAGTAACTTACAGTATTACAAAGCAACTTACAATGTCTGGGGGAGGCGCCTTGTATCTGAGATGACCGGGCTTGGTGAACCACCTGGTTTTGTGAACGTGGGATGTAGGCTTCATCCACTGAAATAACTCCCATGAACCAATCACTTCTTAGGATTCGTGGCTAGTTCGCCACCAACTTACCAACAATAGATATAATATGTGTATATATGGGGATACTTCATGGCTACTATTGTAGGTTAATGATGGTGAATAGTTAACATGGCCAATCTTAGATACCCTGCCAAAAAAATAAACAACTTAGCTGGTTAGTAGACAATCCCAGTGATAGCAAAAGATTAAAGGATTAGTTTGTACCCATCCAAGAATTACCTAGTTAATAATGATTACCCTCTGGTAAACTAACATAACTATGGAAAATCACCATTTTTAATGGGAAACTGTTAGTCATTATTGAATGGGAAAATCCACTATTTCTATGGTCATTTTCAATAGCAAACTGTTTGTTTACCAGAGGGTATTATCCATTATATATCCTAATAAATCCCATTAAATCCCATGGAAAATCATTTTTAATAGGTAAAACCGCTAATCAATGGGATTATAGATTTAATGATAATACCCTGATGATAAATGATGGTGATTAATGATCATTATCATTGATTAAATCCCATTAAATCCCATTAATCATTTATCACCATTAATGATTAATGATATCAATGGAAAGTGTCGGCCATCCCTTCATCTCCCAAGTCTCCAACCTTGTCTCGGTCACGACGGTCACGGACGCAGTCGCAGTCGTCACGACGCAGCGCGGCCATTTTTACGTCACATGGCCATGGCCAACATCCAAAAAACCTAGGTGTGTTTTTTTAGTATGTTGATTGGTTAGATAATGTTAAATAGTGTTAACTGTATCCCCAAAAATATCCCCATTCCATGAAATGGCTTGAAAATCTTGAAATTGGAACTGGTGGGTGATAAAAACTCCACTGCTAAGTTGGTTTAACTTCTAGTGGTTATCCAAATAAACTACCTTATCCCCACCCACCAACAAAAAAACACGAAGGGTCCCAGGGCCGGGAACTGCCATGGAATCTTGTTCGTTTCTCAACATCGATGTGAGTGCTTCTAGTTCTAAAGACCATCGATGGCATTCACGAAGTAGCATGTGGAAGCAACAATATCAATGGATTGGTTTAAGGGAAAATCTTAACCGGAAACCATGGTTTTTACCATAAAATATAGGGGGTTCCGCTTAAAATTTTCCCATCATCCAATTCTATGACAATAACATCAAAAAACAACCATGACCGGGGCTTGTGGTCGGCCAAAAAAGTCAGGCTCATCCGCACTGAGAAGCTGGAGCCGTTGTCAACTCCGGATACGGTGGGGATCTTCCCATTCTTTGACCGGAATTTGGTGGAGAAATGTGTTTCACATCTTCCATAATTTCAAATATCAAGGTCACAAATCTTCGGACAAAACTATTTCAAAGTACCTATAGATCCTCCAAATACCCCCCGAAAACACGGGAGGGTCTAGGTATATCCTCAAATTACATTGGCAAATTGGGTTTGTGGTTGGTGGTATACCTACCCCTCTGAAAATTTGAAAGTCAGTTGGGAGTATTATTCCCAATATATGGAAAAATAAAATTCATGTTCCAAACCACCAACCAGTTTAGCCATGACATCTCATTCGCTCAGATTTTCAGCGCTTCTCGAAGTGTGGCTCCAGATTCTTCAGCTCCTAGACTTTGCTGCACTCGGGCTACCGAACTGGGGACGTTGACATGAGATTAGCACCATTTTATGCCACAAATAAACAGGGGAATACCCTAAATCTTCCAAACATATGAACAAGTTGATCATTTTCATGTGTATTTTGTTTTTAATGGATTTAATGGCCTTCTGTGTTTGCTTGATTTTACTGAGGATCGGGATCGAATGGGAAATTAATCAATAAACATTGGCAAACCCATACTGGTTGGTGGTTGACCTACCCCTCTGAAAAATGATGGAGTTCGTCAGTCGGGATGATGAAATTCCCAACTACAGTAAATGGAAATTCATAAAAATTATATAAAAATCATATTCCAAAACCACCAACCAGCATATCTGGAATTGTGGAAGCCAGCTAACAATGGGGTTCTGAACACAGAACCAGGTCTTTTTTAGCCGAAAACGAGGACTTGATCGTCTCCAAGACGGAGCTGTTTTTAGCAGCACATTCTTCTACCATGATTCGGAAGAACATGTTGGATATCATATCATATCATCTCATGCAACAATAAACTGGTTGGTGGTATACCTACCCCTCTGAAAAATATGAAAGTCAATGGGAAGGATTATCCCATCCTACCCCTCTGAAAAAATAATATGAAAGTCAATCGGAAGGATTATCCCATATATTCTGGAAAATAAAATTCATGTTTCAAACCACCAACCAGATAAGGCTTTCAGATGCTTTCAGTAGATTTGACGCACACATGGAAAACTGCTGGACAAGTCATCCAGTAAACCAATCCCATGAAAATCGTCTTGAAAAACGTGTTGTGAGACCCTGCAGGATGGGGCCCCCAAGATAGCGTTCAGTTGCCTTGCAACTGGCTCAATTCTATGACTTATGGTATATATATATATACCCTCTGGTTATTTAACATAGCCATGGAAAATGGCACATTTATAGATGGTTTACCTATTAAATTAAACATTGTGATTTTCCATGGCTATATGTTACATAATCAGATGGTAATGGGGGTTATAATGGTTTATAAACCAACTTAAAAGTGGAGGGCCCCATCCTGTGCAGACCATACAAGTGAATAATCCACAGAAATATGATGAAATATGGCTGTCAAAGGCCGAATGGAATCGATGCCACAGTTACAAAAATCTGGGATAGCTGGATGTTCATCACGAAAATTAGCGTTGGGCAAAGTGGTGCCCGTTGGAGAAGTTCGTTGATCATTCCAATTTCACTGTTTTTTTGTAGTAGATACATCTATGCTTCCTATGGTGGTTATACAAACCACTTATTAGGTATTAACAAAAAGTCACCTGTCTGGAAGCCTTTTCTGCTTGATTCCTAGTCATTCCCATGGCCGTTGATCGAGCCTCCCTTGTTGGATCATCATATGATTCCGCCGGACACCAGCTAGTTTCTTGTCCTAGATCAACATCATTCCACTTTACCGTCTGGTTATGACTAACATCGCCATGGAAAGATCCACCCATTTTTAATAGGTAAACCATCTATTTCTACGGGCCATCCATACCATGGCGAAATGTTAGTCATAACCAGAGGGTAAACCCAAGGATGTCTTGTTGAATATCCCAAACAGCTATGGTGCTGCTATACATCAACAATCATCAACACTCTGGTCATCGCTGAGCAATCATCCTGGCTTCGGCAAAACCTGAGACCCTGCAGGCCCCGGATCATGTAACAAGGATGTCCTGAACAGCTGCCTCAACACTCTCCGCAAGAATCAGGAACCTAAACAGCGACCAGGAACCGCACATGTTGGTGGATGTGGGGATGACATGACTGGGACTCAATATAGTTCATTCTATTTCTATATCTATCCAAATAAACCAAGTAAAGTATATTTATCTATCATCACCCAAGGATATTCATGGATATCCTATTCATTCCATGAAGGTGTTTTATTAAAAAAAAAAACGGGGGGTGGGATTCATATGGGACATGATTGGCTGGTTGGTGGTTGACCTACCCCTCTAAAAATGATGGAGTTTGTCAGTTGGGATTATGAAATTCCCAACTGAAGGGAAAAATAAACATGTTCCAAACCACCAACCAGTAGGGGTATCCACAACAAAACAATGTGGAATTTACCAAAATCATAGGGGATGAATGAACATCGTGCTGTGCTTTCTTCTTGGGAAACGATCTCCAAATCGAGGAATGACAAAAAGTGAATTCGGAATTTGAGAACAAAAACATCCCCAATTCATCACTTTTTCTTATCGGGGGATTTAATTGTGTAGTAGGGGTATGCACAACAAGAAACAACATTTTTGAGATAAATTACCCTCTGGTAATTTAACATAAATATGTAAAATCACAATTTATAGTGGATTTTCCTATAAAAAATGGTGATTTTCCATGGTTATGTTAGTCATAACCAGAGGGTAAATTCTTTCCTATGGATCCCCCATTACCTGGAGGATCGTCTCAATTAGCAAGTGGGGCGACTGTCATAATCTTGGCGATCATGACTGTCTATCCCCCTATTCCTGCAGTTATCCATAAGAAAAGTATATATGGGGGTTTCCTACAATAGGGGTACCTCCTAAATAAATCATCAGTTTTGATGGGTATTTTCCATTGTAAACCATTCATTTGGGGGTATTCAGCATTTATGAAACCCCCATATGTCACAAAGTAAGACTGGTTGGTGGTTTCAACCATCTTGAAAAATATTAGTCAAATATTAGTCAATGGGAAGGATTATCCCATATATTATGGAAAATAAAAAATGTTTGAAACCACCAACCAGAAATTGAGTGTGCAAAGGTTTATCCTTTCCAGCCGTGCTGAGATCCACAAGCGCCAAGGCGCCCGTGACCACGTCGAATGAAGACCTTGTGCTGAGGATACCTCGGCGCGCAGGATACCAAGGGTACCAGGAAGCGATCGCAACACCGTGTATGAACAATGCATTGATTTCATCTGCTTGGTGGTTGAACCCTACCCCTCTGAAAAATGATGGAGTTCGTCACTTGGGATGATTACCTCTGGTAAACTAACATAGCTATTGAAAATGGCCATTTATAGTGGATTCACCCATTAAAAATGGTGATGTTCCATAGTTATATTAGTTTACCAGAGGGTATCGTACCCAAGCATCAATAAAAAAATCAATCTCCGCTTCCAAATGATTTTTTCCCATGAAAACCCCCGTTAAAACTATAGAAAATTCCAGCCATGTTTGATGACACCATTGCGGCTGTCAACAAGAAGGGCCCATTGCTCCTGGAATCTCTGGGACTCGGACGGAAAGGATTTGAACAAAGTCATCAGAGCCTCCACATCCTTAGAGTTGCGATGGAACCCTCCGTGTTTCCATAGATTCCAATAGATTCCCATAGATTCCTAGGTATCTATAGATTCCCAACACAAAGATTTCCCATTTCTAGTGGATTTCAAATTCGGAAAATGCAAAACCATATTTAATGGGGAATTGTCCACTATTCAATGGCCATTTCATTATCAGATTTTGGGGATATATCCTTGTTGCATAGACCTTGAATATGATAGGTACCTCCGTACCTTCAATAAATCGGTTCTTGTTGCATGGCCAATGAACTATCGTTCCATCGTTTTTGGAGGTTACATATTTGCCAAGCATCGTTAGCCATTATTAACAGCTCTCAATCATTCTTAACCATTATATAAATAATCCAGTATTCACCATTATCAACCATGATCAATCATTATTACCCACAAAACATAATCCAGTATTAACCATTATTAAGCCATATGACGAAGCATGGTCATGCACGGTCACTACAATGTGGTGCCGCATAGTTAGCTAAGTTGATTTATAACTCCAATAACTTGGGTTTATGGTAGATATACTGTACCTATACTATACTTAATGATGGGGGTTACCAACTTATAACTGGGGGGGCACCACCTTGTATTTAATACCAAGCATCTTCGGGTGTACTGAACAATGTCTCGTCATGGCTGATGGGCAGCTCTAACTGCTCCGCGATCCGCAGACCCTCCTGAGTTTGATGGTGCCCCACGAATTCTGAGTTGGTTACAGGATGGTGACCCCCCAGTGATGTGAATGTTGCTTTATAAACCCCATTCACTAAAGGTGTATCTACCATAAACCATAGAATTCAACCACTTATATCTCAACTGAACGCTGTCTTGGGGGCGCCATCCTGTAGTTCACCTTAATCCACTGAAAAAACTCGGGTGAAGTGAACTACAGTAAACTAAATTTCGTGGTAGTACTTCGCCACCAAGTAAGCTCATTCATAAGAGAGGGTTTTAAGTGGAAAACAAATGACTCCAAAGTGTTCTATAGTATGATAATAGGAAAAATAGTATTCGATAGTATGGAAATAGTATGACATGTATATATATATATATATATATATATAAGCAGTATTCTAATATACAAAATATTATACTGGTTGGTGGTTTCAACCCTCTGAAAAAATATGAAAGTCAGTTGGGGTGATTATTCCCAACTGAATGGAAAGTCAAAAAGTTCCATGTTTCCAAACGACCAACCAGTAGATATTCTATAGTATTCTATAGCATTCTATAATTCAGATTAGTGAATCAGTCCTGCGCTTGGTGGGCTTTTGTGTATGAGTCGTCACGTTGAGGTGGGCCGCGCTTGGCGAATTCTGAGGTCATGGGGCTTGCAAACCAACTTATAATTGAGCCCAAATTGGTCAACAAAACTCCACTGACTATGGTTTACCAACATCACTGGTATATATACTTTATATATATATATAGATTGACTACATATATATATATATATGGTAGATATAACGTGTAGTATATTAACTATACATATATAGTTTTGGGGTAGTTTATAGTATACATAGTCAATCTAACCATGGTTTATAGTACATGTAGTTGACGAGGTTCATAAACCAACATCACTGGGGGGAACCACCTATGGCAATACTCCAAGAAGGTGGTCAGTGATGTGAACGTTGGTTTATAACCCCCATGAATGGTTTGTTATATCTACCATAAACCCGAGGCTTCACGTATTTATGTTTACATATAATTCCTTATAAATGTTATATGTCCCTAGTGTTTGGTCGTTAACTCACCAGTTTTCCCCGCTTAAATAATGTTATAATATGCTATAATAATGTTAAATCATGTATATATATATATATATATAAATATACATATATATATATATATATAATATATATACGTATATATATTATACAATATCAACCTTTAGATAGTCCCAGTATATTCCATTACAGTTATGGCCCTGAAAAGTTACAAATGGGCTAATCACGAGTTGGGCCAAAACGGTATAAAGCCTTTACCCTCTGGTAAACGTTTACATATCTATGCAAAATCACCATGTTCAATGGGAAAATCCACTATTTCTATGGCCATTTTCCATAGTTATCTGGGTAAATTGTAATATTTCACCAACCTGAATCTTCCGGCCATTTGGGGATGATTCCCCTATACATTCACCATGATTCCAGGGTTCGGGAGAACAGGTTTCGGTCGTGATAAAATTTACCCAGATAGTTATGTTAGTTTACCAGGCCGGGTATCATATCACTAACCATTATTTTTTGCCCATGATTATCCATTATTCACCATCCATTCAAACCACTATTTTCACCACATTTCAGCGAGTACAAAAAAACCTGACCAGGATGCGCTGATTCGGAACATGCGGAAACCCAGTCCGCATAAAGACAAAGCGAAAAAGACACACAAGACACAGAACAAAAAAAACAGCAGTTGGGTTTGTCTGAAAGTAGGCAATTTCAGATTTAGAAAAGTTCATCACTATGTTCCGTATTAAAACGGTCAAAGAAACAGGGTTTCTACCTTCGGTTTCAGACAAAATCAAGGTCTTCACCGGTAGAGGTATCCAATCCCCATCTAAAATGGGTTAATCAAGTTTCATCCCCATAAAAAATTTGATATCCATACACTCATAGACATACTTTTACCCAGTAAAAAGTTATCCCATAATAAACCCAATATGGTAATAAAAGAAAATCATATCATATCATGTTACCATATTAAAATATATATTATAATCCAATAAACCCAGTATATGGTAATAATCGGTTGTGACCCATTCCCATATTGGAAAATGTCAGAATATTGGAATTGTAATGGGATTAATTATACTGGAATAGATAAAGGGATTATAACCATTATATGCCCATTAGTCACCCATTAGATATCCCATTATATCAATGGAAATTTCAGGATCCTAAAATGGAGGTACTGTACCATATAAGGCCATTTTTTGTGGTGATATTCACTTACATAGGCCTTATATAGGCCTTATATATGGTAGGTACCTCCATTTTAGGATCCTGAAATTCCCATTGATTATATCTATTATTTCCATTATATTCCCATAAAAGTTATCCCACAATCCTTTCTCCCAATTCCATTGCACATTGGCTGGTTAGTACATTTCACCATTTATAGCAACATATGAAAGTACTGTTTAGTATCTAACTATAGTTCTATCCAACATCTATATCATTTTACATGGTTTTCCAATTGACACTATTATATTCCATATTCCCAAACAAAGAAATGAACAAAAACAAACCAAGACTATCAAAAACCCGTTCCCGTTAAACAACAAAGGCATTCCCAAACAAAAATTACAATGTGGAAATTCCCATCGTCCCATCTAAAACTATGAATGTGGCTAAAACAACAATAAACCATCCCCCAAATCACCATAAATAGATGGTATAAACTGTTCCCAAAATGGGTGGTTTATGGCATTGCTTTATCCACATTACATATAAAAATCACGTGAAAATCACCATTTTTGTTGGTTAAATCCCACTAAACCACCATTTTTCATAGTTAAATCCCATGGAATCATCTTCTATATGAGCCATGGTCAATACTCACTATATGGTTGATGGTCATCCCATCCATAATAAGGATCCCCTATTAATGGTTATTATAAATCCCTATGAACCATTGGATGACTAGCCCCTATTAACGGTTATTAACCATGAGTATTGACCATAGCTCATATGGGAATGGACATCGCCATCCATTTCCCCATAGGCCTTCTCCGCCAGCGCATGGCCATGCAGCGTCACCAAGGGCCTCTCGGACCAGCCGAAGGTCCGCTGCGCACGCATCAGGGCCGCCCAGTGCAAGGGCCTTGGCCATGCCGAACGGTGAGCCAAAAGAGTGCAACAAAAAGGTGGGAAAATGAAGGCAAAATGAGGGGAAAATGCTGGAAAATGCTGGACAAATGATGGAAACATGGTGATTTAACCATGCAAAACAGTGGAAACATGGTGCTTTAATCGCAAAATGGGGAGTTGTATGTGATTTTGGTTAACGAAATTGACTTATAACCTGGTTCACTAGGGTTTATGGCAGATGTAACATTATATGTATACATGTATGTATGTATATATATATATATATTATATAGGTGAATATATATATATATATCAATAAATGGCCACTTGCGAACCCCAACTTGCTTCAAATGTTGTAAACACGCACCAAAATGGTAGAGTTGGGCTTTGCTTATCACAAAGTGGTGCCCCATAGTTATTCATGGTCGATTATACATATATATATATATGTATACACATTTAAATAACTATAATATGTATAATTGTAATACCTATAATATATAACATAATATAATATAACATAACACAACATAATATATTATAATATAATACAATATAATATATTATAACATAATATAAGATAATAGAATATAATATAATAAAACATAACAAAACATAATATATTATAATATAATATAATATAATATAACATAACATGAATAAAACCTGAATATAATATAAATATAAATATAATATAATATAATATAACATGAATATAATATAATATAATATAAACATCAAGCCAAAGCAGCCAAGGAACGTGTCAGAGGTGGGTCTCATCTCCGGATAGCCACAGAAGTTACAACTCCTGTCGGAGTTTCAAGCTGCATCTGGCTGCGGGGAACATATTGGGATATAGTTGGATCAACCAACAGTGGGACATGTATTAGGATTTAATGGGATTTAATGGGATTTATTAGGATATATGATGGTATACCCTCTGGTAATTTGTCACATAGCTATTGAAAATGACCATTTATAGTGAGTTTTCCGATTAAAAATTGTTATTTTCCATAACTATGTTAGTTTACCAGAGGGTAGTGGGAATGTGGCTGGGAATCACTGGATAAATTGTGCTTCTCTGGGCTAAAAAATGTGGAAACTAATACCAACCATTTCTGATTGAATTGTAATAATTCACTCACCTGAAAATAGCTGAAACAACACCATTTGATGATAATTCCTCTTGCTAACCATCAGGCCAGTGATGTCAAAGTGAGGTCATCATAATTCATGCAGACACATGATGAAAACGGGTTGTTTGAAAAGTTGAAGGAACGCCTGCAGGAAACCTTTGTTTTCAAACACATGGAACATCATCATGTTTGCTAGGTAAATCACCGATAAATGGTACATTTTCCATAGCTATGAGTTCAATTTCCAGGGGGGTGAAAAATACATGGGGCTGTCTGAACAAGTAGGTGACAAAAAAAGAAACATGATAGGGTTAAACATCATGGCCCATCCCACTTAGTAAGTAGGTTAACCCTAGTTTTTTCAGTGGATTAACCCTACAAACATCCCACTGACAAAACCAGGGTTAAACATCATGTGTCCTCTTAAACAAAGACCACATGACGAAGATATGCCAACAACATGCGATGGCGGTAGTTTGGTCGTTTCCCCCAACCTCGAAACCTGGAAGCTTTCATGATAATGGTTACATTGATCAGATGGTTATATATTGTTGAGGTAAAACTGGGTATATATATATATGTAGTATTACAAGCATTTTAGTTGGCAACAAAACCCATGTTCTGATTCCATCGAAATTGGAGTTGGCAATTTACAGCTGCGAACTATCATGTCCCCATTAAACCTCATTATATATATATGATGTATAATATATATATAATATAATATATATATATTATATAATATAATATATTATATATATATATTCTATTATATATATATTATATATTATATTAAATAATATAATATATATATATATATATTTTATACAATATATATTATATAATAATATATATAATATATATATATATATATTATATATATATATATATATTATATATATTATATTATGTAATATATATATATACGTATGTATATATTCATATATATTCATATATATCTTCATAATTCATTGTATCCCCATATTTTTCGGTTACCCTAGGGTAAACTAACATCGACTTGGAAAATCAACCATTTGTAGACCATGTTCCTGCGGAAACCATGGTTTTCCACATCTTTTTCTTTGTTTACCCCTAGGCTATTCTATGAAATCCCACATCCATATAGATTCCTTCTAAACCCCATGAATCCCTATTTTTCATCGCCATGTTTTCTCAACAAAAACCTCGAACAAATCCGGCCAAAATCTGGCAAAACCCGCGCAGCCAGGGTGCCAAGCATTGGCGTCAAAGGATTGCACCGTCACAAAGTCCTGCTCTGTGGGATGCTTTCCGGCCGCCTCTGGGAATACGAGTGAAGTGGCCAGCGGCAACCGGGTAGCAGGGGAGCGCCTATTGTGGTGTTTTTCATTGGGATATTGTATATATATATATTTATACTGGTTGGTGGTTTCAATCCCTTTGAAAAATATTAGTCAGTTCAGTTGGGATGATGACATTCCCAATATATGGAAAAATAAAATTCATGTTCCAAACCACCAATCAGTATATGTATATGTATATAGAAAATGAAAAGAACATGTATTTGTATAGGATATATATATATATGTATATACAAGATGGTGCTCGATAGTTAGCTAAGTTGATGAACATAACTCCAATAATTATCGCTTATTATACTTATAACTAATAGTTAATGTGGTTTATAAACCAACTTATCTGGGGGGCACCACCTTGTATGTATATGTATATATAGGAACATGAATCGAAAATCGAAGAGGCGAACGTCGAAACCAAGCACTCTTTTCAGTGTGCGCCGTTGGGTTATGTATGTATAAATATATATATACATAGATATAGATATATCATAATATATGGGTATTACATATATAGAAAATGAAGAGATTGATTCAAAGTATCTCACTCTTAATATATTTTACTGTGTGTCTCCAAACATGTTTATTCTCTGTATTTAATGTACTAAATGTACTGCAAATATGTTTTAAAAAAATATGCAGAAATAAACTGGAACTTGGGACCAACCTGGAACCACCTTTGGTGATTTTGCTTTCACGAATCCAACTGCCGGGGTTGAACATATGCGGCGAAGAGACGTCACGGGGAAAAAAGGGAGGGCTACGAATTTCGTGTTTACTCAAAGTTTCTAAAGGTCAATGGGAAATTCAGGAACCTAAATTGGAGGTACCTACCATATATATCCATATATAAGGCCTATTTTTCAGGCCTATGTTAGGGAATATCCCCACAAAATATGCCAAAATCCAATGGGATCTTACAAAGATAAATTCGACCTAAATCACGGGTTCTATCTTTAGGGCTACTACTTGCAAGTGCCTCCAGGTTTGTGGAACATCTCCAGTTTGATCAATGGGGTCGATTTAATTTGAATGGGTTATAAACCACTATATAACTGTAAGGTGGTGGAGAACCCAAAGGTTATGTTGGTTATGTTGCCTGCTATAACCATTGACTATCCACTTCTATCCGAGTATTCACCTGGACTAATCCACTTAGCTATCTTGGGGGCACCAACCTTTTCCGCATCACTTGAGCCGCTTAAGCCCTGGAATCGACTCCTTTTTTGCTGGAAATCCTTGGGCTTGAAAATTTGATGGTTAGAACGTCTTGGCACTACTCTCCGGTATCCATTCATTAGATTCTTGAAAAAATGTTGTATTACCATAGTTATTGATCAAATTGGATTATTAGATTCTTTACTGTATAACATAGCTATTGAAAATGGCCTATTTATTAGATTCTTTACTGTACCTATTAAAAATGGTGATTTACCATAGTTATGTTTACCAGAGTGTAGTATCCTCATTAAAAATTGCGGGGTTGCCCAGTCTTCAGACACACCCAAATCTTATGTTGTATACAATATTTACATGATATTCCCATTTTATGCACACTTTGTATCCCCATTACATCAAAAATGTATTACTGTATATCCCCCTTAACCATCCTTAACCCATCAACAGCTGTATAATAAATTGTGATCAAATTGGTAGACTCACATTCATATTGCTTGTTATCTGTATATATATATATACCATCTGGTTATTTAACATAGCCATAGAAAATCACCATTTTTAATAGGTAAACCATCTATTTCTATGGGCCATCTATACCATGGCTATATTAAATAACCAGAGGGTACCCTCTGGTAAACTAACATAACTATGGAAAATCACCATTTCTAATGGGAAAATCCACTATAAATGGGCCATTTTCCATGGCTATGTTAAATAACCAGAGGGTATATTATACAGATATGGGTAAATTACAATAATTTACTAACCGGAAAAACGCTAAAGCCTAAATTGGGATGATTCCACTTACCAACCATCATTCCAGTAAGGTTACGAGATGAGGTCGTGATAAATTTACCCAGATTATTGTAGGATTTTACTTGTCTATCATGTTCTTTTTTTTGGGGGGTGATGCCCTAGCAAGGGCATAAAAAATGTTGACTTATATATCCCCATATCCCGTTCATATCCATGAACCACAATAAATCACATATTGTTCCTGGATGTAGTATGGCTATATGGTTAAACGTTCATAAATGGTAGCTACGATTGTTACATATGGGATATGATATATGGCTATAGTGTTCCTACTCTTCCTGGTGGCTAAGATGGTTAAACGTTCCTGGCCACCAGGTGCACCCCAGTGATGTTAATTGATTTGTAAACATCATGAACACGAGTTCGGTATATTCCTAAACCCTGGAACTCACCAAGTGAACTGTAAGTCAACTTAGCTACCATAAATCACACGTAAAAATCTGATATTTTTATCACCATTCTTTCATGTTTCAATCACCAGTTTCCAGCATTTTTTCATGGGAAAATCACCAGTTCATTTTCCCACCTAAATTGGGGCCGCCCATTTAAATTTAAGGTCAACCTCAGCCGGCCTTCCCGGATCTGGTCACAAGGAGCATCTCCTGGGGTTTGGTTTTTAACTGGATGGGGCCCCCGAGACGCAGATAGCCTTCAGTTGAGATATGGATAAGTGGCTGTGGCTGAATTCTATGGTTGATTAGGTAGATATAACATGATGTAACGAACTTTAATGGGGTTTATAAACCAACTTATAACTGGGGGGCACCATCCTGTAGGGATTTATAGGGATTTATAAGGATTAGGTAGATATAACGAACGATCGTATTCATGGTTCTTTAATGTTCACCAACATTCAGTATCATAAACCATAGTTATCATATGATGGTTTATGGTATATAGATAGATATAACTTATAACGAACTAGTGAATGGGGTTTACAAACCAACATTCACATAACTGGGGGGCACCATCCTGTACCCAGTTGGAACATGTTCCCTTCCATCAACGATTCTGAGCACAAACCGATGGAAGAGTAGATTGTGCACCTGTTTTGCTGTCGATTTTCATACTTATGGGTCAAAACCCTGATACCCTAGGTACCCAAAGATAGATGGTTAATGGATGGTTATTCCGCCAACTATGCTAGTAATAGGTTTTGACCCATCCCCATGTTGGAAAATATCTGAATATTGGAATTGTAATGATTGATAATTGGATACATAGATGGAATTTAACTACGAAACACTGTAAATAGTGGGATTGTATGGGATAAACCATCTACCAACTTAAATATAATGTTAAATTGAAATGGGGGATCCCCAAAACCACGGGTATCAATACCAAAATTGTCTAATGTCTTTGATGATTTGGGGTACCAGCATTTTAGGAACCCCCCTAAAATGGGCCAATGTGGGGAAACACATGGGGAAAATCCTCAATATCTTGGTTTTTCATGCGATATAAGACCAAGAATATGATAGTTGGCTTGTCCAACAACAAGGGATTAACATGGATTAACCATCACTAATGCAATCGTTCGGAACTGGTGCACCACTATATCTCCACATCATATCTCCACGAATCTCCACTCTGAGTCACTTATTCCATTATTTATCCCAGAAATCCCCAAAGCCATTAGTTGATTAACCACTATTCTCCTACTATTCATCCCTCAACCATATTATTGACAACCATTATCCCATCAGAAATAAGCGATTAAGTGATTATTAACCACTATGCATCCCTTATTAACCATTAATCATTATGTGATTATTAACCACTATTTATCTCTTAACCATTATTAACCACCATTGTGAGCCATCACTAACCACTATTATCACTACTAACCATCATTAAGTGACTATTACCACTATGGTTAATTCAGTGATGATGATCACTAGTAACCATATTAGTTGAATGACTATAAGTGATTAACCATTATCAACCACCATTATTAACCCTTATCAATCACCAGTATTAACCATCATTAACCACTATAAACCACTATGAAAACCAAATTATTCACCATTCTTCTCAATTTCCAGGTAGATAACTATATTATAACCATATATTAATCACTATTAACCACTATAAACTGGTGGCTCATCCCACTTAGTAAGTAGGTTATAACCCTACTTATGAATGGATTAATGATTATATAATCTTACTTATCCCACATACAAGGATATCACCCACTGAGGATTCGTGGGTAGTTCGCCACCACGTATTGACCACTACTAAATCACTATAACCACATCCTACTAACCACAATTTATCACTATAAACCATTATAAACCATCTTATCAACCGCGATTAACCACTATAAATCCCGTTATGAAAACCAGCCACAGCATGATCTCCTGCTCCAGGACTTGGCCCCAAACGGCCCCTTGGCCATCCCCAAACTACCCGCTGCGGCCTCGTCGTTGTCGCGTAGCACTGCCGCGCAGTTGCCCGCCACGAGACCGTCCGCCAAGATGGGAGCGGCACCCATCTGCTCCAGCAGCACACAGGCGTTGGCCAGGACCTACGCCATGGGATGATGCGAAAAGAAGGGAAAAGATGGGAACAAACCCGAAAGACCATGGTTTTTACCCTCTGGTAAACTAACGTAACTATGGAACGATCCACCATTTTTAATGGGAAAATCCACTATTTCTATGGCCATGTTCAATAGCTATGTTAGAGGTTCCTGTAAATTGTCCCATCCAATTTAGGAGGGGGGTGATTTGACGGTGGTTTAACAAACATAGCGAACTGGAAAAGCACCACTTTGAATAGGTGAATCACCTATTTCTATGGTTAAGTTTCCAGTTCACATTATGTTGGTTTACTGGAGGGGATTGGACCATGAAGAACATGGGATATGACAAAGAAAAAAGCATTGGTATAACAAATAAGTACATACAATGATTTCTATTCTAAGAATAACTATTGAAAATTTATGTTCTTTATTGTGATGGAATATGCTGATGTCTAAATCAAAATGCGCTTACGTCCCGTGTTGTCGATTTTATCTATTGATCCAACCGTGAGATAACTGGCATGTCGGTATCAACCAATATTGTTGTCTATGTCATCCCCTTGTTGATGGTTTTAGCTGTAATATTTCCATTTTGGATGCTTATATTATATCCCCATGTAACTTCATTGTTGAATTTGCATCCTTACAAGGTAGGCCCCCAAACGATAGCTAAGTTGGTTTATTATCAAACGTCAACTAGGGCTTATGGTAGATAATTATATGGGATGGGTCAAAACCCGTTATCACCATAATTGGCGGAATAACCATCCATTAACCAGCCATGTTTGGGTAAATTAATTGATGGTTAATAAAACACAACCACTAAGTGAAACGCAACCCCAAGCAGAAATCATAGAAATACCACTCATAAAACTTGGCTACTCGAGGGTAGGTGTAGTTGCTAAAATAGTTTGGCATACTTCTCGGTACTTGAAGATGCAATTGAGGGTGTAAACATTGGTACAACCATAGTGATATGAAATAGCTAGTTGGCTATCGTCTAAATTGCGTGCATAGCTACCAATCCTATCCCGACATCAAGAAAACCCAATATCCAACTAACCTGTCTCACGACGGTCTAAACCCAGCTCACGTTCCCTATTGGCGGGTGAACAATCCGACACTTTGGGACTTCTGCGTCTCAATGATAGGAAGAGCCGACCCAGGTTTCGTTCAAGGGGTAAAGAAAAAGTCCGAATTTACGGGTAAGACTGGCCTGCGGACTTCGCCTTGAGGTTTCTGCGAAACAAACTTAGGTTTGAATCCCCGTTTTTGTTGGTGAATCAGTGAAGAAAAATATATTTGTTTGGCTGGGTTAATGGATGGTTTATTCCCCACCTGCCAGGTGAGGGTTGCTAGATTTTATCAGAGCGCATGCCCGCCTCCTCCTCCGCCTCCTCCTCCTCGACTAGCTGTCCTCCTCGCCCTCCGCCTCGCCTCCGCCTCTTCCACCTCCACTTCCGCCTTGCCAACCTTGCCAACTCGTCGCCAAGCTCTTTGCCAACTTCCCAGCTCAGTGTGCACCGCTGGACCTCAACCTGCGAGCTGCCCAGCTCAGTGTGCACCGCTGGACCTCCACCTGCGAGCTGCCCAGCTCAGTGTGCACCGCTGGACCTCAACCGGGGACCTGCCCAGCTCAGTGTGCACCGCTGGACCTCCACCGGGGACCTGCCCAGCTCAGTGTGCACCGCTGGACCTCAACAGCCAGATAGAATGCCAGAAAAAATGCCAGAAGGTATGCCAGATAGAATGCCAGATAGAATGTCAGATAGAATGCCACAAGATATGCCAGATAGAATCCCAGAAGATTTGCCAGATAATATGCCAGAAGATATGCCAGATAGAATGCCAGATAGAATGCCAGAAGATATGCCAGAAGATATGCCAGAAGATATGCCAGAAATATGCCAGATAGAATGCCAAAAGATATGCCAGAAGATATGCCAGAAGATATGCCAGATAGAATGCCAGAAAGAATGCCAGAAGATATGTCAGAAGATATGCCAGATAGAATGCCAGAAGATATGTCAGATAGAATGCCAGAAGATATGCCAGATAGAATGCCAGAAGATTTGCCAGATAGAATGCCAGAAGATATGTCAGATAGAATGCCAGAAGATTTGCCAGTAAGAAAATGTATAAATGTGATGGTGGGGATCACACGAAGTAAAGTAATTTTTATATAGTTAATCATGACCCAAGAAATTGATCTACAGACCATTCATGGCCAATCAGCCAGTCCTTCCCTGCAAAAAAAAGACAGGTTCTTAATCTGGTTGGTGGTGTACCTACCCTCTGAAACATATGAGTTCGTCAGTTGAGATGGTTATTCCCAAGATATGGAAAAATAAAAGCCATGTTCCGAACCACCAACCAGGTACACATCATCTCATACCAGAAGACTCAAGGCTTAGTCCCTGAGTCCCTACCCATCCAAGATTGACCTAGCATTCCCCAGGCGGCCCTGCGGATTCGCCTCGCAAGTGCCTCGAAACTCCGCCAACATCCCGCTGCTGAGGCGTTCAGCCAGGGATTCCTTGGATGTATGGCAGCCAAACCTCGGTCGCCCGAAAAAAAGAAGGTACAATGTGGTGCCCCCGTGTACGTGATGTGAACGTTGGTGTACAGAGTCACCCCATGAATACGATAGTTACTGTATACTTACCATAAACCAGTTCGTGACATTGGCCTGAAAATATCTGTATCATATACCCTCTGCTTATGACTAACATAGCCATGGGATAGATAGCCCATAGAAATAGATGGTTTACCTATTAAAACTGGTGATTTTCCATGGCTATGTTAAATAACCAGATGGTAACATTCGTTTGGGGGGTCCCACACCAATAAAAATTGGCAAGCCGATATTGGGAGGAAAAACAGAGAACTTAGCAACAAATGATATGTATGGCTGGCAAAAACGAGAACATACAGCAAACCATGGTTTTGAAGCTTTTCCCAAAGCCGCTGGCCAAAAAAAACAGCCATGGCACGGTGGTGTGGGACCAACTATGCGGATGAATTGACGTAATACAACTCACCAACCTGAAATGTTTGGACATTTTGGGATAGATTATAGATACCCCAATCCAATTCCATCATTCTGGTTAGTAAAATAATAAATAAACCGCCTATATGTTGATGGGTTATACCACCCATTTATGGTAACATTTGGGATGGTGGATTCTATTTGCTTTACAAACATTGTCTGAGTTTTGCATGGATAGACGTTTATTATCTATAAATGAGCAATGTTTATCCATTTTCCATAGCTATGCTAAATAACCAGAGGGTATCTTTCAGTTCTAAATGGATGCACTGTAGTTATCATTGTCAATCTTAGATACCATTCAAAAAGACATAACTTATTAGCTGGTGAAAGTGGATATTCCTACTTTATAGCAAAAGATTAAAGGATTAAACTACCCATCCTAGTTCTAAATGGTGATATGTCAAAGCCTATATTGCATGTTTGGGTGGATGAAGATCTTCCCAGCTATTGGTTGGGTGAAACACAAGGGTACCAGGCTTTTGACTCATACCCAAATGGATACCCTCTGGTAAACTAACATAACCATGGAAAATCACAATTTTTAATGGGACAACTCACTATAAATGGCAATTTTCAATAGCTATGTTAAATTACCAGAGGGTAATACTCTAATCATTCATGTTTTATTCATGTTTTTGGCGGTCAAGGATTTTTGCGGCATTTTTGAATGAACGATTGCCCGAAAGGGTGGTTGGCATCCCAGCCCCACACCATGGATTCTAAGAAACAAGAACTGGACGTGTCGTCATCATGACATAGTCTTAATAGAAATACTAATCATCATCATCATCCTCCTCATCATCATCACCATCACCATCAATATAATCACAAATTAAATCACAAACTTAATAATCATCACAATTAAAAAAAACAAAACACATATGTAACAGTAAATATTGAGAACACAAGTGATACCAATATATAGTATCTAAGAATAATATCAACAATAATAATCATCCAGCAACAAATACACCGTGTTTGTATAACTTTACTACTCCATGTCAACCGGTCAATGGTGGCTTTATCGCATCTGGGAGCAGCAGGATCTGAAATGCGATGAAACATGGCACGGTTAAATTGAAAAAAGCAAGCCCAAAAGAGATAGAAACGTGTTTCCAGGATAGTAGAGATGTCCGTTCTTTCATATTTCCAGCTTTCCCTCTGTTCTATCTTCTAAGGTTGCTACAATTAATACAACATATTCCAAAATAGATCGATGTTGATCAATTTTGTGAGCCGGGTACCCTCAATGGCTTGACTATGCTTGACTAATGGCTTCACCGAGGGACTTGATGCGAGGTGCACCCTCTGCTATCGCTTTGTCTTCCAAGGAAGTTTCCGCCATCATTGGGCATTTCTCATCCATCTACTCTGACCCTAAGTCACCGCCACGTCTTATCATCTAACCTTTTCAAAAGTGTGGGACGAAAAAAATCGGGCCATCATCTAACCATTGGTGTCCCCTCAAACATTAAAGACATTCTTGATGCAACTTTGGTGTCGAAGAATCCCCACTCAGAATGCACGGCATTAGGTCCGTGTGAGATGCCCCAAACAGTTTGGATTTAAACCATCAGTTCCGATTTTCGTTGTTTTTTTTAAGATTCCCCAAACATATTGTTGTGTGTTCCAAACCTGGATCCGGTACAGGTCCAGTTAGGGGCTGTATCCCAACTTGTGGTAGTTATGACCCCAGTTTGGAATTATATTTTAACAATATGTTACTTAATAGCTTATGATGTTCGCAAAGCTGGATTCAGAATAGCAATGTCCAATATGACACAAGATGTCCATTGGCAGCTCCTCTTCTGGCTCTACATAAGTGGCTGAGAGCAAGATATGGCTGAGTGCGAACTTGAAAATTCAAGGGCTAACCCCAAAACTCGCATGGCTTCAGCTCATCAAATGACCTGAATTGGCGGTATATTTTGGATTTGCTTAACCCCAGAAAAATAACACCATGGACTCAGAGAATCCAAGACTATAATTATATATCCCACATTTAATTGCACATGGATTTCCCATTAAAACCTCCATTGCTGGCAAGGTATGTTTAAACAATCCCTACAATCCCTAGATAGCTAAGCTGGTTTATAACTCCAATAACTATGGTTTATTATACTTATAACTATACATAACTATGGATTATTATACATATAACATCATATAACTATAGTCTATAGTTAATGGGGGTTATAAACCAACAAACATAACTGGGTGGGCACCATCCTGTACCATTGACAAAATGACAATGAACAAAAATCCACGCCGTCTCTAGACTCGATCGTCTGGCTAGAAGAGATCGACACAACCCTTGAAAGGGTGTCTCAATATATATATATATATACACATTATTTATATGTATGTATGTATATATATATATACTGTAGTATATATGTATAAATGATTATATATAAGTCAGATCCAAGAAACACAGTGAATTGTGGAACATGTGTGTTCTATCTGTTTTGGGGTTACTATATTCAAACATTTGAATAATCGGTCTCTTGTATCCTGCTATATGGTCCCCACTTCTCAATGGAAATGTGCCAGATTTGCCATAGCCACAAGACTTCATATTGAGGATGGTTTTCCAACACTTTTTGTGATTTCCTTCGTTTGCCTGTGGACCATGTCAGGAACAGAATTTTCCGGTGACTGACCTGCTCCCAACAGTTTTGCTGATTTCACATGTCTCTTGATGATGTTCCGGTGTTGCAATGTGTTTGGCAGTGCTTTCCTCCATTCCACCACCCTAAGAATGCAATTACACAAGGGCTGCCAAATTGTTTGGGCAAATATGTTCACATAATATACAATACTATTATATATATATATATACACACATATACTATACTGTATACTATAAACTGCTAAATACATATATACTATAATATATTCCATATTGTTTTCCGTTTGTTTTCTTTTCTGTTTTGATCTTGAGGCTAGGATTCTGGCGCAAGGGTCATGTTTTGCACACTGCTGACGCTGCTGGCCACACAAATATGTTCATTTAAGGTTGGTGTCGGGTTTCTTTAGGGTTGGTTTAGGGTTTATTGAAGGCTTAGGGTTGGTTTAGGTTTTGTTTAAGGTTGGTTGTGGGTTGATTGAGGGTTGGTTTGAAGTTGATTCACGGCTGGTTTAGAGTTTACTTGAGGTTGGTTTGGTGTCTTTTAAGGCTGGTTTTGGCTTCATGTAGGGTTGGTTTCAAATTTATTTAGGGTTGGCTTAGGGATTATTGTAGGGTTGTTCAGGATTCAACAATCAGGGTTGGTTTCGGGTTTATTTGGGGTGGGTATAAGTCTTATTTAGGGTTGGTTTAGGGTAAATCTAGGTTTTGCTTAGGGTGTGGTCTATTTAGGGTTGTTTTAGTGTTTATTTAGGGGTGGTTTAGGGTTTACTTGTATTTTGCTTAGGGTTCATTTAAGATTGGTTTAAGGCCTATTTAGTTTATAATAGGATCGGTTTCAAGGTTTGCTTAGGCTTGGTTTACGGTTTATTCAGAATTGTTTCTAAATTTGTTTAGGGTTGGTATAGCGTTTATTGAAGGATGGCTTAAAGTTTATCAAGGCTCAGGATTCATTTAGGGTTGGTTTAGGGCTTATTTAAAGTTTAAAAGTTGTTTAGCCGCAAAACTTTGGCATTTATTCAGGGTTGGATTAAGAATTATTTTTGGTTGGTCTAGGTCTGATTGATTCATTGATTATAAGAGTTACTTTAGAACTTACAATTGGTTATTTAAACAAACCGGAGAAACAAAAAAGCAGAGAAGCAAAACAAAGCAGGGAAAGACAACAATAACAAAACAAACAGAGAAGCGGAAAAGCGAAGAAACAGAAAAGTAAAGAAGTAAGAAAAGAAGAAAAACAAAAGCAGCCAGACATAAAAGCAGAAAAAGAAACAATGCCTAAGCGGAATAGAAAGAAAACAAAACAATGCCCTCCCTTACACAAGCTTCTAGGTTTGGGACTGGTACCCTACTCATCTTGCAACACAAGTGCTGACTGAATTCATGTTTTGCAAACGTTCCAAGAAGAGTGCAAACCCCTGTAGATACAACATGAACGCAGTTATGGCCCTGAACAGTTATAAATGGGTTTATCACGATATATAACCTTAGTTATAGGAGTTATAATTCCATTTGTAACTGTTGAGGGCCATAACTGCATGATACGACCCCAAGAAGTGGCTTTGAAAGACGCTCTTTCTCCATGACAAGTTTGTCATTTTTGGCTTCCATCAAGATTGCCCTAGACTGGGCTTCACCGCAACCAACAAACGCCGATCCCCTCAACATTTAAGAAATATCGAGCTTACATACCTTTTTTCCTTGAGACATGTTGTATAAAACCAAGGTTTCTTCTATGAAATCCACATTTGCTGATGATGACACCTGTCTACCGCTGAATCCACTGGTATCCACATCATGGTGCAGCTACACCGGTATACCCCACTGGTATGACAACCCACATCAACCCACAGTTATGGCCCAACGAACAGTTATAAATGGAATGAAATAACTCCTGCCTATAAGTAAGGTGAATTTAATATAGCGTTATAAGTCCATAAACATATAAGAAATGTTAGTTGGGCCATAACTGCAGTTGAACCCCAGCATGAATACTTCCATCACTCATCTTTCTCCTTCCACTCAAACGTTCGAGTGCCACTTGACCCGAGTTGACTGCTACCATCAGCGGCAAAGACTGCCACCAAACTGAATGCGAAGATGGACAAATTGGAAACGCCAAAGAAGATGTAAGCATATAAGTGTAAATGTAATTTACAGTTCTGGCCCAACTAATAGTTATCTTTTATGGGCTTATAACGATATATAATGAAACCTTAGTTATAGGAGGTAGTTCATTCCATTGATAACTGTTGAGAGCCACAACTGTACAACATTTCCAGAAATGGTTGAAGGAAAGATTTACACAAAACCCCAGAAAGCCAGAAAGCCCGAAAAACATTGGGAAAAAAACGTTGGTTTCCTGAAGATGTTTCCAACAGAACCAAACATCAACAAATACTTGACCTTGGTGGTGTAACAACTACCAGTAACTATCAGGCAAACATATATGGTGAATATCGGCAACAAACCACGGTAAAAGCAAATGACGTTGGATGTCCATTACAGGTAAAACCGGAGATATCCCATACATGTTATGTCTATATATATATACATATTTATATATACACACATACATATTCACACATACATATTCACACATACATATTGTCTGTGACCCTCTTTCTTTGTGGATACCCACACACCCATATGTATATGTAGGGAACTATGTTGGGAACTATGTCGAGAAGCACATTCTAGACAGCTTCTAATACTAAACAAATCCGTAGCATGATTCAAGATGTCTACAGCTACAGCATCATCAACCAAAACCTCAAGAGACATAAATCATACTACAAAATGCTTGAACATATGACAACCAAGACAAAATAGATCAGCCAGAGCGAATGAACAAACAAGAACATTCTTGTTTGAATGACATTGACGATTGGAAGTGCCACAACGATCTTAAAACTTACGGACTATTTATATCCGTTTTACCGCTATATAATATTTTCGGTATTTTTTTTGGGGGGGTTACTATCATATTTATATATATTTACCCTCTGGTAAACTAACATAGCTATGGAAAATCACCATCTTTAATAGGTAAATCAACTATTTCTATGGGCCATGTTCAATAGCTATTTTGACATAACCAGAGGGTAATGTGTATATATATATATATATAATTATATAATTATATATATAAAGCCCAATAAATATGCCAGTCACAGTATTGCCAGGATGGGATAGATGATGTATCCATATCTTACGTATGCTTGTGGCGCTTGTAGCTCGACGATTCCGAGGAATCCTTTTTGACACATAAAAAAGTACAGCACAAACATGTGAAGATCACACCTTTGGAAGATCAAACAAAACATGCCAAAATGCCAAGCTATAAGGGTACCCTGCCATGAAGGTATCCTTTTCACAAGGGGTATCCTTTTCACAAGGAGTCAACGATTCGTCCATGAGAATGACATCAATTTTAGGTGTGACCAAGTTGAATGAGAGTATGACCAGCAAGCAGCTACATCCCAAAAAATCAAGATGAAAACCAAAGCGCCATCCAACAGCAATTGTCACTTCAAAAAGAAAAACAACTCCTGGATATATGGGGATTCAACAATAGACTTCACTCATCTTCACTCCAAATTCCCTGACCCCCTTTTGACATATTGGCTTTCTTAACACAAATCCATAAACATATAATTACATTCTAATTACTCTGTAGCAAAGAACACATTATCAACGTTCAATTTCTAGATCCTGTTCCATTCGACAGGCATGATCAAAGTTGACACTACTGTATCTACTCCAAATTAATTTAGGATCCGGATTAGGTAAAAATTGATGTATTGGATGTCTGAAAATTATGGTAGTATGGTATCCCAACAATCCACTGATCAATCATTTTTCCTAGTGAACTGGCCATTTGTGGGTATACCACATTGTCATTGTCAAACACATCCATATATATAATATTTAATATATATATATATAATTTAATATATATATATATGTGTGTGTTTATACTAAATTATATACTATTATAATCTAATACATACTGCCTCGTCTGTGCATTGGACAGCTTAGCCTTTCAAACAGCACAGGTTTCCTGCTCCCAAAAACAGCAAACGCATATTTTTTAGGCATGCAGCCCTCAGCGTTGATTGATTCTCCTGGTTCAAATCAGAGCAGAGAAAATCAGGATATTTTTTGAATATGAAGGTTTCCTAAGTCATGGGGGTACCCCTAAACCATCCATATTTTACCAGGATTTTCCATGAAATAAATATTATAAACCCGCAAAACCCCCACATGATTGAATAGATTCATAGATGTTTAATTATCAAGAATCATTGCCAATCTTAGATACCCTGCAACAAAATAACTTGTTAGCTGGTTAGTGGATATTCCCAAGTATAGCAAAATATTCAAAAGGATGATAATTATTAGATACCGCTATAATTGCTATAATATCTAATTATAATGTTGTTATAATTCCTGTTATAATTATTAGTGGATTCCCTACCCATCCAGTTGGTTGACCTAGGAATAATCCTGCTATCTCCTCAACTAGAGATGCCTTCCTCGCACTCAATCCACTGCCCCTGTGGTCTTTGCACAGGGCACCTTTAACTAGGGAGCCACCGGGGTGCCAGGAATAACTTCGGGATGGCTCAACGACAGGACAGCAAAAATAGATCCATTTTCATGAACACATGTAAGGAAAAACAACATGACCCCACGACTTTAACGTGGAAAACAAATTTTAGATGTGTATTTTAATGGAGTCTGGAAGATGATGATCCCTGATGTCATTCTTGAGTTCCATGTCAACGTAAGATCCATGTGTTCTATATGTTTTCTATCCACCCATTGTTGAGCCATGCCCAATGAAAACGATTGGACACCCCGCGATCGTTCGTCTGCGCTTCGCGCCAAAACACTTGCAGACACCACCGGTACCTGTCGGGTGAGACCAGCCAGAGTTCGTAAAAACGTCCAGTTCATGGCCAATCTTAGATACCCTGCAAAAAATGACAATGTCTTAGCTGGTGAAGGTAGATAATCCCATACCAAAAGACCAAAAGACCCATCCAGTTGGTTGACCTAGAGTTACTGGAGTGACAAGCATCCATTCCATGTCGACAAGAATTGTCTTTTTCACCACCAATGAGGAGGAGAATAACCAACAAACCATGAACAAATACACAAAGATCTTGCGCATCTTCAACATTTACATGTTTTTTTTTGAAATGACAAAAAACAATGAAGTAAGTGGACTTAAGATGGTTTAAGTTGGTGATTGGTTTGATTCTCATAACTGACATGCCTCTTAAAATTGAGAAAAAGTTGTTGGTATCCCCGAGTGACCATGATATGGGGTTTTCCTTAAACCGGGGTACCCCAAAATCATCCACGTCATTAGACCATTTTACTGGGTAAATTATAATAATTCACTAACCTGAAATAAGGCTATCTTGGGAATGTTTCCCCTATACATTCACCATGATTATAGTGAGGGAGAACAGTGAGGTCGTTATAATTTACCCAGATTATATATTGGTTCGTAATGGTTATCATTTACCCAGATTAATTGGTTAATAGTTATCCCTATTGTGGTTTATTATTATACCCATTAAACCAGGTAGTTATCCCTATTGAAACCACCGGTACAAGTATCTATGTTGCACGTCATATCCGCAAAGGATTCCAAATGATTCCAAGGATCTCCTGATCCACAAAGTCAAAAAATATCTTAAGAACAAAGCCTCAAGCACTGCCAGTCATGGAATGTTGGTTTATAACCAGCACTACGTATATATATATATATACACACACTATAAACCCAAGTTAATGTCTTCTGTAAACTCAAGTTATTGTGTTATTGGAGTTAAAAACCAACTTAGCATAACTTAGCTAACTATGGTGAACTGGTAATAAATCTATATAAATCCTGCCACTAAACCATGCAAAAACCCTGCCGTGGTCAGATCTGGATCGGAACTCTGACTTCTAGGTGCGGTGGTGTCTCTGCTGGCCGTTTGCCAGAATTGGATTCCACGGGTTTATGATGGCCCCGCGAAGCAAATTCGTCGCTTCGATCACCTGGGACACTGTTTGGTATGGGTTCAAATGGGAACGAGTCAACATTTAAGGCCCACGAAACCGCAGATTCTGTTCATTTGAGTATTGACCATCCAATTTTAAGGGGGTCTACTTTTCACCCATACCATCCCATACCCAAATTCTTCGTATGGGCCAAACATGTATGGCTGGATATGGGGATTGTGATGGGGTTCAATCAAAAACAGTAGTTATGGGAACCCCTTGCAAAGTAAGTGGAAGTCTCAACGGTCCCAATTTTTTAGATATAAAAATGGTGATCCACAACCCCCGCAACAGGTATATGTGGGAAGTCAAAAATTGGGGATGGGCCACCAACCCATGGGGCTAAAACCTATGGGTGGAGCTTCTGGCCCCTAGCCATGGGCTCATGGCATGGTGATACAGTAGTGGGGGTTTTCCATGGGGGTACCCCATAGCTGGATGGTGAGAATTTCATGGACAATAGAAGGTTTGGTATGTCCTTGAGTAGGAAACCTGCATTTGGGAACAGGTCAATTTCGCGGTAAATATGGGATCCAGTAGTTCAGCAACACATTTTTTGGGCACCAACCGTTGTGATGGACCAAGTGGACAGGTGCCAAGTGCTCCAAAACCCAGGTAATGTGGTATACGGTAAACCCAATAAACCATCACCAAAATCACCATAAATGGGTGCTGAATAATCTCTATAAACCATCCAAAATGATAGGTTTATTATTGGCATCCCCACATGGCCCACATTACTCAATTTTCACCCGTAGCTGCCATGATGCCACGGCTACCATGGCCCACGTATGGCCCACGTAGTTCGATAGATCCCGTTTTCATGGTGATTTTCCATAGCAATCTCTAGTGCCAGAAGGTAGAGCGCAACGCCTTTTGGGGTGGACCCGAAAATCCAAACCAGAGACCAGCAGAAAATATACCCAAGAATCTTGACAATTTGGAAATGAAGAGTGCAAAAAGATATCAATCTTCGGCCCATAATGTGTTGCTTTACCAGCTCGTAACCCTCTAAATATCATTTGATAATCCAACATAGCCAGGGAAACCGGCTATGTTCAATAGGTCAATTTTCTGTCTGTATGGGTAATTTTCCAGCATTTTCCCGCTATGTTTTTTCACCGACGGGTATATTTATGTATAGTTGATATTCTACATTTTTCCACTAAGTCAAAAAAATTGGGTGTGTTAAACTGACCATTGTGGGGATCCTTTCTTTTGATCGGCAATGATCGGATTTGGAATCAAATTTGGGTGTGTTAAACAACCAAAGGGTACAATGTGGGCCCCCCTAGATAGCTAAGTTGGTTTATAAGTCCAATAACTATTATGGTTTATGGTAAGTATAACTATAGTCAATGGGGTTTATAAACCAACAAACATCACTGGGGGACACCACATTGTAGATTTAGAACCACCAGCGCACCACCGTTCATTGGATTTGCAGATGAGATGGTGATTGCAATCTGATGGAGTCAAATGTACAGCTATCACACAGAGGTACAATCAGAGGTATAATTAGAAACATATAAAGACACATATAAAGATACGTGTGTACACAATTATACACATATATGTATATGTATATGTGTATATTATATATATAATTATATATAATTATATGTATATATATATTTGTGGATTCTATATGTGATTGAATCAAATTGATTTCAGAAAAACAACAACCTATTCAATGTTTTAGGTCATTAAATCTGGCTGCCAAGTAGCAGTGGATCGAAGTTTAAGTGTCTGCTGTTTGTGTCCGCAGACATTTCCTGGCATCTACTGCAAGCGGCGGAAGCCCCCAAAACCTGAAACGTCCCAGGTGGGCCTTGAAGATGTTTGTTGGTGAATCGCTCCCATTGACTCGTTTTATTCCCCATAAACCCTACTTGGTGGCGAACTACCCACGAATCCTAAATGGGTTATATCCCTGGTTATACCTAGGGTTATGCCTGACTTTCTAAGTGGGATGGGCCACCAAGTATGAAGAATTCGCTATCGCTACCACAGGGGGCCCCCTTGTGCAACAAAGATGTTTAACATTCAGGAAGATTTCACCAAACAGCAAGGCTATGGATGGCTATGGTAGATTGTCCTAGATCAACCACCATTCACAATCATCCTATATATATATACGACTAAATGCATACTTGGGTAATTTATAATAAATCACTAACCTGAAATTTGCGGCCATTTTCGGATGATTCACCTAAATTAACCATGATTCCCAGTGAGGGAGAACAGTGAGGTCGTTGTAATTTGTTCAGATAAGTTCGCTGATTCTCATCCCCATTATTCGGGTTAAGGATAAACAAATATTACTGGTATCAAAAAAAATATTGGCATCAAACAATGACCCAAAAGGATCAAAAAACCGATTATTCGTATCAAAAAAATACCCCCAGAAACCTATACCCTCATCAACCATTGCGCGCACCACTTTCTCCACAATTGCGCAACAATCGCTCATCGCTAACTCAGATGCTAATACCAATGCGTCGGTCTCCGGACTGTTACTGCACATAAATTAATATGTGGATGTATGCATGTACCCACGTGTGCATTTATGTCTGTATATGTCTGCATGCATGTCTTTAGTGGATGTATGCATGTACGCACGCGTGCATGTATATCTGTATGCATGTCTGCATGTACATATGGTTTAAAGCAGCATTCTTCTACTGGACGTGTCTTAATTTTGTCTGAAGGCCCAAAGACTAGGACGCCAACATAAGGTAGCAACTCAAGATGTAGCGGTACAACATGCGCACAGGTGCGCATGTTGAAGGTTTGCGCAGTGCAAAGCAGATCTACTTAGAGGGAGGGTAGGCATGGCAGTGCCATACATATGTAGGAAGGCACAAACATCAAGGCGCCAGCAAGAGGTCGCAAACTCAAGATGTAGCAGTGTACTTCAAACATGCGCACAGGCGCGCATATTGCGGCTTGCGCAGTGCAAAGCAGATCTAATCATGAGGGGTAGGAATGACAGTGCCATACCTATGTGTGAAGGCACAAACATCAAGACGCCAGCAGAAGGATTGCAGACTCAGGATGTAGCAGTACGTGTTAAAAATGTGCACAGTTGCGCATACAGCTCAGCACAGGATGTACCTCCCCCCAAAGCAGAATTTACAATACTTGTGCTCCCGTGTGCTGCTGTAGGTTGAATATGGCTGGTACTCAGGGTTTACATCTTTGTATGTATGCATATATATATATATATGATTTAGATAAATGGTACTCAAGGTATATATGATGCACAACATGCCTACCGTGAGCATGAAGAATGTAAGTTAAATCAAAGGTGGTGTGGGGGGGTAGGGGAAGGGTTAGGGTTGTGTGTATGTCAGCATATGACTTGGAAATCTTGAATGGACTGTACTGAAATACATTTGTCCAGTAATATATTTACAAATGCGCAAGCTCGGATTCAAATAAGAAAGGCGGGAGGGGGATTGGGGGGAGGGCTGAAGAGGGGTACTAGCGTCTAGATTAAATCAGCTAGAGCGTCTTCCCAGACAGCTAGCACACCTTTTATACTCGGCCAATAGCCAGTCGGCGCGGTGTCTACAGGATTACTCTATATCTCTCTTGAGCTTTGACAGGGCGCGCAAATGTGCTCAATACTCATGCTATATCCACATAGGATCCAGCCCAAAACAAAAACAAGGGCGCAGCGCCTCTCCCCAAAGCAGAATGACAATACCTGTCTGTGCTCCTGTGTGCGGTGGAATATGGTACTCAGGGATTTTGTGTGTATATATATATATGGTACTCAAGGTATATATATATGTACAATGCACAACATGCCTGTTGTGAGCGAATGTAAGTTAAATCAAGTAGATATAGTTGGAGAGCCACGTTCAACAAGTGTATAAGTGTCCTGAAATACTGCTTTCAGCTTCATTCCTTCTTTCCTTCCTTCCTTCCTTCCCTCCCTCCTTCCTTCCTTCCTTGTTTCCTTTCTTCCTTGCTTCCTTGCTTGCTTGCTTCCTTGCTGCCTTCCTTCCTTGCTTCGTTTCTTCGTTGCTTGCTTGCTTGCTTCCTTCTTTCCTTCCTTCCCTTTCCCAGAATAGCGTTTTTTTTAAAAAAAAACTGATAACATGTTTTTTTTGGACCCTAAAAGTAATTTTATTTTGATCCTAATATTTTTTTTGATGCATATCCCCATTATTCGAATGCCTTCACGAAATCCTGAACCCTAGGACGTGGATTTCCCCTTGGGAAAATGCCATCATCCAAAACTCAGCAACCTCAAGAATAGAATTGGGGGGAAGGAGATCTTGGAAGGATTTTCATTGCATGGCCAACCTTAGATACCCTGCAACAAAAATATGTGTTTAGCTGATGAACGTAGATAATCCCACCCTAACTATCCAAGTGCATCAAATATAGGGATTCGGGAAAGACCCTAAATAGGAACTACTTCCGGTGGGATCCTTTGTATTTAGGTACTTGGCAAAACCTGAAACATTTTGCAGATCAGAACTGTAGTTCTATGGCCCATGGGGTTACTAAGAGCAGCATGCTGCAACCATGCGCCCCCCTCTCTGCCCAGTGCGGCACCTTTCTTCCCAGAAGTTTGTAGGCATTAGGCAACCCCTTAATCCCAATAATCATGATTTTAAAATCCAATTTCTGGAATGAAAAAAAAACTGAATGGACAGGAAAAAAATCCACCACCAAAACATCTTGGGGCTTGGAACTTGGCTGTAATTTGCTCGAGTTGCCATGATGTCGTCTCATTCCAGGTAACAAGAAAGTTTGATAATAATCTGGGGATGTATACGTTTATTTTTCTATTGGATTGATCACATTGGGAACCATATTTGGGGATTGGAGGAATTCACATCATATATAGTTTATTTTTCTACATATGGCCAAATTATCTGGGGTGACCTGTGCTGCCCAAAAGGCTCCTGATTTTTTGGGGCATTGACACTGCTGGTACCTACCACGATGAAATTTCCCAAATTAATTGGTGTATGTCCCATTATTTAAGAAGAATTTGAAGTAATAATGGGGGTGTTTTGTTGGGGGACATAATGCCGGCAGTTGGCTGCACTTGGCTGATGGTGCTGGGTTTGGGAGGGCAAAAAACGGTCCAAACAAATGGCCTGAGATGGCCTGACGTTTCACCGCAAGAGATACTGAATACGATTCAAGGTTAGTTGCTACAGACATAAACAATAATTATATATATAATATGTGCATACATACAGACATATTTATATATATATGTATGAATAAAACTACTGTATACATATTTACATAGGTAAATAAACATTATTGACTCAATCTCCCGAATGGGAGCTGCAAAAAACAAGTCCAGACCAGCAAAACTGAAGTTGATTCACAGAGCAAGCCAAGCTGATGTTGTAGCCCTTCTTCCGCGAAGGCTTTCATCATATCAAAACATGAGGCTGAAACCTCTGGCAGGTTTTCGAAATTGCCAGCTTTCAATCCATACTGTGCCATACCGCTCGTGGCCGCGAAGGTGTGTCGCAAGAGCTCGACAGGTTCCTCACTAGCCGGACCAGCCGACCTTTATGCTGCCGCTCTTCTGGCTGATGATGCCATGCGACCCAGGCTTTGTCTGGAATGCTGCAAACCCTTCAAGTGCATGCTAATTTGGCATGCATCTGCGCTTGAGGTGAGAGGAAAAAAACATCACCCTCAAGTAGATAGATGATAACATGTTTGGACGGTTAACCACGAGATAGGGTGGGGAACTTCTACCTTATTCAGGATGGTGATATATAAGTATATATATATATATTCATTTGGTTCATTTATAAATTTTCAATATTAATCAATATAAATAAATAAATCGGCATATTATTAAATGGGAATATAAATATCTTATATATATATGGGATAAAGTTAATGTATAAGATGTAGCTTTGTATTTATTTACTGGTCCAGGAGAGACCCCCAAAAAAACTTAGCTATTTTCTTCAGACCTAATTCAGGCCAATTTGCATTAAATGCAGCTGTTGGACGACTTGAAGCCAGAAAAAAATACAAGTAAATTGTGATTTGCAACGAAATACCACGAAATTGTCACATATTTTCTTCGTGCCATGAATCTGTGAAATCCGAGGCAATTCCTGTACAAAACCTGGCAAAATTCGAGAAATCTAGCCCACGCATTTCGTTTTCTGGTGCACGATACTCACAATTTTGATTTGGTGGCTCATTATGGGTTACGGGACCGCGCGTTAAATTAGCGTTAAAAACCGTTAAAAGCCGTGATAGCAAACTTTACAGCGTTAAACTCGTTAAATTTGCATTTCCGAAAACACACCATTTTTTACACAAAATTTATGGCAATTTATACCCGAAGCCATTTGTTGTTGGGTTCACTTGGGGTGGTGGACCCTATGGCGAAGGCAAAAGCTTCGGTTAGGGAGACAGCCAAGCCTGCTGTCCCTAGGTGAAAATGCATTTGTTTTTGAACATGTCTTCATGCTTCGTGGATTGGCTAATTTAGATTTTGGTTTGAAGCTTGAAGACATGGTCAAACAAAGGCAATATATTTTATTAGTTGAATTGTTTGGGTGGTTGTATATCCCCAAAATATTAGTATTTGGGAACCCAACATACCTCACATGTCAATTTGGGCTACGATATATTGTTTTGTGTGAGTGCATATCCCAAATTTCATTGCATTTTTGGCTTAAAGTCGTCCAACAGGTGTATGTAATGCAAATTGGCCTGAATTAGGCTTGAAGGAAATAGCCAGGTTTTTTTGGGGTCTCTCCGGGACCAGCAAATAAATACAACGTTACATCTTATACATTAATTTATTCCCATATATAAAAAATATTCCCATATACTACTATCTCGATTTATTTACGCATATATATATATATATATCAATATTTATAGATAGATACATGAATTAAATACATCTATATATATATAGATATACATATAATATATCCTTTTATACACACACATATATATATAGACATAAATTATTTATATATTTATATTTGACCATCCTAAATAAGGTAGAAGTTCCCCACCCTAATTTCGTGGTTAACCATCCAAACATGTAATAAGCTATCTACCTCAGGATATATTTTTCCCCTCACCTAAAGCGCAGATGCATGTCAAATTAGCATGCACTTGGTTTGCAGCATTCCAGACAAAGCCTAGGTCGCATGGCATCATCAGCCAGAAGAGCGGCAGCATAAAGGTCAGCTGGTTCGGCTAGTGAGGAACCTGTCGAGCTATTGCGACACACCTTCGCGGCCACGAGCGGTATGGCACAGTATGGATTGAAAGCTGGCAATTTCCAAAACCTGCCAGAGGTTTCAGCCTCATGTTTTGATATGATGAAAGCCTTCGCGGAAGAAGGGCTACAACATCAGCTTGGCTTGCTCTGTGAATCAACTTCAGTTATGCTGGTCTGGACTAGTGTTTTTTGCAGCTCCCATTCGGGAGATTGAGTCAATAATGTTTATTTATTTATGTACATATATATATATATATCTATCTACCCAATTTATTCATACATATATATGTATGTATATATTTTTGTATGTATGTATGTATGTATGTATGTATGTAGCAACAAATCTTTAAATCGTATTCAGTATATCTTGCGGTGAAACCTCAGGCCATCTCAGGCCATTTGTTTGGACCGATTTTTGGCCCCCCAAACCCAGCACCATCAGCCAAGTGCAGTCAACTGCCGGCATTATGTCCCCCAACAAAATACCCCCATTATTATTTCAAATTCTTTTTGAAAAATGGGCACATACACCAATTAATTTGGGAAATTTCATCGTGGCAGGTACCAGCAGTGTCAATGCCCCAAAAAATCAGGAGCCTTTTTGGCAGCACAGGTCACCCCAAATAATTTGGCCATATGCACAAAAATAGGTAATATATGATAGGAACTCCTTCGATCCCCAAATATAGTGCCCCATGTGATGCACCCAAAAGAAAAATACACATATACATCCCCAGATTATTATCAAACTTTTTTGTTACCTGGAAGCACGACCTCATTGCAACTTGAGCAAATTTACAGCCGAGTTCCAAGCCCCAAGATGTTTTGGTGGTGGAAATATATTCCTTTAAACTCAGAAAGAACAATTGTGGAGTGATTAAAACGAAAGTATTTTCTGAGCGGGGCCTCAGTTTGAAAGCACCTACATTTGAAGGATTTGGATCCTTAGGGCCATTGATGGCAAAAGATTAGAGGATTAGTCACTACCCATCCAAGGGTCACAGATGGGCCTAGTTGGGACGGTCTAATGGATTCTAATGGTGTCTATAGATAACGTTTCAGGAATGGGGCATCCGCAACACGCTTGGTTTTCGTGTCTACCCCCGATGTTTGGTATGATTTGTAATGGCCCCCCCAATCAGATTGATAAATGGAAATGGAAATGACTCAGCATTCATTGTTGCCATTTATTGCCTACAGATTGGTGAGATTCTTTGAGACCGCTACGCCATTTTGGCCCCGCGGAACACAACGGATACCCTCGGTGCTTCAAAACCGTTGCGCCGAGCGACGACAAGACCAGCACGTTCCGGATCCGGCGAGGATGGAGCGTCGGTGGCCTACCACGTGGAAAGTACAGTGCTAAGCGTCAAGGGATTTTTTGTTCGATTCACGTCTACTAGACATATCATGAAATTGATGAATCATCCTCGACTCTGTTGTAGCCATAAAAAATGTCCCTAGATCCCACTGTGCGATCTTACTTTCGTCCATGTCAAGCCCGGGCTTGACCCATTACAATCCCGTTGATACGAGGTGGTGCTCCCCTCGTGATGGAACGTTGGTGAACATAGACCCCCATGAAGTGGATATACAACGACATACACTATTATGTAAACCCTAGTGAAATTGGAGTTAGGTCCACAATCAACAGTTGGGTTCATTTTTTATGCTCAATTCCCAAAACCTGAACAGGGCCATGGAAAAGGGTGATTCCTCACGTAGGGTATCTGCCACCACCATGGGTTTGTCTGAAAAGAGTGTGTATCCACAACATCCCTTGGTTGAAAGTTCAACAACATTTAATGAAGTGCCACACATTCATGGTATATCCCTACATCTAAACTTTTAAAATTGGGTCTATCCCCATGCACATTCCTATTGTATTCCCATAAAATAGGTGGGTTTATTCCCTCTGGTAATTTAACATAGCTATTACAAACAACAATCTTTGTAGGTAAAGGATCTATATAAATGCATAGCAATGTGAAAAATTACCTGAGGTAAACCTCCATTTCTCCCCATGTTTGAAATCACCAGTTTTGGACGATTCTCGCCTGTGGATGTCGGGACCAAAGCCTGATACATCGCGACAGGTGCGAAATCGCTCATTGGAACTTGCCCAGAGTTCTCCCCTTGACATTTAAGGATTATAAATTCAAGAGTTTGTAGTTTGTGGGGGATATTATTATAATATGAGGGTTATGAATCAACAAATTGCCACGAATTGGGATCAAAATTGATATTTTGAGGCTTCCGTCCGGTCATGGTGGTACCCCGAGTCATCTTCCAAGTCATTAGACCAAGTTTTCAAAGCTGGATAGCAGGGTTGGGCCGCCCGGGTTGGTTTATATAAACGGTTCAAATTTTATGTTTGCTTGTTTAAACAATGTTTAAACCGAACATGTTTAAACCAATCCGGGGTAGTAGGGGACCCTAGTGAACGAATTCCAAGAGATTGACGGCATTTGAGGACCCAACCGCATGAGATTATGCGCACTTGCAGAATCAAGCACTGAGAAATCTGCTGCTAGTGACATCACCCTGGTGCTTCTTTCTCGCTCACCCGTTCTTGCTTCTCAAATCACTCATTATTGCATTATATCTTTTGAGTCTTCCCGGCCGCCAACCTTCAAATGTGGAGATCTGTTTAAACACAGGTTTAAGCATGTTTAGACGTCAAAGCAAGGTCACAAGATCCGACCGCTCTACTATCAGCGTTGCCATCTCCAGAATCCGATGAATATGTTTAAACCGGTTAAAGATATGGACCCGAGCTTTAAACATGTTTATATAAACAGTTTGATGTTTAAACGGTTTAATGAGTAATTAATGTTTAAATCTGTTTGGAACGACCCTACTGAGTATAGTCTGAATCCAACATTCTCCTAATGAGACGTGCCCCAGACCTATCAAGCCTGCGTCGCAGCAAAGAAGCATCTGACTTCCTGTCGTAGAATTCTCAGGCTCTCCGTCCCAAATCGGGACGCTTTTTCTCCAAATCTTCACCACCACTCCACAAGCCAAGCGGGGGACGTCACGTGCGCCATGTCAAGACATCAGCTGGGCCACCCAGCGGCAAGGCCATCGTTTTCAAGATGTTGTTTTTTTGAAATCATTTGAAATACCCTCTGGTAGAAAATCACTATTTTTAGTGGGTAAATCCACTATAAATGGCAATCTTCAATAGCTATGTTAATTTACCAGAGGGTATGTTTGTTCAGTATCCCAGTATCCCCCATATTGAGAAACCTGCATATATTCCAATACAGTGATTATCACCAGGTTCTTCAAGTTGTGACCCTTTTGAGGTGGTTAAGTGACCCTGTTTGGAATATTTTCTGGTGGTTGAACAGGTCACAATTTGAACCAAGCAGCGATTATCAATTATTGTAGTATTGTACCAGTAGTATATCAATTGATTATTGTCGTAGTAATATCAATTACCATCTGGTTTTTTAACATAGCCATGGAAAATCATCATTTTTAATAGGTAAGCCATCTATAAAATGGGCCATTATCCATGGCTATGTTAAATAACCAGAGGGTATCCCCAAAACTGTTGTGATTCTCTGGAAATGTAGTACAATAATTCACTGACCTCTAAGGCCCACAATATTCCCTTGGGCCAACGCAACTGAAATAAGGCCTCACATCTGGATAGCTACCCCTACGAACAATCACTTCATTACGCAGTGAGGTCGTTACAATTTATCCAGATTATATCAGCAACATCGTTTTTGCTGATGGTTGTGAACCTTATTCATGGCCAAAATTTGATATCCTCTCGCAAAAGAACATGTTTTAAACGGACTAGGTTTATTAAAAAAAGAAAATTGCACATGACATATGTGCATGTATATAATATAATATATATATATTGTATATATATATATATTTATTATGGATATATATATATATGTTCATGGGGGTTACGGTATAAACCAACTTATAATCTTGGGGTCGACCGCTCTTTTCAGCCTGCCAAAAACTATTTACGACACCAGCCCTGGGGTGGTGTCACGTGGTGCCAATGGGACATCTGTGAAGGTCTGTGATGGCTCCCCAAACTTTTTGGTAATGATGGGTTTTAATGGTAGTTAAATGGAATTCGGAATATTACGGATATTAATGGAATATGAATGAACTATTAAATGGCTTAATGATGGTTACCCTCTGGTAATTTAACATAGCTATTGAAAATGGCCCATTTATATGGTTGATTTACCTATTCACAATGGTGATTTTCTATAGTTTTGATAACCCCAACAACTGGTTGACAACTATATTGCTGGTTGGTGGTATACCTACCCCTCTGAAAAATATGACTTCGTCAGTTGGGATGATGAAATTCCCAATGAAAAAAATAAATCCATGTTCCAAACCACCAACCAGTTTTGGAGAGATTCGTGGCCTCAATTGCTGGTTATATCCTCTGGGCAACGAACAGTTTGCGATTTAAAGCGGCCATTTGTGGTTGATTTATCTATTGAAAAAAGTGGTTTTCCATAGTTGCGTTAGTTTACCAGAGGGTACGCCACTTCTATGGTTGAAACTATTTTGGACATCGTCAACCAGATTATCATTGGTTATATACCCATTACTGTGTATCCCCATGTTTGAGATTCTTAAATATACATATATATATATATATCAATATATGGCAAAGCATTGGATGGTTAAAAGAAACATTCTCATGTTAGATGGTTATGTCCGTCATAGCCCCATTATAGGTCTATATCCCCATTGTGTCCCCATTACTCTCCGGTCAACTGATCGTTTGCTGTGGAAGCCATGGCCCGTTTAGTTCGATGATTTACCTCCAACAAATGGTGACTTTCCGGCGAACTGTCAGTCTATCAGATGGTATATTGTATTTCACAGTATATAAATCATTTTGGATTTGCTGCGGAAGCCAAGAAACATGAAATACCCTCTAGTAATTTAACATAGCTATTGAAAATAGCCCTTTGTAGTTGATTTACCTATTAATAGCATGGTGATTGTCATAGCTATGTTAGTTTACCAGAGAGTATCTTCTGTCCCATTCTGCAGATTCCCCAGTTCTGTCGTGGATTTCACATTGTGAAGTGCTTCATTATCCCCTGAACTCCATCATTTCATGGCAGCTGAGTCATTAGATGCTTGTAATATCCCCATGTTAGATGGTTCAGATTTGTTATGTATATATGTATATACATGTATTCCCATAGAATATATACATACATATATATATATATTCCATATAATTACCCAAAATTCAATCACACCAAGCCTCCCATATATATATATGATATATGTATATGTATACGTATATACATACAAAGTGGGCCCCCTAGTTATAAGATGTTATAAGTTGGTTTATAAATCTATGGCTCCCATATTATGTGTATATATCTAAATATAACCCCCCGCTATAAATCCATTAACAGAAAACGGTCTATATCCCCAAGAAATCCCGTCTGTTCCCAGCGGCCTCAGCATAGCAAAGGCCAAGAACATCAACGAAGGTCCAGCCAGGAAGGCTAAGATTCGAACCTGCTCCAGATGGGCTGTCTGTTTACCATAGGAAAATAGGTGGAAACTGGTGATTTACTCACGAAACATGGGGCATTTGTTTGTGATTTAGCCACGATTTTTTTGCCAAAACATGCTGGTTAAATTGGTGATGTACCATTGATTGATTGATTTGGTGATTTATGACAAGTAGCTTAATTCATAACTTGGCGAACTGTTGGGTTTAGGGGAAATATACCCTCTGGTAAACAAACAGTTTGCTATTGAAAATGGCACATTTATAGTAGTTGATTTACCCATTAAAAATTGTGATTTTCCATAGTTATGTTAGTTTACCAGAGGGTATAACAATTCAAGGGTTTATAAACAATGAAGACATCATTAGGGGGCCCGCCTTGCTATACTGGTGAGTTAATGAGGACTCACAAAACGGATGATGCAATCCCTTATATACCAAGTGAGCAGTTTGCAAAGCTCTGTGTCCTCCCTGTATACTTGTTGGTTGAGAGTACATCACCATTTCTGGTGGCTAAAAGCCAATATTTGGTGGGCATATTCCCACATAAAAACAAATAAACAATCTGCAGAATCATCAACCAACCATCAGTGATCAACTATATCACCATGTTTTCCGGGTTAAAAGACGAAAACATCATTAACCATCTATAAACGATGGTTATACCATACCTATCAACAAGGGTATGTTACGGGTCCGCGAGAAATCTCGCCTTCCATCGCTGATTCTCCAAGTTTTGCACATGGCCATCTAGTCTTTCCTGGACATGGATCGACATTGGAGCAATCGACCCAAAATCTAGGGCGAAAAGGGTATCGGGAATGTGGGGTCATGGTTTCAAGCTGACAAACCATATAGCATATCCTTTTCCTGTGGGACTTCTCAATTCTTCACTTTAGCTTTAGATGACAGTCTTGGGAAGACTCCAAAAGTGCCAGCAGAATCATCACTCTGAGAGCCACGCAAGTTTCTCATACCTCGGGTGGACGTGAGACTCAAGTTCCATGTCATGGAACTTAAGGGATAATCTGTTGGTTGCCTGTCAAAAAAGCTAATGTTTAGCTGATGAACGTACATTTTACCACTGATAACAAACAAAAAAAGTACTAGTTAGTATCTCCACATGGTTGCCCCAATGGTTGGTGAAACTTCTATGAATCCATCATTTAGTTCGATGATTTTCCCATCTATAAACCTCCATCTATAGGAATTTCCCATCAAGTAAGGACTATTCCAATTGAGCCATTAAACATACCCCGTTTTCCCATCTCATGAAATACTAGTTGGTTGAAAACGATTATAATCCCCTATAGCAATCAATTAACCAGGTTATCCACAGATTAACCTGGCTCAATTAACTATAAAATTAACTATAATGGCTCATATAACTATAATCAATTAACTAATGAACTATTAAATGGGCCTTATAACTTTTTATAATCAATGTTCTTTAATGGTTCAATTTATACTAAAAAGGTTATATCCACAGATCGGTGAGTCGGTGAAGGTAACCACATTGTGGCCCTGGTGAAAAAGGAGTCGTTCCTGCTTCGTGTATCCCATTAATCTAAATCTACAACATATTTTATTATATATATATAATAATACTGATAACAATAACAGAAATAGTAATAATAATAATATAATATAATATAACATAATACTATACAATACAATATCATATCATATCATAGCATATAATTTAATCTGGTTGGTGGTATACCCACCCCTCTGAAAAATATGAGTTCGTCAGTTGGGATTATGAAATTCCCAACTGAATGGAAACATAAAATTCATGTTCCAAACCACAAACCAAATAAGATTATATCTGTAATAATGGGGTGGTTTATTATTTTAACCACATTAAACACATTATATTCACATATTAAGTGGATCCTCATGATTCGTGGTATAATTTGATTCAATAATATGATGGGATACCAGAATCATTATACCACATTATACCACATTAATACTGATAATTCAATAATGGATCATTATACCACATTATACCAGTTACTTTCTCCATGGCACAGCTATATATGATGTGAGATTCTATCATATATTATCATAGATTTCTATCATTCTCTGTAAACATGGAGAAAATAACAGGGAGTTCGATGGTCCCTGGGCAGATTCAATGGCGTCATTCTGCTGTTGCTTTTGCTGTGCCCCAGGCTGATCTGGACATATCTGGACGGGTGGGTGTTGGCGCAACCGTTGAATTCTATTGATGGCTGCTCTAATCATTACCCTCCAGTAAACTAACATAGCACTAAGATAGCTATGGAAAATGATCCATTTACATACCCGGAACCTTCAATTTTGGACCCCTCTTTTGGATGGTTAACCTTCAATTTTATGGGTCACATGTCAAAACCTTCATTTTACAAGGGTCATAAATGGGTTCCAGGTATATATATATATACAGTATATGATTTGAACCCATTTAAAGATGATGATAATTTCTATAGTTCGCTATGTAAACGCTTACCGGTACGGGTACATCATTCTCTTTGCATCCAACTGCTGCGATTTGTTGGCCCTTGATGTACTTGACCACAGTGAACTCTGAGCAGACTGGGGCATTCGTGCCCAGCTTCCAGTTGAACATCGATTTTTTTGTATGTATATATATATATATAGACAATATATTGATAAATTTAGGAAAATCTTGGGCCTGCAAACATTGGACAAAAAAATGACAAAAATAAATAACCAACAACCCTCAGAGTTTGCTGGTAAGATTTTCATAATGATAAATCTCTGGTAAACGAAGAGTTTGCTCTAAAGGAGAATTGCCCATTTAACGATGATGGAAGCCTAGTCAAAATGGTGATTTTCCAGCATCATCCAATAGGGTTCCTCTGGACTCTGTGGGATCCACTACGAAATCATTGGTTGGTGCCCTCTTCTCTAATTGCTTGGATTGTTTTGTTTCACTTGTGGTGTGATGATAAAATCAAAACAGTGATGTGAATGTTGGTGAACATAAACCCCATGAATACTAGGTCGTTATATCTACCTAATCAACCATAGAATTCAGCCACTTATCCATATCTCAACTGAACGCTATCGTGGGGGCCCCATCCTGTTTGCAAAACATTCACTTTACAGGCTAGAATGAGAAAAATGTAAAAATCATTTCAAGATCCACCTTGTTTCAATGGGAATTTCAGGATCCTAAAATAGAGGTACTGTACCATATAAAACCATCTTTTGTGGGAATATTCCCTTACATAGGCCTGACAAAAATGGGCCTTATATATGGTAGGTACCTCCAATTTAAGTTCCTGAAATGGCCATTGATTGTTGCTTGACAATCCCCCCAATTTGCTGGCGCGACAATCCCCACGTTTTTCTCGCTGGGGAAATGTCCTTCTTCGGATGTGTCTGCCATTTGAAAACCGGTGGCTTGTCAAGAAAATACCAATGGCAGATATGATTTTCAAAATTGTCAAAAACATATTTGAAAAAGTTATGATGATAATGATAATATGATTTTGACATTCCAGGTTCTTCAAAGTGACCCTTTTCAGTTGATTAAGTGACCCCTTTTTGGGGTTAAGTGGCCTCGAATTGATGCTTAAAGGGGTCACTTTGAAGAACCAGGTCACTTGGATCTGGCAATCGTCGATTCCCAATTTATAGATTAAATTCCCATTAAAACCGCAATTTGTAGACCATTTCCCAGATAGCCACGTTTGATTACCGAAGGGTATCCCCATGAAATCACCATTAAATTCCATAAACACCTAATAAATCACAATTAAATTCCATAAAAAGCCAATCGATGACCATTAAATCCCATTACATTCCATTAAATGATCATTTAAATGATAAAATCCCATTTAACCACGTTTCTCCCATTCTATCCTCATTAAATCTCATGAAATCCCCATCTTTTGGGATGTGTCCATCTCCGCTGCATCGCTCGGCTCCCCCACGCTGCGGTCAGTTCCCGCGGGGCATGGATCACTTTCTGCAAACGTCGTGTGCCTTGGCGTTGGCTGGTTCCGGGTGCTGAAGAAGCAACCAGGTAATCATAGGGTAAACTAACATAGCTATGGAAAATGGGCATAGAAATAGTGAGTTTTCCAATGAAAATGGTGATTTTCCATGTGGTAATCATAGTTTTGCTGGTTACCCTCTGGCTATTTAACAGTTTGCTATGGAATTAAATCGCTCATGTTTAGTGGATTTACCTATTAAAAACTGTGATTTATTTAGCGATCAGGATGGAGCCCCCGTTCGGTTAGCGATAGCGTTGAACTGAGATATGGCTGTGGCTGAATGAACTATGGTATATGGTTAGTTTACTATGTTAGTATCCTATTTGAATGCTGATTTTCCAGTTCGCTATGTTAGTTTACCAGTAAACTGACACAACTATGGAAAATCATCATTTTTCATGAGACAATTCACTATAAATGCTGATTTTCCAGTTCGCTATGTTAGTTTACCAGAGGGTAATCAGTTTTTCGATGGTTAAAACTCTGGAAATCAATGGCCATGCAACAGGAACCGATTGATTGGAGGCAACAATATATATATATAAGGCCTATGTTTTAGGGATATGTAAGGGAATATCCCAGTTATATGCCCATAATATGTTTGCTGGCTAAAACTCTATAAATGATGGGTTTGGTTTAAAGTACTAAAGTAATGGGGTAAAACATCATGTTTCTATGTACAATCGGAGGGTATAGGTATACATAGTATACATAAATAGGCAAAGAGATACCCTCTGGTAATTTAACATAGCTATTGAAAATGGCCCATTTATAGTTGATTTACCTATTAAAGACGGTGATTTTCCATAGCTATGTTAGTTTACCAGAGGGTAAATCTCAGCAAATTGCATTTCATCCGTCCCATTCCATTTCGGACAACGGGGGAGTTGTGATCAACTCCGAAAATAGTCGAAGTGGATTTCCCATTGGGGAACTAACACTGATGACAATGGGAATGGTTCAACTAATATAAGTGGCTTAATTATGGTTTATGGTAGATATAACTATAGTATTCACAGGGTTAATAGACCAACAAACATCACTGGGGGGCACCATGCTGTAGTAATCATGTTTGGAACTTTCTGTTCCAGTGCTGTGTTTCCCCACGCTTTTTGCGCCCACATCCGCAGCTCACTGAACAAGGGCTGAATGCAGACCAGTCCGACCACTCCTGGGCAACGCGGCAACGCACCCTTGATTTTCTTCGTGGCACACAAGGGTGTTATCAAAGAGGGCTGGAATATCCATAAAACAATGGCGTCTTAGTGGAAAATCATATCTAAAATCCTGCCTACAGTATATTATATATATGGGGTTTTGGCGGAAAACCTGTCCAATTGTAGTGCCCACAGTATAGTCAGCTGCTGTTTCGTATTCCTATGGTATTCCAATCAAATTGTTGGTTTTACCCAAGATTAACATCCCATATCTATCCAGGTACTCTAGATTTCTACAATATTTGAGTGTGTCCTTTCAAAAAAAATAGTTGTACCATGTGCTATCTCCAAATCAAGCGTGTTACATCAAGTTACACACGATGTTTCGTACATCGTGGCTCATCCCACGAATCCTAAGCAGCTTAGTTCACCCTAGTTTTTTCAGTAGATCAACTCTACAAACATCCCATCACTGGGGTTATAACATATTATGACCCACTTAGGATAAACTAACATAATTAGCTGTTGAAAATCATAACTTTTAGGTAAATCAACGAACTCAATGGCCATGTTCAATAGCTATGCGACAAATTACCAGAGGGTAACCCACCAAGTATTGAAGCCCATACTTTTACGGTACCATTCGGGATATGGCAACCGTCCCCCAATAGGGGACCTTGATGGAGGTTGCGCAACAAGTCAGGGGGGTCTCCAGTCGTCACCATGCTGGTTTCAATACTGAAATGGTCCATGACTTGGGTGATTTTGGGGATATTCCTGTTTTCAGGAAACCTCGATTTATGTATATATATATATTATACAATATATATATATATACACGTCTATATAATAACAATAATAACAATAGTAACAGTAATAGTAATAAAAATAATAACAACAATAAAATTAACACACCACAAATGATGGGCCAGTTGTGGGCCATATCATGAGAATCCATCAGAAACCAGGTCAAGACCCTGACAAATCCCATTGCTCGCGCTGAGCCCTGGACACATATGGGCTCTCCCAGACAATTTCTGGGGCACTTGGCCACTTCTTCAGCGTTGCCGGCCTGGAAACAAACGGATCGATGCGTGGTGAAATTTTTCAGAAACTGGGTGAGCTGGTTATATATAGTTTATTGAGTAAGACACATTTTGTTGAAACATACAAAAAAAAACACCGTTCAACCATTGGATTGTTGTGGGTTTTCATGGATAAAAAACAACATCGAACACACCCAAATGCCAACCCGCTTTCAGCAACCTTTTTTTGGTCCAATGCTGAACATCCAAGTGCCGCATTCTGCTGAATTCTCTGGCCCCTGCTGCTGTGCTTTGGTGGTTTCAAAACGAATTCAGCTTCACCCAGTCACAAGTTGGTTTAAACCCTATTATCTCTGGTTATATACCATGAACCATCTATAAATGGGCCATTTTCCATGGCTATGTTAAATAACCAGAGGGTAACTATAGTTATATCTACCATAAACCATAGAATTCAGCCACTTACATCTCAACTGAACGCTATCGCTCGAACGGCCTCATCCTGTACCCCTGAACCCTTGTATCTCCACCTCGCAGCGCCGACCGCCACACTCGGGGGTCCTGTGAAATTGCCCGTTTTAAGACAGGGCCCCATGATGGTCTTCTTAGGGTCTGGTCTACTCCAGGGGAAACCCCAAAGACCAGGGGGAAAAATCGGCGAAGGGTCTTCTGCTTGGTTGGTTATGGATGGTTATGGTGAAAATAGTGGTTAATTATAGTGGTTATCTAGAGTTGGTGGTTGACCTACCCCTCTGAAAAATGATGGAGTTCGTCAGTTGGGATGATGACATTCCCATTATAGGGAAACAAAATGTTCCACACCACCAATCAGCATACCAATTATGCATGATGGTGCCTTCCAGCTATAGTTGGTTTATACCCTCATTCAGCCACTTATCCATATCTCAACTGAACGCTATCGCGAACCGAACGGGGGGCCCCATCCCGTATGATTCCCACTTTTGGCAAATGGATCATCATCTACCCTCTGGTAAACGTTTACATAGCTATTGAAAATGGCCATTTATAGTTGATTTACCCATTAAAAATGGCACATTTATAGTTGATTTACATGTTCCTCCACATGTTGGTAAAATCACTACATGTTCCTTTTTATATGGCAGTCATTTACCTACCTGGTTTTCAGATGCAGATCGCAAAAAGAACAAAACATGGGGGCACAAAACCCTGTTCAAAAGCCACATGTATAGTTTTCAGACGGCCAGTGAGATAAACCTACAATTTAGCCAGAAAAAATATGAATTGGTCCAAAAAAAGGTACCACGGAGCAATTTTGAACTATGTATGAAGTACTGGGGAACCCCAATCTTTTCCTCAACCATGGCAATTCTATTCATCAAGATCGGCACGAAGAATAGTACATACACCCTGGAGCACATGGTGAGATACAGAATCCCCTTCACTGAACAGAACTTCCCCCCAAGTAACTCCAAGTAAGCGTGTGTTTCCTTGTTCAAAATGTTCAAGATGTTCAGCTCCGCAAGTTGTGACTTCTCTTTGTCCAGGATGAATTGCTTGCTGCTTTTACATCACTTTCCAGGGATGTGATAGATTCATGATGTCTCCTTCGTATGTAGGTTTGCAGCTTACTAGGCTTACTGTATCTGCTTTTGGGTCGCGATTTTTTTTCAAAATGTTCATGGAAAATGGAAAGAAATTGATAGCATCAAACAGTCAAACCAATCTTGGGACACATTTCTTAAATGTGCAGCCCGGAGAGGTTAGTGATTCATAAGCATGGTATAACACAGTCAGATCTGGGATACACCCCATTTCTTCATTGGTTGCCAACCGTTGAGATCTACATCAGAAACCACGAACATTCAAGGTTGCTCCAAACACCACAGGTACAAGGTGGCTAAATTATTTAATCAAATATATAGAGGTAACATGACTTACCCCAAAACAAACTATTCAAGCGGCTATCATTTACCTACAATGACTTGGAACAACAACCTTGTAGAAATATAGATGTATATCCCATCATATTCTCATTAGAGCCCCATAAAATATCATAAAATCCCAATTCTTCATGTTCAGATCACTATCTTATCATTCAGCTGTGAAAAATCAGAGAAACATTTTTCATGGTTGTCATTGTCCTGGCCACTCTGCGCGAGCGGGTCTTCTGACCAGCGCATTTGCTACAGGCCTTGGATTTCGGAAGCAAATTCTTACAGGTCCTTAGGAGGGACTGGGGAATGATCTATATGTAGTTTGGAAAAAATAAGAGAAAGTCAACCAAAAGAATGGCTAGATAATCCCATACACCACGTAAATAGTTAATTCATGTAAATTCTGAGTAGGATATAGAATTTTCATGAATTTTCCTCCGTCAAATAACTTGAACCTAGCACGTCTTCACCAACGATTCACGAGTTGGGGAGTTCAATGATTCGCAGAGAAAAAACTCATACCTACAATGACCTACAATGCATCTCTAATGTGAAGATCTCTACAATGTGGTACCCCCAAGCTATAAGTTTGTTTATAGACCCCATGAATACTGTAGTTATATTGGTTATATCTACCCAGTTATGTTTGTTGGTTTATAACCCCCATTAACTATAGTTATATGATGTTATATGTATAATCCATAGTTATGTATAGTTATAAGTATAATAAACCATAGTTATTGGACTTATAAACCAACTTAGCTATCGTTTGGGGGCCCCACATTGTAGTCTGGGCAGTGTCGGCGAATCATTATCCATGGCTAGGGCGAGTTAAACTCTCAGGGTTGAGGGCATTGCTTATGGTCGCAGCTATGAGCGTTGCAATTCCCACAGGTTGGGGCCCCCCGTTCGAGCTCGCGTTCAGTTGAGATATGGCTGTGGCTGAATTCTATGGTTTATGATAGATAGAACTATAGTATTCATGGGAATTATAAACCAAACTGGAACTTCGGTAAACAACATCTCTGGCCAAACCGCCATCTGTCCGGTGCGTGCAACGCCGCCCGATTGCCCAGATTTGTTGACAATGGAAAAATTTAAGATAAAATTGCCATCTCTATAATGTTCAAGTGGGTTATTGACCTAGCTGTAGCCAATAAAAAACAAACAAATGTAAGGTATGGTCACTGCTTTGATTGTAATGTGTTTTTCTTATCTTCCAATACATGAACAGAAATGTGTTTTTTTCTTGAAGGATCATTTCAGAATTTCACTCCATAACTGGTTAATAACCATATATCTAAGAAGGCTGGAACAGGTCCTAACGAATAGACCCTTAGTGCAAAATACATGATTTTCATATGTTAGAGAATTAAGGGTCTGCTCAATAGGTCCAGTTGGAGATTTCTTAGAATATACACTCTAAAGTTGGAGATTTCTTGGTTATATTGGAGATTTCATAAGTTATATAAGTTGGAGATCCAATATCACCCAGAAAAATGTACAGGATAAGCCAACTTTTTCGGAAGCTTCAAAATGGGTTCAACCACGATGGGATGATCCCCCAAGTATACCATTAAATAATCCATTCTTAGCCTCTGGTAAACAAACAGTTTGCTATTGAAAATGGCCATTTAGTTCGTTGATTTACCCATTAAATCCATTAAAATGGTGATTTTCCATAGTTATGTCAGTTTACCAGAGGGTAACCTGTTATTAAGCATCATGAACCCTTTTTAACCCTTATTGACCATGATACATATATATATATATATCCCATTAATATCCCAATCATCAGCCATTTATAGTGGGATGATCCTACATTGACCAGAAATTCACCACTATTCTCCCATTAATGCTGGTATGATCCATTATTAACCATCATTATCAACCATTATTCGCCATTAAGAAACCATTATTAACCAAGAATCAGTTGAATCCACTACAGGATGGTGCCCAGTGATGTAAATGCATTATATAACCCTTATTATATAACCATTGTTAACCATGATACCCTCTGGTAATTTGTCAAAATAGCTATTGAACATGGTGATTTATATATAGTGGATTTTCCCATCTATCAAATGGTGGATCTTTCCATAGTTATGTTATTGTGATTTTCCATAGTTATGTTTGGATTTTCCATAGTTATCCCATGAATTGCTTGGTATTTTCACTGGCCAGTGATTTTGGAACACCTGAGGCAGCGACGCTCCATTGGCCCCACTTGGCCCACTTGCAGTTCACCGGCTGGCAGTTCTGCAGAAAGGCACCAAGATGCAGAACAGGTCCCTTAAGGAGGTTGGTGATCCCCAGTATAATCAATGGGATAGTGTGGGTTAATATGGGTTAATATTGGTTAATAGTGGTTAATAGTGGTTAATGGGATAATAACCAATTATATAATTGGTTTTTGATAGTATAATGGTTGATATGTGTTAATAATCATGGTAATAATGGTTATGATCGTTATAATGGTACACCACAATGTTTAATTGTACCATCATATAATCAATGGCCATATTAGGAACCGATTGATTGGAGGTACCTACCATATATAAGGCCTATTTTTCAGGCCTATGTAAGGGAATATCCCCACAAAATATGGCCAGACATATGGTATTAACGTACCTCCATTTTAGGATCCTGAAATTCCCATTGGTATAACCATAATATATCTACTATAAACATATGGCACATATGGATGGTTTTTTGAAATGGGGATACCCCAAACAATCATCATCCATTTATAGATGATTTTTCCATATGAAATTAACAAAACAAGCAATTGGGGCACCCCCATGACTATGGAAACACCCAAGATGCAGTAGGTCCCTTGTAGGTTGCTGATCCCCAGTGATGTCAATGTTGGTTAACCACCATAGAATGCATAGATGATTATCTACGACATAACCCAAGTACTATTGGAGCATATATATATTATACTATAAACATCTATAAACCCAAGTGAAATTGGAGTTATTCGAACCAACTTTGCGAACTGGGGGGATCAGTGGATAGATTCCAACACGGATGGAGTCATACACCTTCCTGTAAATGTGTAGATGTGGAAAGCCGATTTGTAGATCATGGTCGGAATACCATGGGCTTTCCACGTCTAAACGTTTACCCCGAGGTGATTTGCATTGAAATCAATGGACAGGGAAAATGCTGACACTTGAATATTGAGAACACCTGTATATAAACTGCATGTTGGGACAATTGGTGGCTTCTGAAAGCAATCCATATTGTCTGCTACTAGGCTCCGAACTACTGCCAAAACATGTGTAGACTTGCCCTTGTCGTTGTCAATTTTTGGATGTGTCGGATGAGTTTTGGAACATGTGTTAGCCTCCAGCAAAATCTGGAAAATCCACCATATATATATATATATATATCTTTTGTAGGAAAACCATGGATCCATGTTGACTTGCTCGAGGGTATCTGTTTGCCCCGTTGGTATAGATCATTTTTTGTACCTTGGGACCCAATCATTTCAATATGTTTCTTGGTCTCAAGCTATCTTATCTTTGGTACACCTATGGTCCCATGCCCAGACCACATCTTATTTTCCAACCCCAAATGGGTGTGCCCCAGACTTCGGTTTTCCCCAAAATCCAGCGGATCAAAAGCCCATGCTTCCCATGAACATCGCTGTATTGGGGCATATCATATCCCATTTCGGATAGACTCAAATATGTCCCCAACGCTGTTGACAAAACCCTAACATCCGAGATAAAAGGAGTTGAAACAAAAACATGGGCACTTGGGGGTGCGGGCCGTACTTAGTAAATGGATGATACCCCCAGTTGTATATATATATATATATATATTTATAGTAATATTCCTTATTTTATACGAAATGATATGGGTTATTAATATGGATTATAAACCACTTACTAAATGGGATGCACATCCAATTAAGTTATCTAAAGAGGTAAAATAACCAGTTACCCGCCTTGTGGTTATCATTCTGTCCAATATTTGTTGTTTGTGATCGACTCCGACACACCCAGTCCTGGTTGCAGGATTGCGTATTGCAAGATCTAACCTGGTGCGAGAATGCGGTAACTCTCCGAAAACTCCCCACCAGTGAAAATCAAGACCATGTTCCCCAGATTTTACTGACCATAAATCAGGGGCACATTTAAAAAAATATCAGAGAAACCAATATCATATCATATATCATGTTTTTAGTTGTGTATCACATTACAATCATTACATCTCATTATCTCACCATTATCACTGACTTTGCACCTCATGTTCAGGTCAAGCCCAAGTCGATGATATCCATGTTTTTAGTTGGCAAAATAATCGTTTCTTCGTTTGTCCACCCATGTTGACTATATAAGTATGACTAAGCCCCGATCCAATGCAGTCACATGATCCGCATGTGTTTTTTCATTTCTTTGTTACACAGAAAAAGTATTACCAAGTCTTAAATCCACAAAAGAAAAAACATATTAACGACAGATCATTATTATTGTCCCATTATATAGTTGTTTTAGAAAAAACATATATATATATATATTATTATCCCACTGTATCATTTATGGCAGGTCAATCATCATAGACCAACAACCATTATTATTATGCTATTATAAACCTTAATATATATATACATATATATCACCATTTTCCATAGGATAATATGTAGATCATCATCATTAACCCATTATTATTGATGCATATAATAATAGTGGTTAATATATATATATGGGTAAATTATAATATTTCACTAACCTGAATTAAGGCCATTTGGGGATGATTTCCCTTATTAACCATGATTTCCAGTGAGGTCGCAGTGAGGTCGTTATAATTTACCCAGACTATTGTATCCCATGATTCTTCCACTAGGCTAATCCAATGATCATCTTCCATGTTTGAGAGTTTTTTTCAACCACCAATTTGTTCACGTTCGTGAGGGCGTAGGGAGATCATCTATCCCATTTTTTTATCCGACATATTAAGTGGGATGATCTTTCCAGAAACCACCAAAACCAGGATGGTGCCCCCCAGTGATGTGAATGTTGGTTTATAACCCCCACTAACTAGTTCGTTATATCTACCATAAACCATAGTTAAGCCACTTATATTTCAATTTAGCTATCTCGGGGGCCCCATCCTGTATTCATTAATCCATTATAAACCGTTATCATTAGCCAATATCCCAACGGATACTAATTCCATCTAATCGTATTATTATCCCACTACTTGCTACTATCAACCGTTATATATCTAATTACAGTGGGATGATCCTGCACTGCATTCATCATTATTTTCCTATTATTACTCACATCCACAAAATGTATTATCCAGAATGATTAATAGTTCATAACGGTGCATTATCTATTATAGTTGAACTCCATAATGACGGATATTATAATAGTAGATCCCAGCATTGTTTTATCATGTACTTAAAAATCTCTTATATATCCCAACAGTCCTAAGCCACTTATAGTGGGATAACTAGTGTTAGTTCACACATGTATACACATACATACATACATACAGGATAAGTCATGATTAACCATCATAGGAACCGTTAAATATTATCCCAGTAAATCCAATGAACAAGCGAGTATTCAGAGGGATGATCCTACATTCACAACTATGAACCTAACATAAAATCTGAAATCCCATAAATATCCATAAATCATATGAGTGGCGGACAAAATTACTTACTACCCGCAATGGACATGGCCAAAGTGGGTGGTCCCCTATCGGTTGTGAAGGTTTGTACTTCCATGCTACCTGCAAAAATAGGGTATCTGGAAGTGGGTGGCCCCCTATCGGTTGCGAATGTTTTCGCACAAATTTGAACATCCCATGTCCACTCCCCACTACTTGATTCTTCCGCTAATTCTGTCGGTTACTCATATCTTAAACTATACCTGGAAATTTTCAATACCCTTGTCAACAATTAATTAATTATTATCCCATTGAATTTCATCGAATCCCATTGAAAAGCCATTATTACCATATATCAATTATCAATAACCAATTAGCCATTGTACATCCTATATTAACCACCATCATCCAAGTATTATGCTATTATTCATGAACCATTTTTTGATATTGAATAGTGTTATCCCATTAGTTCAATAGGAATTTTAGGATCCTAAATTGGAGGTACTGTACCATATATGGCCATATTTTGTGGGTATGTTTCCTTACATAGGCCTGAAAAATAGGCCTTATATATGGTAATTATGTACCTCCAAGCAATCGGTTCCTGAAATGGCCATTGAATTAATAAGCCATGTTTTACCCTCTGGTAATTTAACATAGCTATGGAAAATCACCATTTTAATGGGTAAATCAACGAACTAAATGGACCATGTTCAATAGCAAACTGTTAGTCATTACCAGAGGGTAACTATTATATCACCATAAATGGATGGTTTATTATTGTTCCACCACCAATTTTCCACTATAAACCATCCAGCTATCGGAGTTTTCCCTTGGATACATTAACTATTAAGCATTACAGTATCACGCATTACAGCATCTCATGAGATCCCAAATATAATCCTCTAAGTATATCCCCAAAATATGCCAAGACATCTGGTATCAACCATGAACCATTTTTTCATGATTTTTAACCACTATGAACTATGTCCCAGTGATTTTTCTGATTCAAACCATAAAATATCCCATTTATAAGCAGTATATAACCATTAACCATTATTCTATATAACCATTAACCATTTATAACCACTATATAACCAGTATCAACCATTAACCACTATTAATAACCATTACTATTAAGGAGATTCTTAGACACCAAAAAATTCTCCATGGGATCCCATCAATTCCCATGAGCGAAAATTTGGGGACCCATGAATAGTCGCCATGATTAACCATGATTAACCAATATTAACCTATATTAACCACTATCACCCAAGTATTATGCTATTATTCATGAACCATCTTTTAATATTATATAAATAGTGTTATCCCATTAGTTCAATGGGAATTTCAGGATCCTAAATTGGAGGTACTGTACCATATATGGCCATATTTTATGGGAATATTCCCTTACATAGGCCTTACGTAGGCCTTATATATGGTAGGTATCTCCAATTTAGGTTCCTGGAATGGCCATTGACTATATGATGGTACAATTAAACATTGTGGTGTACCATTATAACGATCATAACCATTATTACCATGATTATTAAGACATATCAACCATTATACTATCAAAAACCAATTAACCGGTTATTATCCCATTAACCACTATTAACCAACATTAACCCACATGACTAATCATTACATTGTCAATCTTTTGTAGTCAAAAAACAATGATCGTTTGCTGTTTATGTTTGTTTTCCATGTATAGCAAAAAAAATAAAGAAAATAGTTTCTACCTATCGAGTCGGTTGGGGCTTACGAACCACTACTCAAGCACTACAAATTATTATTAACTCTTAGATACTAGAAACTAGATGGTATTAGATCCACTCTACTACTATCAACCAGTACTATTAGATACTATGATCCCACTAACCACTAGAAATTATTATCAACTATTAGATACCAATCACTGGAGTATAGATCCCATGATTAACTACTATGAACTATTAGATACTATTATTAACTATCAGTAGTAGATCCAATTACTAAATACTATTAGTTGGATCTGATTCTTGATAGTTAGCTATATTATCAAATACTATAATTGAATCCTATTATTAACTATGAAAACTAGTAGATCTTATGATCAGGTCCAAGTCTTGTCCCATTCAATCCCCATTCTTCGATACGCCAAGAGCCAAGGCACTGCCACCAGAGCGCCATCGCAGCCGGCGCCGTGAGAACTGGCCGAACCCTCCATCACCTTGGAGGAAAATGTTATCGCTGGGGAAATGCTGAACAAATGGTGATCTTATGAATTTAAATGTTGGTATCACAATGTTGGTATCACAAATCGTAGTTTTATGAATTTCATGAATTCTATGAATTTATTTCATCACAATGGGATCTGGTTGGTGCCCCTCTGAAAAATATTAGAGTTCATCAGTTGGGATGATGACATTCCCCACTGAATGGAAAGTCATAAAATTCCATGGTTCCAAACCACCAACCAGGGATTATTTCATGGGATTTTAGCTTAATTGGTGATATTCACCATGGCCCACGGCTAAGTAGGTTAGTTCACCCTGGTTTTGTGTGCGTGGGACAAGTAGGGTGAATCCACTTAAATAACTAGGGTGAACTAAGCTACTTACGATTCGTGGGATGAGCCGCCAAGTGCTTCAAATGGGGATTTTGCATGAGAATTTCATGGGATCATAAGATGTTTACATGGATAAACCGACTTAAAATGCGAAGTCTATACAGTATCCAAATAGTGGAGAACTATAGTTGGGAACGAGTTTACCCAGTAATTGTAATATGTTTATAGATATTTACCAAGGTGACTTCACCGATGTTTGATCGTTAAATTACCATTTGGAGGTTTCATAAAATGGGGGTACCCCAATTGCTGAATGGTTTATAATGGAAAATCCACCCGAAAAAAGGATGATTTGGGGGTACCCCAATTTTAGGACACCTTGATATTTCACAACATAATTGGGAGTTTCTTAAGTCATGGGGGTACCCCAAAATCATCCAAAATTTGTTATTATGAAGGGGAAACAATGGTTTGGGGTACCCATATTTAAAGCCTGAAATACAAGTGAATGGTTATTCTGTTTCTTATGTTTATTTTATGCTGATATTTCGGGCCACAATTGCATATTTCACAACATCTGACGGATCCCCCAAAAATATCCCAAAAAAAGGTTTCAATATTAACATGCTCTAATTTTCGATGATATGGAGGTTTCCGCAATTACAGGAAACCTTCATTTACCGAATAACTTGTGCAGAACTGTTGGAAATAGTTGGCAAGGCCCGCATCCTGGTGGGCTCCATTGATATCCCTTGTTCCGAGGCGCTTCCCATGCCATTACTACAATGTGGGGCCCCCAAACGATAGCGAAGTTGGTGAACATAAGTCCAATGTCACTACTGTATGGTTTATTATACTTATAACTATGGTTAATGGGGTATTATTTGGTATTATACTTATAACTATGGTTAACTCCAATAACTATGGTTTATCATACTTATAACTTATAACTACTGGAGTTAATGGGGTTTATAAACCAACTTTTAACTGGGGGGCACCACATTGTACCAACAACAACAATCCAAAAGTGGTGTTTAATTAATTTTAATTCCCCCAAAGGACATATAAACCTTCGGGGGCCAATCGATAGCTAAGTTGACTTATAACTAGGCCAAGTATGGTTTATAAAACTAATGATCCCTGCCATAGCCCCCCCCCATGCCAGCATACCTTGGAATAATTGGATATTATTCCAGCCCCATTGCACATGTTCTGGGAAAACATTCCAGTATGTCACACGACATCGGGAATAATTAGCGTAAATTTAGGGCAACCCCCCCTCTCCATTCATATAAAAATACAAGTTGTAATCAAATTTGGTATATTGGCATGTGTTGATTGAGGTTGTATTGCCACAAACCACTAGAAACCTAGTGTCAGAAAACCTTTTCAAATAAGCTCAAAAGTTTATTGGGATCCTGAAAGTTTTGCTCGTTCCTGGTTTCAAAGATGTGCTCCGGCAATGCTCAACCTATCTCAACCTGTGAAGAATTCCTAGGTGTTTCCTGGTGATGCCCAATTTCCCCTGGGTGGTTTAGAGTGGAGAGACAGTGTAACAGTCCAGAGGTGAGCTCTGGGGGTACTGTCGGAAGCTCATCTGGGAGAGGATAGTATCCTGCAGTGTCCTTGCGATCAATGGGTCCCTTACTACGTGCCGCATGAGTTTTGGCTGCTACGTAGGCTTGTTGAATCAGCGCTCCATGCTGTGTCGCCATGATGTGCAGGTATCTATAAGCCCGTATGGCGGCTTTTCTCGTGCTTGGACCGTCGTCGGCTTGATTTTTGTTGGCACGGGCCAGAATGTTCCTCGCTTCTTCTTCCCTTGCTTTAGCGGAAGACATATGGGTACCTTCTGGTAACTTAGCCAAAGACCAATGGACCCACTGAATCCCACTGAGTGAACATTGGTGACCCAATGAATGGTTTGAAGAATCCCTGGGTTTTTTCTGGATTTTCCTGGTGATGCCTAATTATTCCTGGGTGTTCTGACATATGTGGGTGACCTGTGGTTAAAATATGGGTACTTTAGCCAAAGACCAATGGGCCCACTGAATGAACATTGGTGACCCAATGCATGGTTTGAAGAATTCCTAGGTGTTTCCTGGTGATGCCCAATTTCCCTTGGGTGGTTTGACATATGTGGGTGACCCGTGGAAGACATATGGGTAACTTATGGTAACTTAGCCAAAGACCAATGGACCCACTGAGTGAACATTGGTGACCCAATGAATGGTTTGAAGAATCCCTGGGTTTTTTCTGGATTTTCCTGGTGATGCCTAATTATTTGGGTGACCTGTGGTTAAAATATGGGTACTTTAGCCAAAGACCAATGGGCCCACTGAATGAACATTGGTGACCCAATGCATGGTTTGAAGAATTCCTAGGTGTTTCCTGGTGATGCCCAATTTTCCCTGGGTGGTTTGACATATGTGGGTGACCTGTGGGAGACATATGGGTAACTTATGGTAACTTAGCCAAAGACCAATGGGCCCCTGAGTGAACATTGGTGACCCAATGCATGGTTTGAAGAATCCCTGGGTGTTTCCTGGTGATGCCCAACTATTCCTGGGTGTTTTGACATATGTGGGTGACCTGTGGAATAAATATGACAAATGAGTCAAGATAAATAATTTCCTTGGGACCCCTGTGCTTTTCTATCTGGCATATCTTCTGACATCTTCTGACATTCTATCTGGCATATCGTCTGACATTCTATCTGGCATATCTTCTGATATCTTCTGACATTCTTTCTGGCACTCTATCTGGCATATCTTCTGACATTCTATCTGGCATATCTTCTGACATTCTATCTGGCATATTTTCTGATATCTTCTGACATTCTTTCTGGCACTCTATCTGGCATATCTTCTGACATTCTATCTGGCATATCTTCTGACATTCTATCTGGCATATCTTCTGACATTCTATCTGGCATATCTTCTGATATCTTCTGACATTCTTTCTGGCACTCTATCTGGCATATCTTCTGACATTCTATCTGGCATATCTTCTGACATTCTATCTGGCATATCTTCTGATATCTTCTGACATTCTTTCTGGCACTCTATCATGGGCGATGAAACAGCACATAACAGATCATAACAGCACATGTATGCACATGTCATCACTGTTCATCTATTGTCAAAAATTGTCATCTATTTTTCAAGTGATGGTTCAAAATCTATCATAACTTATCATCTGAGTTTATATGCCCATCAATAGCTAATTATTCTGAGGTATGTTGACACAAATTATTCCATACAAGATCTGACATAGAATAGACCCCCTTAGCAGAATAATTAAAAATAGGCCTAAAACTATTTATTCCAAATCAATTATTCCTGATGTGACATGCCCCCCTGGAATAATTACCCAAGGTAGGGGCCATTAAAACTATAGTAGTTGGCCTAGTTGGTTTATGAACCTAGTTAACCTACTTATGGTAGATATCCCTGGCGTATTCACGGGCTTTACACACCAACTTATAACAGGTTGGGTCATCTTGCAGGAGAATTAGCCATGAAAATTGATGGAAACATGGAGATGTTCCCTGAAAAATGGTGGAGATGTTTCCCTGAAGAATGGGGGAAACACATGGCGATTGAACATTGACAAAGGACGGTCAATCTGTGGTTCTCAACGATCTCAACGTTTAGATCTTCACCAGTACCCGCAAGGATGAGCTTGTTCCTCGATTTCCATCAGCATTTTTTCAAGTACAAATCGACACATGAACCTACTCATCAAGCTTGACCTTGATATCTTGGTGAAGACTCCAGTGGTAGTTGATGAAATTTAGACAATTTTTAAGCCTTGTGAATGGCTCGTGATGTTCTCTTTTTGCGCTGTAAATCTCCATTGTCTGAGCTGGGAAATAAACAGAAAATGCCATAGTCATCCTTAGAACCTGAGCGCATTCAGTCGTGTAGAAATGTTCATCATTATCGTCACTGTCATGATTATGTTCAATTTTCCCATACAGGATGGTGCCCCCCAGTTATAAGTTGGCTTATAACCCCCACTAACTACAGTTATATCTACCATAGACCATAGTTAAGCCACTTATATCTCAACTTAGCTATCATGGGGGCCCCATCTTGTATAATTGTCTAACATAATTACTCCATTAATAAAAAAACAAACAGTTGCCAAGGAGGCTTCACCAATTCTCGATCGTTGAATCACCAATTTTTGGAGCTGTCCACTTTTATTGGGGTACTAAGTTACCAAAATCCGGCGACCCCAATAGTTGAACGGAAAAACAAACATGGAACATCGGAAAATCCACCTCAATACCCTCTGGTAAACTATAACATCACTATGGAAAATCACAATTGTTAATGGGTAAATCAACTACAAATGGCTATTTTCAATAGCTACCTTCTGGTTATTTAACATAGCCATGGAAAATGGCCCATTTATAGATGGATGATGGTTTACCTGGGTTTACTTATTAAAAATGGTGATTTTCCATGGCTATGTTAAATCACCAGAGGGTAACTGTTAGTTTACCAGAGGGTAGCTGAATGGAATCCATGGAAAAACGCCCACGAAAAACCTTCGGAAAGCCACACGCATCTCGCCGAGTTGCCCCTCGTTTCCGTTCCTCGACTCCACCTTCACAAGCTTCCGTACAGCTTCCCCACCTGGTGCATTTCTGGCTCCATGGTTTTTATGATGTGTGTATATATATACCATATATATAATATATATAACATATATATATATATATCATATATATAATATAACATATATATATATATATCATATATATAATACAACATATACATATATATCAAGTATTCCCAAGTGTTATATCCACTATTAACCACTATGATTAAGCATTACCAAGTAATATATCACATATCCACTACTAATCACTATGATTCAGAATAATGAACCGCGATTGAAATATTAACCGGTTATTATCCAACCATTGTGAACCACTATTCACTATTATTATCCCATTGTATTCTTGGATTTGCGATCCAGGAACCCCCGAAAATCACAGCTATTCCCCACAAAAAGTATTCCCCGAGGTTTCCATCCGGAAAACAATGAGCACGATTTCAAGCTTTGGCGTCCATGCATCATTATATATCATGTATACATATATATGTATAAATATATATATGTATCTGTAGGTATCACTATGACATGATTATCAAAATTTGGTAATGAATCTAGCCTTCAACACCATAGTTCGACAGGGATCGTGAACACAAACCCTGCAGAGAGCAATGAAATCCCAGCTGGAGCATATCGGGAAAAAGTCTTTCAAGTGCCTTCAAGCGCCCATGTGGAAGACTTTATTACAACATACCCTCCAGTAAATTAGCATAGACCCTGGCAGATAGGGGTTGGAAGATTAGTTTTCACTAAGAATGGGTTATTTTCAGGGTCTATGTTAATTTACCAGAGGGTATTTTTTTTAAAAAAATTGCCCTTTTTGGAATGGTTTTCCGGAAGATATTCCAACTATCCCTTTCTGTAATGGTTGGAAATCTGACCGGAGTTTCCCACTGTTTTTGATCTTTTTTCAACATGTTGAGTCACGATGCTTTCCGCTTTCAACAGAGATCCCACTGTGGAAACACCATGAAAATCATGGTCAAATTATTAACTAGTACAATGACAATTAAATCATGAATTATAATTAAGTACAATGATTAATTACCAGTAGTACCGCACAAGGCGGTGGCGGAAGTTTCAAAAATAGGAAACCTATAGGAGAGGTTGGTTGTTGTGAATCAGGGATGGCAGGGCGAAGCCACTGATGGACCGAAAGGTGCTTGAGGTCTCCTCTCTGCCTCTCTCTTTATCTGACTATCTACCTACCTATCTATCTTCTATGTATCTATCTATCTATCTATCTAGCTATCTATCTCTCTCTTTCTCTCTTTCATCTAATTACCTATCTACCTATCGACCTATCGACCTATCGACCTATCGACCTATCGACCTATCTACCTATCTACCTATCTACCTATCTACCTATCTACCTATCTACCTATCTATCTATCTATCTATCTATCGCTCTCTCTCTCTCTCTCTGTCTCTATCTCTCTTTCATCTGTCTATCTGTCTAGCTGTCTACCTGTCTATCTATCTATCTATCTATCTATCTACCTATCTATCTATCTATCTATCTGTCTACCTGTCTATCTGTGGTGCAGTGTCATTCAGTGTATTGTAGTGTAGTGTAATGTAGTGTAGTGGAGTGAAGTGGCATGTAGTGTAGTGTAGTGTAACGTAGTGTAGTGTAGTGTAATTTCGTGTAGTGGAGTGTAGTTGTGTAGTCGTAGTTGTAGTTCTAGTGTAGTGGAGTGTAGTGTAGTGAAGTGTAGTGGAAGGTAGTGTCGTGTAATGTAGTGTAGTGTAGCGGAGTGTAGTGTAGTGTAGTGGAGTGTAGTGGAGTGTAGTGTAATTTAATGTAATGTAGTGTAGTGGAGCGTAGTGTAGTGTAATTTAATGTAGTGGAGTGTAGCGGAGTGTAGTCTAGTTGTGTAGTTGTATATAGTTGTAGTGTTGTGGAGTGTAGTGTAGTGTAATGTAGTGTAGTATAGTGGAGTGTGGTGTAATGTAACGTAGTGTAGTGTAGTGAAGCGAAGCGGCGAAGCGACATCTGAACCTCCAAAAGTGGCGCGAACATGAAGTGTTTTGTACATTTTCACTTCGAAATGTGCTTCGCGCCACAACGGCGTGCACTTTTGCGACATCTCAACTTCCAAAAGTGGTCCGAGACCGCCAGTTTTTAACACTTTTGACTTCGAAATGTGCTTCGCGCCACAACGGCGTGCACTTTTTCGACATCTTAACTTCCAAAAGTGGTCCGAGACCGCCAGTTTTTAACACTTTTGACTTCGAAATGTGCTTCGCGCCACAACGGCGTGCACTTTTTCGACATCTTAACTTCCAAAAGTGGTCCGAATCCCTAGTGTTTTGTACATTTTGACTTCGAAATCTGCTTCGCGCCACAACGGCGTGCACTTTTTCGACATCTTAACTTCCAAAAGTGGTCCGAACCCCTAGTGTTTTGTACATTTTGACTTCAAAATGTGCTTCGCGCCACAACGCCGTGCACTTTTTCGACATCTCAACTTCCAAAAGTGCTCCGAGACCGCCAGTTTTTAACACTTTTGACTTCCAAATGTGCTTCGCGCCACAACGGCGTGCAATTTTTCATCTCTCCTGTGGCCAGCTGGCTCCGCACCCGCCGCTTTGGCGAGCCTACTTTTCGACCCTCCGGAGCCACGAATCATTGGAAAAACACAGTGTTTCGCGACTTTCCTACCTTTTCGCGCATCTACATCTTCTGTCTTCTTACTCTTTCTCTTCTACTCTTCTTTCTTCTAATCTTTCTCTTCTCTATGCCTCTTCCCTGCTCTGCTTTTCATCTCTCCATATTGTCGGAAGTTTGACTTCTAAACTTCCTTCGATAAATATTCTGTAGATAGTAGATATTTCATAGATTTGATATTCTAGTATTCTGATCTAGTTGGTGGTAAAACAACCCCTCTGAAAAATGATGGAGTTCGTCAGTTGCGATGATGAAATTCCCAATACATGGGAAAAAAAATCAGGTTCCAAACCACCAACCAGATTAACTAGTATACCATTACATATACAATTAAATCCCATGAATGGCTCACCATGTTTTTGGTGGGATGATCCGACATTCACCACGAAGAAAAGTCAGGTTTTTTATCTCAGGATCAGACTCCTCCCAGCTCTTAAAGACGCAAGTGCTGCCAATCCTCGGTCGCTCGGGCCGGTAAAGTCCATTTTGGTACCCAAGAAACGGACGAGTTTCAGCATAAAGTGATAGCTAAGTTGGGGTTCACATAACTCCAATCACTTGGGTTTTTGGTAGATCTATACAAAAAATGGAAATTATAAACATTTACAAACCAACAAATGTATACTTAAATGTTACTTGGTGTTAGATTTGCAAACCAGAAACACCTCAGGTTTCAGCAGCTCCACACAGAAACCCAACGAAACCAGATTTTTACCCTTTGGATCGACTCGGCGAATCCATTCGACAAAAGGCAGGTGGTTACCCGGCCTGGTTTTATGACTGTCACAGTCTGCGACATAGAAATGGCCATAGAAATAGTGGATTTTCCCATTGAAAATGGTGGATCTTTCCAGTTCGTTATGTAAACGTTTACCAGAGGGTAATAACCATAGTTATGATGCATTGAAAGATGGCAATTTCAGGACAATTTCTGGAGAAAATCAGTGGCAATGAACCATAGTTAATAACCATAGTTCAACAAAATGGATCCATTTTTAGTGTCCATAGTTATGATATGTTGTGATCCATAGACAAACATAGCAGGTGGTGAAGAACCATAGTCCTGATTCAACAAAGATCCAGTGGCAATTTCAGGACACTCAAATGGAGGTACGTTACCATATGGTAGGTACCCTACTAATCAATGGGAATTTCAGGATCCTAAAATGGAGGCACGTTAGTACCATAGTTTTGGCCATATTTTCTGGGGATATTCCCTTACATAGGCCTGAAAAATAGGCCTTATATATGGTAGGTACCTCCAGTCATAATCAATCGGTTCCTGAAATGGGGATTGAGTGAATAAGCCATGATTTACCCTCTGGTAATTTAACATAGCGAACTGGAAAATCACCATATTTTAATGGGTAAATCAACTGCAAGTGGTACAGTATCAGGTACCTCCAATTGAAGTAATTACCTGAAATGACCATTGACAAAATGGACACGTCCATGCCAAGTCCGGCAGATGTTTTTGGGTCCGGTGATGCCCCAGTGAGCTAAATCGCGTAGACCGATGGGGCTCACATAACTCCAATTTCACTATGGTTTATGATGGTTTCGATGGTTTATTGTGGTTTATTATACTTACCAGTAGTACCGCACAAGGCGGTGGCGGAAGTTTCAAAAATAGGAAACCTATAGGAGAGATTGGTTGTTGTGAATCACGGATGGCAGAGCGAAGCCACTGATTGACCGAAAGGTGGTTGGAGTTGTGTTTGCTGGAATGGTTGCAATGGTTGCAGTGGTCACCTCACCCACAACTGCTGGATGTAGTGTGATGTACTGCAACTGTAGTTGTAGTTGTAGCGTAGTGGAGTTGTAGTTGTGGTGTAATGTAATTAGTGTAGTGTAGTTGCAGTCATATAGTTGTAGCTGTAGTTGTTTTGTAGTTGTACTTGTAGTTGTTGTAGTTGTAGTTGTTGTGTGGTTGTAGTTGTTGTGTAGTGTAGTTGTAGTAGTAGTTGTAGTAGTAGTTGTTGTTGTTGTAGTTGTAGTAGTTGTTGTTGTTGCTGTTGCTGTTGTAGTTGTAGTTGTAGTTGTTGTTGTTGTTGTTGTTGTTATTGTTGTTGTTGTAGTTGTTGTAGTTCTAGTTGTAGTTGTTGTGTAGTTGTAGTTGTAGTAGTAGTAGTAGTAGTTGTTGTTGTTGTTGTTGTTGTTGTTGTTGTTGTTGGTGTTGCTGTTGCTGTTGCTGTTGTGGGTAGTTGGAGTTCGATTGGTAAGTTGTGTGTAGCGTGTTGTGTAGTGTTGTAGTTGTACTTGTAGTTGTTGTAGTTGTAGTTGTTGTGTGGTTGTAGTTGTTGTGTAGTGTAGTTGTAGTAGTAGTTGTAGTAGTAGTTGTTGTTGTTGTAGTTGTAGTAGTTGTTGTTGTTGCTGTTGCTGTTGTAGTTGTAGTTGTAGTTGTTGTTGTTGTTGTTGTTGTTATTGTTGTTGTTGTAGTTGTTGTAGTTCTAGTTGTAGTTGTTGTGTAGTTGTAGTTGTAGTAGTAGTAGTAGTAGTTGTTGTTGTTGTTGTTGTTGTTGCTGTTGCTGTTGCTGTTGTCGTCGAAGTTAGGGTAGTTAAGTTAGTGAAGTTAGTTAAGTTAGCATTAGTGTTACAGTGTCTACTTTTTCGACATCTTCACGTCAAAAAAGGCTCAAAACCCTCAGTTTTTTTTGCACTTTTGACTTCGAAATGTGCTTCGCGCCACAACGGCGTGCACTTTTTCGACATCGCAACTTCCAAAAGTGGTCCGACCATGGTGTGTTTTGTACATTTTGACTTCCAAATGTGCTTCGCGCCACAACGGCGTGCACTTTTTCAACATCGCAACGTCCAAAAGTGGTCCGACCATGGTGTGTTTTGTACATTTTGACTTCCAAATGTGCTTCGCGCCACAACGCCGTGCACTTTTTCGACATCGCAACTGCCAAAAGTGGTCCGATCCTCTAGTGTTTTGTCCATTTTGACTTGGAAATGTGCTTCGCGCCACAACGGCGTGCACTTTTTCATGTCTCATCTGGCCAGCTGGCTCCGCACCCACCGCTTTAGCGAGCCTACTTTTCGACCCCCCGGAACCACAAATCATTGGAAAAACACAGTGAATCGCGACTTTCCTATCTTTTCGCGCGTCTACCTCTTCTTTCTTCTGATCTTTTCTCTTCTGACTCTTCTCACCTCTGCTTTTCAACTGTCCATATTGTCGGAAGTTTCACTTCTAAACTTCCTTCGATCATAAAAACCTAGTTATTGAAGTTCTAGTGGTCACTTGAAGCATGCTTCCACTGGCATCGCTCCTCCTTCAGGATGGAAAAGACGGACAGGCCGTCCACCCGCGAGTGGATGAGGCACACCAATGGGGTGCAGAGCGCCTTGTAGGTCGACTGCGGCTGCTTTGTGTGGACGCGATGCTGCCCCGTGAAGCCCACCACGATCTTATCGAAGCGTCCGGTTTGCTCCACTACGGCATGCACCCATTCCCAGGCCTGGCGTTTCAGATAGATGCTGAACCCTTCAAAAGACACTGAAGGCTAAGGCTGCTCACGAACCCCTTGAAAAAGTGAATGCACATATTGCAGAACCTCTGACGCAACACGTTCAAAAGGTATTGGCTGGAAGGGGTATACGCATTTATAACCCACATCCTTCCCAAAGAAAGGTTTGAGGTAAAAGAGAAATAGGGGACAAGAAAGGAAGATTACATGGAAGGAGACATGGCAAGATCTCGCGTTTCATGAGGTCATTCGGGGGTTCTACCATTCACTTGCCTGACTGTTGCTGTGAAGGATCTCGGGGGCCTTCCCCTGATTGTGTTACCCATTGTCCGGGAGGGAGCTCCAGGTTTTCGAGCGTATCAATGCCGCTTGCAAGGGGTTGACGGGGTTAAACCTTCACATTTTGGAGCCTTGGCATGTTGCCGGACTTTCCCACTAGCGGCGGCCGATTCTACCGAATCACATTGTGCTCCTCATCCCGGAAGATATATCATCCGTTTCCTTGGTCGTTTTCTTCTATTGCGTAATTTCCCAATATTTTTTTTTGTTGGCCTGTGCTCTTTTCCTTTGTTTTGCACGTCATACTGTAGCACATCCTGTCTTCCGTTAGCTTGGCAAGCCTCCGGCCAAGGCTGTGAAACAGGCCAACAGTTTCGACTCCACAATCGAGTTGCCTTTCAGGTGAGGACTCCATCAGTCTTAACACAGTCGCTGCACAATTACTACCTTCTTCCAGGCACGGGACTTTGCGGTGACACAACTGCATGGCAGAAGGGCCAACAACTGAGAGGTGCCCCAAGTCGGTTTGAAAGCGGTCTGGAACAGCACGCAGTAGAAGGCTGGAAGAATAGCGCCCGCAGTCAGCAAAAACGCTTCTGGAATTGAAACTTACAAAGGTGTCAAGCGGATCTTCTTCCCTTTCTTACTTGATAATTTGATGTTTCAAATTACATGTTTCTTCGCTGTGGTGCTGGTTTGTTCCGCTTTCTTTACTTCTTGTTTACGTTCTCTTTGTTTAGTGTGTGTGTGAACCATCTGTAAAGATGTAAAACTTCAGTTTGACTGATTTTTTGCTTTGCTTTGAGGGTTAAATTCTTCACGTTTTCGTTGTGTTTCTCTTCTAGCTATTTTCTTCAGATTCCAGTGATTTTCCATGGTGATTTTCGTTGCAGCGATTTTCCAATTTTTCATCTCGATCGTGACGCTTTACAACCATGTCGTTCAATGCCGATGCTACCTTTTGTGCTTCGTTGTGAGGAATTGTTCAATCTAGCAGGGGGGGGTTTTCGGCAGATCACTTGGGACCGCTAGCAACGAATGGGATCTACAAGGTGGTACCCCCCAATTATAAGTTGGTTTACCAGTAGTACTGCACAAGGCGGTGGCGGAAGTTTCAGAATAGGAAACCTATAGGAGACGTTGGTTGTTGTGAATCACGGATGGCAGAGCGAATCCACTGATTGACCGAAAGGTGGTTGGAGTTGTGTTTGCTGGAATGGTTGCAATGGTTGCAATGGTTGCAGTGGTCACCTCACCCACAACTGCTGGATGTAGTGTGATGTACTGCAACTGTAGTTGTAGTTGTAGCGTAGTGGAGTTGTAGTTGTGGTGTAATGTAATTAGTGTAGTGTAGTTGCAGTCATATAGTTGTAGCTGTAGTTGTTTTGTAGTTGTAGTCGTAGTTGTAGTTGTTGTAGTTGTAGTTGTAGTTGTAGTTGTAGTTGTAGTTGTTGTTGTTGTAGCTGTAGTTGTTGTGTGGTTGTAGTAGTAGTAGTAGTTGTTGTTGTTGTTGTAGTTGTTGTAGTTGTAGTTGTTGTTGTTGCTGTTGTTGTAGTTGTTGTTGTTGTCGTTGTTGTAGCTGTAGTTGTTGTAGTTGTAGTTGTAGTTCTAGTTGTAGTTGTTGTGTAGTTGTAGTTGTAGTTGTAGTTGTTGTTGTTGTTGTTGTTGTTGTTGCTGTTGTTGTTGTTGCTGTTGTTGTTGTAGTTGTTGTAGTTCTAGTTCTAGTTGTAGTTGTAGTTGTTGTGTAGTTGTTGTAGTTGTAGTTGTTGTAGTTGTAGTTGTTGTGGTTGGTGTTGTTGTTGTTGTTGTTGTTGCTGTTGCTGTTGCTGTTGCTGTTGTCGTCGAAGTTAGGGTAGTTAAGTTAGTGAAGTTAGTTAAGTTAGTCAAGTTAGTTAAGTTAATCAGTGTCTACTTTTTCGACATCTTCACGTCAAAAAAGGCTCAAAACCCTCAGTTTTTTTACACTTTTGACTTCGAAATGTGCTTCGCGCCACAACGGCGTGCACTTTTTCGACACTTTTTCGACATCCGAACCTCCAAAAGTGGTCCGAGACCGTCAGTTTTTAACACTTTTGACTTGGAAATGTGCTTCGCGCCACAACGGCGTGCACTTTTTTTCGACATCTGAACCGCGAAAAGTGGTCCGACATTGGTGTGTTTTGTACATTTTGACTTCAAAATGTGCTTCGCGCCACAACGGCGTGCACTTTTTCGACATCGCAACTTCCAAAAGTGGTCCGACCATGGTGTGTTTTGTACGTTTTGACTTCCAAATGTGCTTCGCGCCACAACGGCGTGCACTTTTTCGACATCGCAACTGCCAAAAGTGGTCCGATCCTCTAGTGTTTTGTCCATTTTGACTTGGAAATGTGCTTCGCGCCACAACGGCGTCCACTTTTTCATGTCTCATCTGGCCAGCTGGCTCCGCACCCGCCGCTTTAGCGAGCCTACTTTTCGACCCTCCGAAGCCCCAAATCATTGGAAAAACACAGTGTTTCGCGACTTTCCTACCTTTTCCCGCATCTGCATCTTCTTTCTTCTTACTCTTCTTTCTTCTAATCTTTCTCTTCTCTCTGCCTCTGCCCTGCTCTGCTTTTCATCTGTCCATATTGTCGGAAGTTTGACTTCTAAACTTCCTTCGATAACTATGGTTTTCATGGGGTATTATACTTATAACTATGGTTAACTCCAATTTCACTTGAATTTATGGTAGATATATCTATACTTAATGGGGTTATAAACCAACGTTCACATCACTGGGGGGGCACCACCTTGTACACATTATCCACGTCCAGTGATCAACACTCAAAGAAAGCTTTGGCAGATGTCCAGAATTCTGGCAGGACATGTATATATATATAATCACTACCCGACCCTTTTAGCGGGGGCATACCCAAATGTAAGATACATTTTTCAAGGTGTTTTTGGAGGGGGGCTTGAACATGTAAGCGTACGATTTGAAGGTATTTGGACAACCTTCCCCACAAAAACGACACCTGGGGGACGTTCAGCGACCAATTTTACATTTGAGTGGGGTCCCAAAAAATGTACATTTTGGCATGGCCCCCCTGAAAAGTAGCCTTAAAAGGGTGTTGATTATGTAAATATATATATACACGTATGTATATATATATAGAGAGAGAGAGAGGGAGAGAGAGGAAAAAACAACAATAATATATAATATTTATATAGCGGGTCTGTCTGAAAATAGACGATTCACACGAAAAACTGATCTTGTTTGTGTTTTTTCCTGCTGAAAAATGATCTGTAACCTTGATCAACAATCACATGTTGAGATGCGTACCTTATTTTCAAACAAACTCTAAATCTGTGCGGTTTCCTGATCTTAAATGTCAAGCTTTTCCGATGTAAAAGGTGGGGTTTGTTGGTTTTTGTTGCCCCAACTAGTTCGATATGGTAAGTGGGTAAAGAGGGTAAAAATAACAAGAATAACTTTGTTTTATGGTGGATAAATAGTATATATTCTTTGGTATTCTATATAGTATTCGATGGTGTTATAAAACAATAAACAACACTGGGGCCCTTCCTGTACATTACGTTTTTGTTATTCAATAGCCAAATATTCTATAAACATCCCATAAATCTGGTTGAATTATACAGGATAGGGGCCCCCAAGATAGCTAAGTTGAGATCTAAGTGGCTTAACTATGGTTTATGGTAGATATAACGAACTAGTTAGTGGGGATTATAAACCAACATTCACATCACTGGTGGGCAACATCCTGTAGTGATTCACTAACCTGAAAATAGCTGCTATTACACAGCCATTTGGGATGCTTCCCCGAATCCTGCCCATTATTCCAGTGACGAAAAACGATGTGAAGTCATCAATTAGAACTCATCCAGACAAAGATATCCCAGTTATTCCCCAAGTATATACCAATTGTATTTTTATAAATCCCTATTGTTCTTGCCTACATTTCAACTATATAGTTATATAATGTTATATAGTTGGTTATCTCTACCATCAGCCATAGTTAACCTAGTTACGAGGCAACTGAACGCTATCGAACGGGTCTAGGGCCCAATCCCTTGCCACAAAAAATGCCTCAATCCCTTCGCCCATCGGGAACAGCGCATCCATGGTCTGAGTTAGTGACGCGCATGGGTCACAGTGTCCAGACAAACATGCCTCCGCACCGCGAGGCCATGGCTATGACGGCAGTTCTGGCACCCAAACGTCCCACTGGTCCAGCAGGGTTTTTCACATCAAAATCTATGGGTTTTTTTTGGTCGATGTTCATCCCAAAAAAATTGAAAATCCATGGCTATGTTAAATAACCAAATGGTATAATATATTATAATATGTATATATATATATGGGTAAATTATAATAATTCACTAACCTGAATCTTGCGGCCCATTTGGGGATGATTTCCCTATACATTCACCATGATTCCAGTGAGGTCACAGTGAGGTCGTTATAATTTACCCAGATATATGAAACATATTGAACAATTATTGCTAATGACCTGTTTTGACCCAGTTCTTGTTCTTAATGTAGAAAACCTGATGAAGGCAGTAAATTGACATCTGTAGGTCTGTAGGTATAGAAATTACATAAAATGACTGATTGAGGATTCCACAGGCATGTTATCTTCTTCTAAAGTTTGGGGTTCCTCTGCACCATGCAGTTGCTTCTGTTTTTTTGAATATTTTTTTTGGTGTATAGTCACCACCAAAAAAATGCCAAACAGTTGAACATCTGGAAATTGTTTTGAAAAGAACATGAGTAAAAATAGGGTGCCCATAATTGCCATTGTTTACCAGGTGTCCAACTAAAATATTCAATTTGATCCAATTTGAGGGTACAGGATGGGGCCCTCAAGATAGCTAAGTTGAGATATACGTGACTTAACTATGGTTTTTGGTAGATACAACTATAGTTAATGGGGGTTATAAACTGGGGGGCACCATCCTGTATATAGCAGCCACCTCATTTTGAGACACGCCCCAAATGGGGGACCCCATGGATTATGGACGTCAAGGACGCAGCACAACTCGCACCTTTACTGCAAAAAGGAAGTTGTGGCCTCAGTGTTGATAGGAATTCTCAGCTCATGGATTATGATCATCCAATTATGATATTATGGTATAATATTGGGTAATAAAATTGCTATGATAATATTGGGTAATCCAATATGGTATATACATTGAATATTATGATCATCTCGTATAAACAATCCCTAATATATTGGGTAATAAAATCCCCGAATCAATGATCACCCTGGCCCATCGTTTGTGAGCGAGCTACGTGTGGATCCACATATGTTTGATGGTTCCAACTATATTAATATAAATCATTCTTAGATTATGTTAAATCACTGCTCACAACTAGACCCCACTGCAAAACGTGGCCGAAGTCCCCGGTTTCAACATGTCGTGAGCTAGCTGCGATCATTTTTTTCCCTGAGGTTCTGGTTGCCGGTCTAGGACCATCTCTAAAATCTTAGCCAACTTGAAATCATCATCCCAAATAATTGATTAAACAAACAGATTTCAATTTACCACTAGCCTAGCTGTTGGTTGCAAAGAGATTTTCGATCAAAAGTCCTGTGGATGGTTTCCGTCTCACCAGGATTTGGTGTGTCAAATGATCAGCCAAGGTACTCAGCTACGTATACCTATCCTAGCCTTACAACCCAATGGTGTTTAAACACATCGTATTTTCCCTATCAAATGACCAACTCGTGGATACTAGCAAAGATGTAAGATTTGTCCAAAACCCGGATCGAGAATTTCGGGTGTTTTGACCTTGTTTGTTTAATAGTCCCTAGTACCTTTGTTATTTTCCCCATAGGAATTACGGCGATTTGCAACATCATTTGTTTGTGAATGGGAAACCTCTACGCTGCAACGCCTGGGCAAAACCCAGGCGTTGCGCGTATATATATATCCCCTGATTCTTGAAACTCCATAAATTACTACTATAATTAAATCCCATTGAAATCCCATGAAATCAACATTAAATCTCATCTCACCATCATCAAATCCCACTAAAATCACCATTAAAAATCCCGAATCTCAATGAAAATCCTAATGAATCGCCAGTTCCAGCATGAAGGATTGACCTGAGTGGACCTGACCGCAGCCTTCCTTCCCAGTCTTCAGTCTAAGGCGGACCCTGGAGCTGAGCCAAGTGAGGGGGTTAGCCATATCTTCTTTGAAGCATTTGGATCGAAAAAGAGATATGGGGATGGGTCAAAAAACCTTATAGCCCTGGTGAACATCAAATCAGCTGGTAGATGGATGTTCATCCAATAACACATGGTATTTATAGGAGCTTATAGGTATTGATCCATAGCCACATGGAGAATCCATAGGGTTTCCTTTGGACAGCATCTACTTTCATTGGTGGACCTTCCATATCTTTGTTGGTTATCTTCCATAGATCTGTACCCGCAGCACGTGCGCAAAAAGCCCCACGGGTCCTCCACTATATTTTATATATACACATACTTTCATAAGGTTTGTTTGGGGATGTTTGGGGTGTATGTAGGGCTTCTTTAGGGTTTCTCGTTTGTTTAGGGATCCTTGAGGGTTTATGTAGGGTCTATTTCATCTCATCATATTAAACACATTCATCAACACGGTACACGATTACCCTATAGATTGTGATAAATCCATGTACAGGGTGGGGTCCTCCACTTATAAGTTGGCTTACAACTTTAACAGCCATTGTCTAGTTCGTTATATGTTCCATCAACCCAACCGTTAGCCAACTCAACCTTGCGTCAACTTAATTAGCTATCATAATCAATCACATTTAAATCCCCATTATTCATGGTTATACTGTTGTACAATGTGGGGCCCCCCAGTTATAAGTTAGTTTATAAACCCCATTAACTAAAGTTATAAGTATCATAAACCATATACTTACTGGAGTTATGTTCACCAACTTAGCTATCGAAAACGGGGGCCCCACATTGTATAGTTCTCTATCATTCTACAGGATATACCAAATGAGCAGTGTTCAAAACCCTGGTTGGTTGATGATTATGGGGGATTATGATTATACTACCCAATATATTGGAGATTACAATAATGATATAGATTGATATAGGGGAATCAACATTCTTTTCCCCATTTTGGACAGGGGAATTTTAGCCCATGTTTCCTGTGGCTTTTCCTGTTGAAACCCGAAACCGGACCTGGACTGTCGTTCAAAACGAATGGCGATGGCTTCCTTCTCCTGGGTCACCAGCGAAAATGGAAGATCTAAGCACACGGTGGTGCCCCAGTTCGTTCAATAAGATGGTTCATAGATGGCTCATAACTCCAAAAACTATGGTTTATTATACATATAATCATATAACTATAGTATTCATGGGGTTTATAAACCAACTTGTAACTGGGGGGCACCACATTGTGGGAAATTCATCAGCGAAAATGGGAGATCTAAGCAACAACATGCAAAATGAAGATGGATAATCAAACATACTGTGGATGGGCCAGCGAAATCCTGCACCACCACCAAAAGGATGGTTGAAAGCCAGTAACAGTAAAGGGATACTGTAAACCACCGTTTTCAACTGGTGATTCGGATTTCGCTGGCCCATCCACAGTATGGGTATAGCCAGCAATGATCACCACATGGATTAAACAATTTGAGGCAAAGGATTGGTGCAGTCACTCTTAAACAGATCCGACAAGGGAAAGCTGCTGACATCAGTTTCTATCAGCAAAGTCGAATAGGGGCCATGATGTTTGTTGCTTTGTGTTACCCCACTAGCTGGATTAGACCTAGCCTCCTGACTTTTTAGCCTACAAAAACCAACCGCACTGCCCAGCTCGCGACCCCCTGGAAAAAAGGAGGTTCCTGCTCAGTTCCAAATGTCGTGTTGCTACGGATTCGAAAAAAATGTAGCATGAGTGCTGTCCATCTTCACGGCCATGGCGAGTGTTTCTGTGATCCAACAACTATGCATAGCAACTGCATGAAGTGTCCTCTCTTCATCCCTGTCATACCTCCACCAGATCTGGCCCCCAGCTATATGGCTTATGTATAGGTAGCAACATGTAGCAACTTCGCAACTGGGATGCTACCGTAGACCGGCCTTTTGAGGCAGCGGATTCATCGGAGCCCAATCTGCGATGGGTCGAGGGAGTTCTGGACAAATACCTGCGGGCGTCTGATGACGGGTGACCGTCATTCTGTGACTATTGAGAACCGATCATCCTGAAAAGAAGGTCTCTTGGAATAAAATGGAATAAAATGGAATAAACACTATTATTTATGTAGAAGACACTGCAGTTTTTGTTAACACAAAATGACCTAACACACTTATGAACATCATCCATCAAGAACAATGCTGGGCCCGCAACACCACGCTATCTTGGCAGTCCAGATCCAGACTCGATGACATGCCGCAATTTCATAGGTTTTGACCCATCGTCGTATGAATCAAGTAGACAACCCCCGCTGAAGCGAAACCTTACATGGGCTTCAGTATGCCTTCAATATCCTTCAATATCCTTCAATATCCTTCAATTCAATTCAATTCAATTTAATTTAATTCAATTGCCCTTCAACATCTTTTCTTCATAAGACAGGGAGGTTAGAGTATGGGCAAAATGATCAACCCGCAAAATGGATTGTTCAGATTTGTTTAGCAACCCAATGACCCAATATAGGTTTCTATATGAAGCATGATATAAAACTGCTTATAATACCCTCTGGTAATTTAATATAATAGCTATTGAAAATTGCCAATTTATAGTTGATTTACCTATTAAAAATGGTGATTTTCAATAGCTATGTAAACGTTTACCAGAGGGTAAACCATATTGTATACAACCCAGACACGACTTCTGTAGCACGATGTGTCGTTTCTGGGTCCATTGCCCCGGAAAAAAATGGGCACTGTTCGAAGGAGAGGTCTTGTACACCACGACTTCTTGGTTCCTTGGGAGATGCGAGATGGGGGGACATCACAGTTGAGTACAGAATAGCCTGTTTTCTCATCTCATGAAATACTCGTTGGTTAAAAACGGTTTCCCTACTATGTTTTGTCATAATCTCTGATAAAGGAGGTATAACTTCCTATAATAAAAAATCAAGAAGGGTATATTTAATGGCTCAGTTACTTTCTGGTCAGTAACCCATGGAAATAAAATATGGCTTTATATGGTTTTATCTGAAAACTGAGGGACACTCCCCAAATCCAATCGTTTATGATCATATTGTGCATTAAATGCCCAATTTCGGGGTACACACCATTTTCAGAAACATCTACAGGATGGACAGTTTTGCCTAAAAATCGAGGTTGAGAGTGCAGAATCTACACAGTTGTGGCCCCGAAATGCCAGTCATAAGCCAGTTATAACCCAGTTTATGGAATGTATAAGCCCATAAAAATAACCATGTCTACTTGGTATGGCTTTAACTGCAACTTGAGGGCGTTGGGAACATCTCAACGCTGCCAAATCCTCCATGTATGGAATATCTACCATAATTTAGCCTTGAAATCACCCAAATAAAGCTTTATACCATAGAGTGATTGAGGGTGATTTAAGAGTGAACTATTTAATGGTGAATCAATTGTGATTTAATGGGATATAGTGGGATATTATATATATATATATATTTAACCAACAAGAAAGGTTACACTCCACCAATCAAACATGACTAGCTGGAAAATCCTGTGCAAATGGGGTTGTTAAATCGGAAAATGATCAAACAACACTGGTGGTTTTCCAGCTAGCCGCATGTTTGATTGCCAGATTTTAGCGTCTTTTCAATCTTGTGGTGGAGTATAGTCCTAAGATGTCCTAAGGTCCTCCCCCCCCCAAAAAAAAAAATAAACACAATTCATGCAGTAGATGTGCCTTGTCAGGTTTCCCTGTTGGGAAAATGCAAGAAATCACCGTTCACCCAGGTGATAAAACGGTTACGTCATGAACTAACCATTCCTAGAATTCTCCCACAATGTTCCAATTATCCGCTAGTTTCCCTAATATCATCCAGTTACTAGCTACTATCCCATCATTTCCCCATAAAATTCCCACATCAAAAACGGCTTACTGTGGGTAAAACAATGTCATAAACCACTCATTGGGAATGGTTTACATACCACCTATTTATGGTGATTTGGGGGATGGTTTATTATTGTCTTACCCACATTCAATTAGGTAGTAGAAATCCCGAAAAAAAACTCATCAACCAGGGTATCTTGTTCATGGCGTGAAGATTGTTACAGCCATGACTTATCATTGTTTTACCCACATTACGGTTCTTTACATGGCTACGGATCAATACCTATACATACCATTTTTAGGGGGATGAACATTCATTTACCAGCTATTTTGATGTTCACCAGGGGTACAAGGTTTTAACACACTGCCACATCATTTCATGGCACACAAGGCTGACTCCACTCACCCCCAATTGCTCCAAGCTGCTGTAGCGCCTCAGCTCTCTTCGCCCGTGTCTCCTCCAGCGACGCTGCCGGTTCCGGTGCCGGTGCCGCAGCAACGCCGGTGTCTTTGATGGCGTGGTGAATCTGCTTCTGCACCTGGTGCCTTAAAAGAAGGTGCTGAGGTGCTAGCCAGACCCAGCAATCCAGGGGGGTTGATGAGCAAGTCATCAAACAATAATGATGTATAGAAATATTATATATATAATATATATATAATATATATATAATATATATATAATATATATAATATATATAATATATAATAAATTAAATATATAGTAAGTAATCAAATATATGTATTGTATAGACATGTTGATTCACCCATCAAAACCAATAAATGATGGAAATAACGATGAAAAGATGTTGATCCACCTTGATTCACCGAGAAAAAAAATAAAAATCAAGTCAATTCACTGATCTCGTTTTAGGGTCTAGATCCGTGGGGTTTACATCAGCTACCTTTTTTTATGGCCAAAGTATGGCAAAGCGGATCGAAAAAAACCTAATGGACCTACGCCCCAAATTGCGAACAGTGATAAACCCATGACGGATCCATGGTGCTGGTATATATGCGAACATAAAGGGGGTATATTGATGGGATCCATGGCACACCATATATAGCAGCACCGTTAGGATCCGTCATGGGAAATGATGGAAACAGATGGTGATTCACAACGGCGGTCCGCTGGTCACTTTGGGATCATTTTTACTCAACCTATGGTGTGTTATGTGGGCACTATAAGGAAGCCGTTATAATATGTATATATTATAATATATATTTATTTAAATATATATATATATCTATCTATCTGGGTAAATTATAATAATTCACACACCTGAATCTTAAGGCCATTTTGGGATGATTCCCGAATCCTAACCATCATTCCCAGTGAGGGAGAACAGTGAGGTCGTTGCTTAGATTCCCATCTATAAATCACTAAAAAAAACTTCACGAGACAAATTGCATGATTTTCATGATAAATCTATGTGAACAAGTCGCCAGTTTCTTCATGATATAGATATTGAATCCCAATAGTTCATATCCTCTGGTAAACGTTTACATAACTATGGAACATATCCATGCTATGAATGGGTAAATCAACGGACTCAATGGACATTTCCAATAGCAAACTCTTAATTTACCAGGCCGGGTAACTATTATATCACCATAAATGGATGGTTTATGATTGTTCCACCAGCAATTTTCCAAACCATCCAGCTATATTTTCTCCAATTCTTCACGGTACCTGGGTACCTGCCATGGAAGATTTTTGGATGATCGGGGACGATCGGGATTTTTCCGTGGTATCACATGTTAGGTGTCAGGATATCACTACTGGTTGGTGGTTTTACCCTCTGGTAAACTAACATGGCTATTGAAAATGGCCATTTAGAATGGATTTTCCCATTAAAAATGGTGATTTTCCATAGCTATGTTAGTTTACCAGAGGGTAACCATCTTGAAAAATATGAAAATCAGTTGGGATGATTATTCCCTGAAAATATGAAAGTCAGTTGGGATTATGCCATTCCCAGTCCCAATATATGGAAAAATAAAAAATGTTCCAAACCAGCAACCAGTCACTATTTACACAATGTGGGGCCCCCGTGAAATCGAGAACGCTAAGTTGGGGCTCACATAAGTCCAATGTCACTATGGTTTATGATACGCAAATAACTACAGTATTCATGGGGTTTATAAACCAAGTTATAACTGGGGGGCACCACATTGCAGTAATACTGGTTGGTGATTGGTGGTTGAGCCACCCCTCTGAAAAATGATGGAGTGAAAGTCAGTTGAGATGATGAAATTCCCAACTGAGTGGGAAAAAAAAATCCATGGTTCCAAACCACCAACCAGATGTTATAACCCGTTGAGGGATTAACAGTGATTAATATCTTATGACCATTAAGAAAAAAAACATATATTTGACCCACACCAGGGCCGCTGGCTGACGGCCTTAGTAAAAACCCTCTGAGAGCCGGGCATCACATTGCTCCCGACGACCTCCAACGGTGACATAACTCCAGGGTATCCTCTGGTTGATGGTTATAACAATGGTTGCTATCAACCATTCCCAAATCAACCATTCCCAAATGGTGTTTTATTGTTGTTTTACCTACATTATATATTTGATATATATATATATATTATTCATGGTAAAGTGGTGTTTATCAAATAACTATAAGTAAGTTACATAAATAAACACCTACATAAATAAGTTACGACAAATAATTCATGGTGTTTATCAAATAACTTATAACGTTTGGGGGGCGGGGCCCACATTGCAACATTAGTGGGATAACCGTTGTGACTGACTCGAAACGTGGGAGGATCCACAAAAAGTATGATTGAAACGGACATCTCCGGTGTCATCATAGCTATCTGGAAAATCCCGTTATTCCTACAATGTGGTGCCCACCCCAGTGATGTTTACGTTGGTTTAGATTCACCCCATGAATACTAGTTCGTTATTTGCGTATCATAAACCATAGTGACATTGGACTTATGTTCACCAATTTAGCTATCTTGGGGGCCCCACATTGTAGATGATTTTCCCATTTAAAGGCCATAAATTAGGCCAGATTTTTTTTGTGGATTTCCCAGCAGCTCAGAATATTTCCCAACATTTGGGCGATGTTTTTCTGCAGGCAATATATGATATATAATGGTATATATAATGACCCTTGTTTTGAAGGTTTTGACCCATGAAATTGAAGGTTGACCATCCAAAAGAGGGGTCATTTGGGTTCCAGGTGTATATATATATAATTTATATAGATATGTTCAAAGTTTGATACCGCAAGATATGTCAGTTTGAATGCAGGGTTTTTTTAGATTCGCACTGTTTACAACGAGGGATGCAGCAAGGAAGGCTGCAGTCCAGTTGATACGTGATTCGCAAACTGCACCTGTTCGCAAAGGGGTATGGGTCACTCAGCATGTGGCTTTGAGAATGGATGAATTTACTAATATTTACTAAATTTCTCAAATATGGTTGGGAAACTCCATTTCCCGCCCCTATTTTTTCTGGGGAATTTAGCTATTAGCAACAAAACATTGACCAACCAAGACCTGTCTGATTCCCGACTTCTATGAGGTGCATTTTGTTCGTGGAAACTCGTCTTCCAAGCCCGATAAATGCCATGGTCGTCATGAACATATTACCAGAGGTTTTTTTGCTTCGATACCTTTCGATACATCTGCAGTGAGTGAAATTGGAGTTATAAACATTGATAAACATTAATCTGGGTAAATTATCATAATTATCATCATAATTCACTAACCTGAATCTTGCGGCCAGTTGGGGATGATTTCCCTTATATAACCATGATTTCCAGGCTTCGGTCGTACAGGGTTCGGTCGTGATGAATTTTACCCAGATTAATTGGTTAGTAGTTGGTTATCATTTACCCAGATTAATTGGTTAATAGTTATCCCTATTGTGGTTTATTATAGTCCCCATTAAACCAGATAGTATAATCCCCAAAATAACCTATCAACTAAGTGATTATTGGTGGTTGATAATCCTAATAATCCCATTATCTCAATCATAATCCCATAATCATAATCGTCCTATTGATAGTCTAATCCCTATTTTAAATTGTAATCCCCATTAAACCATCGCGAAGAAAAACGCGCTGCCACCGAAAAAAGCGCCCCGGTTTTTTGCGTGAGCCTGTTGGGCCTCGTGCCTCGGTGCTTCATCGGTGATTTTTTTATGTTTTCAATGGTGATTCAATGGTGATTGAATGAGGATAGAATGGGAGAAACGTGGTTAAACGGGATTTTATCATTTAAATGATCATTTAATGGTGATTGAATGGTGATTGAATGGTCATTGATAGTCTTTTAATGGAATTTAATGGTGATTTAATTCGGTGGAATTTGGAATTTAATGGTGATTCAAAGGGGATACCCTCCCGTGTAACGTGGCAAGTTGGGACATCCACGTTTGATTTCTGAAGGTTTCCATAGGAAAATCACATATATAATGTATTTTCCAGCAAACCATGTTTGATGGAGGGTAATTAACATAGACCCTGGCAGATAGGATTTGGAAGACTGGTTTCCACTAAAAACTGGCTTATTTTCAAGGTCTATGTTAATTTACCAGAGGGTAATATGCATTGTTAACATGTGAAAAACGCATCATTAAACACATTAACATTACTGTTTGCATTGTTGACATACTATTAAACACACTTCATTTGATGTCTTCAAAGCACAAACATATGGGATTCAACTGTTGCAAGTTCTAATTTTGATTTGGATTTGAACATTATGCAACCAAGAGAAGCTGCCAGACGCAAAGTGACCGTTTGAGGTGGTGAAGTGACCCCTACAGCTGTTGTATTTTGTGACCGAAAGGACTGGTGTTTTTTCAAAGGAACAAAAAATTGGAGAACGAGATAACCAGGTAACCAGATGTGATCAAATTGCTAGCTATTGACTTTCTCAACTACATCCAAATGTATACTGAAACTAGGGAGCACTTGGTTTCTCGGGAAAAAAACATGTTTCAGTAGCAGTAAGCCCAATAGCTCTTGGAAAATGCAGAAAAGATCATGGGCCATGGGTCCTTTGGGTTCAAGGGAATTATTCATAGAATTGGATGATGGGAACATTTTAAGCGGAAAACCCGATCTATTTGATGGTAAAAACTATGGTTTCCGGTTAAGATTTTCCCTTAAACCAATCCATTGAATTATTGAATTCCCAGTTCTATCAAATTCTTCAGCTCCTATCAGGGGTAGATATGATGGTCCCGTGGTCCCTATATCACCATCCCCCCCAGGTCTGGACCAGGTCTGGACTGAGGCTCCAACACCACATTGTTGACTGGGGCCTGGCAGAGTCTGCGACGGCACTTGAGGTAACACGGTATTAATGTGGGTATATGTGGGGATAACCATGATATCTTAAACCCCAAAAGTTGGGATATGGGGCCCCCCTAGAAGTATGGTTGTTGTATATGGTTATATAATGTCTGGTTGGTGGTATCCCTACCCCTCTGAAAAGTATGAAAGTTTTTGAAAGTCAGTTGGGATGATGACATTACCAATATATGGAAAAATTAAATTCATGTTCCAAACCACCAACCAAATGTTATACCCTCTGGTAAACTAACAGTTTGCTATTGAAAATGGCCATAGAAATAGTGGATTTACCCATTAAAAATTGTGTTTTTCCATAGTTTTGTTGTAAACGTTTACCAGAAGGTATATCCACTCATAACTGGAAGTACCCACATGGGCCATGCTTCCGTTGAGGTTTCAACTTCTGTCATCAAGTTCAAGGGGATGCAATTCTGATGCAGTTCTTGAAATCCACTCTTTACTCTCCATCCATCCATCCATCCATCCATCCATCCATCCAAGAACTTCAGTTCTGAGGCTTAGCTCAACATTGCCCAAAGACGATCCAGGAGGGAAAACACCCGAGTTACATATACCTACCGTACAATATATGAAAGGTCTATGGCAGTCTATATCCACCTCCAGTTCACGCACATATTACATACAAGGTGGGCCTTCTTTTAAAACAACACATAGGAAAACATATCTGAAACCACCGACTGTCATGAAATTATCATGCATTGGAACATACCTTTGAACAAGCCACACATTCTTTCTGACACGTTGGAAGCTGACACTATGGGCGGAATAATCATTCAACAATTAACATTGGTATCCTTGGATTTGCTTCCCAAATCAAATAATCCCTATAGCTTCCCCAGCCGTAGTAAATTTCTGGGGAAAATGCGAAAAATCATGTTTTGAATCCTCTCAGCAAATTCCAAGTTGCCCTGAAAAAGGGTTATTCATGTTGTTCAATAAATTTCAATAATGTATAATGGGTGATCACCGGTTTTGCAAAAAACATGGCCGTTTTGGGATGTCCACTATGAAGTCAGTTTCGTGGCTCCACTTTTCGGGATTACCTGGGTTACAGGAGTCTGAGAGTGTACACCATATTTCACCATATTCCAATGGATTATCATCATACCGAATTTTACCATTCAAATGGATTATCATTCCAATGGATTATCATTCCAATGGATTATCATTCCAATGGATATCATGCTTTTCGTGGCTTTTGTTTTGTGGGTCTCCCCCTATTTTCAGACAAACCCAGATCATCCCATTTGGTTGGCGAAATCCCAACCGGCTTCCAAGGCTTCCGTGGCCTGCGGGAGCCATGGAACGTTGAAGACTTGCAAACCTTGGATCGGATCCGCCGCGATGTGATGTCCGAACTTGAGGGGCTGAACGGCTGAACATTTTTCGTGAATTGGGTCTGAAAAATGTAGGGATTCCAACTTTGATGGTTTATCATGAGAAATCACCGTCTTCCATAAAAAAATGGGAACCTTGAGGGAGATATTACCCCATTGTCAGAGCCATATTCATCAGCCTGTCAGCCTGTCAACATGTTTCCTGAACAATGGTGGAACCTTGCCATTGACACGTTGCATTGCCAAAGGGTTTACCAAAAACGGTGCCTTCCGTAGAAAATCCCAAACTCGATTTATAGATACCTAGACCCTCGAAATACACTCCCTCCCCCCCCCAAAAAAAAAACTAAAATTATGTGATAAGTCACATTTTTCATTTATATTATATATATATATATATGTACAAACTGAGGGTTCAGGTATCTATCTTTTGGTTGGATGGTTCCGCTCAAACAAGGTGGTGCCCCATTGTTCACTAACTTGCTTTACAACTCCAATAACTTGGGTTTATGGTTGATATATCTATACTTAATGGGGGTTATAATTATAGACTCTATAGACCAACACACATCACAGGGGGCACCACCTTGTATCTTTTTATAGTTTACCAGGCTAGGTTTTCCATTGATCACAGACTTCCTGGATTTGTTTAAGGTACTTTTTTTCCAAGGAGAAACGCGCTATTTGAATTACTTTTGGTTGGATGGTTCCCCTTATATTATATAACCATTAACCACCGTAAGAGAATACATATACAGTATATATACACATATCTCATCATATTCCATCATATTCCCATTAGATCACCTTGAAATCGCCATTGTTCATGCTTCCCCTGATATTTTACCGTTCTTTCATGTCATACGAATCGTTTTGTCTGACCGACCTGCTGAGAGTCTCACTGCAGATGGTTGCCCTAGGGTCAACATACGAAAAAATGACCCAGCATATTTGGATCATTGTTTTAAGGAGACCAGAGGCTTTTCCACATGTATCTTAGTTTTCCCTAGGGTAACTGTCGCTTTTAGAAACCTTGCAGTTAAATGTTGTTGCTGATGAAGAGTCACCCTATTTTTTGGGTACGGTGAAGATGGGGCTGGAATTCGGTGGGACTCTAAGCCTCCAACGTCTGGACTCATAGCCCACAAATCCATCGGGCAGAGTGCCAGAGCAGGCCTTGATGTGGATCAAGAGGTGGATCATGGGGGTTTCCATATGGGTACCCCAACTTGGTGGATCATCCACTTAGGTTAGATCACCCTGGTTATAAGTGGGTTGACCTTTAACTTACTTATCCATACTTATCCCACTTGTAACCAGGAATATAACCCACTTAGGATTCGTGGGATGAGCCACCAAGAAGTCACCATGGGTTTCAATATGTTTCAATACTAAAATTGTCTAATGACTTGGAAGATTTGGGGGTATCCCTATGACTTAGGAAACCTCCATATGACTACTACTGCAAGGATTCTTTGAGGGGCTCCTAAAGTACTCCATGGCCCTTCCTGTAGACCATGACATGATTTGGGGGGAACAGATAGTCATTTGGGCAGTCCATTGTGCACATAGAAATTCATGAGATAATGCGTGGTGATGCTTGGTGGATATACATGAACCAAAAACAGAGGCTTGGAAAGATTATGTTTGCATTGGACATAGCAATTTTTGGTTTCCCTGGCAAATTTTAGTGAATGTGCAGCAGGGGGGTTAACCCTCGCACGACCATCAGCAGCAGCGCATGCTGTTATGGATTGAATCACAACTTTTTGCTGGGAATGAATCACGACTTGTTGCTGGTTCTGAACCCAATTTGCGTTGGTTTGTCTTATCAATTCTGGCTGAATTGTAATAATTCACCAACCTGAAAATTACCCTCTGGTAAACTAACATAGCTATTGAAAATGGCCATTTATAGTGAGTTTTCCCATTAGAAATTCTGATTTAGGGTAGCTGTTGTCAACCATTTGGGATGATGAACCCCGAATCCAAGTCCCATCATTTCAGTGACGGAAAGCGACGTGAGGTCACAACATAATTCAATCAGATCTAGATATCCCAATTATATCCCAATGATATTCTTATAATCCCTATCGTCGTTGCTTCAACCTAGATTTCGGGGGATTGCCCTCTGGGTAAACCAACAGTTTGCGAACTGGAAGCCATGGCCATTTAGAAATAGTGGATTTTCCCATTAATAGCATGGTGATTTTCCATAATTGTCCAATTGAATGCATGGTGATTTTCCATAGTTTTCCCATTAATAGCATGGTGATTTTCTATATTTTTTTGTAAACGTTTACCGTAAAGGGTAATCCATCATCACGTCATGATGTCATCATGGGATCCATATGATCCATGGGATGTTGCCACCAGACCCATCTTTTTCCCCATCAACTTCTCTGCAGTTATGGCCCTGATCTAGCTTCTCTACAGTTAATAACCTACAATGTGGGGCCCCCGTTCGATAGCTAAGTTGGGGTTCACATAAGTCCAATGTCACTATGGTTTATTATACGCAAATAACAACACTTAATGGGGTTTATAAACCAACTTATAACTGGGGGGCACCACATTGTAACAGTTAAAGGAGTTGTAATTCATAACTGTTATAAGAGCCATAACTTTTTGGTCATAACAGTGGAGCTATACTGTAACTCACTTATAATGGTTATAACTTCACATTACAACTGTTATAGCTTAACACTTAGTTATATAACTGTTCGTTGGGCCATACCTGTGGAGCTTTCACACGAGCTCCGACAGGCTCTGCCGCACATCCGACAGCAGAGCCAACGCTCGTCGGGCTCGGTTGGCCGCCGACGGACTCGGCCCATTCTTCAGGGCTCTCAGAGAGACGTCACAGGTCACCTGAGAAATCGGAGAGACTGGGACGGGCCCCGGCCTGTTGTTGTTGTTGTTGTTGTTGGTGGTGGTGGTGGTGGTGGTGTTGTGGGTCAAAACATAGTGAATCTTAGGAGACGTGGCAGAAATATAATTTATAGCTGGTGAAGTGTACTGATGTCAGCATAGAAAACGATTAAAGTACTATAGTATCTAACCGCTGGTAAAACGTACTGATTTCAGAATTGATAGAAAAAATGAAGTACTGTAAGTATGGTCAACCCAGAAAACCAACTTGGACTTGGGGGTAAAACTATGGTCATAGTCAAACTGGCAGTTGGCTAGAAGAATATTCACTCTTAGCAACGTGTTTCTATGGTTCTATAACATGATTTACAACAAGTAAAAAACACCTAATCGAAGTTTAAGCCAACATTTGTATTTTGGTTGTTACCCAAGCTACTGATGCGTGATCACTGGAGAGCATCCATGGAGGGAGATCATCATCCACAAGGGTGCAGCTCCCAAAAAATCGTAGCAACGGACCTTCGCTCGAAACCATCGTGTTTTATTTTGTTTATATCAAACCGTCCAAGTTTTGGAGCTTCATTTGTTGACATAGTCAGCTGTGGCGACCAAATCCAGGCCGTGAAATTGGCCATGACGCGAAAATCATTGATCGAAAATCTCAAAATCAATTGGTCTGCGGGTCTCCGTGATAGAAAAGTATAGCTCCATTAAAACCATGGGACATCATGAAAAATCCTAAAATCTTTCCAGGTGAACCTGCAGGTCCCGAACACGAATGGATTTTCAGGAGCACCCTCTGGTACACATTGCCATGCAAAATGGCCCATTGATAGACAATTTAGCGAAAGGGCGAAGGGAGATTTTCATGGCTGAACTCTCAGAGGTTACACAACCCTTTGGGTGTAGGATGCGGATGAAACCGATAACCTCTGAGTTAAGTAATCCCACCCCCTAAATGAAGTGCACCCAAAAAAATGTTTTAGACCATATGGGTGGTAGTCAATATTACAAGGTGATGCCCCATAGTTAGCTAAGTTGGTTTATATTTCCAATAGCTTGGGTTTATGGTAGATATAATATCTCATATATTTATCCTTAATAGAGATTATAACACAACAAACATGCGTGAACTGGGGGCACCACCGGCACTTTTTTGGGGGGAAAGGAGGAAAGGATTGATACCAGTTGTAAGTTGGTGTATAAACCCGTGAACTTTAGTAACTATAGTTACAGTATATCCCTCATAAATCGGAGATTTTGGAGTTATCGACCAACTTAGCTACTGTAAAGATCTGTAAAGGGGGCCCTTAATGTCAAGCCTGGATTTATAAACCCCAAACGGCTGTTTAATTGGGAGGGTACCATGTAAGAATCAGATGAAATGACTATTGGAGGAGTACCCCCTAATTCATAAACCATGGTTTATTAATCCGGGGTTGCAACTGTAGGATTCAAAATTCGAACCAAGCAAAGGCCAGGGAACGATGTCACACTTCAATCGCGACGCCATAAGATGCTCCACCAGCAGGTTTGCTTGCTCTGACTCGCCCATTTTGTCCTTGGACTAGTTGCCGGTTTCTCCAAATGAACTAATAAATCCCATTAAAATCTATACTTAATGGATTCCAGTGGGTTGATTCCAATGGTCATTAGCAAGGTGATATAGTCCATAGTATAGATTGATAATATATTATCCAGGACCATCCATAGATCATCAATATCTATAAACCCACTATATCATCTAATATCAAATGGTCACTATATTAATTCAATGGCCATTCCAGGATCCTTAATTAGAGGTACCTACCATATATAAGGCCTAGTTTTCAGGCCTATGTAAGGGAATATCCCCACAAAATATGGCCAGAAATATGGTACTAACGTACCTCCAATTTAGGATCCTGGAATTCCCATTGATTAACATAACTATGGAATATCACAATTTTTAACGGACAAATCAACTATACATGGCCATTTTCAATAGCAAACTGTTGGTTTATCGGAGGGTACTATCTAATGGTCATTATATTGATATAGTATGATATAGTCCAGGTTCTTCAACGTGACCCTTTTCAGGCAATATTTTGTGACCTCGAAAAAAACGATGTTTTTTTCAAGGTCACGAATTGAAGAACCAGGTAGTATATAACTTTATAGGACCACAATAGGGTGAACTTATGCAGACTACAATACAGTATAATATATTATGTTAATATAATTACGTGACTATATCATACTACAATTAAAATAACTAGAAAACTCATTAAATTCCATCCAAGACCATCGGAACAAACACTTCCCATCTGGGCAAATCAGCATAATTCATTAATCTGAAATGTTTGATTCCAGTGAGGTCACAGTGAGGTCGTGATCAGATTTATCCGGAACAATCCCCAAACGAAACGTGGTAAACGTGGGATCCTGTCGGCAGGCTTCCCGTTGCTCGGAGAATATGAGCATTGCTGGACTTATCAAAAATGGTCTTGGAAAATGGTTAGATCATTTGCATTGCCGGCTCATGGACTATGATAAACCACTATATATCTGAGTAAATAATTATAATTCACTGACCTGAATTAAGGCCACCAACTTTTTGCGGTCCCTGCCCACCCCCCAGCTGACCTGAATTAAGGCCATTTGGGGATGATTTCCATTATTAACCATGATTCCAGTGAGGTCGCAGTGAGGTCGTTGTAATTTACCCAGTAAATATGTGGTAAAACACTTCAAAATCGGTGTTTCTGAAGAAAATCAAATCCATGAAGCAATGAAAGATGTAAAATCCCTTCACATGTTTCATTTCATATTTCATCATCCCAAATCGTTTTTTTGAAACTTAAGAAAATCACAGCCTTTCTGCCCCATAACCGACCTACATGTCCACATGTTTTTCCACATATCATTCCACCCCCATCCATCTGTCGCCATGTTTCACAAGCGGTGATTAGCGCACTGTATGTGCAAACATCCAGCTTCAGCTGCAAGATTTGCATTTTCTCGGCCAAACAAAGTGCCCATTCCCAAGCCCCTCCTTTTTCGCAGGCGCTGATTGCCACCTCGCTGGTGGCAAGGTGAAGTTCCACTTTTTGAAGATCTTCAAAAGTAGTTTCAACAAGAAAAAAGATCGTGTTTGAGAGTGGAAAAAAAGGGTTACCGTTAAATCACCACTACACCATCAAGAACCATAAAATCCCCATCAAATACAATCAATTTCTCATTAAATCCCATAAAATCCGAAATGTCAACCATTTTTCCAGCCCACATTGTGGGACGTTCTCGTGGTTTTCAGCTGTTCTTCGGCGTCCAACAGGAAGCGAAGCGCTTCCTGCCACTTCTTGCCGTTCTCGCAGGCGCTGATGACCTGACTTGAAGAGGATCATCCCAGAAATATATCCATAGTAAGTAGTAGCTATATATATATATACACATACACATTGTGTATGGTTATTGAATATCTATGTATAAATATACTGGAATTACTGAAGGTGCAAGATCTCTATAAGACTATCCAGGTTCTTCAAAGTGAGCCTTTTGAGGTGGTTAAGTGACCCTTAAAATGGGGTATTTTGTGACCTCGAATTGATGCTTATATGTATATACATATGTATATAGTATATATACAGTATCATATATACGTATATATATATACTGTATGGATAAACACAGTGTGTATACAGTATCTATGGAGAAATATAGATACATCAAGCTCGTTACTATGGTTTATAAGTCATCTACTAAATAATGGATCATAATTACATAACTCTAAACATATTCAGGATTATGAGGGATATTACGAACTAGTATCTATAGTTAACGGATTTATAAACCAACAAACATATGAGTTCAGTCCTTTACCGCAAAAAATGGTGGTGCCCCCCCAGTGATGGAACGGTGGTTTCAAAACCATAGTGACGAGTTCGATATGGATTATCCCATCTATAAATGGGTGAAGCAACAAACGGGTGTTACAAAGCGCCATCGGTTTACTGGTGATGATCACCAGAGTTGCTTATATACTATATACATATATATATATATTTATCATGTATAATTACATATGTGTATTAAATTGTATATATACAATATATATATATATACACATCACATTACATAAACCATCATAACCCATTTTGATTACATAATGGGATCACCCATTTTTCATGGAGACTTACGATCACCAGGCTTACGAAGACTCGTTGCGATCGGGATCCGCCAAGTAGCTGGGATGGCTGGGATGGCTGGGATGGCTGGGTGACTGGGAACCAGCAACGAATTCGCTGCGCTATCTACCACTCTACTGAAAGTATCTTATAGTAACCTCCAAAAATATACAAACAAACAAAAACCTTAAATAATGGTCAACTACATGTTTATCTTTGTTTTGGTGGTTGCATGTGGTTGCTGTAGCCATTTACCCCCTGTTACTAATCTTTTAGCTACCTGCCTCCCATAACCAACCCCCAAAATCATGTCGGGTAAAATGACTCTAGCCATGGTGAATCTCAGATACGATGGCAAAAAGAACCCTAATTTTCAGCTGGTTAATACATGTTGCCATTGATAGATAGTTTCATCTTTAGTTGGTATCTAGCTAAGGTTGAAGCTGTCTCCCATAGGTCATGGGAAGGTTGTGGTATGGCAATGGTCATGGGAAATGATGATATCTTACTGTGGTCAACAGCTATGGTCAAACTGTATCACCAACAAAAACGATCAGAATCAAGTACCATTCGGTGTCCTCAAATGCCAAACTAAATAGAGGTTTGTAGCCGGAAAAAATAATCAAACTAGACTGGTTGGTGGTTTTAACCATCTTGAAACATATTAGTCAATGGGAAGGATTATCCCATATATTATGGAAAATAAAAAATGTCTGAAACCACCAACCAGTAAATGGTGGCTAGCCACATTTGACTACCGGAGGGTATTATCTATGGGAACTAGGTGTTCCGTGTTTAACTACCCATCTGAATATCCATCCTAAAAATAAGTTATCCTGGCCAAAGACCCCAAACAGTTTGCAGTAGGGAATCGCAAGGGGAAGGTGGAAAGGAGACAGCATAGAATCATTCGAAAAACATTATCACAATAACTCCACATAAAAGGACCTCTTGGATAGGATTTGAAAACGCTCCCAAGATCTTTTCACAAGAACTCTTAATTAACAACATCCCAGAAAAGCTGTCAAACAAGCACCATTGAGAGAACATGTTACCCGGACACACAGTCTCGAACATAGATCTTCACGCAAGACCTCTGCAAAGGATCTCACTACAACATCTCTTGGCAAGATCTCTGTGAGAAACCTCTTGGCGAAATTTATGTAAAAGGTCTCTATACATGATTTCCAAAAGAGATCTCTTGGAAAGATCTCTGCACAAGGTCTCTAAAGAAGATTTCTTAGCAAGATCTCTGTCGCAGACCTCTGCCAATGATGCTGCAGGATATCTCTTGGCAAGATCCCTGTACAAAGTCTCTTTAGCAAAGATCCCCATACAAGATCCCTGTTCAGGCTCTCTACCCAGCCTGTTCAAGATCTCGACATAAGATCTCTGAGCAGAATCTATGTGGGAGATCTCTGTCTCAGGATGCTGCAGAAGACCTCTTGGCATCTCTTGGCAAACACTCTCCACAAGATCTCTTATGTCAGAGATCTTTATACTAGATTTTTGTAAGACATGTGTATGCAAGAGGTCTCTTGGCAAGATCTCTGTAAGAGACCTCTTGGCAAGATCTCTGCCACAAAATCTCTGTGCAAGGTCTCTGTACAAGCTCTCTAAAAGAACTCTCCTGGCAAGATCTCTGCACAAGCAAGACATCTCTTGTCAAGATCTCTGCGCAAACTCTCTACAAAAGACCTCCTTGTCAAGATCTCCGCACAAGATCTCCTTGACTCAATGAAACGAGCACCGCGCCACAGCGAGAGCGATCTGACACGCGCAAAGTGCCGAAGGGATCTCAAAAAAAAAATCCCGCGACACAGCAAGAGCGATCTGACAGGCCCCAAGTGCCGAGAAGATTGCGCGATTGCAAAATTCGCACCGCGCCACAACGAGAGCAATCTGACCCACACAGAGTGACGAGAGGGTTGCGCGAGCAATCTCAAAACCGGGCCACAACGAGAGCGATCCGACATGCACAAAGCGACGAGGAGGTTGCGCGAGCACATGTTAGAGATTCACAAAACATAGCACGCACCATGAAAAAATGAACATCAAAAATGTCAACAGCGACGTTTACCTAGGTCTCATCCACTTTTATGTCGAGGTCTACAAAGTACCGCGCCTGCCACGAAAAATGAGCCCGAGGCATCTGAAGTCCCACCACACGGAATCATCATGTTCGAAATCAAAACTGACGACAGTTTCACAAAACGATGCTTTCGGACCTTTCAAAACGTTGTCCACCTAAATACCGCGCCTGCCACGAGACATGACCGCCAAAACCACCTCTCATGTTGACCCACGCCTGCGAACATTTTAGCAACGTGCAAAAACTGCCACGCCTGCCATGTGGATGAGAAAGTGCGCGATGTCCGCTGCACCTGTCACGCAAAACGACGTTTTAGACCCCGCACACAATGGACATATAGCTCAAAAAACGAGCACGGCGTGCTAGTAAAACGAATCCAGAGAGGTCTCCCAGCCACACTTTCGTGCGAGACTTCCTTCGAAAACGGAAGATGACGGAACGGATGAGACCACCTCGAATGCCTTAACCATCCGTAAACCCTAACCCCAACTGTGGCCACACTGTTTGCGGAAAAAAAAAAAAGGATATAAAACACACAATGTTTGGCCAGTCCAATCCGGTGACGGCATTGAAGATGATCACATCCAAATTCATTCGTTGCTCTTGTAGATCCTGGAACAAGAGCAAGGCGTACTGCCACTCTTTGCATTTCTCACAGGCACTGATAGCTGCACTATAAGCAATTAGATCCTAGATGGCTTCATGGACCAAAACCAAACATAGTTCTTATACTTTTTTGTAGCTTCCCCGAAATCATGGTTTTCCCGATTGGGAAAAAGAAGGAAAATATAAAACTTAAGCACTTTAATAGCACGCCGGAGGATCTGTTTGCAGACTTTTGCTTTTTAAGCCAAAGAGCAAACTCACAGCTGCCTTGGATTTGCTCTCTGTAGGGCCTCCCACCCAAAAAGAAACATATTCCCTTTCTTGATTCCCTTTCTTGATTCCCTATTCTGGTGGATTTCTCATTGGGAAAATGGAAAAAACATCGACTCACAATTTCCAAGACTTAGTAAGTGATGTCCCACATTTTTTTGCATACATTAGTATCCCATTGAAACCTCCACTATAGATGATTTGCTTTTAGAAATATGATGCAGTAAATTGTGTTGCTAATCATAGCAATTTAGCAATGCGCTCAATAACCATAGGTAGATATACTTAGTTCATCCATTTATAATCAATTATAGATGGGATATCCCACTGACTGGGGACTTCTCAACGATTTATGGATGGGATCGCAGAGCTGCCTGCCAGTGATATGCCTTTTCACAGGCACTGATCGCGGTGCTGTAGAGAATTACATCGCTTTCTTCCTCAGGCACCGGAAGGTGAGCTTCAAAATGGATGACTCATGATGTGATGTCATGATGATTTATATAACCATGGTCAGTTTTTGGTAGTCCACAAAAATTGTTTGCTGTTTATGTTTATGTTCCATTTGTAGCAAAAAACTAAAGGATCATTATCAAACCCAATAGGATTATAATGGGATTACAATGGGATTATAATAGGATCATAGTGGAATAAACCATGTATACACCAACTTAAAATTCAGGGTTCTTAAGTCATGCGCAATCTCAGTTTAATCAATACTAAAATGGTCGAATGACTTGGATGATTTGGGGGTGCCACCATTTTTTGAAAACCTCATCAAAAGATCCCAAAATGGCAAGTTAAAGGAGGAAATGACGATACCCTTAAATAGTTGATAATTGTTTGCCGGAAAATGGCAAAGGAACCTTTGTGCCAATCAGTTGCCCTTGGTAAAATCGACATTGAAATGCATCAGTTGCAGCTCCTAATCTTTCGGACACACCCCCGTCTCGACTCCCCTGACCATGATGCAAGGATGAGTTTCAGTTTGAAACGTATCATTTTGGGCAGGCTTTCTGCATGGATCCCTGAAGTAAATGGTTCCCACATGGTACCCTCCAGTAAATTAACCAAGACCCTGAAAGATAGGGGCTGGAACACTGGAAGATTTAGTGAAACCACTAAAAATTGGTGATGTTCAGGGTCTATGTTAATTTACCAGAGGGTATATTTACCAACATTTGGGCGATTTTAAGGGTAAATGCTCGTACATATTCCATGCATGGAGCATCTGGGCTGGGTAAGTGGGTTACAAGCACCTTTTAAGAAACTAACGCAGACCCTGGGAAGCGCCTATTCAAGAAGTCGCGAATTCCAAGCCCCATGGATTCAGGGCCTGTGTTGGATGGATGGCATATCCCGTGGTTAGTAATGCTTAATACATGCTTGATAAATGCTTAATAAATGGTTAATACTGTTTGAATTTGTTTAGTCATGTTTATATGATAAGTAAAAAAATGGTTAATAATACTGGCTAAGAATTGTGTCGTACAATGGATTATTGAATGGTAACTTGGAGGATCATCTCATGGATCGTATGTGGTAGTAAATGGGCTAAGAGAAACAGTTATAAACGAGAAATTTTCTGAATAGGGACTTGGTAACCAGGTTATTAACCACTTACTAAATGGGATGATCCTCCAAGCATGATGTTTGTGTTCCTCCAATTGTTTGCCATCTAGTCACAAGATTTGTTTTGTTTCCAAAGTGAGTGATGAATGCGGTTCCAACATTTATCCAAGATATGTCCCATAATAATCTCCCCTTCCTAATGCCAAAAATTGTTGGATCCAATTCACCTGGACTTTGAGGATGGTATATATCATGCTGGTGGTTTCAACCGTCCTGAAACATATTTCAAACAAACAGCCAGAAGAATCTAGCCCTGCAAGATCAAAAACCCTGCAAAAAAAGTGACCCATGAACAGCTACATCCGGGATTTTTAGGCTGGTATTTTGAAAAGAGGAGGAATGGAGTACTTGGAGGATCATCCCACTTAGTATTTGTCCCCATTCTGTGGGTTATCCCATTATTCTAAATGGGTGAACTAACCATGCTTAACAACCAGTTGCGATCCCCAGGATGATTCCTCCAGTGACCACTAAATAATCCATTATGGTATTATATAATCATGATTAGCAATAACGAACCATTATACATTTTGTCAAATACTACTGTTGATGGAAGAAATTCTGCACCACTTTCAAAGGCCTACACTTGAAACCTCGCGCTCCTAATTTAATATTGTTTCAAGACACAGTGATCAAAATGGATTTGCGCGAGTGACGGAAATCCTGCACCACCTGTTAACATGTCATTCAACATTGAGCTTGAGGGTGCGGAGGTGCAAGTTATGCATCAGCAAATGTAAGATTATAGAGGTGGCGCAGGATTTCTTCCACCCACCGTATCAAGCCATTAAATGGGATGATCCTTCAAACACTATCTATTCACTCTGATCCTTCGATCATCGCCTATCCTCTGCAGTCGCCCAAGGGAGTCGCCCTTGGTGCCAAGTGGCATTGAGACCTTCCAACTCGCTCAACAATGCCAGAGCCTCCTGCCACCTCGCTACGGGTACCCAAAAATTGCGATGCTATAATAGTGGTTATGGTTATATAATACTGGTTAATAATAATAGTGGTTATACAGAAGTTATACAATAGTGGTTATATAATAGTGGTTATGTACCTGTTTCTTCAACGCGTGACCTTCAAAAAAGCATCGTTTTTCGAGGTCACAACATAGCCCATTTTAAGGGTCACTTAACCACCTGAAAAGGGTCACTTTGAAGAACCTGGGCTATATTCCATAGTGGTTAATAATGGTTAGTAATGGTTAGTCATGTTTAGGTATGGTTGGTAATGGTTAACAATGGTCAACAATGGCATCAAAGCTGGTGCCCTCCCCGGTGAGTTTTTGTTGGTCTATTGGTTTATAAACCTCATTAAATTAAGTAGTTCCAGATATCTCTGTAAACCCTAGTGAAGTTGGAGTTTAAAACTAACTTAGCTACCTATGGGGCACCAGGCACCACCTGCACCGCAAAACATGGACCCACTTTTAATCATCAACACACCACAATTCATCCAAATCATTGAATACCGTGTTTTTGTTCCATCAAATCCTCCTATGAAACATCATTAAATCCTAATCAAATACCAGTAAATCCCAAGAACTTTCGGTAGTTCTGAACGTCAACATGCCGCTGATCCTGAAAAATATGTCAGTCCCATATCGTGCGTCCCCGGTGCACCTGCCATTCTTTTCACATGCGCTCATGGCAGCTGTGTAGGTCACCCGGTTGCCTTGAAAGGAACCTTGGTGGGCCATCGGAAAAACCGCTAGCTCATCCTACTTCCATACTTCCACTTACCCTCTGGTAAACGTTTACATAACGATTTGGAAAGATCCACCATTTTGAATGGGTAAATCAACTATTTAACTATGGCCATGTTCAATAGCAAACTGTTAGTTTACCAAAGGGTAGTAGATTACATCCCGTTGATCTGGTGGGATAGGGTGAATAAGGGGTGAATGCAGTCATAACTGGTGCTTCTTGACATGTTATAACCAATCCACTTGCTAAGTCAGGTGAACCAGCAAGTACTGCGGTTGTTTTGGGATATTCAATGATTTCATGGCAATCAATCTCTGGTTGGTGGTTGAGGCCTACCCCTCTAAAAAATATGGAAGTCAGTTGGGATGATGACATTCCCAACTGAATGGAAATAAAACAAATGTTCCAAACCACCAACCAGATCTTAAATATCCTGCAAAAGTAGCTGGGAACTGAAGAAAAATATATGATACAGTACTGAGACGTCAGATGCCCAGCCGTGGACAAATGCGGCGTAGCCCAGCCGTGATTGCGAAGCCCATCATGGGACAAAATGCGGCCAAAAACCAGTGGATGTTTGAGGTTTTTTGCGGTGGGCAAAGCCTTTTTTCTGCGATTCTCAGAGAATGGATTCAACATTTATCCAACAATGTGGGGCCCCCAAACGATAGCTAAGTTGGGGCTCACATAAGTCCAATGTCACTATGGTTTATTATACGCAAATAACGAACGATCGTATTCATGGCTGGTTCATCTAAACCAACGTTCACATCACTGGGCGCCACATCAAGTATTGATGATTCCCCGTTGATTGTGATCATCCCCAATTATCCCTACAATGTGGGGTCCCCCAGTGATGTGAACGTTGGTTTATAAACCCCATGAATACTATAGTTATAAGTATGATAAACCAAAGTTATTGAGGTTATGTTCTTCACCAACTTAGCTATCTTGGGGGCCCCACATTGTACTAATATATAGTATAATATCCTATGATCATCAAATAATAATCAACCAACATGGATTGTGATAATCCCCAATATATATATATATATAATTAGTAATATTTAGCAATATAACATCATATAACCCAACAAGTGTCAAACACTGCTCTTGGATGTGCCGGCCCCAGGCATCGTAAAGGTCGTGACGGTGGTTTGCAACCCATAGAAAAAGCCTTTTTAAAAATCATAGAAATCTAGGTGGTTTGACTAACAAAATCGTGTAGTGTATCCCCAAAATTGATTGTTAATCACACTTTTCCGTACAAGGTGGTGCCCCAGTTCGTTAGCTAAGTTGGTTCATCACATTGTAGAAACATGGCCATTCGGCGGTCAGTAGATTGCTACCATCGCGTGCAAGGTGGTGCCCTCCTGATATGCAATCGTTGGTTCCCCAACCGTTCACCCAGAAACCAACTTGGTGTACTTGGGGCCCCGTAATACATGTAATATTGGTGGTTTAATCAGACTTGCTGGCGAACTAGCCACGAATCCGTTACAGTAGGTTGGATAAAACACTAGCTATAAGATTAACCTTACTTGCCACTGATAACATCTTATAACCAAGGATATAACCCACTTAGGGTTCGTGGGATGAGACACCAAGTAGCTAAACCACCATTTTCCGAAGGAAATGCAAGCAGTTTTGCGATTCGTACGTGCCATTCCCACTTGGAGTTGCTGGATTTCCCAGCTGGAAAAATGCCAGGCAAATCATCGACAAAACCGCAAATCCAAAAAGATCGATATAAAATCCTCCATTTATAATCATGTATAGGTGATTTTTCTCATTAGAACCTTCATTTATAGTGGATCTTCCATTTTATCCCCACTTTATACCTCCATCCAAGCCATCCAAGACACTCGCTTTCAGCCGTTGCAGCAGCATCAAGGCTTGTTGCCAGAAGCCTCTGCCACAGGCACTGAGAGTCGTGTTGTAGGACACCTGGACCACGCGTTAGGATCCCCCGGTACACGAAACCATCAGAAAATTGTTATGCTTTAACCAAGAAGAAATTTATAGGTGCTGTCCGAAAAAGAAAGATACCCTCTAGTAATTTAACATAACTATTGACAATACCCCATTTATAGTTGATTTATCCATTCAAATGGGGATTTTCTATAGCTATGTAAACGTTTACCAGAGGGTAGGGGAAAACAACTCTATACCTGTACCTACTAAGCAACTCCAGGACGCCACATCAGTCTCCATTTTTTTTCCTTGGAGTTCACTGAGAAACTCAGAAGCTTCTGGCCATTTGCCTTGCAGCTCCTGGCTGTTTGATCACCCAGCCCAGTGCCTCTTTTTCCCATCTTTCGATGGGGTTTCACAAAATGAGGCATCCCCAAAATCATGGTTGTTTCAATACTAAAATGGGCGAATGACTAGGATGACGACTGGGTATATACCACCAAGTTAGGAACCCCCCAATCATGCTTGACAGCAACCAGCTTGTTGGGTGGGTTTGGGAAGATTTCTCCTGCAAAAAAATCACCCGAATCCGAGACGTGGTGCGGCAGGGAAACGAATAGAACTTTAGGACCCCCTGATATCTTCCATAGTTTTCCAGCCAATTCCCAAAGCAATCAATTGACTCAAGCAAATCTCAAAGTGTCAAAAGAGTTGAGGACTGAGTTGTGTGTGAAGACATCTGGCATTATGTCGGTCATTGTGTCCATGGTTGAAGCCAAGCTTATTGAGCTTGGCCATGCCGACACACGGCCACAGTTGTAGATCAGCGAATTGAACAGAACCTGGCCAGAGAATCGATCCCTCTTGGGTAAAAATGGTGCGTTCTTAGCAGGGTATGATGTATCCCTCCACCAACGTGGTGATGGTAATTAACCTACTTGGATGCGCATCGTCAATAACTGGCACCTGGTACACCATATGCAACGGGCTGCGATATGGTGCCCGAGGATGCAAACAGGTACCATCCCAATCCGATGTATCACGTGTTTATTTTTTGGGGGTACACCACGACAATTCATCAAGAAAGTCTATTAATCATTATTAATCCGACATTGACATCAACATCCTTTTAAAAGTTACGTAAGTTCCTTCAAATTACCACATTTTACGAGCGACTTTACACTGGCACTTCACCCTCCAAGCACCTGCAACGGTTCCCCCGTAGAAAACCCCTCTCCTCATCAGCTCTCAACTGCTGGGCTCCGGCGCGGCTCCAAACGTTGATGCCTCGCTGCCAGAGACCAAAAGGCAGTGAGGCGACCAGACTGGTGAAGACCACCACGTTGCTCTGCAACATCCTTGGAGCGTGAAAAAAAATATGGGAAGATTGGAATATAATGGATACTCTCTGGTAAACTAACATAGCTATGGAAGCTATGGCCCATTTATAGATGGTTTACCTATTAAAAATGGTGATTTTCTATGGCAAACTGTTACTCATTACCAGGGGTATGGAGTGATATGCATGGATAACCCAACTATGAAATTGTGTTGGTCTTATATCATACCAAGAATAGATTGATGATAAAAAAATCCCATATGTTCTTAGGAATCCCCATGCTGAATCAATCATCATGGGTATATAAACCACTATGAACATCGATTTATGGGAAAACAACATATCAATTTCCCTATATGGAGGATTCCGTCTTGTCATGAGGGTAGCCCCAAATCATCCAAGTCATGACCATATTAGTATTGAAACCCATGGTTTTGGCGATCCCCCATTTCAAGAACCCCCCAGATAATGGAATGAAGGGATTTAAAATGATATGACATGTGACATATAATAAATGAGGACCTAACTTGATCTAACTTAGAACCTAAGTGATCTAAGCAGCAACAAAAACATCGATTTAACCTCTGATGTCATCAAACATGGCTTGCTGGAAACTCCACCATTTAATACCTTTTTTATATATGTGTTGTTCCCAGAAAAAACACAACTCCATTCACAATATACTTACTGTAGGCTATTTTCGATAGAGATCTTTAGTGGCAAGAGCAAATAAAACTAAGCTACTCAACCAAAGTTTACCCAGCTCACACACCGCGCTGCTTCCGTTCTTTCTGCTTCGAGGAGCAAAGAGGCGCAAACCGTTTCGAGTGTTCAAAATCCCATGGTTTTGGGGGTTGAAAATGCATAAAAACATATACCCTCTGGTTATTTAACATAGCCATGGTATAGATGGCCCATTTATAGATGGTTTACCTATGAAAAATGGGTGGATCTTTCCATGGCTATGTTAAATAACCAGATGGTAAAAGCCACTCAACACCTAGCATTCATCGTACGTGACACTGATTTTCACCAACCAGTTATTCAACCAAGGTATACAATGTGGTCCCCCCACTGCCACTTCTAACTTCGGGAAACCCCACGGGAAACCCCATCCGACCAGCTGCATATATCTACCAATATCATCCAATGGTCCAAGATCTACTGCAAATATGAACCATGTTGTAAACCGTTCAAATGGCTATCAACTTACCTGGGGGTCATCAGATTCTTCTTCGGCCACACATTGTCTACCAAACTTAAAAAACCCAGCCTCCATCCTCTCAGATTGGAAACTAAACCCCAAATCTGGCAAAATCACTTTGGAGGTACAAGGTGGTGCCCCCCAGTTATATCTACCCTGTTTTGTAACCTCATTAAGTATAGAATAGTAGAGATAAACACAAGTTGGAGTTATGTGTTTTTTTAAACTTCGCGAATCTTCGCGAACACAGCACCACCAAGCCAACACGTTGCGCGGCTGGTCGCATCTGCTCCGCATGTCTGACCAGGGCAAATCCCAGTTGCCACGAACGCTTCGCGAATTTGGCGATCTTTGAGGTCATGCTGGGTGACAAAAAGAACTTTGCCAGGTCACCTTTCTCGGATCTCAGAATGGGTTAGGGAAATGACTGGCCCAGGCCGAAAACCCCAAGTTCTGTGGCAAATCCTGCAATTTCCCGTTTTTTACAAAATAAAAACTGGGAATGTTCAACTCACGGTTGATGTTTTTTTGGGGCTATACTTTACTTTCTTACCCATAGGATCCATGGTGCTGGTATATATGCTAACATGAGGTATATTGATGGGATCCATGGCACACCATATATAGCAGCACCATGGATCCTATGGGTTATGATATTTTTCCATCCCCCGATGAGTCGTATATTGAATATCAGCAAAACATCGGGTTCTGCGGGATGGTGGAAATACACTGGTGACATCTGGTGTTTTTGGCACAACAGGCGCCTCCGTTCTGCATAGAGCAAGTACCAAACCAGGGAGTTTTACATATCACAGTGATGTTTTCTGTGATGTAATATAATGGAATGTAATGTAATGTACTGGAATGATGTATAAAGAAAACTTCAAAACATATGCTCAACATTGTTCAAAAAAAACAAAATCGGAAACACCCTCTGTCACTAAATTATCTCTATTATATCTCAATTGCATGCCCTTCCTATTCCCACGCAATGATCATTTATCCATCATATCCGCATTAAATCCACACTCCTTTTGTCCTCATTAAAGGTAGGTCATCCCCTTGTTGATGGTCATATTAGTTACATCCTCATCGATGGTTATATCAGTAAAATCCAACCAGTTCTATCACTAGTCTGGTTTGCTCAATCCCCGGTGGGGCATAGATAGCTAAGCTGGTTTGTAACTAGCGTTAATTGTAGATATACTGGTTGGTGGTATACCCACCCCACCCCTCTGAAAAATATGAGTTCGTTAGTTGGGATGATGACATTCCCAACTGAATGGAAAGTCATAGAATTCCATGGTTCCAAACCAACCAGTATAACATTATTATATAGACCAACAAAACAAATAAAATAATCTGGTTTTTACGGCACCATTTCGCTGGGGGGCATCCACGTAACGTAGTTCCCACTATCATCCAGATCAATGAGTTTCCATACTACGTTGGTTATAATATATACATACATACATACATACATACATACATACATACATAACATAACATACATACATACATACATACATACATACATACATACATACATACATACATACATACATACATACATACATACATACATACATACATACATACATACATACATACATACATACATACATACATACATACATACATACATACATACTACATACATACATACATACATACATACATACATACATACATACATACATACATACATACATACATACATACATACATATACATACATATTACATACATACATACATTACATACATACATACATACATACATACATACATGTACATACATACATACATACATACATACATACATACATACATACATACATACATACATTAATTACATACATACATACATACATACATACACATCCCAATGATATTCCTATTAGATCCTATAAGAAAATCCCATTCTATACGTTCCATTGTAACCATTTAAGTTAAATCCCCGGCTGCTACGAAATACCACCATAAAGGAACCTCCATTCCCCATTTCGAAGTGACTTTCCGGCTGGGAAAATACCCAAAATCATCGACCAACCGTAAATCATCGATTACTGGTTGGTGGTTTCAACCCCTCTGAACAGTATTAGTCAATGGGAAGAATTATCCCATATATTATGGAAAGTAAAAAATGTTTGAAACCATCAACCAGATTATGATTATAGTCACGATACTATAGTTATATGATGTTATATGATAGTCAATTGCAGTATCATTATATCATATCCCACATTTAGTTCTATAATGGTCCCAATACTAAATATGACATATTACCATATTACCATAAAATACCCACTTTACATCCCACATTTATAGTCAGGTTACATCCCACTTCAAGGATGATGCCCCGTGGAGTTCCCCACCTGGGTGCACCCGACGTGTCGTCCCGGTCGTCCACATCTCGACCCTCGCTTCATCCAACAGGACGCGCCAGGCGGCCATTTGCCCCGCGACGCCACTGCCCGACGGCGAGGGGGGGATGCTATGGCTTGATCCACGGCGATCAGAAATCTGAGTCTGGTTGGTGGTTGACCAAAAAAGGTTGGTGGTTAATATATGATTAATATACTGTTAATGGTTAATAGTCATGGTTATTATATGGTTAATGATGGTTAATTATGATATTCTCTGGTTGGTGGTTGGTGGTTGACCTACCCCTCTGAAAAATGATGGAGTGAGTTCGTCAGTTGGGATTATGATGGATTATGACATTCCCAACTGAATGAAAAGTCATAAAAATCATGTTCCAAACCACCAACCAGTAGTCTATGATATGTATGGAATGTATACAAATGTTAGTCTATGATGTGAATGTCTATGTGACTGTCTATGTTTAATGTTAGTCTATGAATGTCGATGTTTAGATATGTTTAGTATCAAACATCTATATAATTTTGTACCCAATTTTGACCCTATCATGAATTCCGATCGGATTGAACCTCCTTTCTGGAGAATATTTTGAGGCATTTTTTGGAGATCCAAACCTCTGGACCCCCCAAAAAAAACGGGGATTGTCCATGGACCGCCAAGCTTCATGGTGGGTATAAGTTGCACATGTTTTTTCATGGCCATGGACCAATGGACCCACGGGACCCATGGAGTCAGTTGATTGGTTAGGAACTGGTTTTCTACATCCCTCTGGAAAACCCTCTGAAACCGGTATGATTGGGACATAAATGGACTATAAAAACCTATTGGTGGGTTTACGGAAATCTAACTCCTATGGTAACTAACAAGAATCTTTGGTAATGTCAGGCTAATAGCGACTATGTACTGGCTGAAAAAGCCTCAAAGCCAACATAGCCACGGAAAAATATGGATGAACATGGTTAAATAATTGGTAAATCATCTGCACGTGGATTACTTTCCATGGCTATCTTAAATTACCAGAGAGTAAAGAGAAATTAATGTTAATACAATGGTGATGTACTCCGTCGAACCATCCACAATGGGAAACAAACAAAATATATCAAAATATATTATAGATTTATATAACAATGGCATATAGCCAACCATCTATAGGATATAAATGGTGATGTTTGCACCAAATAAATACAACCCACCAATACCCACCATATATAATAGGGATGGAATGGGAGAGAATGAATGGACATTGGTATCCCAGGTAAGAAACTAGTCAAAGGAGAACATGAGGATTTCAATATATATCAACCATAGTACGGTACTCTATGGTACCAAACAATCCCACAGCAGTGGAAACGTGTCATCCTCATAGCTGCAACCACCAATTCGAGGTCACAAAATACCCCAAAAACGCTGACTTAACCACCTCAAAAGGGTCAGTTTGAAGAACCTGGCAGACATTATATTTGTTTTTTTTCGGGTCTTCATTTTTTTGGATGTGAACTAATATGAATCAAAACCATTCAACATCTAGTGTTGAGCTTCTCATGTTGGATGCGATTTTGAGAAAAATATCGAGGGTACGGACTTAGTAGGAAGCATTTTTGTTCGTTGAACCATTGAACCACCATTTTTTGAAGGTAATGACAGTGAATCCCCTCTCCCCAAGAACATCCTCCAACCGTGGTCAAATGTGGAGCTTTGCCTTTAATATTCCATAGGGAGATGATCAAACATTCAACTGGTTGGTGCTTCACCCTGACGTCAAAGATCCGAGGTTGCAAAAATCAGGTGATACGGATTGAGACCCGACAGACGACAAAGCGCAGCTCGTTACCCTTTTCAGGTGGTGAAGTTACCCTTCAGATGGGGTATGGTTAAGGGACCGAAAAAGTTGGTGGTGTTTCAAAGGTCACGAATTGAAGAACCAGGTATATACAGTAGTTCTTGTTGCAATTCACTAGCCTGGTTGGCAGTCTTTGCGCCGATTTTGCCTCTTGGAACAAAACATTCTGAAAATTATCTCGAAAGCATCAGAGTGGCCCTTCTTCACCTTGGCCACAGAATTCACATTCCGTAACCACTCACAAAAATGTTGGCACAGGTGCTTCAGAACTCACTGGAGCATCATCTGAAGCCATTCGCGCATCCAGAATCTCATTGTACATCCACGTGGTTGGTGTCAATCTTTGACTCTGCAACGATGAAAGCACAGACAAACCTTGGTGCTTTGTGGATCGCCGAAAAAGTAGGAAACCTTCGGCGGGAGATTGATACACCGACGTAATTCAAGCAGAGATTAACTGCTGTATTAAAAGAAGAACGAAACAAAAACAACTAATTATAAATCTGGATAATTACAAAAGTTCACCAGCCTGAAAGTTCATCAAAGTTCGGCCATTTGGGGATAGTTGCCCCAATCCCAACCACATTTTTAAGGTTTTGACGTCGCAACATGAGGTCGTTATTTCAAATTTTACATCATCCACTTATATCGCAGCATATCTCTGTATTCCCTTATACATTTCCATGATATTCCCATTGACATTCCCAATATGTATATATAATTAATTATAATTATATGAGTGGCGGACAAAATTACTTACTACCCGCAATGGACATGGCCAAAGTGGGTGGTCCCCCATCGGTTGTGGAGGTCTGTACTTCCATGCTATCTGCAAAAATAGGGTATCGGTAAGGGGGTGGTCCCCTATCGGTTGTGAATGTGTTCGCACAAATTTGAACATCCCATGTCCACTCCCCACTACTTTAGTCTTCCGCTAATTTTGTCGGTTACTTTTGTATATATATATATATTATATATATATGTATGTATAAATATATATATATGTGTATATAAATATTAAACATCATTTTTCCCAAGCCCATCCAACAAACCGGCTCCAAAAAACCCCAGGGCCAGGCAGATCCCCGGCAACAGCGAAGAAATGCACAGACCTTCTCCTCCAGCTCCGCTTGGTCCGCTGGCTCCGCTTGGTCCGAGATCCACTGCAGAGCCGCGCGCCAGGTGGCAACGCCTTCATAGGCGGACAGCACCTCGGCGAAGGTTTTTTTTTGGCCGGTGGCGTATGGTAACCATAACCTCTGGTAATTACGTTTACATAAGAAACTGGAAAATCAACATTTATAATGGGTAAATCCACTATAAATGGACATGTTCAATAGCTATGTTAGTTTACCAAAGGGCAACTTACATCACGAAACATAGTAATGTGGGTAAAACAATGTCATAAACCACCCAAGTGGAAATAGTAAACATAGCACCTATGAAAATGGTGATGACTGGGGGATGGTTTTTTATTGTTCCACATTATTGGGTTTATAAACTAATTTGTAACTAAGGGCCACCTTGTAGAAGTGTTAAGGTGGGACCCCAAACGTGATGTGAACGTTAAGGTTCAAAATCGAATACTCGTTCGTTATATTCCCCTAGAGGCCTAGTTAACCCAACAGAATACTTTGCGTTAACTGAACGCTATCGTAAACAAGAGCCTCACCTTGTACCCATTGTATACACCATGTTGGGTATGTCGGGTAGTTTATCCCTTATTGATGGGTATATCTGTTAGATCCTCATCTTTGCTGATATCAGTCACTGCTCGGGGCTCCATCGTTCAATGGATTGGTAGGGATTTGTGATCCAGGAGCCATAAACATGCCCTATAGATTCCCCATGTCTGTTGGACTTTCCAGTGGGAAAGTACCAAGATATCATCCACACACCGCAAATAAAAGTTTATGCTTCAAAGCATGGACAACCGGGCTGGACCCTGCATCTTTTTTGCATGAGCCAGTTCCCAGAAGCATGCCATTCGATCTCCTACGAGTGTAGGAATGTCACTCTCATATTAATGCTAGTTTCTGAAAAACATCGAGTACCTAAAAATAATATCCCATATGCTCCATGGTGCTGGAATATTTACCAACATTTGCCCTTGTCCAAAACCGCCCAGTTATGTAGGTAAATATACCAGCGGTTTTGTTTACCAGCGGTTTTGAGGGGTAACCCAATTTTGGGAACCCCCAAAAATGGGAACTATGGGGGTTTAAACTGAAAAGATCCAATACGAAAAACTTTTTGGGACCACAGCTGTGGCTGAATTCTATGGTGTATGGTAGATATAACTAGAATGAATGCGGGTTATAAATACTTATTCATATACATCTAAATAACCATGTTGAACATTTGGCCCAATACTTTCACAACTGGCGAGACATTTCTAGAACTGGTCATTTTACCATGGTCATCTGGTGTTTCATCCTAACATGAATAGAATGGCCCTCGTGTTCGGATTGCTTTTTTGTTTCTTTACCAGTCCAGTTTTTGGGTCCGAAATGTTGCGCTGGGGTGTTGAACGGGTCATGCAAAACACCTGTATGGAGTTGAAGAGGCCTTTTTTTTTAACGATCTCCATTATATTTGGAACAGGATGGTGCCCCCCAGTTAAAAGTTGGTTTATAACCCCCATTAATTATAGTTATATCTACCATAATATCTACCATAAACCATAGAATTCAGCCACAGCCATATCTCAACTGAACGCTATCGAACGGGGTCCCCATCCTGAATGATCCCCATGATATTTGGATATCTTTGGAATTCCTTTCAGAACTTTCACACCCTGCACCTGAATATCCAGCACGTGCATGGGAAAGACTGCTTCCATTCCGTCCTTTGCTTTGAAGTCCTTGGATTCGCGATCCAGGACCAACGAAAATCATCCACACTGGATGGGGCCCCAGTTCGTTAGCTAAGTTGGTTAACTATAATAACCATAGCGTATGGTACTTGTAACATCTTATAACTATATTTATATTATTTGGATTGGGTTGTAAAATGTTATAAGCCAACTTATAACTGGAGGGCCCCATCCTGCATGTTCTTAAAAAAATGATTTCCCAGTGGGAAAATGCCAAACATCATCACCTTCAACAAATCCAAGAGGATACTTATAGTTATATCTTTATAGATGATTTGAGGCATCTTCCGCTTGCTTATACCATAATCATCCTGTAGCAATCCATTTCTCCCATGTGATTGGCCATGTTGAGCATCATGCGGCCCCCCATCTTACCACCACTCATCCCCTACATCCCACATTTATAGATGATTTTCCTGCTAATATTCCACATTTATAATCTCTTCTTCCTATTACGAAAACTCCCCCAATGAAAAAAAATAGGATTGGATTGGCACTTTCGGTTTTATTCTGGTTGCTTGCAATTGCGTTCTTAATTGTGGTAATTGAGAATCAATAGGAGAACAGGATGGTGAAATAGTTGTTTGTACCCCCTATTAACAAACATAGAATCACACATGGTGTTTTATCATAATTAGGGTCCCATTTTTTAAATTAGGGTTTATAATTCAATATGTGGGGAAGCTTCGAAATCAATTTGTTGGCAATATGTTATATATATATATAATTAGATGTTAAAAAGGAGTTTAATCGATTTTAAAATAGAACAATTTAGTTATGAATATAAATATATATTGCTATATATTGGGTTTTTAATCTCATATTTTTTGGCAATAGTTAAATTAGATTTTAAAGATTAGTTGAATTGATTTTGAAAAAGAAACGTTTAGTTTTAAATACTAGAACAATGTAGGTCCCTAATACAAAATACAAACAAACCACCGTGCTTACCATTCGGGGAAGGGTGCTTTGGTACTAGGGTGAAGAATGATTAGATGATTTTCCCACATTTTCCTATACGTAGATAGGGATTCTCTCGCAAATCCAAGAGTCACTGAGGAAACTCAAGGCCCATTCCCATTCCTTCGCCTCGACGCAAGCCTCAACTATCGCCTCATAGGAGCGTCGATCTGGATCCAATCCAACCTCTCCAATGTCCTCAAACAACTGCCTGGGTTTGGTGCTTTCAATCCCCTACCCAAAAAATATATAATCAAATAAATAAAAACTAAGTGTAGCTAAATTTAATTTGTTATCCTTTGTTGGTTTTTAATTAATTTAATATTCAACAACCATTACTACACCATTTTGGGCATATGGTGAAATTAAGATATCATTGTCTCCAAAAGGTTTTACATGTGGTTTATCATTGACTGGGCATCACCACAAAAACATGGGGGATGGAAATGAACATATCTGGATGCCCTCCGGTAATCCAACGTGGCAATGGAACATCCACCATTTACCAAATTTTACCAATGATTTTCTCAGCCGGAAACCTCCAGGGAAACATGAGACTTTCCAGAGGCTACGGTAATCTTTTTCGATCAACTCCCACCATTTGCCCCGCGTCTGGAAGAGTTCGATGGGATCATCATCATCATCATCATCATCATGATGCGAGCGTAGCATCAACATCTTGCGCAGGGTCGAGGGAACGTGGTCGAACGTGAACATCCACACCCCACCCCATGTAAACCGTGGGGCAAATGGTGGGCGTTGTGTCTATATAATATTACTTCTATCCATCATATTCCCATTATATCCCTTTATATTCCTCATGATATTCCATCTATATTCCATTGATATTCCAGTTCTATCCCCATAATATCCCAAGTAGACATCCAACCTGCAAAAATTAAATAAAACAAAAACGCCAAGAACCCAGGCCCCAGCGGCAAGGCTTGATCGAACATGGAGGCTCGCTGACATGCCATGATGGCCGCGTTATACGCCGCAATCGCCGGCAAGCGTCGCTCCGTCATCTCTTCCAGGAGTTCCAGCGCGCTTCGCCATTGAGCGGCAAAGGCACATGCACCCACCGCAGAGGCATAGGGCAGAGAATCCTTGGAAGCATCAAACAAAATCCCAGTCACAAAATGCCAAAATCCCAAAAAAATCTACAGGATGGTGCCCATCCTGAAGTGATGTGAATGTTGGGATGAACTAGCCATGAATACTACAGTGTCTTTTCTACCATAAACAATAGCTAAACCACTTATAATTTATATCTCAACTGAACGCGAGCTTGAACGGGGGCTTCACCCTGAAGTGGATTATTCCATTGGGAAAATACAAAAAAATCATCCTGTTTCTTCAATTCGTGACCCTATAAAAGCATCGTTTTTCGTCACAAAATGCCCCATTTTAAGGATCACAACTCATCAACTGAAAAGGGTCACCTAACGAAGAACCCAAGCAAATCCGAGGGTCTGGTTGCAAATTTCTCTTTTCGAGTTTGGTCAGAAGTGTGATGGCCTGTTCAGGAGAGCCGAGCGATTCTTCTGATGATTCTAAGAGATAAAGAACGAGTCGCAGATTTATCGGGGAGCATAAACCAAATCATGTTTCTTCATCCCACATCGTTTTTGGTGGTTGAATCCATGTTTTCTCCCATGTGTTCATTGTCAATACAAATTCATATTATGATTTACTGTATAGCAACCCCAGAAAGATAGAAACGTGGTTCAAGGATGTTGCAAATTATGATTCTCCCAATATTTTTGAGGTTTCCAACTTCTAAAATTGGGGGTTGCTATACCTATTAAAACTTGTGATTTCCTGTTACCCCGTGAATTACCAGAGGGATCATCCTCAGTACCTCTTTTTGGAGGATCATCCCATTTAGTAAGTGCTGACTACATGGGCTTAAATATACATATTTTAATATATGTTATACAGTATATATATAAATATATAGAAATATATATAAACATAAAAGTTATAAATGGGATAAGCGACGAATCGGGGACTTCGATTCCCAGCGGACAGCCAGATCAAATCTCACCGGATCTTTTGAAGGATCTTCTGGAGCTCCCAAGGTGCGCCTTTTCCCATCTCAGTTGCTGTCCACACTCGCGAATGGCATTGGCATAGCCATGAATCGTCACGCCGATGGCAGCGCTGAGCGGCGTTGGCATTTTACGAATGTCCAGGATGTCCAGGGTGGTGACAGTGGTGACAGTGAGTTATCCATGCAAAACGGAGGCAAAATGAGATTCTCCATGAAAAATTGGAGAAACCGAGGTGATTTAACCAGCAAGTCCTAAGTGGATGGCTAGATGTGATTTGAACAATGGCGTTTTGTGGGTTTATACAGTAGATGGCTTAACTCTGGTTTATGATAGAGATCATCTGATATTATATAACTAAATACAAATATTACAGAGTGGTGCCCCCCACTGATGTAAACTGATGGTTAAAAACAAATCCGTTATGATTAATATCATTAATTAGTTCGATATATCTACCATGAAGCCTCGTGAAATTGCGGTCCGGGTGAGTCTGAGATGTGAGTCAGGTGGATGCAAAAAACCCAGGGATTTGACCCACGTGTTTCACCAGGATTTGCGATCCATTTTTGCACCAAGAAAAACGGGAAGATTCCTGATTTCTAGTGGATTTCCCGACCTCGAAAATCATCAGCAAATCTGAAATATCTTAAACATCTCGCTGCTGGCTGCTAGGGAAAAAGCTGTTTCCTGTTCAAAGCACCGTGATTTAATCCGGGGATGGTTAAAAGCTCAACGAAGCATTTGATATTCAATGTTCGGAAGAAACTATTCTGGCACATTTGGTGGGAATGGATGGAAGAAACTCGTTTTCATCAGAACACTCATTGGAGTTGCAGAATTGGCATTGCTTTTGGGAGACATTCCCGAACGCGTCGAAACGGTTATTTTATGGTTTGGCTACTGCCACTCAAGGGTCGACCATTGACGACATTCTTCACTGTCCGTTTTATCATTTTGTATACTTTTGTTGCATGTTTTCCCAATATATCCCAATGTGGTTTGTATTGACTTTCTTTATTTTATCATGCAACCTGATGTCACAAACGGCTGCGGACCGCGACATTTGGGCTTTTGTTTACCCTGAATCGAGAGATCCGGATTTCAAGTGGATTTACGATTTGGAAAATGCAAAAAATAATCGACAAACCGTGTTGATCCAAGTTGTAGTGTGTTGATCCCTGCTAAAGGTCGACAAAATAGTGGAATAGATGACTGACTGTGACAAATATGTTGTAATCTGTGATTCCTTGCAAGCACCAAATTAAGCCTTAAAAATCTTTGCGTATGGCCTGATAACTGAGACGTAACCTCTCGTAATGCACATCTTCTATAAGAAATCCCATCGGGAAATAAGATGAAATACGGGAACTAAGGGTGGAATCCTCTCTCCAAATGCTAGATTTTTTTGATTTTCCACCTTTGCCTTCTCCCTAGCTCCTAGGGATTTCTTTTAGGGCGGGACGCTGGTAGTTTCAACCCAGATGCAGCTGGACCCCAAATAGGGAAATATCACTGGCTGAGTTCACTTGGCAAATTCTTTTGAGGCTTTATGAGGGAACAAAATCAATAGTGGTATAATGTGGGGCCTCCGTTTACGATAGCTAACTTGGTGAATATACTGCCAATAACTATATACATATATATATATACTTATAATATGTATGTGTATATATATATATGTATAATATATATATAATTATAATATATATAAGTTTACATACTTATATATATATAACTCGAGTTAATGGGGTTTCCGAACCAACTTATAAATTGGGGGGCCCCACGCCCACACCGTAGTTATAAACCAAGTTAGAACCTTTGAGGACCCCACCTTGTATGGCATCATCTGCGACTTCAGGAACTGCTGGTAAGTAATCACCCCCCATATTCTACAGTGTGGGAGGCTGTTCACATCAAAAAATAGTTTGGATTATCTGATGTTTTTGGATTTAAATTGATTTATGGCATGCTGAACGTTTTGTTTACGTGGTTTACCTGGTTACCGGGTCAACCCTCTTCATTTCAACAAACCTTACGGTGCCTCATGGTCGAAAACCCATCGTAAAACGAGCACACGAGTTATCACGAGTTTCCGGGCGGTAGCAGAGAAGAAGAAGAGCTGAGATTTTTCAGCATCAGTTTCGTCTGTACTTTGGCCTTATAACGTGGCGAGGAACCGCAACTGACAATGGAGATATATAATTATAATGAATAAATAATGGTAAATTATATAATTATAGTATATCAATGCATATCATTATTAAATAGGTATAATATACTATAAGAATGAATCACCAATAAATGATTGTTGATTGATGATAGTAATGGGAATGTAATGGGTAGTCAGCTGGATTTTTCGATGTTTCTGGCGGATCTGGGGGGACCAACATGGCGCGGATGTGTTTTGGTCGACCGTAACAGATGTTGAAAAAATCAGTTTTACCATCTGGAAAAGTTGTTTGGCATTTTTATAACCCCATCGAAATAATATAAATATAGTTATAAGATGTTATAAGTATCATACACTATGGTTATTATAGTTACCCTCTGGTTATTTAACAATGCCATGGAAAGATCCACCCATTTTTAATAGGTAAACCATCTATTTCTATGGGCCATGGCTTCCATGGCGAACTGTTCGTCATAACCAGAGGGTAACTTGGACACTTAGTTCTGAAAAATACGACGATTGAAATCCATTTTTCTCACCACAGTCCATTATCACCACAGTCCACAGACAATCCCTTCCCCCTAACAGTCCTTACAACCCCCTTGAAAGCATGGTGGAAGAATCTAACACTTTGCCCCGACATTAACTGCTCAGATGGCAAACGGCAGCTCCGAGGCTCCTAGCGAGGTTTCATGGGAAAACCATCCATAAATATGTAATATGGATGTCCAATTGCCAGGTTGAGAAAACCGTTCTAGACTCCCACCAGTAATGGAAAGTATGTAGCACAAAGTCAGGTTGAAGCCACACATCGTGGACATTAAATCATCATCTTCAGGGTTCCTCCCAACACATCAATTTTGCCAGGAGGGATCAAATGATTATATAGAGGCAAAAAATTACCATGTTCTCACCTAAGACGCGGCTATTATAAATTATTAAAACCTAGCAACCCTGATTCTGATCTTTTCCCATAAATGCCATAATTTGGTAACCTCAAATCTGCGGTTTCTCAGCGGCCAAGAAAAAATTGGACGACGACCCCCAGCGCTGAGAGCACGACCAATCCAAGTGACCTGCAGAAGTGGCCCAGTCGAATCTGAAAATTGGGTACTACCAAATCCACTGATTGATAATCCTGCTTATTTTATTAAAATCAAACCACAATTGGGGTTTAAATCATCTTAAATCCACCCCTTTTTAGACAAAACCTGGTGACCCCAATCCCAAACCAGATCATGGCCATTTGAAACATAGCCATTTGAAAGATAGTTGCCCCAAGTTTCCTTAAAATTAACAATCATTTCTAAGTCTGCTTATCCCATTCAGAAAACCAGGGATATAACATATATGATATAACCTACTGAGGATTCGTGGGATGAACCACGAAGAACTCATTTCAGAGGTTGCCCCGGTCGTACGTTAAGCACCGCGTTAGTTGGGAATCAACCTGCCAATTTTTTGGCCGAGAAACTGTCGAACATTGGGGTTTCCATAAATGGAGGTACCCCAATAGAGGGAGGGTTTCTAATGGAAAATCCCAAACACAAATGGATGATTTTAGGGTAGCCCTATGACATAGGAAACCCCCAAATCTGCTTGACCCTTTGAGGATTCACGGAAAATAGCTTAGACATAGCTGCATAGTTTAACTGCAAATTCTGGATGGTGAAAACACATCTCCTTTCTTGAGTTACCCCTGAACCGCCAAGCGATCCACCAAATTCTAGGATTTGCGTAACGAGCCCAGAAAAGATAAACCTGTTCCATACATATTCCCCATTTCTGGTGGTCCATTAATAACAGCACCGACCAAACAATGCTGGCCGAACCTCCAATTCGAAGAAAAACTCTGCCACATTCTCAAAGAAGAAGGTCACAGCCTGTGATTTGGATAGGTTTCCATGTATCTGAACATGGGTTTGCCATTTGGGCTAACCAGTGCATTAAGTAAGGGGCACAGTATTTTTCAGACAAACCCATTTGTTGGTTTGGTGGCCCGGGAACAACATTACAAGAAACCAGGTTCGAGTATTCTATCACCGTTGCAGATATATGTTTTAGACCCACTCCCCCGAAAAACTTCCATCCCCAAGCGCTCCATGCATGGAATATTTCCCCGACACATGGGCATGAAAATACGATTATTAGAGTTGGGTAAAGTGTAGTGTAATTAATGTTCCACAGATCTTTTCAACATTCCGCCTCATTCTCTGTTCGAGCTGCGTCGGCCCATGATTAATACTATCAACCAACCAATTAACACGAGAAACAACAAGCTGAGACTCAACAGTGGGAACCTGGAGCCAGACACGTAAGGCTTCAGCCGTGGGCCTGTCAGCAAAATCCCTGGGCTGTTGAAATCGTCTGGTTTGAGCGCAATACAATTTCCAAATCAAAACGTTCTGAAGTCTCTCAAGTTGTGCAACTTCAGGTTTAGTAAGAGCAGAGCACTCCAAAGCACCAACTAAATGACAACGAACAATGGAAACAAACAACATCCGAAGAGTGCCAACCTTGAGAGTTCTGTTTCTCCAAATGGCCAGCAGGAACAACATACACAGGTTCGCCAGCGTCCGGCTCTGAGGTGACGGTGACCTGGGTTCTTGAAGATGTCTCTGAGTCCTTATCCTCCGTCTCCTCAATTGTCACAAGCACGGAAGGAGCAGGTTCACTCATGTTTCCTTGGTCACTTCAAAAGCCGGGGACGATGGAACTAAAATGCTTGAGCCAAAATGGCTATGGTTTCACTAACATGAAATTAGATGAATTCAGGTTTTATTCTATTGGCTTAGTTACCCTTAATCCTGACCAGCATTCCAGAAAGGGAGAAAAGTGAGGTCGTTATAATTCATCCAGATTATACTCCATCCACATTACTGGTTCTACATCACCATTATATCCCCACCATATTCCCATCAAATCCGCATTAAATCCCAATTATAATAATACTATATATCTATCTATCGATCAATCTATCTATCTGCCTATATATATATATATCCATCCATCCATCCATCCATCCATCCATCAATCTATCTATCTATATCTATCTATATTTATATTTATATATATATATACATCTAGCTATCTATATCGATCTATCTATATCTATCTATATATATATATCTACAATCTATATCAATATCTATGTCTATCTCTATCTCTATCTCTCTCTATCTATCTATCTATCTATCTATCTATCTATCTATCTATCCATCCATCTATCTATCTATCTATCTATATATCTATCTATATCGATCTAAATATTTATATCTATGTATATCTATTTATATCAATCTATCTCTATCTATCTCTATCTATCTCTATCTATCTATCTATCTCTCTCTCTATCTATCTATCTATCTATCTATAAATTTATATCTATATATTTATATATATATATAGAGATCCATCCATCCATCCTGTAAAAGTTTCACCTTCACTGTGCTTGTGGAGTTGTATTGTTTCACCGTTGTCTCACGTTTGTCCTCTTGTCCAATTGTCCTTCTATTGTGCACGACCGCTGTATTGTTTTCCTCTGGCAAATTGTCTGAGGCTCAAGGCCTACGGATACAGCACACATTGTGCTGAGCATTGTTGGCCATGAACACTGTGAATTGTAGCTGTTATAATACACTTGTACTTTTATACCGTCCCTCGACTTGGCAACATTGTGATGCCATGTCGCACAGGATTGTCCACAAACATTGTCCATTCACATTGTTTTAACCCGAAACAGAGAGTACTTGATCTATTGTTCAGTGCAAATTTGTTTCAAAGTCTGTACATATGGAGCTGCCTCATTGTCCAGTCATCTTGTTGTCGGCATCGTGGTGCAGTTCGTGTGCCTTATTGTCGATGATCCAGACTTCATTGCTCCATCGTTCCTGTTTGGACCATTGTCCTAGTCCAACTTCTCAGATCCATCTTTGTTGCCCTCTTTGTTTTCCGACTCAGCACTTTTGTCGCCACGAAGGCGCTTTGCCGGTGGGCTGCGATCTGAGTTGTCCTCTGCTTCCATCTGCATGGTGGCCTGTGTCATCTGGTCCATGATGTATTGGAAATGGTCGATGTGACCTTTTTGCTGGCGTTGTGGAATGCCCACGTTATATGTATCCAGCTTGCAGTTGGTCTTGTACTTGGATAGTTCCAATTGTACGGATTCTGGGAGCTGGGTTTGCCCGAATTGACCCAGATGCTCCAATCCCATCTGAAAAATTGTGTGATGGCAACAGCTCTCACCAATTGTCAGCATGGATTGGACGTGCATGGTGTGTCCGTACAACCATATCCAGCCTGACGACCAATTGTATTCCTGGAATTTCTGCGCCGCATTGTAGTCAATGACCATTGTCCTCAGATTGTTGCGCTCCCACTCAGTCAGCCTATAGTTGTAAGGAGAGTGCACCTGAATGACCTGTACCGAGTAGCCACGTTGGAAGCTACTTGTCTTCTTCACCGCATTGTGGTGTGCCAGATTGTGGGGTTCAAAGCTGACTGCCATGACCACAGTCTGATCACATGCCATGGTGTGACCCATACTCTGGTGATAGGCCAACCATTGTACTGCTTCCTCACTTGTCGGAAGCAGGATCAATTGTTCCCATCCATTCTGTGCACGGATGCCACCCGGGAGCTTCTCAATTGTCCCATTGTCATTCACAAGAGTCTTGTATTCCGGCATTGTCATTGCCGTGAACCAGTAGCTCTTGTCATTGTCCAGGACATCGTTCCAAACCATTTCCTTCTTGTCCTCAGGCAAAAGGATTGAGCTTGGGATGTGCTGGGCATTGTAGATCACATCTCGGTGCTCCCATAGTGAGATTGTACTTCCAGTCGGAAGCAACCTCAGATTGGCATAGTCCGGAACAAAGGTCGTCATTGTGCTTTTGACCTTGTCGGACACGATTGTCAGCCGATTGTGAGGAGACACGGCTGCGGTGGCGGAAACATTGTTTTCTGCTTGTTGACAAAATGTCAACATCCATGCAATTTTATTCAAAGCAAAAATTCAAACACATTGCTCTCGATTGTCTCACTCCGACATTGTCGGATTCCACTTTCATGCAGCAAGAAATCAAACGATGGTGTCTATAATGAATTGTAGGTGAAAAGTAGGTACCATAGTGAAACGAAGATCTCGTAGGTGATATAGTGATACATATAGTTGATGGTATCCATATTCTTTAAGAAAATAGTGTACCATGGCTCGAGCAACCGTGTGTGTATTGTACACGCAGGGGATGCTTTGTTGTTGTGAAACATTGTTAGGACGGTGGTCAGTTGTGATGCTGTGGGCATTGAATGCCCGCCTTGTGGAGGTGTTTGTTGAGCACCTCTGCCGGGACATACTTTGTGAGTATGTCCGCTGGGTTGTCGTGTGTGCTGATTTTGTGGATTGATAGTATTCCACTCTGTACCAGTTGTTGTATGAATAGGTACTTCAGGTCAATATGTTTCGCTTTCTTTGATGAACCGATTCTTGTTGCAATGCTCTTTCCGCTTGTGCTGTCCGTGTGTATGCGGATGTTCACTTTTGTCGTTGTTGCTTCCTTGATGAAGTTGGCTATGTGTAGGCCTTCTTGTGCCCCTGTTCCGATTGCGTATAGTTCGGATTCTGCCGATGATAGTGCTACCACTGCTTGTGTTCTGCTGCCGAATTGTACGACGGATCCCATCATTGTCACCATGAATCCGCTTGTTGATTTCCTTGTGTTTGGGCATCCTGCCCAGTCCGCATCGACGTAGATGTTCAGGTCGATGGGTTCCTTTGTTTGTGGTGTGTGTGTGTTGGTCGAATGATCATCTTGTATTGTTGTGTTCCACGTAGGTACCGCAAGAGATGTTTCAACTTGCGGAGACTTTGTTGTGTCGGCTGTTGTAGGTCTCTTGCCAGTTCCTTTGTTGAAAAGCTAATATCCGGTCTTGTGTAAGTCAGCCATTGTAGTTTTCCTACTGCTCTTCTGTAGTCTGCATGTTCTTGTTTGTCCAAGGGTGCTTCGTCATTTGTTGATTGTTTCAGGGTTGCCGTCCCTGGAGTTGCTGCCGGATTGCTTGTTTCCATCTTTGTTTCTTTCAGAAGTGTTGTGATGTACTCTGGTTTGAGACTGAGTTCAAAATGGTCTCCATTGTTGTAGATGTCTCTTCCAAGGAATTGGAATGTTTGTCCAACTCCGAGTGTGCCAGAGTACGTGCTTTTGTATTTCCTGGAAGGTCTTGTTGACCTCTTGGGGTTGTCCCAGGAAAAGTAGGTCATCTACGTAGACCATCACGAACATTGTCTGTTCCTTGTTTCTGTAGACATTGGGCTCACTTGTGAGTCGTGTAAGTCCAAGTTGGTGTAGGACTTGTGCGAAGTGGTCTTGCCAAGATTTTGGACTTGACCCCAATCCGTAGATTGCTTTGTTGAGCTTCCAAACTGTTGTTGTGTTGTGGCCGCTAGGATATAGCTCTGGTGGTGGCCACATGTACAGATTGTCTGTGGCTGCTGGTGCATGTAGGAATGCTGTTGACACGTCGCCTGCTTGGATTGTCCAATGGTTGTGCTGTGCCATTGTGAGCAAGATTCGTAGAATCCCAAAGATGGGTGTGCTTGCGTAGATATTGTCTAGGTCCTGAATTGTTTCCAGGAACCCTTTGGCGACAATTCTACATCGAACTTCGTCTTGTTTTGGTTTGTTGACCCATTTTGATTCTATGATCTTGCTCTTGTATTCGTCAGGGACGTCATTGTAGTTGATTTCTGTGAATACTTCTTGTCCCTTCATTGATTGTGCTTCTTTCTTCATCCCTTGTTGTACTTTCTTGGGATCAAGCCCTTCATTGTCGTACACGAAAGGCTCTTGTAGCATCCTCTCGATTTCTGCTTCTTGTTCGTCTT